TAATGATAATGATAAACATGTTGCAAAGAAGCTCACGCAATTAAGAACCCAATTCAAAAACTTGACAAATTATTCCAAGAAAACGAAAAATATTTGTATACTCTAAATAGTTTCATTCATCTCGCTACTCATCATCCCAATTTCAAGTCAAGTTGTATTACCACCAATTATGAAGAACTATTATTCTCTGTAATAAGAGGCAAATACCCACATGCGACCGTTAAACAATTTTGCCAAGGTGAATATTGTATATTTCTTATATTGCATGCTTCTGATGAAGTTCGAGGTTTCTCTCTTCCAGATATTCCTTTAACAGACCATTATAATGGAATGAATATGACAATCAAAGAAATACCACAGCTCCCAAATATTTCACAAAATCCTTCATTCCAAAAAAAAGATCAAGAAAAAATCCAACAAGGCTAAAATGATTTTGCAGTGAATTAAAAGTTTATTGTGCAATTGTTAAACATTCAATTTGTGAACATTTTGCATGGATTAATTTTTGTATTTTCAAACTGACCCTCTGCTTTTGTTGGATGTTTGTTGTTTCAACAAGTTTTTCACCAATTTTGAGGGCAGTTTTGGTTGCTGTGTTTGCATTGACTGCTTGATATCTGTCTGGTACGGAATTGCTCTTCCAATTACCGTGTCTTTTAATATCGGATTGAGTGATTCCGTTGCAACTTGCTAAAATTGTTGTTGAGGTTCTTCTGGTAAAAGTGTCCAGTATATCTATCAATACCTATTTTAGAATTCTCCAAAGTTCCTTTCTTATCAATTTCATATTGCACGTCTGATGGTAGACAATGCTTGTTCTCCAATAAAAAGGACTTCATATCTTTGGAAAGTGTGTCTTTTCCAATTCTAGATCTATAAATAGTGGATCCATTAATTCTTGGCCAAAATCTCACGTCCCTTTTTGTGTCCGGAATACACTCAACATAGTTCTTGATGATGGTGTAAGGTGTTTTTCGCAATACTTCTCATATAGCTCGTACTTTTTCTTGTATTCCTTGATGGTGCGAGCGTTTTTACTGTCGACAACACTTGTGTCTGCTTGTTGATCAGTGTTATCAATGGCTTCCATGATCTTGTCTGTTTCTGTGACTTTTCTCTTTGTAGCGGGTGTTGCTATTGGATGTGGGTACATTTTTTTTCGGTTGGTTTTTTAATCGAGTTTTTGCAGGAACACAGTAAAAAATTGCTTCTGTCTACTCGAAACTTCAGCGAAACAGTAGTAGAGTCACCACCTCCAGTTTGTCGATTGATGATGTTGAATTTAACACGTGTGGGCCTGAACATGTGTTTTCTTTGGAAAGGATAAGAGAAGAAGGAAGATACAACGGGTGCTCCCTTACCGAACAAAAGTAGAAAACTTGCGTTCTCTGACAACCAGCAGGTTTATCAAAATTGCCTTTTTTAACTTATTTCTAAAAAGGAAAAAACACGAATTTATTTTGCTGCTTGTCAAAAAGCATTCGACACAGGTGGCAAGAGTATTAAAAGGCGATGCAACAAATCGCAATTTAAAAACTAAAAAAGCTTCACATTTGTAAATAAGCATTTCTCTAACGCTTGATTTTTCAAAGAAAACAACATTTTCAAACAAGATGGATGAAATCAATGTCATGCTTCCCAAGCCAAAAGATCTTGGAAAACAACACAAAAAGCATCGCACAGTTTCGAATGAACACGATCGAAGACCTCACCGATTTGTGACCAATCAGAAAAAACAAGGAGGAGGAAAATTCAATTATGGAAAACCAGGAGATGAAACGATGGTTTATGTGAACACTGAGGACGGTGTGTTAGATAAGGAATTGATTGAACATGATGCTAGCGTGTTGGAACAACTTCATGGAGCTTCCACTGTGGTGGTGGCTAACAGGACTGAAGAAGAAACTGAAGAAGGCGGTGGTGAGGAAGAAGGTGAAGGTTATGAAGAAGGAGAATACGATGAAGGCGAATGGGAAGAAGGTGAAGATTATGAGGAAAGTGAAGAGTAGTCATCATGATACGTTTCATTGTAACAGAGAGATCGATGATCATCTATTTTCAAATTGTAAAAAGAAATGGTTCATCATCGATTAAGCCTTAGGCCCTACATAATGTAAATCTAATTGCTCTCCTTATAACTCATTGAAGAATTGTACTGCTATGAATAATAATAATAATAATTAAATAACAATTTGTTGTTGTCATTATATATTATTCTACCAATATACATAGTTGAACAATTGGCAGTGTTGCTGTATACAGGTGTTGTACCATCCACCCACATGAAATTTTGATTAATACATATTCTCTCATAGCTACATAATTGTTCGGAAAAGGATAATGCTCTCTCTAATATTCAGCATAGGCAGCCACACGATCTGTGTCTTGATTTTGCTCATCTCCATCCAAATATATAGCAGCAATGGTCCTTCGTGTATTCTCAGCACTATCAATACTCTTCTTTAAAACAGTTTTTCTTCGATTGGAAGCTGGAGCCTTTGCTCTTGTCATGACTGCATCACAAGAGAGCGTACCGTGGTGTTTTCTTTCATGTCCAGTTGCATCGGGAACGTGTTCTCTCTTGGGTGTTGGAGGTGTTCCTCCTCCCATCATGAAAGCTCCACCAAACATGGGAGGAGATGTTGTTGGTTCAGTTGTTTGCCCTGAACTCAACGAAGAAGAAGAAGAATAATCCTTCTTGGGCATTCCCATCATTCCGAAAGGAGGAGATCCCACCGAGTTTTGCTTCAACTTGGCTAACTTTTCAGAGACGGAAAGTCCCTTGGGGACACCTCCACTTTCTGAAGAGGGTGTGGAAGGAGTAGAGTTTGTGGATGAAGTGCTGTTGTTGCTGCTGTTATTAGTAGTAGCAGCACTGGACGAGAATTTGGAAAGCTTTTCTTGAACACTGGGTTGTTTTTGAGGTGTGGATGTTGTTGTGGTGGTGGTGGAATCGTCTGTCTTCTTTTCGAACATGGCAAATTTGGATTTCACACCACTTCCACCTGGCGTGTGAGTAGTATTGCCACTACTACCACTAATGTTACTACTTGTGGAGGCTTCAAAAGTCAATGGCTTATTGGTTTCTGGAGTCTTGTCTGTGTCCTTCTTTTCAAACATGGCAAATTTCGATTTCACACCACTTCCTGTTGTAGTGGAAACGGTGGAAGTGGAATTATTGGTAGATGGTGTGGATGGAGAGGCCTTATTGTTGACCTCCGTGCTACTTGCAGTAGGAGTAGAAGTGGTGGTTGGTTTAGAATCCACCCGAGTAGTGGTTTCGGTTTTAACTTCCTTATTCTCGAACTTTGGTTCAATTCCTGATGATGGCTTGTTGGTTTCATTGAATACTTTTTCAACTGTTGTGTTGGAATCAACATTCTTCTTTTCCACAGACGAGGTGCTTTTTGCGGTTGAGGTCTCCTCTGCTGTCTTTTTCTCAAACATGGCAAATTTAGATTTCACACAACCAGTTGTTGTTGAGCTTATTGTGTTGGAAGAATTTGCTGTTGTGGTGGCAGAAGGAGTGGTGGCAGATTTGGAAGTTTCAGTCGTACTACTTGGTTCCTTCTTTTCAAACATGGCAAATTTGGATTTCACACTACCAGTAGCAGCAGTTGTTGTTGAGCTTGTGGAAGTGTTTGTTGAAGAAGTGCTCGTTTCTGCTGCTGGAGATGTTTCAGTCTTCAGGCTGCTATTGATCTTCTCTGATGGTGAAACTGGCTTTGTACTTCCATTGTCAGTGCCTTTCGAATAAGAGGAAGTGTTGGTACTTGGTGTGATTGGTGACACCTTTGAAGAAGGTTCTGTGGTTGATGGTGAAGCATTTGTTGTCTTGGTTCCTACACTTGATGCCTTACTTGGTGTTGTATTTTCAGTAATGACCTTGTTTGTTAATTCGCCAGTAGTAGTCGCCTTTTCGGATGTTGAGGTGACTGTTGAGGAGGATGGCTTTGGAGGGTCATTCGATGGTTCCTTTTTCTCAAACATGGCGAACTTTGATTTCACACCACCAATTTCACTTGCCACCGATTTGTTGGGATCTGAGTTGCTTGAAGTTGTACTTGTGGGATTTGCAACTTTGGTTTCCGTTGAGGCATTGGTAGCACTTTCAGCAGCTTGTTTGTTTGGAGTCGTAGTAGTACTGGTGGTGGTTGTGGTTGTTGTGGCAGTATTTTCAGCTTTGTTCTCACTCTTATTAATTACTTCAGAATATCTTGATAAAACGCTTCCACGTCTCAAGTTTTCAGTGGATGGTTTTGGTGGAGGTTCATTCGATGGTTCCTTTTTCTCAAACATGGAAAATTTCGATTTCACACCACCAGAAGTCGTAATTGTTGAGCTCGTGGTGGAAGAAGTTGAAACGGTGTTTGTTGAAAGAGAAGTAGTGCCGGGTGTTGGGGTTGGCGAACTTGTGGAGCCAATGTTGGCACTTGGTGGAGTGTTGACACTCTTTGATGTTTCCTTAGTGTCTGTCTTTTCAGATTGTTGTTTGTCCTTTGGTGGTGAGGAGTTATTTTTGCTGCTGCCGAAAGAAGGAGAAGGTTTTGACTCTATGCTTGTAGTGACTGGTGGAGTGGATGATGATTTGTCGTCATTACTTTGTGTTTTTTCAGTCGGAGTTGCAACAGTGACAGTCACATTTGGAGAGTTTGTCACAACAGTGGGTGTGCTTGCTGAAAGAGGAGGAGTCGAAGATGCAGATTTTGCATTTTCAGTCTTTGGTTTCCACTTTGGTCCACTTGATGTGTTTGGAGATGTCTTTTCCTCCGTATTCTTCTTTTCGAATTGTGAAAATCGATCCTTAATTGAACCAACACTACCAGTAGTAGCAGTAGGAACAACATTGCTGGTGGTATTACTTGTGGTTTGTGATTGTTGTTGAGAAGTCTCAAAAACGTTCTTTTTTTCCTTCAACACATTGGATGATTCACTACTTGGTGAAACTCCTCTTGGAGAAGTGGCATTGGTTGAAGAAGGTGGTGCTTGATTGAACAATGCCATTCTGGAAGCAATTCCAGAAGTCAATTTCTTTTCTCCATTTTGTTGTTGTTGTGATTGCTGACCAGTAGTACTGGTGGTGGTGGCAGTGGCAGAATCCGATGTTGCACTCATTCCTTGTGGATTGATTTGTTTTTTGTTTGTTTCCAAATTTGTTGTTTTTTGAGAAATATTTGGTGACTTGCGATTCGAATGATTATGACTCAATGATGATGAGAATAATGGTGAATGATTGGTACTGCTAACAGTTGGTGTACTTTTTGAGAGATTTCTCGTGCTTGTCGACTTGTCACTATTGAAATCTTCCTTTCTTCCTGGTGATAATGTGGAATTAACTTTTTTCACACTAATTGGAGTTACTACCGGTAGTGTTGTTGTTTTGGATATGCTGCTGTTCTTACTTGTATCGTTATTCTTGTTTTGACTCTCAAAGACACTAATTAATTCGAGTGTTCTTGGTGATGGTTGTGTTGAAGAGAGTGATGATGATGATGAAGCAACACCTAAAGGTGATAATGAAGCAACAGGAGAGGATGAAGAACTCGAAGAAGAAGAAATTGAAGATTGATAAAGAGTTAAACGAGCAGCAAGTTTTGGACCAATTCCACCGCCACCACGAGGAGAAATAATAAAACTTGTTGATGAAGTACCAAAACAGGTATTTGTTGTGTTATTAGAATTATTAATATTATTGTAAATATTAGATGTACTTTTTGTTGTTGTTTTTGGAGATGATGATACGACTGCTGTTGGAGAGGACATATAAGTCCCAAATGATGATGATTTTGGAGTGAAGAAATTGAAAATTCAAAGTTTTGGTGGATGAATTCTCTCTGCAATGAATGAAATACGATGGAAATTTCAAGGAGGAGAACAGCAAGGCTCAACAACACGTCACGTAATTCAGCGGCGTGTGGATATTGGTGATAACTACCAGCCAAAGGTAGATTTTTTTTTTGACTTTTGGCATTTTAAATGTCTGGATAGAAATGGCTAAGATTTGATTGATTGGTGGAGAATTGTAAGGTTTATTGGTTTGATGAGTATTCTCATATACATAGGCATCCGAAAACCAATTATGTTCAGAGAGGTTCCTTATTCTTTTTAATATTTATTTAAAAAGAGTTTCTTGAAACACTAAATGTAATTAATGTACATGTAATTCAAACTCTTTCATATGTACTTTTGAATTTAACAATTAATAATGATTCACTCTATTCTCACACATCTCAAAAAATGTCATCAGTCGTTGACGTGAATCGTTGCATTGAAAAACTCGAAGCTGGACGTCTTCTCACAGAATTCGAAATCAAGTTTGTCTGTGAAAAAGTTAAAGAAATTCTCATCGATGAAGCCAACGTTCAACGTGTCAAATCTCCAGTCACCATCGTTGGCAACATTCATGGTCAATTTCCTGATCTCAAAGAATTATTTAGAGTGGCTGGTAAAATTCCCGATACCAATTATTTGTTTTTGGGAGATTATGTGAATCGAGGAAATCAATCGGTTGAAACTATATCATTGTTGACTTGTTATAAATTGAGATATCCAGAGAGAATAACATTGTTGAGAGGTAAGTGATGATAGGGTGACAACTGGCATTTCAAAAATTATTTGATAAAATACATATGGCATATGATGAATTTTGTGGTGTTATTATGATGAAACATATTCAAAATTTATGAATTTTAAATTATTCATCATCATTACGAAAAATCGGAATTAATTGAAATTCATACACCATGACCACAACAACAACAAAAACAAATTGCAACAGGAAATCACGAATCAAGACCAATTACTCAAATCTATGGCTTCTACGAAGAATGTACCATGAAGTATGGAAATGTCAATGTATGGAAATATTTCACAGACATGATGGATTATTTGACTGTGTGTGCCTTGGTCGATGATTCACTCTTTTGCGTTCATGGAGGTTTGTCACCTTCGATCGCCACTCTTGATCAAATCCGTGTATTAGAACGATTTAAGGATATTCCAGAGGAAGGTCCAATTACTGACCTCTTATGGTCTGATCCCATGAATGATGATGACGACTTTGGAATCTCTTCTTCGAGTTCGCTGGATTTTGGAATTAACACAAGAGGAGCAGGATTCATCTTTTCACAAAAAATTACCAATGAATTTATGAATCTTAACAAGATTGACCACATTGTTCGTTCACATCAATTATGTATGGATGGATATCAAGTGATTTGGGATGGCAAACTCTCGACAATTTGGTCAGCTCCAAATTATTGTAATCGTTGTGGAAATATTGCTGCAGTGATGGAAGTGGATCGAGATTTGAAACGATTTTACAACACTTATCAGGCTGCTCCTCGAAAGACCATGAGAAGACAACGTTTGGAGAAGGAGGAGAATGCATTCATTGGAAGTCAATTTGTCGGTCAAAATGTGAAGGCAGCTCAGCAAATTAATGTTCAATATTTCTAAGATTGTAATTCTGTTTCGTTCCGTGAATTGTACTTTTAAAAATCTGTTTTTTAATGCATGCGTACTGTCTTTGGTTCAACCTGTTCATCAATAAAACAAAACCCTTGAAGCTAGTGAAGGTCTTGAGTAGATCTTAATATTGTACAAATTACAAGTGGGTTAGTTAGTGTTACAATGGATGCAGATGAAATCAGTATTTGAATTGGTAATTAATTTGGGCTTCCAGTGATTTAATTTCGGGCATAAAAGTCTTTCGATTGTCAACATCTTCCATGAGCCAATCAATAATAAATCTCAACAACTTCTTTCCATCACAGCGAAGCCCATACTTGATCTTGGTCGCTGCCTTTAAAAAGGTCGTCAAAGTGGATGGAGAAAAGTTCAATAATTCACTCTTATTGGAGGTCAAAATGGTATCCAAGTTCTTACTCATTTCCGAGACGCATGTGTGGAGTATTCGTTCAAGAAATGGGTCCAGTGGAGTGTTGAGAGCTAGTAGTTCTTTGAAAATAACAAAACAGTTGGAAGGTTTGATATTGGTCTCAAGCTCCACTTGAATACTTTCAATCAAGTTTCCTTGAACGAGATATTTCTGAGCTACTACAAGAAGATTCAGAGCCTGTTGAATACTGTAGGTCAGCTCTCCCGTATAAAAGAACTCGAGGAGTTGCAACAAGGCTTCCTCTTCGGGTTGGTGGTTGACGATCCATTCGTCGATCATTGAATGATTAAGCGTCGAGGGTGGCCGATGTCTAGGACTACCGTGCTCCAATTCATCTTGATGTGGGTTAAGTACGCCGTTTCGTGATGATGTGCTCGTACTGGGCAAAGTAGACGAGATCTCTTCATAAATCAAATTGTGTTCATCAAGATCGAACCGTTGTAGAGATTCCTGACAAGACTCCGATTCACAAGCAATTTCTTCTTCATAGGGATTGAACAACTCTCGAAACATGTTGCTATGAACAGAGAGTATTCCTTTCCAAACCCGAATTCGCTTATTCAACTGGACCAGAACCACCGTAAAATCAGAATAATTCTGGTTATTATACAAATGCTTAAACCTTGCTCGATGATCTTCCTTATACAGGACCATCTTGAAAGTTTCTAAAAAGAAGGACTGGAATTAATTGATGAACGAATAATCTAATGTTCAGACCAGAGAAAATTGGCGATGAGTCTTTTTTTATTTTAATTAGAGAGAAGAATGAGAGAGATGACCATCGTTGATATTTTTTACGCCTTCTTCGTCTTTGCTTTTCATTCGTTCACGAATGATTGAGAGCACTAAGAAGATGATTTCTTTTACATGTTTGGCATGTTGTGCATTGATCACCAACATTCATGTCGTCCGCCCTTACCAAGTTCAGTTTCATATATGAGAGATGGGCCCATGTCACAACTTAACAGTAATTTTTTCTTCTGAGAATGCTCTCTTGTCTGAATAGGGTTTCTTCATGTGGTTTTATGTCCAGTTCGATTTCCGTTCCGGGACATGTATAATCGGGAAATAGTGAAAGCACCATCATCACGCATCCACAATATGGAATTCAGTTGTTTCTTTTAGACATGAAGAGAAGATGGGATTAGGAAACTTCGGATTTTAAACCATAAAAGACAACAACTGTTGATGAAGTTCATTCAGTTGGAATCAATGAAACCGCAGTGAAGGAGACGAGAAGAATGCAACAGTCTACCACGTAGATCAACAACTACCACCACCCTCCGAGTACAGAGGGCGTTTGATTTTGTTCACTGAGTGGAGGAACAGACTGTAACTGAACAATAGGAACAAGAAACTTGTGTGAAGTCTGAAAAAGGATTGCAAATTTGTTTCGTTTCTGTGAGATTCGGTACAAAGTGTTCCTCCACTTGTCACCTTGCACCCATGAAGGAAGGGTTTGGTGCTGTTGCACAAATTTAGCAACGTGATTCACTTAGACAAGTGACAACTGCAAAAAAAAATCAACTGCACTGGCACTATCTTTCACAACACACACAATTTTGTGAAAAAGATGACACTGGTGACCACGAGCAGCAATAGTAGAATTAGCACTACTGGCTTCTCCCTCTTTTCATTTCCTCGAGTCATGACTCATTCCCAACCACAACAAGGACACGCTCGAGTTCCTTCCTTCACTTCGAGCTTTTGGGTCATGATGCTTTTATCAATCCTCATCGTCTTCATCATCAACACCCACTCTCTCAATATTCAATTTGTTCTTGCGACAACAATCCCTCCCAAATATTCAATCACAACCATCGCAGGTGGTGGCAACACAGGTGCCAGCGACGCAACTTCCGTCGTGTTGAATGGTCCTTCAGGAATTAGTATTGGGTCTGATGGTGTTATTTACTTTACAGAAAAGGGTAATAATCAAATTCGTAAACTCAGTTTTGACTCGAACACTGGTACTTATTCAATTTCGACTTTTGATACTTCCTCCCTCTCACCAGCCGTCGACACTCCCACTGGAATTTTTGTGAAACAAGATTCGGTCAACGGAGATGTCATTTATTTTGCTGACAATGGTCGAGTGACAAGTGTGGCAAATGGTGTAGTCCAAACTATTCATGACAAAACCAGTGATGCTAATTTCAACCCATCTGGCTTGTCAATGATCGGAGGCGATCTCTATGTAGCAGATAGTGGTAATCAAGTGATTGACAAGTGGACATCCAATGTGTACAATGTCTACGCTGGTTCAACTGGCACTGCAGGATATCAAGATGCTGATTTCTCGGCTGATCCAGCTGCTGTTCAATTTAACAACCCAGTGGGTGTTGCTACAACGAATGATGCAAATCCCATTCTATATGTGGCAGACAAGACCAACAATAGAATTAGAAAACTCTTCCAATCGGCAAGCACTACTTTTGCAGGAAGTGGTAAGTAGTAGAAACAAATATGAATTTCGTGAATTTGTCGCTCATACCATTATTTGCAACGTGTTAACAAAATTTTGGCACTTTCTAATTGGTGATCGTGCTGGTGTTTACAAATAGGATCTTCAACAAATGAACAAAACGTTGCGAATGCTGATCCTTCGTTGGTGGATCTTGTTGGTCCACTTGCTGTCTCTGTGGCACCTAATGGAGATGTCTATCTCTCTACCAGCTCTCGAGTGTATATCATTCATGCAAATACCCAAAAAATTTCCACAGTCGCTGGATCTGGAACATCAGGAGATGGTTCCGCTTTAGGAGCAACCCTGAGCTCACCTGAAGGTATTGCCGTGTCATCGGATGGAAAATCAATTTTCATTGCTGACACTGGAAACAATCTGATTCGTAAAATTTCTTTGGATTATTGTGAGAGTGGTTATGTTTTTGATAGCACCAACTCTGTTTGTGTACCTGTATGTTATGGTCTCCCTCAAAACGACAGCAAGGTCTGTAACGGAAATGGAGCATGTATTGCACCAAATTTCTGTCAATGTGACCTCACTCATGGTGGATTGAATTGTTCAATTCCTATGTGTTATGGATATTATGCGAACGACACTAATAATGTTTGTAATGGTCGTGGAGAATGTACTGATGTTGACAGGTGCGTATGCAGCACTAATTATGGCGGCAACCAGTGTCAATTAGCAAGATGTAATGGTATATTGGCAGATAATCCCTCAACGGTTTGTAATGGTCGCGGCTCTTGCAACGATGTTGATGTTTGTCTCTGCAACAATGGTTATGGTGGAAAATTCTGTGATTTAGTCAAATGCAACAATATTCTTTCCAATGAAACTTCAACAGTGTGTAGTGGAAGAGGATCATGTGATGATGTTGACACTTGTCGATGTCATGCTGGATATGGAGGTCCATTTTGTGAACTTGCCAAATGCTACAATATTCTTTCAAATGAAACGACAACTGTTTGTAGTGGAAGAGGATCATGTAACGATGTGGACGCCTGTGTCTGTAATAATGGATTCGGTGGTCAATTCTGTCAACTTGCCAAATGTAATGGTATTCTTGCTAATGAAACAACAACAGTTTGCAATGGTAGAGGATCATGCAATGAAGTCGATACTTGTAATTGCGTCGATGGCTTTGGAGGACAATTTTGCCAACTCGCCAAGTGCAATGGTACTTTGGCCAATGAAACATCAACTGTTTGCAGTGCCCGTGGCTCCTGTAACGAGTTGAATGTGTGTGTCTGTCACGAAGGCTATGGTGGAGAATTTTGTGAATTGGCAAAATGCAATGGAACTTTGGCCAATGAAACATCCATGGTGTGCAGCGGAAGAGGTTCATGCAACAACGTCGACGTTTGTGTTTGTAGTGAAGGATTTGATGGCCAATTTTGTGAACTCGCTAAATGTAATGGAACTTTGGCCAATGAAACCTCAGTGGTTTGCAACTCTCATGGTTCTTGCAATGAGGTAGACACATGTGTCTGTCATGATGGTTATGGAGGAAAATTCTGTGAATTTGCTAAATGCAATGGAGCTTTGGCTAATGAAACTTCCACCGTGTGTGCTGGTCGTGGCTCTTGTAATGAAATTAATGTTTGCGTCTGCCATGAAGGTTATGGAGGAGAATTTTGTGAACTGGCAAAATGTAATGGCATATTGTCCAATGAAACTTCAGTTGTGTGCAATGGAAGAGGACCCTGCAATAATGTCGATACTTGTATTTGCAACAATGGCTATGGTGGAAAATTCTGTGAATTGGCTAAATGTAATGAAACTCTCGCCAATGAAACGTCAACGGTATGCAGTGGACGTGGATCATGCAACGACGTGGATGTTTGCCTCTGCAATAACGGATACGGTGGTCAATTTTGTCAAATCGCTAAATGTAATGGTACCTTAGCAAACGAAACCTCAGTGGTTTGTAGTGGAAGAGGATCTTGCAATGATGTCAATGTCTGTGTTTGTAACTCTGGATTTGGTGGTCAATATTGCGAATTAGCCACTTGCAATGGAACTTTAGCAAATGAAACTTCAAGTGTGTGTAGTGGTCATGGCTCTTGTAACGAAGTTGATGTTTGTGTCTGTAACAATGGTTACGGAGGAAAATTCTGTGAACTCGCCACATGTAACAATATTCTTGCTAATGAAACGGTGTGTAGTGGAAGAGGATCTTGCAATGACGTGAATGTCTGTGCTTGCTCCGTAGGATACGGAGGTCAATTCTGTGAATTGGCAAAATGTAATGGTACTTTGGCAAACGAGACGTTGAGTATTTGCACCGGAAGAGGTTCCTGTAATGACGTTGATGTTTGTGTCTGTAACAATGGTTTTGGTGGAAAATTCTGTGAACTCGCCAAGTGCAATGGAACCTTAGCTAATGAAACTTCTACTGTTTGTAGCGGTCGTGGATCTTGTAATGACCTTAATACTTGCGTTTGCAACAATGGATTCGGTGGTGAATTTTGTGAATTAGCCAAGTGCAATGGTACTTTGGCCAATGAAACATCGATAGTTTGCAGTGGAAGAGGTTCATGTAATGATGTGAATCTATGCGTTTGTAACTCTGGATTTGGTGGTCAATATTGTGAGTTTGCCAAGTGTAATGGAACTTTGGCCAATGAAACATCAACTGTTTGCAGTGCCCGTGGCTCCTGTAACGAGTTGAATGTGTGTGTCTGTCACGAAGGCTATGGTGGAGAATTTTGTGAATTGGCAAAATGCAATGGAACTTTGGCCAATGAAACATCCATGGTGTGCAGCGGAAGAGGTTCATGCAACAACGTCGACGTTTGTGTTTGTAGTGAAGGATTTGGTGGTCAATTTTGTGAACTCGCTAAATGTAATGGAACTTTGGCCAATGAAACATTGAGTGTTTGCAGCGGAAGAGGTTCATGTAATGGCATTGACATTTGTGTTTGCCATGTTGGATTTGGTGGTCAATATTGTGAACTCGCCAAGTGCAATGGAACCTTAGCTAATGAAACTTCTACTGTTTGTAGCGGTCGTGGATCTTGTAATGACCTTAATACTTGTGTTTGCAACAATGGATTTGGTGGTGAATTTTGTGAGTTTGCCAAGTGCAATGGTACTTTGGCCAATGAAACATCGATAGTTTGCAGTGGAAGAGGATCTTGCAATGATGTCAATGTCTGTGTTTGTAACTCTGGATTTGGTGGTCAATTTTGTGAATTGGCAAAATGTAATGGAACTTTGGCAAACGAAACTTCAAGTGTATGCTTTGGACGTGGATCTTGCAACAATTTGGACGTCTGTGTCTGCCATGTTGAATTTGGTGGTCAATTTTGTGAACTTGCCAAGTGCAATGGAACCTTAGCTAATGAAACTTCAGTCGTCTGTAGTGGTCGTGGATCCTGTAATGATGTAGACACATGTGTTTGCAATGAAAGATATGGAGGAAAATTCTGTGAACTCGCCAAGTGTAATGGTACTCTCGCCAATGAAACCTCCATTGTTTGCAGTGGAAGAGGATCCTGCAATGATATTGATACTTGTGTTTGCAACAATGGATTTGGTGGACAATGGTGTGAATTGGCAAAATGCAATGGAACTTTGTCGAATGAAACTTTGTCCGTGTGTAGTGGCCGTGGATCTTGCAACCATGTGGATGTGTGCGTTTGTCAAAATGGATATGGTGGTCAATTTTGTGAACTCGCATTTTGCAATGGTACCTTAGCAAACGAAACTTCAATGGTTTGCAGTGGAAGAGGATCGTGTAATGACGTCAATGTTTGTGTTTGCAATTCTGGATACGGAGGTAAATATTGTGAACTCGCCAAATGTAATGGAACTCTGGCCAATGAAACTTCAACAGTATGCAGTGGTCGTGGGTCTTGCAATGGTGTGGACGTATGTGTCTGTCACGAAGGATATGGAGGTCCATTCTGTGAATTGGCAAAATGCAATGGTACTCTGGCAAACGAAACATCCACTGTTTGCAGTGGAAGAGGTTCATGCAATGATGTGAACGTTTGTGTTTGTAGTGACGGATTTGGTGGTCAATTTTGTGAACTCGCTAAATGTAATGGAACCTTAGCTAATGAAACATCAACGGTTTGCAGTGGCCGTGGATCATGCAACCATGTGGATGTTTGTGTCTGTAACGATAATTTTGGAGGAAAATTCTGTGAACTCGCTAAATGTAACAAAACGATTTCAAATGAGACATTTATTGTCTGCAGCGGACGTGGATCATGCAATGATGTGGATGTTTGTGTTTGTAATCATGGATTTGGAGGAGTATTTTGTGAACTCGCATTTTGTAATGGAACTTTAGCCAATGAGACATCGACAGTCTGCAGTGGACATGGTTCCTGCAATGATGTCAATGTATGCGCCTGTAGAACTGGATTTGGTGGAGAATTTTGTGAACTCGCTAAATGCAATGGAACTTTGGCTAATGAAACATCAACAGTATGCAGTGGTCGTGGATCATGCAACAACGTCGACGTTTGTGTTTGCAGTGAAGGATTTGGTGGCCAATTTTGTGAGCTTGCTAAATGCAATGGAACTCTGGCCAATGAAACCTCTACGGTTTGCAGTGGACATGGTTCATGCAGCAATGTCGATGTTTGTGTTTGCAATTCTGGATACGGAGGTAAATATTGTGAACTCGCCAAGTGCAATGGAACCTTAGCCAACGAAACTTCAGTATGCAGTGGAAAGGGACAATGTCAATCGTTTGATCTTTGTGTGTGTAATAATGGATATGGAGGACAATTCTGTGAATTTGTCAAATGTAATGGTACTTTGCAAAACGAAACCGCATTGGTTTGTAATGGACATGGTTCATGTGATGATGTCAATGTTTGTCGATGTTCTGCAAACTGGGGAGGTCCATTCTGTCAATATCCAAAATGTAATGGTATTTTGCAAAACGAAACATCAACAGTTTGTAGTGGACATGGTTCTTGTGACGATGTTGATGTCTGTAGATGTGACTTGAATTATACAGGACCCTACTGTCAATATCCAAAATGTAATGACATTCCTTCGAACGAAACTTCAACTGTTTGCTCCAATCATGGTACTTGTCAAGGTGTGAATCAATGTGTCTGCTCGTCGAATTGGGGAGGTCCAATTTGTCAATATCCAAAATGTAATGGCACTTTGCAAAACGAAACGACAGTGTGTAGTGGAAGAGGATCATGTGATGATGTTGACACTTGCCGATGTCATGCTGGATATGGAGGTCCATTTTGTGAACTTGCCAAATGCAATGGAATTCTCTCCATTGAGACCAATGTTTGTAGTGGACATGGTTCATGTGATGAGATTGATGTTTGTCGTTGCAATTCCAATTATGCTGGACCTTACTGTCAATATCCAAAATGTAATGGAATTCCATCCAATGAAACCTCCACCGTCTGCTCAGGACATGGTACTTGTAGCTCTCCAGATGTGTGTTCATGCAGCTCTGGATGGTATGGAAACAAGTGTCAAGTACCTATGTGTGCTGGTCAATTAGCCAACACGTCACAAGTGTGTAATTATGGAAATGGTACCTGTCAAACACCAGGAGATTGTTCATGTCATTCAGGATGGACTGGTTCTGATTGTTCAACTCCAATTTGTTATGGACGAACTCCTTCAGAACAAGCTTGCTCAGGTCGAGGTACTTGTCTTTTGAACAATACTTGTGTCTGTCCTTTGAAATACGATGGTTTGGAATGTCAATTACACAAGTGTTACAATGTGTTGAATTCATCCTCGAGTGTTTGTTCAGGAAATGGAAAATGTGTGGATAGTGATCAATGCTCATGCAATTCTGGATATGTGGGATCAAATTGTCAATTGTTATACCTTTCTTCAATCTCTTTGCAATTTAACACTACCAAAGGACAAGTTCAAAATTCTCAAGCTTCTCTTCAATTAAGCATTAACGATGCTCAATTCTCCACGTATTACTTGTCAGCAGGTCGAACTGTGAGTGCTAAATTTACTTTGCAATTGAATGGAAATCTAGTTACAACCATCAATAAGGACATGTCTACTTCCAAGTTAGAATTCCTAGTTCCATCCTACGACTCGAATGGTACTTTGACTGCATTCGTCGAATTCACAGACACAGCCACAAATGTGAAAATTTCAGACAAAGTTTCATCTCTTAATTCCTTAATTTTGGACAGTGTTTCCGTGAACGATAAAAAGACAGAAGATGGAGGTGGTAATGGTGGAGCGGTCGCTGCTGCCGTTATTGTTCCAATTGTGGTCATTGGAGGAGTTGCTGCTGTGGCTGCAGGTGTGATTGGATTTGTGGCATTCAAGATGAAGGCAGCTGCTGCAGCAAAGGCCACAACGATCACACACGCTCAACACTATGACTTTGAATTGGCAGAAGGATTTTAAATAATTATTAATGGAACAAGAAAAAGAAATTCAATCTTGTCTGGGTGTTTCAAAGTCATCATCATGATTCACACAATTTATGTAGTTGTTGATCACGTGATCAAAATATATAAATTAAAACAAATTATTATTAACTCCAATCTTTGTTAAACTTTGATGTGAATTGGTGAAAGTTCCACTACAAATTACCTAAAAATCCACAGAAGTTTACAAAACATCTTCCTTGATCAATTCCTAGAGGGACTGGTAATCTCTAGTGTATATGTCGTTGATGCATGTTGGCCATGTTTGAACTGGTAATCTCTAGTGAAATAAATTTGAAATAAAAAAAATGATGAAAAATGAAAAGCAAGAGTTGCTCGGCTCTTCTCATACCTCATCGGAAGAAGAAAATCAAGAACCACGAGTTGATGAAACGATAATGAAAGATAATGCGTTCAAGGAATTGGATAAACGATTAATTGAAACTATCAAGAAAAATTATGGGAAGGAGCTGATCGGAAAGGAGTCGGAGCAATTAACGGAATTAATTGAAAATTACATGCAAGATGATGAGGATTTACTTGGGAATAATGATGAAATTATAGAAGCGATTGATGAGGAAGAAGAGGAACTTGAACAGGAGCAAGAAGGCACAAAATCCAACGATCGCCCTCGATTAATATTCCGAAATTATGATCCAACGGATTACAAACTTAAACGATACAAAAAGAGACACTACGCAACTCTAGATCCACGCGAAAAAACATCTAAATATTTTGCATCTCCTATTGAAGCCACAGAAGTGATTCTTCGTGATCAAATTTCAGGCTTACTTGAGGAAGCAGCAAAGCTACAGAGCTTGGCTTCATTGGATAAAATGTTGGAAGGTGAAGAAGATAACAGTGATTTGAATTTGTTAAAGCCAAGAAAACTTAATGAAGATCTAAAGAGACACATCAAGGATCAAATGGATTTCTTAGAAAAACAAACTAATCAGGCACTACGAGAAATGTTGCAAGAAAGAATTGAAGAAGAGGAAGACGAGGATGAAGAAGAAGAGGAAGACGAATAATTAATGACTGTACATGCTAAAGCATCTCAACAATTTATTCTCAATGAGCTTGAATAACCCATGTCATTGAAGAAGAGTAGTTTATAATCTGATAATCTAATCTGAATGAATGTTTTATCTATTCGCTATTTAATAAAATCAAATTCTTTCTTAAAAAATTCAACTAAGAAATCCAATGTCACTCTAAACCATTGTCAAAATCGTACTTACATAAGGCCATAATTAAGGCAGAGTTAGGTGCAGCATAAATAATTCGACTGGTAAAACCTTTCCAAAATGCCTTTGGTCCTTCGTACAATGCAATCTTTCGAGCTGCATCCACAAAATTTTTGTAAAACATGATATCGTTCTCCGAATAAACACGTTTGGTTCTTCTCTGTACTTGAAATCGAGTTTTCTGGATGAGACAATGTTAAGTAAATGGATTAACTTGTAAACAACAATTACATACAATAACATCTAACGGTAATGTACAAAACGATCCCAATCCAGCCCCTATTGCACCACTCAACAAAATTAACGAAAATGGAAGAGGAGTTCCTGTTGTTTGACGCTGTTGAAAAAAGTCCTTTGCTTTCTCATAGGTCAGAAAATATATAGCACTAAATGGCCCAAACGATCCAAGAGTAATCCAATAGCCCTTATAAAGCTGAAAAAATCCATCGTTTTTCACAATCTTCATTAATTGAGAGAGAGTGAGTTGATTTCCTCTCTGAACTATATACATGTTGATTTCAAATATCACCATGGGTCCCAAGCAAAATATTTTCAATTATTTCTACTAATGTCATCTTCTACTCACGTACCTTGTAATCTCTCTTTCAAGACATCATGAGGAACCCAAAATATACAGCTCACACTTTCTGCAAATAATCCGCTCACTAAATGTACAAGTACAGTTTCTCCTCCTAATGTCCTTGACAAAAATGAATCATTCTTGAAGGAATGTCCAAAATTGATTAAACGATTCTTACAAAATTCATAAGAAGTGAGATATAAAGTAATGGCAGGTCCAGTAAATATTAATGAAGCTCCCAGACCTTTATAAAATCCTCGAATTCCCTCATATTTAGCTATGGATTGAATGGCATGCAATGTATTTCTGTAGGTATGAACATTGGCAGCCTCTGCACTTTTCACAGCGGAAATTCCTCCTTCAAATAATACAGAAGGTAATTTGGAAATAAGCTCAGGATTTGTAATTTGCACTTGCCTATCTTGCATTCATCCATCAATTATTCATATATTCATAATAATAAACAATTTACGGAATAGAAGAATTGTTTGAGATGATGTTTTCAAAAGTAAGACAAAATAATTTGAAAAACAATGATCAGCAAACGAAACTAAACTCTACACATACATTCTCGATTTAATAGTATCCAACGGATGTAACGTTATTCTTGCCAAGCATCCAGCCAAAGCACTTGAAATAACCACATTAATAGGTGAAATTTCATTGTGTTCCGAATGATGATGATCATTCCTCTCCTCAAAACGAACTCTCTCTGAATGTTGGCTGTTCTTATTTACTTCTGATGATGATGAAGAAGGGAAATTCTTGTTCGGATCTGGGGTAGTGTTCGAAGAGAGAGCAGAAACATGTTCTTTGTGCATTTTTATTTGATTGAAAATCAATGATAGATTTAAAGAGAGAAATTGAAGACAAGTCGGAAATGCAAAATGATTCTCAGTGTACTTCAATTAATGGAGCGTACGGTTTAGTGATTGGAAATCATCATCTTCAATACTTGAAAGTCGAGATGGAGCTCTTTCAATCCAATCCATTTATGTTACAAAAAAATTCAGGGATGGGTTTATTCGATGATAAACGTTGTTCGATGGTTTTATGTACAATATTTACAAGCCGAACGTAAGATACGTAGTGACTTCCTAGCAGGCACCCCGGAAGTAAAGGTGTTTAAACTGCTCACGATAACAGCAGCAACCCCTGGGATTCGAACGCTGGACCAGTTGGCTGCCACAGTTCCAGAAAAACCACTCGGCCATATGCGGGCAGCTATTGATGTTACAAAAAAATGAAACGAATACTTTTGCCATTTGCTATCACTCTGTCTCTCCCTCTTGTATCTTCGTATCAATTATATCGGAATCCACAACGAACAGATGTTTTAACTGAAAATTTTATTAAACAATTTAATGATCATTCAGAAGAATTTAATAACACTCAAATTGAGTCAATTAAACATTTTAATCAAAATAATATTGAACGTACGCAAGGTGGTGGATCTGGACATGCCAATGTGTCATTTGTGGCATCTACATCATCTCTAAATAAGAAACAATATTTAAATATTTCTTTTGGAGCTAATTTAACACACTTTATTTGGATGTATAATCATGTAAAAGTCTGTTCAAATGATAATTCATCAAAAATTATGGAAATTAATGTGAAAAATTTTAAACCATTCGATGATACTTTCCATTCATCGAATGGATATTATGCTCATCAATTATGTTGCTTAATTCCTGTTTTGCATTTCACTTGGATTTTAGGAAAAGTTTTTATCAGAAAGTAAAGAAATTGAACACAATTTCGTTTCTTTCATAAATGTTGCAATCAAAAAAATGCTGCAGCGAGTGAAGGGAGTTTTATATCCGACACTCTTCATCGCGTCCACGCTTTATGGAGCTTCTTGTTTTATATTTGATAGATATTGGTTTGGATGTGTGAATGGAGCCTCCATGAAACCAACACTCAACTCGGAATGGGGTCTGACAGGTCCAGCCTCTTCTCGTAAATCATCATCCATTAGTCGGGATTGGATTTTAATTAAACGAGTCAAAGACCATAAGAATGAACTCGACATCAATGATATTGTTGTATTTGTTTCGCCCGAGGAGCCACGAACAACTGCAATTAAAAGAGTAAAAGCTCTTCCAGGACAAGTGTATCAGCCTTCGAGAAGGGATACTGATGGTCATGCAGCAAGTGGGAAATACATTCCGAAAGGTCATGTGTGGGTCGAAGGAGATAATGCCGTGTCGAGTGTTGATTCTAACATGTATGGACCAATTCCAATGGGTTTAATTCGTGGAAAGGCTGTTTGTGTTATTTATCCAAAATTTAAATGGTTGTAATTGCATTTAAGTCATCATCATCAAAGAAATTGATAGAATGACCAAATTGTCAATGATGAACAAAGATTTGTAGCGCAGTCTAGTACTACTAGAATGAAATGTGTATTATGAATGGTTCACACATTAATTATGATAAGTTCATCATCCATTATTGCATTTCAGAGAACTGTTCTAGGAAATTCACAAATACAAATTATTATGAATTCAAAATAACACGAGTTGACCATGATTATTACTATGTACAATTTATTGCATTGAGGCAGCAAAATGATTTGGAGGAAGATTAAAAGATTGTTGTGGCGGTACATAATCGTCATCCTTTTGGAAGAGAATAATAATAACTGAGACATTGTCCTTACTGTCAAGCCCTCTCACTGCATGATCGAGGACATCCTCACAGATTGAACCAAGATCAAACTTGAAACCTGAGGTAGATGAATGATTTTCTGGGGCATCGTGTGAATGATCACTTGGAGGTTGAGGAGGGTCTCCTGGATATGTCAATCGCTTGTATGTACCATTCTTTTGCTCCAACAATCGCTGTAACACAAAGTTGGTGGCATCAGCATTGGACATAACATCCCAAACACCGTCACATGCCAACATTGCAAAATTATATTCACTCGTGTCATTTAAATCAAGAATTACTCTCTTAATTTCTGGTAGTGGAATGACTGCTTGCTCTTCTGGAGGCAGTTTATCATACTTCTTGTAGGTCAAGTCTCCAAAAGCTCTTGAAACAGCCAGGGTTCCATTTACTCTTCCAAATTCCACATAGGATTTTGCTTTTGCAATTCTAGTTTTTTCACTGTTGACATGTGGTTTGTGGTCATAGCTCAACGGTTCTGTTTTTCCTTTGTAATGCATTATTGTTCGAGAATCCCCAGTGTTAGCACAAATAACTTCTAACTTGTCTTTTCCAATTCTCTTCACAGTTAAGGTGGTCGCTGTGGAACCACTGTCGTCCACTCCGGCACATGATTTATCAAATTCTGCATCTGTTCTCATAAATCCTTGTTCAATATTTTGGTCCGAATTTAAAAGACTCCAAGCTGTAATATTTGGATTGTTTTCTACTTCTTCATTAAGAACGAGTTTAAATAGATTCTTTGAGAGAAACTCGGCGCAAGTATCCCCTGTTGAAATGAATCCAATTTAATTGTGGTGGATCGGATTTGATAAAAAAGATAAATAAAGAATAACAAGTTTTTCAATACAACGATTTTCCAAAAATTGACTTGCTTGATTCAGTCATCATAACCTACCCGAATGACCGTCAAAAACTGCAAAAAACGATAAATGCACCTCTCCACTCTCCACTGCTTGTTGTATTTTGGGAGGAGCAAAGCGAGGTAATTCCGTATAAAAGTTGTGTCTATCTTCCATGGACAAACGGAAACCTTGCATACTACTACACGCAAATTGGACATATCCGTTCCTGCCCACATGTGTTGTTTTCTCGGTTACAGGTTTGTCTAATATTTGTCCCATGATGATGATAGTTTTATATATAAAATATGAAAAAGACTTGTTTTGATACAATTCGATAAAAACTAGTTGATGTAAGGGAATCTCAAATCGGTGTATTTTTTTCCATTCGGCTGCACAGTCATTTGGCGCCAAATCCTATAATTATTAGTTGGATCTATTTTCGTGTTGATCACCAAGATCTATAGGTACTCCCAACTCATCAAGAAATTCCATTCGTTGACTAGTTTGTCCCCATATCAAACCACAATGAATTTCGAGTATTCAGCATGTCCCCCTTAATAGAATTTCCGAATATGTCACTCCTCAAATGTTACTCCGCAAGATAAAAAAATGGTTCACCACGAACCTGTGATCTCAAACACATCCACAAAGTCGGAACAATTCATGATACCAACAAGAATTAGCGAACAAGAAAATCCAACCACGACCAATAATGAAACTGCAAGTACTATTTCTCACACAATGACTATTCCGATTGAGGAACTTAATGGAAGGAACATGAATGACGATCAATATTCTCAATTTAAAAACAATCTCGATGATCTCGAGGCACAGCAGGAAAGAGAAATTAACAAATTGAAAATTCCTGGATCATTCTATCCAACGGATGTGGATTGGAATATTATTGGCAATTTTTCGGGAATTGAATCCAATGTTCGGAAACAATTGAGAGGAGTTTACATGTTACTGGCTGCCTCTGTTCTTTGTGCCACATTCGGAAGCGCAGTTTCTGTCTTTTACAACTTGCAACCTTCTATTTTGTATAGTCTTGTTTCGATTGGGTTGATAATTTATGTGAACTTTACAAGCTCGATGGCTGGGTTGTTGGCTCTTGGTTTGAGCTTTGGTTTTCAATTAGGACCTCTGATAAGTCTTATAATTACAGACATTGATCCATGGATTCCGCTCTATGCCTTGGTGGGAACAACTTTGATTTTTAGTTGTTTCTCAGTCGCTGCTCACTTCTCCAAACGAAGAAGCATGCTATTCATTGGAGCAACTCTCTCGAGCTTCCTCTCGTTGACAGTGTGGACTCTGTTTTTCTCTCTGATTTTTGGAACATTTGCATTGTATGAAGTAATTTCAGTATATGGTGGTTTGCTGATGTTTTGTGGATATGTGGTTTACGACACTCAAATCATCATAGAACGCTGTCATGCTGGAGATGAAGATCTTGTTCGAATGGCGCTTCAACTTTTCATCAATTTCATTGCTATTTTCGTGAGAATTTTGATTATTCTTTCGAAGAAGAGATCACGCGATAATGAATAAACATCACAAAAACCCAACATTTTGACTTTAGATAATAAGGTTCGTACTTGAGCACCCCAGAATGAGATTTTTTGGAAACAAAAGCATAACAATCGATTGGTTTACTCTCTGTACAGCTTTAATATTGTTCTACAAAACGTGACTCGATAGTCTACATGATTTTATCCACAACATCCTCCACCACTTGATGCTGGCTTGGATGGAGCTCCAGGAGTAATTCCGTGTGACATTGTTGGTTGTGTTGTGATTGGTTGACTTGCAAGTCTGTTCTTAATTTCAGCTGCCATTGTCATGAAAGCTTGTTCTACGTTAGTAGAGTTCTTGGCACTTGTTTCAAGGAAAGGAATGTTCAATGACTTGGCAAATTCCTCAGCAGTGCTACGATCAACTTGCTTCTTTGAGGTGAGGTCACATTTGTTACCGACCAACAACTTGTTCACATTGTCGGATGCATAACGATCAATTTCGCTGAGCCATTGCTTGACATTGGAGAATGAGTCTTGATCAGTCACGTCATAAACAATAATAATACCGTGGGCTCCTCTGTAGTAACTTGATGTCTATTGTCATATCGGAATGCACAATGATATATAATCATCGCAGACGACAACAACAATAATTGGTTTGACCATTCGAAAATATTGGTGACAAAACATGATATCCAATAAAAATCATCAGATTTCACATAATTCGATATTAGGGTGATATGAACTGCAAAGTGTACGTACACTGTTAAACAGAAACAAGTGTAAAAGATAATATTAAACTACGAAAATACTTACATTGTTCTGAATCGTTCTTGGCCAGCACTAATGGAAATATATCGATGGTTGAGTTGAATGTGATTGTAAAGATCTCTTAACGATCTTTGCTGTTACTTACGTATCCCAAATTTGCAACTTTATGGTCTTTCCATCCAACTCAATGGTACGGATCTTGAAATCAACACCAATGGTGCTGATATAACTATCAGTGTAGGTGTCGTCCTACAGTATTGGAAATTGTTGTGTGGTGATGGTTATTGAAGAGCAGTCAAATTTCGTTTCAATTTGTTGTTTGTGTTATTCAAGAAATAACCGCCATCATTAAATCATACAAAGTGTTGTTTGAATAATTTGTTGTGGTTGTTGTTTTGGTAATAATGATGATTCATCAAAATCCAATAATGAGAGAGTTAAACATACAGCAAAACGAAGAAGAAGGCAACTCTTTCCAACACCAGAATCACCTATTTAAATTGAATTCAGCATCATCATGATGATTAAAAATTCCGTGATGGAACGGCCAAAACGTACCAATCAAAAGCAACTTGAACAAATAATCGCTATGTTGGTTAAATTTGATAATTATGAGTATCCGGTTAATGATACAATCATCAACAATAATAATCATCCACCAATACGAAAGAAGTGTTGGTTCAACGAGTCGTCAAAAATAACGGACACCTACTACTCTGGATTCATTGTTATTATTTTTTGTAATTGAGCATTCGACGTGGAAGCGCATGTCGCATTCGTTTCCAAAATATATTTGCAACGGAAAAAAGAGAAAAAGAGCAGGGCGTTCAAATCAGATTCGTGTTCTTGGCATTTGCATTCTCATATGAACAAATGACTGGTAGAAAAATTGAAAAACAGATTTTATGATTTCCATAACGTCTCAAATCATTATTTCAAATTGGAAAAGTACATCACACAAGGCAACGATGTCGGATAATTTGAAATAAAGATTCGGCATCAAGTTTTCGAATTAAGGGTAAAAAGAACTAACTTTTAAAAGATATCTCGAGTGCCGGGAATTGAACCCGGGTCGCCAGAGTGACAGTCTGGAATGCTACCACTATACCACACCCGATTACATTTAGATTTGTTATTTATATATAACAGTCATTTATAGCTTAATCTTTACAATTAAACGGTTTGAATAGAGCAAACAAAAATGAAAAAAGTGAGACCAAACCCAAAATTTCATGTTTTGGGTAAAGTTTATGACCTTCGCTTGAGAAATAAGAATTCTTCAACCTTCAAATCGACATTTTCTGTAAATAGAACATTTCCAACCAGTCACAACCAAGAAAATTTGTACAAATTCCATTTTCATCGCATTGCCTCCTCGGAACGGAGAGATCACACAAAAAACGAAATAATTTTTAAAAGAGATTTTCATCATTCGTTTAACAAATATTACTTTCATCATCGCATACTCCTTGATCAAGATTTTTCACACTCCATCAAAAAATCAACCACTTTACGAGAATTTGAAATGGTCGAATCAAGTCTTCAGCAACAACAAACAGCAAACATTCATCAAGAACATAAACAATTCAAATATACCAATAGATTGGAGAAGGAATCTTCTCCTTATTTATTGCAACATCAGCATAATCCAGGTAAGTGAATAATATATTTGTTTACTTTTTTCAAGATCGAACGAAACCATTGCATGATGATGAAAATGATATTTTTCACCTATGTGGTGGATGCATCAACATGATTCTTTCTCTCATCATGAGACACACAGTGGATTGGTATCCTTGGGGTGAAGAGGCATTTGAAAAGGCCAAACGAGAAAACAAACTTATTTTTCTCTCCATTGGATACAGCACATGGTAAGTAAATTCCATTTTTAGATAAAACTGTTTCATGCTCGAAATAAAACACCATCATCATCAACACCATTCAGCCACTGGTGTCATGTGATGGAACGAGAATCCTTTGAAAATGAAGGGATTGCCAAGATTATGAATGAAAACTGTATGTATGATATGATGGAATGAATTTTGAACGGATCATTCATGTTGTGTGTGAATTTTTTGTAGTTGTCAACATTAAGGTTGACAGAGAAGAGCGTCCCGATATTGATCGAGTCTACATGACCTATGTCCAAATTCAGACTGGTCATGGAGGATGGCCTCTCAGTGTTTTCCTAACACCTGATTTGAGTCCAATCTTTGGTGGTACTTATTTTCCTCCCACAGAATCCATCTATCGTGGAGGAATTTCCTTTCCAACATTGTTGAAGAGAATTGCTACCTTATGGAGAGAACAAGGATCTAAACTTGTAGAACAAAGTGAAAAAACTGTTACCATCATTAAGAAGGCCTTTATTGAGAAGAATTCTCGAGAGGAGAATCAAGCAGCAAGTGCTGAACATATTTTCCAGTATGCTCATGAGTATTTAGCCACTTGTGTAGAGGATTACTTGTCTTCGTTTGATTCTGAAAATGGAGGATTTAGTAAGGCTCCCAAGTTTCCTCAACCTGTGATTTTAGATTTCCTTTTAAGGGAATACTTGGAAGAAAAAGATGAAACTAGAAAATTGGATATTATCAATGCAGTGAATTTTACATTGACTAAAATGGCAAAAGGTGGAATACATGTAAGTACAAATACGGTATGAGAGGTGTAGTAGTTTTGTTCATTCATTGAATATTGAAATGGTTTTTCAATGCTTGAAAATCTTTCTAAACTTCATAATAGGATCAACTTGCTGGAGGTTTTCATCGATATTCTGTCGACAATATTTGGCTCGTTCCTCATTTCGAAAAGATGTTGGTAAGTGTTGTATGAATATAGGATCATTTTTGTAGTTTTGATTCAAATGTTGAAAATACTTGTTGGTATATATTGGTTTCGTGTTCAATGTCATCATCATCTCACATGTGACACACAATGTCACAACTTACATGATTGTGAAACATCCTTACACCTAATTTTCAGTACGATCAAGGCCAACTAGCACTCGTGTACGGAAAAGCATATCTCCTGACTCAAAACAAACTCTTTGCAACGATCATGCAAAAAATTCTTGATTACGTCTATGGAAACATGTCTCTCGAAGAAGATGATGGCACCATTGGATTCTTTTCTGCTGAAGATGCCGATAGTTATCCAACATTCCAATCCACTGAAAAGAAAGAAGGAGCCTACTACTGTTGGGAATATAGAGAACTTACGGACCTTCTTGACACCATGGTTCCAAGCATTGGAGCAGTCAAACCCTCCGAAATATTCAATTACATGTTTGATGTGAGAGAACGTGGAAATATTCCTTTAGGAAGTGATCCTCATGGAGAACTGACTGGTCTTAATATATTATATGAAAAGAGAGATTTAACAGAAGTCAGCCACAAATTTAACACCATCGATTCAGTCACTCTCTCAAAAACCATTGAAGAATGCAAAGAGATCTTGCTGGCAGAGAGAAAGAAAAACAAACCACGACCTCATGTCGATGACAAGATTATCACAAGTTGGAATGGATACATGATTAGTGCCTTTGCTTTGGGCTCTCTCGTTCTTAACAATCAACACTATGCAAACATTGCTGAAAAAGCTGCACATTTCATTTATGAAAAACTTTTTGATCCAGATCGAAAGATTCTCTATCGAAGTTATCGTAAGAATTCACAAAAAGCAATTCCTATTGAGGGATTCCTTTCTGATCATTCGAATATGATTGCAGCTCTTCTTGATTTATATGAAGCAACAGGAAGAACACGTTGGTTGAATTGGGCCTTTGAATTGCAAGCGACACAAGATCGTTTATTGTATGATCCTCAAGATGGAGGATATTTTGAAGAGAGTGGAACGGATAAAAGTGTTCTCTATCGATTGAAAGAATTGCATGATGCTGCAGAGCCGAGTGGAAATAACATGAGTGCCATGAACTTGATTCGTCTTTGCGAGTATGATTTAAATTTGTCCGAGGAATATCAACAACGATTTACCAAATTAGTAGAGTTAAATAGTAGATATATCATTGAACATCCACATACAGTACCTGGATTGATGTCAGCATTGGGAAGATTTGTATCCGATCGAGAGATTAATATTGCCTTTGTGTTTGATCAATCGGTCACAAATTTGAAAGAGGTCATTCAATACGTCGTTCATCAATCGACCCCTTCGCAAAGAACATTCATCTATGTGAATAAGGATGATCCTGAATGTGTGGATTTAATCGAAAAAAGATTACCTTATTTGAAAGATGCCAAAGTCTTGAACAATATGACCACCATTTACATTTGTAAAGATTTCACTTGCCAACTTCCAACGACCAATCCACATGACCTTGTCAAACATGTTTCATCTCAATAATTATTCTCCTGAATTCCATGCCATTTGATGATAATTAAATTTCTGTGTAAATTAAAACATGCAATTTCAATAAGGGATTCCAAAATAATTCTAAAAACAGAGATAATTCAGAAATCATTTCATACTTTCGAATTTCAAGCCTGAACATTCTCTACAGTGACCATCAAAATGAACGACATGGAGTTCCCGCCTTATATTCACATTCCACAGTTAAGGAATTGGACATTCTTGTTGATAGAGTCTTTTTGTAAGTTACGACCTCTTCACAAGATGGTCCCAACCAAACTCCCATTTCACCACTGACCAATTTATAAAGAAATATAGAACTTGACCATTTCAAACCTTTCAGGTCCTGCCAAAGTGGTTGTGACCTAAATCCAAATCGATTTTGTTCTCAGTGTCGTTCTTGGTGAAAAATACTCTCAGTACTACAACAGAAGTAGTTTACCTAAACCTGACAAGGAACCAAAACTTGTCATTGGAATTTCAAAGATATAAATTCATGAAATCGATCGTAGCCCTTCACCTATGTGCTGTCATTACGATGGTGTGTTCAATCTTCACAACATTTCAAAAAGATTGTAACAACCAACTCTTCTTGTGTTCATTGCCACAGTTTGTTACATCCATAGACACAAGTATGGTTCTTCCTTCATCCACAAGGGCATCTCCTCCTCTTCTTCTTGGGGAGGAATCCACAACCACAGTTCACACTCATCATCATTCTGTTGGAGAAGTGTTTGGAATCACCGTCACCACTACGGATTATCAATCATGGCTCGAAGATGAGGATTCACATCAACAACCTCTTCATGTGGAGCATTCCAAAAAGACGCCATTGCAAGCTGAAACCATGAATTTCAACCACCAACCAGAATCCTCTTTCAATACGAATTACAACAAAAAAGAGAGTTCCAGAGATGAAGAATTGAAACCATCATTATCATCAACACATGTTAGCGCATCGGCCAACAACGTACGATCGTTTTGGTTCATCTTCTTTTGGTTGTGTGCCCTGCTGACTCATCTCATCATGTCCACCAATCAGGTCATTTCAAGATATCTTCTTCACTATGGAGGAAAACAAATGGCCATTCAACCCTATACCTTGTTGTGTTTATCCAACTTGGGAGCACTTCTACTGTATACTCCTCGAATGCTTTACAAATATGGTCGAGTGAGTGCCATTGAAAAGGTCAAGTGGAATATTCGACAAGCAGGAGGATTTGGAAAGTTATTATATCGCCATCGAAAGGTAATCGGAATGATGTGTTTGTATCAAATCTCGATTGTGCTTGGTTCGAGTTTGAGAGAATTTGCCACCTTTTTTACATCCTCCACTTATGTGCAATTGATCTTGCTGACTAGTCCTTTCATTATTTGTTTTATGGGAATTGTTGTGTTCAAAACTGAAAGGTTTTCATGGTTGGATTTGTGGACCTTAATCTTTACAGTGACTGGTGCTGTCATGATCATTTTGGCAAGTGCCACTCGAGTCACAGAAGATGCGAATGGAAATCCAGTTGAATTTCAATGGAAATGGTGACCAGATTTCTCTCAAATTGGACGTGGATTTAAATGGCCCAATGATTTCGTTGGTATGGTCATTGCATTGCTTTCAAGTTTCTTCTTTTCCATGAAATTGAATGCAGTCAACAAGTTGGCTCCTTCCAAAACAGGAGAAGAACAAATCTTAGCAACAAATTCGTCTTGCACTTTGAATAAGGCAGCAACAACCTTAACCACATCATCCACCAAGGACGGTTTTGAAGAAGGTGTCATAAACGGCTCCAAAGAGGGCGTCAATGATGTTGTCGGCACTGGCAATCCTAATACTTCCTCTCATGTTTCCACTTTGAGAGAACAAGTTTTCATGGTAGAAACTCAATCGAGTATGGCTCTCGTCCCAACCACAAGTGGCCAAACCCTTACCAAAGTACGTGAATGTGATGTTGATCAGGTGGATTCAGTTCTAATGGAAACACAGAGTCAAGCTTCTGATGATGAATCGGCTCATTCAGGAGCTTCTATTGAGGCACACTTACTTGCTTCTCGATATCGAGCAAAACAAGAGGAATGGAACAGTGATGATCATCTTGTTGATCGAGAAAGGACGACAATGAACGACCTTCATGAAGATCCCTCTCCTCAACCTTCAACACATTTTCAAACCCACCATGAAGAGAATGATGATGGGAATGATGATGCACCTGAAATCTCTCCCGAAGATTTGTTCTACATTCAAAAGTATTTACTTGTCTTGTGGCCCCTCATACCCATGTTCATGTATCAAGATTGGACAGTCTTTACACGATACGACACAATTCGGTGGCTCATGTTCATTTGGTTCATGGTGATGAATCGTTTGGTAGCCGCCGTGTTGGAATTGTGGAGTGCCAAAGAGATTGGAAGTTCGAATTATTCCATCATGTTTCCCATTCGTATTGTGATTGGTTTGATTCTCTCATCCGTCGTGTTGGGAGAATGGATTGATAATTTGGTTTCCATTTTGGGATGTGTGGTTGTGGTGGCAGCCATTACGGCTTTTTCCATAAAGAAACATAGCAAGTAGTGTTTAGGAAGATGTGGTGGAATGATCATTAATGATCTCTTTCAATCTGAAACAAATTTACTTGGACCTTTTGACAGTTTTCGATTGTTAAGGATGATGAACCTTCTTGCGCCTTAAATATTTATTCATGTTCCATTCAATTGTGTTTCACAACAAACATAAATACGTTAATTATGTCGTATCAAGTTCCTTGTTCCAAAATCCATCAAACGCATGATCAACGAAGGAGATGAACTTTCAAATAAAAAATTCAGGGATGGGTTTATTCGATGATAAACGTTGTTCGATGGTTTTATGTACAATATTTACAAGCCGAACGTAAGATACGTAGTGACTTCCTAGCAGGCACCCCGGAAGTAAAGGTGTTTAAACTGCTCACGATAACAGCAGCAACCCCTGGGATTCGAACGCTGGACCAGTTGGCTGCCAGTTCCAGAAAAACCACTCGGCCATATGCGGGCAGCTAACTTTCAAATAAAAAATGAACTCGGTCGCTCATGATTGTGCTTTGGGATTGTTATTAGGAACCGCCGTTGGTGATGCGTTCGGTATTCCCTATGAATGTAAATCCTATCACGAAATTAAAAAGATGAGAGAAAATTCGCAAAATAATTCCGATGATGATGCAACTGTTAATCCCTTTATTAAGTGTACGGATCATCCTTTCATTCCAGAAAATTTCAAACCTGGAGAATTTACAGATGATACACAATTAACTCTTGCCATGGCAAGAGCTTTATATAGATTCACCAGTGAAATGAAAAATTCCAATTATGAAACAACCGATCTTTCAAAACAAGACATTTTCTTGCGAACATTCATGCCACTTGTGGTAGAAGAGCACGTTCTAGAATTTAAAAAGTCCATTGTTGGATGGGGAGGAACAAGGAACGCGATTCAAAGATTATCCGAAGGAACACATGATTTCAAAACAAGCGGTAACGTAGGAGCTAAGGGAAATGGTGTGTTGATGAAATTAGCACCGTTGTACTTTTATTATTTTCATCGTGTGTTACAGTTGACACCTGGTATGAATTCGGAGGATGGAATTCGTATTATTGAAAAAGCTTCAGAAGAATGGATGGATCAACAATTGCACACAATTACTATAATGACGCACAACACAGAGTCTTGCATGATCACTACTTGCATTCTTGTTCGTTTTGGATTACTGGTACAATTATTTGGAGATCAATTCGTTCATCACAAAATGGAAATTATCAACAACTTGATTGGTTATTGCAAAGAATTAGAAAAGAAAGTACTATCCAACAATGAAGAACATGAAATTTCTTGCCGTTTACAACTTTTGAAAGAAAATTTAGAACATTTGCAAGACGACACCACATTGATTCAAGTGAGCAATGAAGGAACTTATGAAAGTGTCAACAGTTTGATCATGGTGATTGGAGTTATTCTTTCGTTGAATGTAAGCGAATCGAAACCATTCAAACTTGTATTAAGGGCAGGAACCATTGGAGGAGATTGCGACAGCAATGCAGCAATGGTTGGCGCCTTGATTGGAACAGTGTTCGGTAAATCCGTACTTCCTCATTCATTTATCACACACTTGATCGATCGTGACAAGCTAATGGAGGAAGCAGCACAATTTGCTGAAGCATTGGAAAAGACCAGGTAAAGAAATTCGAAGGAATAATATTATTATTCTATTGGTTATTATTATAATATTATAAATCAAATTCAAACTTTTATTTGTTATGGGTTGACCAAATCATTGTTCATTTCATGAATTCATGGATGCCTGTCACTTAATAATTGAATAATTTCATGAGTAACTCCGTCATCTTCAAAGAGATGTATGACTGTTACAAGATGTCATTGTGTCCATTGTTACAAATACTTTTTCGTTTCATTGCAAATTTCAATCGTTTCAAATTCTCTCCAATTGGCGCCAAAATTTTCATTCAATCAACCGCCTCAGTAAAACGTTTTGAGGCAAAAATGAAAAAAAATGTATCGCGAGTCAACGATGGACAGCAGGCATCGTCCTCAACACAATTGAGAGCTCCTTCTTCCTCCTCTGCTGTTATCGGTAATGATCCGTATGCCATGATGAAAAAATCGGGATCTTTCAACGTGAAGAATGGCATGAATCCGTCATTATTTGGATCTATTTTTCAAAAAGTGAATACAGCTCTAGACGCGAATATTCCAACAACAACCACTTCTAGTGTTCCGAAAACGCAAGCAGAAAATTCATCAAAGAAAGAGTTTTCCGAACATCAAAACACATTCAATCAGAGAGATTCCAGGTCAAAACAACAAACAACGATTGAGGAAACAGAAGAGGAGACTTCCAGTGATGAAGAGGATAGCATGGATCGAATTAAAACTTTGGATGAGTTTGAGGATTTTTCTGAAAGTGACAAGGATGATGACGATTACTCGCCAAATGTTGTCATTGTAAACAAAAATACTTCGAAACCCTCATCATCCCAATTCGAGCAAGCATTGGCATCCGGTCACTCTAATAACAGCAATCCCACAAACAATTATCCTTCCACCAGCAATGTATCAAAAAAAGAAACAAGATCTAATGTAATGAATAACAAGAAGCAACCGTCAACTACTTTCCAAGCTCCTCATGACACTTCTATACATGATCTTGAAGATCTTGAAGAATTTAGTGACTATGAAGATGATCATGTGTCCCATTCAGCTCACGAAGATGATTCAGTGGTGATTGAGGAAGAAGAAGTTGTGGAACCTGAAAAATCATCACTCATTGAAGAAGAACCTCTTCATGAACATCATGAGGAGGAAGATGAGGAATTTAGTGATTTTGAAGCTCCGAAAGAAGATTCATTTGTTGAGGAATTTGAAGATTTTCAAGATTCTGAGAGTGAACAATTGGATGACTTTAATCCAGAAGAGTTTGACGACTTTGAGGACAACACTACAGTGCAACCATCAGTGACATCGAGCAACGCTTCTTCCAAGATTATTAACATTCCAACTCAACAACAGCAACAACAACGGATAACACAACCTTCAAGTAACAGGACGACACCGATCACAGACAACACAAAGAAAGAGTCAAAGAACCAAGATGTTCCTTCTCGCACTTCAGTGACAAGTGCCACTAAGGAACTACCTGAATCCTCCTTCGTAGCAGACAGTTCAGCCAAACAAGAATCACGGCACAGTGAAATCCCAAAAATTTCACCCATTCCTGTTCTTAAAAAACAATCATCTACAATGGATGTCATAACACAAGCAAAGATTCAAGATGTATTGCCGCAAAGGCAACAAGAAACTCTCATCCCAAAGAAAGAGGTCAGTTTGCAAAAAGAATCTCCAAAAGAAACCGACATTCAACTCAATGAAACATCAACACAACCAAAGGTTATTATTACCAATGACAAACCAGCGTCACCATCACTTCCTAAACAAGCTGATCAAATATTTATTGAGATACCATCCTCCAGAAGTGTTTGTGTTGGAACCGATTCGAATCAAAAAACATCAACAGCCAAGAGTGCCGAAACTACAACACAAACCGACTCATCACTTCTTCGCCAGGCACCTCCAACCTCAACACCTCCCTTTCAAAACCCTTCAAATCAACCTTCATTTCCTCAACCTTACATGTACAGCCCGTATTTTGTTCCATTCAACTATCAATATTATTGCCCTCCTCCCGTTCATGTATTCAGACAACCACATTTCGCAGATGTTTATTCAAAACGGTTCGACTTTTCACATCATCCATTCAATTCCTATCAATCAACTGCTCATTTGTCAAAACCTTCTGAACACACGTCACAACCAAAGCAAGACAGCACTTCTTCATCATCTCACACTTCATGCAATATCAAAGCAACGAATAGCAACTCCCAAACGTCATTTCCTAAAGAAACATTTAAACCCTACGTTCCTCAAACGAAAGAGCTTTTCCAAAGAAATGAGAAAGTGGATCAACAATACAAATCTCTTCGAAACAGTCTCTCCTCGTATGTGGATAACAACAATGTGGTAAAATCTCATGTTCGAGAACAGCACGAAAGAAACTCTCACAACATCCGAAGAGAATTAGCTGAGATTAAACAACTTTTGAAATCCACCAAAGAAGATTTGAGCCATCTGCTGTACAGCAGCAACGCACGTCCTCAGTATATCGAAAATAGCAACAATCCTGCATGTGGAATTCCATCGCCCTTCAATGTCAATTCGAATAATATTTTGTTTTCACATGATGAACACACAGGAAGACGAGAAGGAGGCTACACCAATTTGGAAAAAACTTTCAACCAATGCAATCCATATTCCACAAGATCGAAAGATGATCCAATACCTCATCCACGTGCACAGCATCGACAACATGAGAATTCATCCATTGTTCAATAATGTGCAGAACTATTCTTGTTGAATCCACACAGACAAGATGAGTATTAATAATTATTTATTCGAAGTGACAAATTCCTTAAACCTCTCAATCCTCTCATGATATTCATTCATCCATTTTTGAAACTGTTCTTCTTCCTGCTCACTCATGACCTTACTATACGCAAGAAAATCCTCCAACAACTCGCCCTCTAGCTCAACACATTCAGTCAAACCATGAAATGAGTCGACGGAAAATCGACTAAATAAATCCATCGTTTGGGCTTGTTCCTTCCACCAATTTTCAATTTTTGTCATGGTCTCCAACCTACCTCTTAAATGTAGGAGTAATTTCATGTTAAATTCTTTCAATTCTTTAGCGGAATACCTTTTCAAAGCATCTTCATTTTGTGTTCTTCCAAATTTGACAAGTGACACTCCACTTCGGGTAGGATCCTTTATTTCAAACACATAGAACGTATTCGGAACATCACTGGTCCATTTCAACTCACTGCCCTTAAATCTCTCAACATTATTTCGATGATGCAATACACACGATGGGCAATAATAATCATTATTGCAAATAATTTGAATGGGAGAAGGATACCATTGACGTCCACATTGTTTCGATAGACATGCATGTTTAACGTTGGAACGAAGACCTTTGAAAGGTCCCAAACGTCGCATTCTTTGTTCCTTTACAATTTCTAAAAAGGCATCGTAGTGCTCTGCTGTGGAAATGAACGAAGGAAGATCAGAAGAGGAACAAGTAGTTGCTGTGGAAGCAGAAGAGGATTCTGATGAAGAGGTTTGTTGTTGTGAATCTATTAGTAGGATTTGACTACCAGACGAATGTTGCGAATTTAATGGACTAGAAGAAGTCAGCATCCTTTGATTGCTGGGTTGGCTGGTGACATCGGGATTAGAATCTGTAACGAGAGGTTGAGTTGTTGACATGGTTAACATTTTTTTTCGATGAATTCAAAGAAATCTCAACATCATGAGCTTCACAACTTTCACCCTCAAAAAAATTCGAGCAAACGCAAGAAGCGAAAAGTCACACGCAAAGAGTTGAAGATCTGCATTCTGCAATGACTTTGGAATAATTTAAGAGCTAATAACTTTGAACATCGTCCAGTCGGAGGGTGCTATGAGCTCCTTTATTTTCTCTAGAATTTGTTGGAATGGCGATGAATGACACACGAACGTGTTGCATTACAATTACATGATAATTTGACCTGGTTCTAAAATATCTTCAGTAACAGTCTTGTGGGGCAACAATTTCAAATTGTTAACAAATACTTCATCAGCAACATGAGTGTCCTCTCCTAGAACTGTCTCATTGGCAATTCTTGACCATCTTCCAACAGTTGACTTCCAGCCGATAATTGATGACTTCACCAAGGCATGATCTTTGACTTGTGAAGACTCGAAAAGAGTTGATCTGGTAATTCTTGCTCCTTCTCCAATAATCACGTTATCTCCAATGACAACATTTGGTCCAATAACAGCTCCTCTACCGATCTTTACATTTTCTCCCAACAAAACACTGGTTTCATTGATAATTTTGTATGATCCATCTTCTGGATTCTTGGCAAAGTGTTCTGAGTTTTCTCGCAAATGTTTTTCGCTGTTCAAATACATACACATTCCGGTAATATAGTCCTTTGGTTGTCCAATGTCCATCCAGAAACCCTTCAAATCCATTGCATAGAGTTGCTTATCTCGGGCCATAAGAGGGAAAATTTCTCTCTCAATACTTGTTGGTCTCAATTCAATTCTATCGAGTACATTAGTAGAAAAAACATAAATTCCTGCATTGATTCTATCGCCAACAAATTGTTTTGGCTTTTCCACAAACTTTTCAATTTCTCCTTGTTTGCCATCTTGTGTAACAACTACACCATACTTGCTTGGATCATCAACCTTGGTAACCATAATTGTTCCTTCCTTTCCATGATTTTTATGATAAAGCAATAATTCGTCCAAAGAGTATTCACAAATGACATCGGAGTTCAACACAAAGAAGTATTCAGTGTTATCAGCACTCAAAATGTCCCTAGCAAGAGCCAATGGGCCTGCTGTTCCCAGAGGTTCGTTCTCAACAGAGTATGTGATTTTGACTTGATACTTTTCTTCGTACTGTTTCATGGCATCAATCATTTCTTGTGGTTTGTAGTTTACGGCAAGCACAATCTCCGAACATCCGGCCTTTTTCAATGCTTCAATTTGATGTACCACAATAGGCTTGTTAGCAAAGTGAATCAAAGGCTTTGCAGTGGAGAAAGTGAGAGGTCTGAGTCTGGTTCCGTAACCACCGACAAGAATGCTATTGTGTTTTTATACGGAATATAACGGCGAGTGATGAGAGTGCAAGAGGAGTATTCATTGTTTTCATTTCATCATCACGAGCAAGGAGTACCAACAAATTATTGTTGTTCGGATAATTAGACGTGGATTTAGGTGAACATTCCAAGTGGGAAGATCACAATAGGATCAGTCATCACAAACAAGAAGTTTTGTTCATCCATTTAACAATAAATCATTGGAAAGAGAGGTAATAACAAGACCAGAAATTTACAATGACGGATCACTCTCACATCCATTCCGAGAGCAAAACTTACAGTGCCTTAACGGTCATTTTTTTGTGTTTGTCGTTGGGTCGTAGAATCCAAAATCCACGTGTATGCTCAATCAAAGAACTTTTCATAAGAACAATTTATTGACGTGAAATGAAAAGGGTGGTGATTTTGTTTGTTGACCTATGTGTGCATGAAACTGGAATCCGTGTTTGGAAGTGTTTGCTCTAGTGTTCGGTGGTGGAGGCTGAAGAGGATTCCATAATTCCGGTTGGAGACGATGCTGAGCTGGCCTCTTGTTTCTTACTGTTGATATTGTCCAATAGGGCAAGGATAATGCCTTGTACATCTGAAGCATTGGCTGGAGGTTGTGATGTGTTATTCGTGTTGCTCATTCCGCTGTTGTGGCTTGAGGTGTTATTGTTGTTGCCTCTATCGGATCGATTGTTGTTTCGGAAGTTATCATTTCTTTGACGATTGTTGTTTTGTCGATTGGATCTGTTGTTGTTGTGATATCCTTGTTGATTCGATCTATTGCTCGTGTTGTTGCCTGTGTTAAAAGATGTTGATGGAAGTGGCTGTTGTTGTAAAGAAGGTAAAGTATTGCTCAACATGGCTGGTTGCATTCCGACAGTACCTGGGAAAGCAAGTGTCGATGGTTGAGTGTTCAAAGTTGTTGGAAATTGTTGATTGTATTGCTGATAGACAGATGGCACCACGACAGGTGTTTGTGAAGAATTAAGAATGAAAGAGCATACGTCAGTGATCGATGTATCAGCAAAGCCTATGTAAAATTAACGAAAATATTAGAATATTAGAGAAAATGTTAAAATACTACATACCTGGCGATGTTCCATCTTGCATGATGGCCTTGAAAGAAACAATATTCTTTGCTTCCTCGTGTCTTGCTGTGACACATATGACGTATCTTTCATTGGCGATCATTTGGAAGAATTGAGGAGTAGCAAAGAAATACTCTCCTTGATTAGTATTACGAATGTGAACATTATAATACATAAGTCCGTTCGATTTTAGAGTTTGCAACACAAAGTTTGCATACTTCTCGAGTGATTGATTGGGAATGTAAATGGGCACAGATGTTGCACTACTAGCAGTGGAATATGGAGATATGGTTGGTACGGTTGAAAGGAGTGGGTTAACACTCAAAGAACGTTGTTGATTCGAATCCATGCCTAGTGCAGTGTTTGATGAAACGTTTCCGATGTGATCCCGTTTGGTTTTTTTGTTGTTATTACGTCCATCTCGATTTCGATCATTGTTTCTATCTTTACCGTCTCTTCGTCCATCTCTGTCCCTAGAATCTAGTTTTCTCTTGTTGTCCTGGTTCTTCTTTTGAGAATTGTTTGGACCTTTTGCCATTTGGACATCTATTCTTTTCGAACAGAGTTGAGTACCAGATAAAGTTGCGATGGCCTTTAAACAGCTCTCTTCATTATCGAATTGAATGAACGCATAGCCTGGATGAAGACGAATTTCATCCACGATTTTACCACACTTGGAGAAGGCTTCATACAGCTGTTCCTTTGTGGTTTTAAAATCAAGATTACCAGCAAATATTCTATGACGAAGACCGGATGGAGAATCAACACTATTTGTGTTGTTAGTATTTCCGCTGTTGCTGGTTGTTTCGGCGGTTGTTGAAGATGGTGGTGATGATGGAGAGTTATTGCTACTCATGATGATGATGACTTAGAAAAACAGTATGTTATAGTAACAAACAGAAATTAAACTTGTTGAAGTTAGAATGAGAGTGATGAAACCAAAGTAATTCACAGATCGTTGTTTAACGTAATTGTTACTCTCGCGTCGATGATTAATGATGATGATTCACAGGGTAGCTTCAAATCGAATTGATTTATTTTTTTGAAAAATAATTCTTTTACAACAACAAACGGTGTTCTCTTTGTGCGCAATCTTCAAATTATTTGTATCCTAGCATGGGTCCCAATCTCTTCTCAGCATAATCCATGTCTTGCCAGTTCTTTCTCTTCATATAATCTTGGACTTGATCGAAATTAATTTTACCAACAGCAAAGTATTTGGCTTCTGGGTGAGCGAAATACAAGCCACTCACAGATGCTGGAGGCCACATGGCCAAACTGTTATCAATCAATTTGATTCCAGTTCTTTCAGTAATGTTGGCAATTCGCCACATGGTTTCCTTTTCGGTGTGGTCTGGCTGAGAAGGGTAACCTGGTGCTGGTCTAATACCTTGATATTTCACTCTTAAAAGATCCTCCGTATCGAACTTTTCTTCAGGTGAATATCCCCAATACTCTTTTCTCACAATTTCATGCAACAATTCAGCAAATGCTTCAGCCAATCGATCAGCAAGAGCTTTAACCATAATGGACGAGTAGTCATCATCTTCTTGTTGATATTTAGTTGCAAGTTCTTCAGCACCGAAAATAGAAACAGCAAATTGACCAATATAATCATTCAAGCCAGTGCTCTTGGGAGCAATGAAATCAGACATGCACAAGTATGGTTCGTCTTCATTTTCCTTTTCAGCTTGTTGACGAAGTCCGTAGAAAGTACCGATAACCTTCTTCTCTTCTGGAATTGTTGGGTCATAAATTTCAATATCATCCACACTCTTCTCTTCATTAACGTTTGCAGGATAGAATCCAACAATACCTCTAGCAACAAGCTTCTTATTTTCAATGATATCCTTCAACATCTTTGTGGCACTGTCGAAGAGTTTCTTTGCTTCTTCACCAACATCAGGATCGTTGAAAATCTTTGGATACCCTCTGTGTGGATATTTACCCTTGATTTGCCAAACAGAGAAGAATGGAGTCCAATCGATGTGAGAAACTAATTGATCGAGTGGGAAGTTGTCCAAAATTTTTTCACCCAAGAATGTTGGGGCCTTAACAGGAGGTTGTTTCTCCCAATCGATCGCAAGTCTTTGTTGTCTGGCGTTTGCAAGAGTTTGGAAACGTCTTTCAAGTAATGAGTCATAGTGTTCATTTCTAAGTTCTTCATAGAGCTCGTTGATTTCTTCTACGTATTCATCCTTCAAATTCTTATCTAGCAAACTTGAAACAACGACAACACTTCTACTGGCATCTAAAACATGAATACATGGATGTTCGTATTGAGGACAAATCTTGACAGCAGTGTGAGTTCTAGATGTGGTGGCACCACCAATCAAGAGCGGACATGTTAGACCTGCCTTTTGCATTTCCTTGGCAACGTGGCACATTTCATCCAGGGAAGGTGTGATTAGTCCAGACAAGCCTACAATATCGACTTGTTTTTCCTTAGCTTCACGAACAATAACATCAGCATTGACCATGACTCCCAAATCAATCACTTCATAGTTGTTACATGCCAACACAACACCCACAATGTTTTTACCAATGTCATGTACGTCACCCTTAACAGTAGCTAACAGGATCTTACCATGAGATGAAGAGGTAACTTCACCCCGTTGACGACGTTCTTCCTTCTCCTTCTCCAAGAATGGAATCAAGTATTTGACTGCCTTTTTCATGACACGAGCACTCTTGATCACTTGAGGCAAAAACATTTTACCAGAGCCAAACAAATCACCAACGACATTCATACCGTCCATGAGTGGACCTTCAATAACCCTAAGAGGAGAGCTGGCTTGTTGTCTTGCCTCTTCAACATCTTGATCAATGTATTCCACAATACCCTTAACCAAAGCATGTTTTAATCTTTCGCTAACGCTTTGTTCTCTCCATTTGAGCACTTCCTTTTGCTTTGGTCCATCGATGTCTTCGCCGAGTGCTTGTTTTTCTCTCAGTTCTTGAGCAAACGACAACAAATTTTCAGTTGCATCTGCACTCTTGTTCAAAATGGCAGCCTCGCATAGTTCTAAAACTTTTGGATCAATTTCATCATAGATTGGCAATGCGCCAGCGTTTACAATACCCATATCCATTCCTTGCTTAATGGCATGGTACAAGAAGACGCTGTGCATGGCTTCTCTTACAAGATTCAAACCACGGAAGGAGAAAGACAAGTTAGAGACACCGCCAGACACTTTGGCATATGGAAGATCGTTCTTAATTCTCTTAACTGCCTCTAAAAATTCAACACCATAATTATTGTGCTCCTCAATACCAGTGGCAATTGTAAGAATGTTTGGATCAAAGATAATATCCTCAGGATTAAATCCAACTTTGTCAACCAAAATTCTGTAACTTCTAGTACAAATTTCAACCTTTCTGTCAGCGTCTGCAGCCTGTCCCTGTTCATCGAAGGCCATAACCACAAGTGCAGCACCGTACTTTTTAACTTTCTTTGCTTTCTCAATAAAATCTTTTTCGCCTTCCTTCAAACTTAGAGAATTGACAATAGATTTACCCTGAATACACTTTAAACCTTGTTCAACGACTTCAAATTTTGAGCTATCAATCATGATTGGAATTTTAGAAATTTCCGGTTCACTCATAATTAAATTAAGGAATTTTCTCATGCAGTTCTTAGAATCCAAAAGACCTTCGTCAAAGTTAATGTCAAGAATTTGAGCTCCTGCTTCGACTTGATTTCTGGCAATTGACAATGCATCTTCAAACTTGTTTTCTAAAATTAATTTCTTGAAGCGAATGCTTCCTGCAACGTTACATCGTTCTCCAATATTGATAAAATTGGAATTCTTTGTGTAAATCATTGGTTCCAATCCAGATAATTTCAAATCATGAGTTGGTTGTTGTGGTTTTCTAATATGTGGTGGTTTGTATTGAGCTGCTAATTCAGACAAGGCCCTGATATGGTCTGGTGTTGTACCACAACAACCACCAATCATGTTGACAAGTTTTTCGTCAAGAAATTCTTTCACTTGTTGAGCCATTTCTTGTGGAGTTTGTCTATATTGACCCATTTCGTCTGGTAAACCAGCATTTGGATAGGCATGAGTGTAGCATTCTGCAATGTTTGACAATGCACTAATGAAAGGTTTCATTTGTACAGTTCCCAAAGCACAATTTAGACCCATACACACCATATTACTATGCATTAAACTAATGTAGAAAGCCTCAGTGGTTTGTCCCGATAATGTTCTTCCCGTTTGATCTGTAATAGTACCAGAAATAATAATCGGAATATCAGCATTATTCTTCTCCAGGTAATCCATGCAAGCATAGGCAGCAGCCTTTGCATTCAAGGTATCAAAGATGGTTTCAATCAAGAGGATATCAGCTCCACCATCAACTAAACCACGAACTTGTTCAAAGTAAGCCTCATACAAGTCATCAAAAGTAATGTTTCTGAATCCGGGATCTTCCACACTTGGTGAAATGGAAGCAGTCTTATTGGTAGGTCCGAGGGCACCCGCAACAAAACGAGGCTTACTCGGAGTGAGTTGAGTATATTTGAGAGCAGCTTTCTTTGCACATTGTGCTGCACAATAGTTCAAACGATAGGCAAGTGATTGAGCCTGGTAATCGCCTTGTGAGATGGTTGTGGATGAGAAGGTGTTTGTTTCAATGATATCAGCACCAGCTTCTAGATACTTTTCATGGATTTCTATAATGATTTCTGGCTTGGTGATGCACAAAATATCATTGTTGCCTTTCAAATCGCAAGGCCAATCCTTAAATTCCTCGCCTATATTGGTGATTTTGAATGATAATGTTTAAAGTGCCGAAGTAATTGATGTTTTTTTTCACCGTACAATATTGAGAAGGATATTGGAGATCAAAATTAATTCATAAATTAATAATAGAGAGTGGTTGTGATGAAGATAATTGTTGTGGGAATGAGATAAATGTTCCGAACATGGGAAAATTAAAATCCGTTCAAGATTAATGATGATTGATGAACAACATACCTCTAAAATCCGCTTCGCTGAGTTTATACTTTTGAATCATGGTACCCATGGCACCATCGATGATGAGAATTCGTTGCTCAAAGAGCTCCTGAAGTTGTTGACGAGTCAATAGGCCCATGTTGGAGTGAGAATTTTTTGAATCAAACACGAAGCGGTGTCCTCTTTGCCGATGTTGTTTTTTTAATGGTGATGTGTGTTGGAATGTTGGAATTTCAATGAAATCAATGAAGGGTCATCACAGGAGAATATCTACATGCCTTCTGCTTGTTCAAGAGCAATTCTGGCTTAAAACAAAGTAAAGCTTGCAATCATCACAGGATCGTCACGCAAGCCGTGTACAAACTCTGGCATTGAAATTTTACCTCTTTCGTTCTTGTCGAGACGTGAAAAGATTTTGCGACACTTTTCAGACAATTCTTTATCTTCCATGGCAAAATCCTGCTCTGATCCGAGTGAATTGTCAGATATTTGAAAATTACCAAATGTAAAATGAAACAACTGCGAAAACTCAAAGTAATCAATATAACCATTGCCATCTAATCCATGTTGTAATGTGAATGTGCATTCCGATCCGCGGGAGCATGATTCCAAGTACAACAGATAAAGAATGAGAAAAATTCTTCTTGCTATCTTCATCAATCTACAAACCTATATCATAAACTTTAAAAGCAAAGTACAATTTCTCCTCTGGGGTTCCATTTACTCCAATGTTGCAAGCAATTAGAAAATCTTTGGCATCCAAAAGTCCATTTTCATCCTTATCTAGCACATTAAAGATATGATTCCACATCTGTAAATGGCCTCCATGTGCTTTAATGTTTTCCTCAACAAAATCTTCTTTAGTAACTTCACCAGAAGGATATTCCGATAAGAAGACTTGTAGAAAATCTCGAACTTCTCTTTCAGATACTGTTTTCGAAAGGTTGATTCATATGCTCCGATCAGTACAGGGCGTGTTTTTAGAGCGAAATAGAGCTACTTACAGCCGCTGATCGTACTGTACTCTTGCAACTGATCGGGAGGGATGTGTATTTTAGTTTTCGTGTTGCCCATATTTTTTTTGGAAAAGCTATAAACCTTAATATAAGTCCAACGAACTCAAACCAACCATGCATCGTGGTGTTGTTCATCCAAGAAGTGTTGGGAAGAACATTTCACCGACATTGTTCGAAAATTTAACTCAAAAAGACAAAAGTCGAGATGAATGGAATGGAGATGATCATCAATAGTCTTCTACGTCTTCTGCAACATCCACTGGATAGACTATTGATGGTGGATTTGTTCCACTCCTTCAACATGTTCACAATTATTGCCAGAAGAACGACAAATCCTCCAATCAACATGAAAACCATGGTGATAATATCAAAGTGTACTTTCACTTTAAAATATTCGATTTTTAGGGTGAGACAGTTTCTTCAAGGTTTCCACCTCTGAGAATGGATCGTCAGTTTGGTTATCATCGGAAGAGAGGACCACACCATCGTCATCATTATCACCTTCTTTAGAGCCTCCAAGAAGAGCTCTTTCCGTTGCCTTGTCCTTTGCATCTTCTTCCAGTGCGGCAAGTTTTTCAATTTCATCAATATCTAGCTCCAAGTCTTGAATGTCTTGTTGGAGATAGCTTTTATAGATATCTGCATCTTTGATTGGCTGACCACTGAAGGTAATCATGTCAAATCCATCACTACCATCTGTATCCGTAATTCTCTGAAGAGTATTTAGAGGATTCTCTCCAACAATAGATTTTGTATTGTCAACTAGTCCAAGTTTTTCTTCAATGGTAGGAGAAGAAGATGGCTCAAAAGGTCGCTTAATGGTCTTAAACCGAGAAATATCTCCAACTGGATTTACCATGTTTTTTTGTTTGTGATCTGGATTTATCCAACTTGAGTATCCTTTCGAGAATACAAAAACTTCCTCTTCCTCACTCAGCTTGGAAATTTCAACTTCTATTGGAGAAGTATTTTTTCGAATTATTTCTGGAGAACACTTGTCGAATTCGGTCACATATTTAGTCCATCTTTCATCCATATCGTTTCGCTCTACAGCAGGATGTCTCGTTTGTCTGAAATGTTTTTTAAACACATATTTGGCAGGCTTTTTTATGAGAGGAGTGTCAGAGGTGTTGGTTGAGCTTGGTGATGATTGTTCAGAGTTTGCATCTCCCTTTTTCTTTTCCTTCAATGCCTGTAAAGCGTCAAATAGAGGCGCTCGTTCAATTTGGTGTGGCTGAACGAATGACGAGAAGTCATTATTGTTTTTTTCTGGAACTGTTGAATTTTCGAATTCAGGCTCGTTCTTTTTCGGCTTGTGATACTCAGCGCTTCTCAATAATTTCTCTCGCTTTTTCTCCGTGTTTGTTTGTTTAATTTTTGAGAACACATGTTGCATGGCTATTTTGTCATCATCAATTCCATGCTTCAAGCAACAATTCGAATGAAATGTTTTCGATGCATACTGGTAAAAGCCACCATCATTTTGAAATTCAAAAAATTCCTTTCTCAAATATTGGTGCTCGTTTCTAAATTTTAATGATAATAATAATTTATCGAAATGATAAGTCTTCCGAAGCAGCCTTCCAATCGTTACGCAATCACATTTCAAAAAAAATTCGACTTGACGTCTTGCCATTTTTTTGCATCGTTCAAATTTTCAAGATTTTCACTCGGGACACAAGCGATCATCTTCAATAACAATACTAGAATCGATCATACTCTTCCGAATCATTAGAAGTTGTTGCAAAAATCAATAATCATATATTTTAAAAATCAATTCATTGGCAATAGATTCCTATTTAATCACCACAAGCGTACACACATCATGGTCCTCCTAAGCACCACACTAGCTCTAGATGTTCTTCAATCGTTTTTATATGCTCTGATTGGCCCATTTGGTGCCTACGCCAACCCATTTGGATTCTCTACTTTTGATTTGTATCTAATGTCTCTCTTCTTTATCATGTTTTGTCCCATGAGTGTCATTCCACTCTTGTTTTTAGGGGTGAGAGCTCCATATGGAAAGTTTGCCTTGACCAATGCCAAAGATGAAAACAAAGGACTCGAAGGTTCCTCATTCAACCGTGCTGCCATGAATTTTTACTCCAAGTTTGATTTGGTTGTGACTAATGGAAAATTGGCATTTGCATTCCAAGAAACATTCTCACTCGTACTCTTCTTTTATGCTTTCTATGCATATGCACCAAGTATTGATGTGTTGATGAATTCGGGCAGTATGGTTACCATTCAACAAGTAATTGCATCGTTGATGTTTGTTTTGCATTACATCCATCGAGCATTCATCTTTACACTTGTGAGAACTCATAGCATGAGCCCATCTTCTCTTTCCATTGTCATGATGGCTGCTTCTTTCTGTGCTGCAAATGGATATTTGAATTCTAAGGGCATTTGGGTTTACCATGATGGTACCCAGACAAGTAATTCCGACTTTTCCTTAATGCAATTTGTGGTCATGGCATTAGGAGTAGTGTTCTATGTGGTCGGTTTTTACATTAATTACCAATCTGATGAAATTCTCATTCGATTAAGAACTCAAAATGATCATCCAGTCGACATCGGAGCGACCACAACATGTGGCTCAAAGAAAAAGTACTTTATTCCATATGGTGGCCTCTATTCACTTGTCAGCTCTCCCAATTACTTTGGAGAGTTCATTGAATGGTTTGGCTATTTTATGTTTATCCAAAATCGGTTTGCGTTTTTATTTGTTATTTTAACTCTAAGTAACCTTCTTCCTCGTGCAATGCAAACTCATAACTGGTATTTGGAAAAGTTCGGTCTCGAGTATCGCAAGCTGAACAGAAAGGCCTTCATACCATATCTATTATAAACTTTTCAACACATGATTGATCTTTGGAAAATCTACTTTGCTTTGGAAATGTTGCATCCAGAAATTTTACATTTTTCGCAAGTTTTAGAAAGGGTCTTTTTTAGTGGATTTCTTTTATTCGTTGGACGTGGACATTGTGAACGTTCGAAGAGAGAGAGAGTGTGTCTGTGGTGATTCATGAATTGATTGCTGTGTGTGTGTTGTGTTCGTGCACCGACCTTTATGACAAGAACAACGATCGTGCACAACGACTCATGAATGCACCGGTTTGGTATGAAGTGCAAGTGAGCACCTTTCTATTTTACAGTTTTGAAAAAAAGACAACACCACCATTACTACAAGCTCATACAAGAAAACCACAAAATTCGTCTCACTTCATTCAACACGTACTAATTGGACAACACAATATTTTCAATACGAACACTACTAGTATCAGTCGCATTTGCTTCTTATTCTCAACAACTGCAACATCAAGCAACCATTACAAGAAACTCATTGCAGTAGCATTGCAATAACAACAACAACAGCACTTAACGATCATCACTTGGAACAACTGTAAACACACAACATGGGTCAAACCACCAGTGCAGATGTATTCACTTCGCGTTCTGCAGGTGTTTTAAACATCATTCCAGAAAATGTCTGGGAACGACAAATACACATGCGTCAAACCAATCACAAAGTAAATACCAATCCAGAGGAGTATTCCCTTGTTCTCAAAGATGGAAAGCTTAAAGATCCCAACAACAGCAACAACAAGACTAACTCAACCAAACGACCAATGAAACGAAAAAAGAGAAAGCCTCGTCCAGCGATGGTGGAAGCAAGAGGAGAAGGAGGAGAAGGAGGCTTACCATCTCATCGAGAGAGATCAGCAGCATCAGTTGCAACCACTTCATCCCGATCCTCACCACCATCCTCATCCTCCTCCTCATCGTCTTTGTCGGCTATCAACCGTCGTTCAGTAACGGGAAGGAATCCTCAAGAGCTTCCTAATAGTGTGAGGGATCAGCAGCAGTCTAAAGTGAAAGTGCCTCTTCCAAGACGAGCTAAAACCGTTTCATCTTCCTCCTCTTTGTCCAGAGATTTAAGAAACAACAACAATGCTTTTCCCAATCCTGAAAACGAAGAAGAATCGTTTGAACAACTCATTGAGACGACCTATCTTGAACAACAACAACGTAAAAGGAGACCTCCTCTCCCACATCCAGTTCTGTATTCACCCTCTTCAGGGACTCCACCAGTTTCTGAGAAACATCTCCAACAACACAATGAACCTCAACACATTCAAGAAGCCAATCATGAAAATGACAACAATAATAATAATAATGAAGATGAGGATTCCGTTCCTGTAAGAACTCCACGCCGGAAACGAGTGCCCATTCCAAAGAGACCTTCCATCTCGTCCGCCTCCACTGCTCCGACCACCGTTCCAAATCCTCCTCCTCCTCCTTCTTCTTCTTCGTCATCCCGATCATTCTCGACCACTCTAAGCATGAATAACCACCTCAATGCTCACAACAATATTCATGAGCAAGAAGCAACTCAACCCAAGAACAACAATTTGGAAAAGTTGGAGAAATGTTTGATGCAATTTCCTCGCTACGACGACAATGTAGAAGAGTATCAAGAGGAAGCAACAGCAAATAATAATATGAACCGACCTTCTTCTGGAGTTCGTTCTTTTGCTCCTTCTGCCATGACGAAAGATTCTGCTCAAGTAAGAAGGATGTTCGGTGTGGATGGGCCTCGCACTCAAGAGGAAGATCACGACATCGAGGATGAAGATATTGATGACGAGAACATTGATGAGGAAAATGATGACGAGGAAGTGGATGATGAGAATGTCAACATCACTGTCTCACCAAGAAGTGGTGAATTGACAGGAACACCAAGAAATCGTCCTCAAGATGCAACATCTTCGCAAACTGCCGAGCAACCCACGAGTAAGGTAGTCATTATTGATTTTGGTCATCAGACCACTAAGGTTGGATTTTCACATGAGGATCGTCCTCGAGTGGTAATTCCATCATGCTATAATATTGAAGAAGACCCAAGAAATAACAATCAGAAGACTATCAAATTTGGTGGTACTGTCTCTCTGCAACATAGTGTTTGGTTTTTCAAACATGGAAAATTCACCTTTTCAAGACATGATGAACAAGGAAGAGAAATCTTTGTCGCCTTTGTTCGATACATTGCAAAAGTTTTATTGGGATTGAAAGATGCCTTCAAAGGCAAAACAGTCATGATTGCTCTGCCATATATCTTTGGTGAAGACAAGGATCAAATGGTGATGTTATGTGAAACCTTCTTCCATCCTTCGATTCAAGCAAAAAGTTTGTTCCTATGTGGAACACCATTATTTTCATTCATCAGTGCTGCCGCGAATCACATTACAGAAAATAGAAGCACTGCTTTGAGTGTGACCGTTGGACACGGAATTTCTCAAGTCATTCCTATTGTGGATGGATGTCCTTTCTCCACTTGTGGCGTATCTTCTGTCGTGGGAGGCGCACTGCAAGGAGAGTATCTTGTCACTTTGATTAAGCGAGAGGTGGAAAGAGAAGGCGTCACTTTGGATGACTCTCTCATTTCCTATGAAAGTGTTGAAAAGGAAAAGATTACGAATTGTTCACTCGTCAAATCATTCAGACTCAATAAGAAGCGTCCCAATGAATGTAAGGCCAAGTTCTTCAAGAAGACCATGAATCCTGTCAAAGGTGTAATTGAACAAGTCCTGGACCATCGGTGTTTATGCCCAGAATTTCTTTTCACACCACGTTTGTACGAAAAAGGAAGACCTATTGTGAAAAGGCACAGTGACCCCTTATCGCCAAATGCAGACTCTGCTCAGTTGTCCTCCACAGAAGAGCCACCAATGTCTGCGCAATCTGGATCCTCAACAACTTCAACCTCTAAGGATGATGACATTGACCAATATTTGGGAGTTGTTGCATTGATTGAGAGCTGCTTGAAGAAATGCCCAAAAGAATTTCATGAACTCTTATTGTCGAATGTAGTTGTTTCTGGAGGTCCTTCTCAAATCAGAAATTTTGTAGAGGTAAGTGTGTGGATTGAATTCTGAATTTTCTCATCATTAATGATTTCGTGGTGGTTGTTGGTCGGATTCATCATGCAGAGAATACAATATCAACTTAAGAAAAAAAGCAACATCATATCTAATCCCTTATCGAATATCAAGGAGGACACTCCTCCATTTGATTTTTCAGCTTGGTATGGAATGGTAAGTATACAAAGTTGATCGATGTTAATTTGTACTAAACGTAGATATGTGCAGAGTTTTCTTTCAACCTCAATAGATATTGATGGAAGAGAATTGGAAGGGTTGCACTGTCGAGTGCTGCTTGAAGAGTCTCGTATGGAACATTACACATTGGATGATGTCATTATTTCAAAGAAATTATGTTGATAGGATGTGAACATATTTATGGCATTTGCAAAAATTAAATGTAAATCGTCAAAATGCTTTACTTTTTGCTTGGGAACTCTCTAATAAATTGTGATTTACCTGATTCTCTAATTTCTTTCAACATTTGAACATTCTTTCCACTCTCTTTGGTGGCAACAAGTGCACGAATGGACATGGCTCTTAAGGCGTCGTAGACAGATAATGTTCCTACAGCACTGTTCTTACGTCCAGTGAAGGGGTATGAGTCTGGTCCTCGTTCTGTTTATACATTGTTATTGTTTAATACAAATTATTCCATTACGTTTGTTGAAAATACTTACGCTATCGTGTGGTTATTTTGTGAATTTTCATGAACGCCAAAATTTAGCAAAAAATAATGTTGAAAAGAATGTATGTGTCATTAAATAACTTACACATTGACAATTAATATTAATACGACTGACATGATGTGTCAATAAATCTACCAAAGGCACAAAATATTCAGAGTTGACAGCAACTCCAGACTCTGTCTTAATAAACACGGAAGCTTGTTGACCAAAGGAAGTTTGTGTGACATAATCTTCAAGTTCTTGAAGTGTAGAATATTTCACAATGGGTGTAATTGGACCAAACTAGTTATTAGTGAGAATCGTATAAGCCATTTCACCAATAATTATTTAAATAAATTAAATAATCAATACATTAAGGAAAAACACTTACTTGTTCTTCATGATACACCTTCATGTCTGCAGTGACAGGATAAAGAGCAGTGGGTGCGAAAAGAGCAGCACACCCTCTGTCGATACGCTTTCCAAGATTGGTTTCCTTATCTTCTGAAAATTTAATTCCCCTTTCATTGACAATTTTTGCTCCCTTTTCCAAAGCATCTTTAATGAGTTCTCTCAAAACGGATGGCTTTTGAGGTTCTGCCAATGGAGTGATACTCACTCCAGACTCCCATGGATATCCCATCTTCAAGTTATCGATGGCCTTTGAGAATTTAGTGACAAATTCATCCACAATAGATTCGTGAACAAACAAAACTTTTAGAGCAGTACATCGTTGTCCATTGAAAGAATAAGCTCCCTTAAATCATTTGTCAACGTTGTTAAAGTGTTCAGTTCAAATCACAATCATCATTCCATGATGTGAAAATCAACGTTATAACATATCATTTGTCAAATCATCACTTACCAAAGCACATTCAGCAACAGCAACATCAATATCAGCTTCAGGTAACACAAATGCAGCATTCTTGGCATCCAATCCCAAAACGTTTCTCAATTTGAAGAGATTTGGATGTGAGTTAATGAGTGAGTTGGCAGCATTGTGAGTTCCAATAAATGCCAAAACATCAATCAAACCTGTTTTCATCATGGCTGGAAGAGTTTCTCTGCCTGATCCGTGAATGACATTTACAACTCCAGCTGGGAAACATTCCTTAAACAATTCCAAGGTTGGATAATGACACAATCCACCAGTTCTTGGTGTCTTTAAAATGACCACATTACCCATAATCAAAGCAGGAATCAGAGTGGTGTATCTGTGGTTCCAGAAAGTAGTTGAAATGTTACAGTACAAATGGTTAACATGGACCAATATTAAAAAATTCTGTCACTACAATGTCATAATGTCACACATGTGAAATCATAGGATCAACAGTCAAAGGATGGACTTGTCAGACTTACCTTACGTCTCATTGAAAGGATAGTTGAATGGTGCAACACACAAAACCACACCCAAAGGACTTCTTCTCACTTGTGCTGACACTCCTCCGACAGAAATAATTTCCGATTGCTTAGTTTCCAACTTTTCAAGTTCAAGAATGGTGTCTCTAATGTATTGAATGGTTCTGTCCACTTCTTGTTCAGATGCCGATCGATTCTTACAAATTTCCCACATTAATAAATTAATAATTTCTTCTCTCTTCTTCAATAATCCTTCGACAAACTTTTCCAAACAACTAATTTTCTTTTCAGTTGGATAACTTGGCCATTCTCCTCTTCCCTTGTCAAAAGCTTTGACAGCAGCCTGTACTGCACTTTCAGCTTCATCTTTGCTCATGAAGGCATAATTACCAATGTGGTATTTGACTACTTGTTCATTACTGTCAAGAGTCGTAATTGGAGAATAAACAGGTTCAAATTTGCCTTGCCAGTGGAGAATTTCTCCTCCAATCAAATACTTTTCACCGTTGACAAAAGGAGTGGATGGTTGTGCGCTCATTCTCAATTCCTATCATCGGATTGATTCAATAGGAATAATTTAATGAATTGAAAAATAGGATCCATGTTGGAAACAATTTGTGGGATTGTCATCATCATCAAATTGATTTCCGAGACAAAAGAGATGCCGAATAATTCATCGTTTCGGAGATCGTATGATCATCATCATAAACATGGGAGAGTAAAAACACAAAGATGAGCCTAAACACACATGATGATCCGAACGAACGTACCAATCAAAAATGCAGGGCTATGGATCGTCGTTGTATTTTTTTTTGTAAATCAAGTTCAATGAACAAATATGGAGAGGGAAAATTGTTGAATATATGTCAAATTGGATTATTATGGAAAGATGTGTTAAAAAGTGAAAATAGTGTTTTGTGTGCATGTTTCCACGTTTTCTTTGTCGATCAGTAAGCACCTGAAAATATTTGTCAATGTTTTCAAATTTGAAATAATTTTGTTGAACGGACGGACTTGATGCTTCAATTCGTGCTTGCTTGCTCCTCAATCAATTTGTTATGATTATTCAATTCTGTAGTTCTCATGTTCAAGCTCTATTCACCAACAAAGGAGATCGATATGTTCTGTGTATTAAGGGTTTTGTATCGTTTGAGAGGAATTATTTTCAAAATATCTTGAATAGAATCTCCATTGTTAAATATTGAGAACATCATGTCACATTCTGTTTTTGTGAGCTTAAGTCTCTGTTTGGCTTGTGAAATGGCTTGAGAGTGGATGGATCGTTTTTTTGATTCCTTCAAGGAGTCGTAATGAAGAGATTCTTTTGAGACTAATTCATGAATATTCATTTTCACTCTTTGTTGAATATCATTCAAACGTGTCACGATTTTCGTGTAATGATTTTTCAACATCTCAAAACTCTCTGTGAATTGTGGAAAGTAGGACAAGAATTCACTCGATTCATTCTTTCTAATAATATCAATAAATGAGTTTTCTCTTTTTTCAACCGAGTCGAACATGGCAAGAGATAATTTCACATATTCTTTGCTTTTCACTTTGACTCTTATAAAATTCAATAATACATCTCCACTTTCAGACTCCTCTTCGTAAGACTGATAACACACCACAAATCCTTCATGTTTATACGGGCTTCGATCATTTGCAACTCTCTCAACATCTTTGAAACTATTGAGTCCATATTTTGATTTAACACAAGCTGCTACTTTCCAATTAAACTCTTTTGCGAAAGGTTCAGGATCCTCTTCTTTAAATGTTTGTAAGTCTCTCACTCCGTGCAACACCAAATCATCCGATTCATATTGAACTACAAGGAGATGTTTTGGGGTGGTCAATTCAAATGTAAATGAGTATTTTCCTTGATATTTCTCTGATGGCAATGAATAATTTAATTTATGAAAAGTATCCCAAACTAATTGTGAAAATTCAAACGTCTGAGTTTTCTCTCGATGTCTATTATTAATTTCCATATCCGATGACACACTATAAAATCCTAATCTTGCACTTCCATCAGGTGTTGATGATGACGCTACTCTCCATTTTGAATCAAAGTAATATAAATTCACAATAGAACCATCAAGTTTTTCATACACTTTCACACTCGATTCTGTAAAGTGTTTTTCAATGAGTGGAGTTTCAAATTTCAAAGACAATTCTTCATTAAAATTGAAAAATTTCGAAAAGGGCATGTGTACAATTTTCACGCCATTTCTCTCTTCATCGTCTTCAAGTATCTCCAAATCCACAATAATGCCTCGACATAATCTTGTGAGTGCATTTTCAAAATTCGCTCTTGTCTGATTGTAGTGCAAACAAATCAAACGGTTAGGATATTCCTTGTGAGTGGAAATATTAACTGTATATTTCGATTTGAAATATTCCGAAAGAAACATGACTAGATCTGCAGGTTCATATTGGAACTGTTGTGCATCACCTTGCCTTCTTTCGAAAAATTGTTTTTTTAAATTCACGAGCTCATGAATGAGGCTTTGCACTTGTTTTGACATTTTTTTTGAAAAAAGAAAAAATAGGATAGTTCATAGCTGGATTCATGCATATATCGGGATGAAACTCTGATGAATATTGAATTTTCAATCAAAGCAAACCACTTGAAGATCTTATCATGCTTCATTTGAAATAGAAGATTTTATTGATATTGTATAAGATGATGACACACACTCTCAATTTTTGTTTCTCTCACAAAAGAGTGGTTTCTTTCAACTCGTTTTTGAATTGATCAATTTCTGCTGATTTTCAAGAAGAACGAATCGTCCATGTGCTCCGAACCATGGTGGTTGATCATAAGATAAATAGGAACAATCGGAATCTATTCTCTAACTGTTGAAACTCTTTCAGTGCTGGATGGATATCCTTTCTCGGTGCTGGATCCAACGAGGCCTTCCGTAGTTGTTGTTGAAACACCCATACGACCAAGAATACCGGTTACAATTCCACCTTCTTGGACGCCTGCCATTTGATTTCCTTTGATGATGGTATCCTCAATAAGGTCGTTCAATCTTTCGATAATTTCTCTCACATTGACAATAAGAGATTGTTGCAAGTTATCATGAATCTTTCTACGAACTCTGCTTTGAATGATTGGAGAGAACATCTTGAGGAGAAGCTTGTGCTTTTCAGCATGTCTAAATTTGATGTGCAAGGTATCCACACCAACCTTAATGTCCTTCACGTAGAATGGTCGATTCTGACTCAAACGAGCCTTCAACTTCAACTTGATATCAATTCCACCACGATCGAAATCAATATCCATGATACCACGATCGGAGAGAGATGGGAATGAGCGACGATCAAAGACAAATGCCACATCCTTCAAATGAGCAGTCATACCATACAGATGAGCACTGACTAGAGTGGCGCTCTCTGCAAGCTTATTCTCAGGTCTTTGTTCGAGATAGTTCATGGAGGTTCTGTTCTTTACCTTGAATTTCACATCGTCTGGAAGGATATCGTTGGCCTTGAGAACAATGTTAGAAATCTTAAAGTATTGAGTGCCATCGTCACCTTCAACTTCAATGGTATTCCAATTGTTGATTGCTTCTTGAATGGCCACAAAGAGAATGGTTCTAATTTGTTCGAGTGCATGTGGCTTGAGAGTGAAGCTGCCCTTTTCATCAAGGAACAAACGAGAAATCAATTTCTGAGATCTGTCTCTTAATTCAGCATTCAACTCATCATTTCTCATGGTCTCCAAGAGCTCTCTCGATGAGCGAATCAATTCGTTGGTGAGATCCATGTTCTTCTTCTCTTCCAAGACCGTTCTGCAATTCTTTAGACGCATTCTCAAGTTGTCCTTCTCTTGCTTAGATTCGAGCAATTCTGGTTGTTTGTTGTATCTTCTAAAGTCATTCATCAAATCTTTGAAGACACCCTTCAGTCTCTCATCAGTCTTCAAGTGAATCATAAAGTCATTGTTCACTTGGAGCCACTTATCGAAGATACGTTGGTCACTGAATTCATACATGATCAGCTTGGCATAGTAGAGAAGATTTCTAAAGTCCTCATCTTGTGAGATTCTGTCGACAGTTTTGTTGGTGGTATCCACTTCACCTACCAAGCTCTTAGCTTGATTGAAAATGTTGAATAGACCAAAGAGAGCCTTTTGATAATTTGGATCCTTTGAGAAACGTTTGTTAAGGTTAACAAATCGATTAATCAATCGGTCCTCAACCTCCTCTTTGGATTCTGTGGTTTGACCTTTAGTAGTAGTACCAACACCACCACTTTGACTCACACCACCAATAATGGTACTTGGTGGTGGTGGAATATTGGTTCCTTGTTGTTGTGTCCATGGTTGTTGGTATTGTTGTTGACCGAATCCAGATTGCTGACTAATGCCACTTCCAATATATGGTTGTTGAGAAATGCCACTTGTGGAGATGCCTTGCTTCTTTCTACTTGGGACGTCCCAAACATTACCACCAGCCTTAATATACAAGTAAGCATTGATAAACTCGTTCAAAGAGACCAAGCCATTCTGGTCGACGTCAACAATTCTGCCCATCATCTTGGCCTGATACTTATCGAGACCCAATCTAAGGAGAGCTAACTTGAATTCAGTTCTACCCAACACTCCATTCTTGTTCAAATCGAATTGATTGAAGACTTGCTCAGCCTCCCGAATGAGTTGATCCTTTTGTTGGAAGATGTCTTGTTTTGGTTGGAAGTTACTTGGCTTCCATCTAGGTGTGTAGCGATGCCACATCTGATCACTACCACCGTATTGTCCACCCAGACCTCCTGAAATTCCTGACTGTTGAATACCGAGTGGTTGTTGTTGCGTTTGTGGAGTCCATTGTTGTTGATATTGACCACCACTAACGCCTAATGGAGTGCCCATCATGTGTGGTTGGCTCTGGAAGGATGCTGTCTGAGCTTGTGGTTGAATAGGAATGTCTTCTCTAAGTCCTTGCTGCTGCTGACCATATCCTTGTTGCATTCCCAATCCAGATGGTTGTTGAGAAATACCAGTACCGACACCACCCAATTGAGGTTGGAATTGACCTCCCTGAATATTCGATTGAAGAGAGGGTTCTCTGTATTGATCGGATGAAGAAACAAGTCCATGTGGGTGTTGTTGTGAAATTCCTCCTGAAACACCGCCACCCGTCTCGAGAGGGCCATATCCTTGATGAGAGGATCCATAGAGTGAGGTGGATTTGAGATGTTCACCACCTTGCATTTGAGAGGATTGGTAAGGTTGTTCACTAATGCCACTTGAGTAAGGTTGCTGCTGACTAACACCGCCCATCAATGGTTGCTGCTGCTGACTAATACCAGAGGAGTAGGGTTTCTGTCCAAATCCAGTTTGTTGATATGGCACTTGTTGCTGACCAATGCCACTTCCACCAATGTATGGTTGCTGTCCTTGCTGCATGGAGAATTGTCCTGGCTCGCTCAATTCACCTTGATTCCTGTGTAGATCACTCTCTGACTTGACTTCAGAAGGTAACAGCACGTGTTCTGGTCTTTCATGAGAGAGTTGAGGAGAACCACCCACACCTGTGACAACAGTGGCATCGGTTGGGTGTTTCGTTGTGGATGAAATTGAAGAAGATGGAGTTGACTCATCGGATGGACGTGTCAAACTCTTAATACCCTCAGTAATTTTACCCACGAATCCTTCTTGCCCTGCATTCTCATCCACAAGGAATTGCAAGTATTGGAAGAAGTCCATCATGGCTTGTCTAAAATCACTGGAACGAATAAGTTCAAAGACGAAATCTCTCAAACCAATGATCGAGTTGTAAATGTCCTTATTAGTACCTGCCTGAGTAGTTTCATAACCTCGTTTCACTCCATATCTAATATCTTCACCAAATTCTGGGGCATACTTTTGTGTCAAATTTTTGAAGCAGATCAAGAAGTTTTGGATCTTTTCGTCTGAGTTTCTTTCTTCAATGACCATCTTGATCAGATCTAACAAGAGTAAAGTGTCTCTCTGAATGAGTCTTCCCTCTCTGTCCAAGAGGTTATGGCTCGACAAGACACTTTGCTTTGCTTGCTCAATACCCACCAACACTGCCTCATTTGAGGGTGGAACTCCCTCACGAATTCCAGCTAATCCTTGAAAAGCAGTTTCTGTCTGTGGATTTTGAAAACGAATTTTAGTAGTTGGCTCGCCCGTGTGGGGAACACCAGTTGCTTGCTCTGTTCGATGTTCTACCATTGTGAAAAGTGTGTTTTTTTGTGTTAAATTCACAACTGCTGCTGATCAGCCAAACAGTTTTATGGACTGTAAAATTTAGAAATTGGAGGTTTTAGGAAATGAAAATTTCAATCTCATTTGCTCGTGGAAGAAAATACTCTGTTATTGGTGCATTAACATTTTTGGCTCAACCATTGAGGTTATTACTAAGATAGAGAATGTTGAAATTTGGAGTATAAAAATATTTTGGTGAAGTTATTAAGAGTTTATCTCTCTTGAGGTTCTAGTACTATCATGAAAGAAGCAGTGGTGCCTTGTTGGCTCGTATGGTATGCATGATTGTGTATGTGATGACATTCACTCCCAATATGGCTAGTCATATTTTTGGCATTGCCTTAAATATTTTTTTGGTGTGACAACTGGCGTTTGTCTACAGAAAAAAATATTTTCACAACTTCATAATGACACAAACCACAAGCTCACAAGAACTCACCTACAAGGACGTTCACCATCAGCCGCTTCTTGCTCTCTTCAACAACTCACACTATTCCGACTTTTCCATTTTCTTCCCCAACCGAATGGAAAGAGTTTATGTTTGGCGTGGAATTCTTGCAACTTGCTCAGAATATTTCAGTACCATGTTCCAATCTTCTGAACATTTTACTGAAAATGTAAATTCTGAAATGATTGTCAATGATCCTGAAGAAGAAGATTCCCTCTATAAACTGATCCGATTCTTCTACTCTGGAAGTTTGAGCTACACCTTGATCGATGAGGCGTTGCAATTATTACTCATCTCTCAAAAGTATATGATCCATGGAAATGTACAAAATCATTTAAAGACAAACATTGAGAATAACATTAATGTCACCAACTGTTTTCACATATTTTGTCAATTGGCCCTGTTAGATTCGAACCCGAATGAGGACTCGTTTGTTCATTCCATCCGTTCAGTATGCGTCCTGGAGATGGCCCGTAATTTTTCCACTATTTTGAGAGAACATATTGCAGACTTGTTAACTCTTTCTCCTTCCATCATGCTGGTGATGATGAGGGATTTTTCAAGACTTTGTCATCCAAAAACTATGAAAATTGCTTCGTCCATGATAAAAAGTTCGTCGACCTCAACAGCACCTTTGGAAGGAGGTCATGCTTCAGCTGACACGATGACCGTCATGCACGACACTATGATCCCTCCAAGCTCACCTTCAACCTCCTCCTCCTCTTACACGAGAAGAAAAATTGAGAAAATTTCACCATTGAGACGAAATGGTCGATTCAGTGCTTCCTCACCCAATTTAAATGCCAATCATTCATGTAACCCTTTAGGTTTTGTTGTTAAATGTGATGGAAAACAATTCTTAAGATTCTTAATGGATTGGATGATTATGGACGTGGAGGGCAGAAAGGATGTCATGACTGAAATTAAGGCTCTTGAAAGCACACTGTCTTACTCTCAATAATGAGAAATATATCTCAAAAGAATCTTTTATTTGTAACAATCCATTATTGGGTGGATAAAATGATGTGTTAAAAAAAACGTTCACATTGATCACGTGAATTCAATCTCGATGTTAATTTAATTATTTTGGCGCCATTGACGAAACTTCACTGGGCACTGTAATCCCTCGGGCGGGATTTATATCTCCCAGCAAAACCAACCACAAACCAAGTTCAGAAAAAAAATGGACGAAAACTACAGCAACGGAACGTCCTTCTGTTCTTTCAAAACATGTAAAATTATCCAAGTCATACGGTCCTTATGCTGCTTGGATGGCCTTATTCTGCCTAGGTGTAGCCATCTTATTTGATAGGCACCTCTCAAATTCTAGACCATAAATGTATTTTGATCTCATCCCAAACGCGTTGGTATAATAATATTAGAGCGTCATCGATTTCATGGTTGAGCATGCATTTACCGAAATGTTAATTGCTCAAATCCAGCCCAAGAAGTTCCCTCTTCGTGGATTTATTCCCGCTTGAAAAAGTGCTTGCTTAAGCTCGAAGTGTCCAAAACACTCCAAAAAAAACACAAACACACCACACACAATTTTATTTTGAAAACACCCACGCTCACATCAACAAACGCAACACTTAAATTGAAAACAACATTTTATTGATTTCATCATCATCATCACATTCATGAAATTCATCACGAAAACAGACGCATGCATCGATTCATTCGTGACATTAACTAATCCTGCGATGTGCACACACTCGTTAATTACCTTGTGTCACTGTGTAGTTTTACATACTAATTTCACGCATGGTAATGTCTTTCCAACAAGTCTTCAAAACCTTCTAATCGGAGAGAGTCTCGCTTACTGACATGAGGAATGAATCCTCGCATGCTTCTTGAATGAAATTCACAAAAATTAGAACTTTCATTAAAGAATAACAACCACATGCTCGAGCAATCAACACTCGAGGAGGGTGGTGAGAGAGAAGAATTTGCCGATGATGTGGTCATGCATGTGAAAACCTGAGGCTGGAAGGTGTCAATATCATCATGCAAGAGGTGTGAATGTGGTGGTGGTGCTGTCGTACGTGTGATTGTTGTTGCATGTTCATGCATGTTGTGGAAATTCATGTCCTTCTCTTCAACATTCGAGCATGCTGAAATTATTGATGTCAGAAAAGTTTTTGAACACTTCGGATGTGCATGCATGCAATGACCTTTTGATAGTTCAGCAAAAGAGTCATTTTCATCGTCAATATTTTCATTCTTATGGTGTATCATATTACAAAGAGGAAGAAACATGATGTGGAAAGTGTGTATTATTGTTTTTTATGTGGAAATGAAAACATCTGTGATGCAACAACATGTTTGGTTTGACATGGAACTTTTGGACTTGTCGCAACTTTGCATCTTCTCTGTATTTTCTAAAAAGGAAATATTTATTGCAGTCATCATTTGCAGAGGTGATGCAATAGGATGCATATATTTTCATTGCAAACCGTCTAATCTGGGAAGTCCTTCTTACGTTGAACATGCTAGAGATGGAAGATCCAAACAAGAGGACAATATTCAGTCAAAATATGCTGACATGTAGTTCTACTCGCTCGCTTTTTGCATGCGTCTCATGAATTCATTGTACATGCATGTATGTGTCAACATATTGGGATGAGTTTTCTGTTGTTGTGTACGAATTTTAAGATGCATTCTCTATTTTGGAATTTACAGCCAGTTTTCAAAGCGTTCCTGAGAATATTCGACTTTTTTCGCATGTACTCCATGGTGAATATTTGATCATTGACTATTTTTGTGATTCGTTTATAACTATGCAAGAACAACGAACTCGTTCACAGAACCTATTGTATGAACGAGTTCTTTGTTCTTGCATAATTTGTCTTGAGACGTTTAATAGGAAATATTATTTTAACATGTTACATAATCACACGCCTAACACATTTGAAGAGCCTGTTTGCACTTCATGGGTCATTGAGCATTTGAAAATGATTTTTGACAATCATTACTTGTTGCTTTTCGATGGACTGAAAGGAATGATTGTCACATGTGATTTCTTGTTGTGAAAGGACAAATCAGAAAAGTATTATTTAGTGGGAAGAGTGCAATCGACAAATGCTCTTTCAAGGACCAGCATGCATTCTTGAGACAAAGATTTTTCATCTTCCTCATCGTTGATGTAAAACCAAAGACATTTCTTTTTTTCGTTAATTGACATCTGGAAGTCAATGAAATTAGACATGTGATTCAGTAACAGCAAGAAAAGTTCCGTTCACCTACCTTCGAATAAGGCCATCTGAAAGAGAACTCGTTGTTTTGTTATCCACCAAGTGAACGATGACATCTTCTCGGACAACATGCTGTGGATGATGTTGAAAGGTGTCCCTAATTCCATCATCATCAGAGGATTTTTCTGAACTTGTTGTTGAAGAAGGAAGCACAGATTTCATGACTCTTATGTCAATCAATAGGAGAGAGCTAGTGGTTGTTTTTAAAATTAATATCAACTCTGGAGAACTTGGTCAACAACATGACATCATCATTGTCTATTTCCAAAATGATGATATCCTTAAATGATTTGTTGTCACGATAAGGAAATTTATGAGTGGATATTCGGCGCATTATCGAATGACGCAATGACACCATTCACATAGGTGCCGTGCGCACGAATGGAGAGCTTCTTTCGTTGTGCTTGACGTGGATGCGTTTGGCATTTCCTTAATGGTCGTGTGCATCTTTTTCTATTTAAGGTGTCATGCGTTAAAAAATCAAAATTGGATCATAATTGTGTTTTATCTTTAGAGCGATGGAATGAGGAAAACAAGTTGTTTCTTTGCTGTTGTTGTTGGGTAATGGTTTTCTTTCTGTCTGTCAGAGTGGTTGTGAACTGTCAGATGTGAGAAATAATATTTGGTTGGAAGGGTGCAATTGGTAAATGCTTTCTGAAGGACAAGAATGCAGTCTTGAGACAGAGTTTTTTCATCGTCATCTTCGTCATTGATGTAAAACCAAAGACATTTCTTTTTTTCCGAAATTGACATCTGACATTAATGCAACGTTTAGTTTATATAAATCGTGATGGCATTTCTCGAATCAATCATTCCTTTCAGTCCATCGAAAAGCAACAAGTAATGATTGTCAAAAATCATTTTCAAATGCTCAATGACCCATGAAGTGCAAACAGGCTCTTCAAATGTGTTAGGCGTGTGATTATGTAACATGTTAAAATAATATTTCCTATTAAACGTCTCAAGACAAATTATGCAAGAACAAAGAACTCGTTCATACAATAGGTTCTGTGAACGAGTTCGTTGTTCTTGCATAGTTATAAACGAATCACAAAAATAGTCAATGATCAAATATTCACCATGGAGTACATGCGAAAAAAATCGAATATTCTCAAACATTCGAGCAGCCACAATTTGTGGAGCATGGAAATATTTAGACTTTCATTTTGGAATTCGCCAATCTATCCAACCTAAATCACAAAGACGCAACCTACCATATCCTGAAATTATGTCATAATATATAATGTCTGATTCATCGAATGTATGTTTCGATGGTGAAAACATCATGACATGAAAATTGATGATGGTTTTCATGTCATGATGTTTTCACCATCATTCCATCACATGTCAAAAACAAGAAGTGGATGAAACAACTTACAACAGACACTCGTGCATGAGTGCAGGTGGAGCTTGTTTTGGATGACAATGAAGAAGAAGAGAAGGAGGAGAATTTTCTCACTCGATCGCCACCACAAGAATCCTTCGACTCATTTCTTTGAAGTGAAAAGAAGAAGAAGAAATAAACGACCAAGAAGAGACTCTATTCATGGAAGAGTAACTGGCAGTATATACTCGTTGTTTTTATTGTTTGAGAGCATGAGGAGGACAATCTGTCTGTTCTTCTGCTCTTTCTGAACCATGATCATTGATGAATGGTTGATTGGATTCGAACATGTTGTGGATTCGTCGTCATTATCAATGAAAAAGAGGATTTGATCTATTCAACAGCACTTCTAGCAGAGGGTGATGCTGCTGCTTTTTAATCTTTTCTATAACATGAAGGTGGCACAAGAGAAGGACTTTTCCAAAACGAGAGCAAGAATATGTAAAAGATCAGGAGTAATGGTGTCATTCCACCATCCTCTCAATCCAAGTAAAGGAATAGATATCCAACATGATGATTAAATAATCAGAAAAGGAGTGATAGCTTGTTGATCTTAATTGAGAATAAGAAAGTTCCTACTTGTGCCATACAAGACGATGTGATTCAAGATGAGAAAATGTACATGAGTCCATTGATTGGTATGATTTCGTTTGTATGGAAGATGCAATCCTGTTGCTGAAAGGAATGGAAATTTCTGGATTTGGAATCGAATTCTAAAGTCTTTAAACAGCGACTCAACAACAAGAGGATGGTAATGATTTGTATTTTTTTCTTTTAAGGGATCAAACGATGTGCGTGATGTTCTATCTGTGTATCTCCGTTGTAGAGATCTTTTGAGATCTTCCTTAATGATCTGTTTCCATATTTAGAAAATATTGATATTTAGACAAAGATGTCTCGATGAGGGACATCTTCCTTTATTCGAATAGTCAATTTCTTTTTTCACTATCGTCCACTCTGCCACGAATCTATCGTTACTTTTCGATACTTTTCGATGGAACATTCATCGACGCAAGAGATTTCCAATTGTTGTTGTTGGCATTGGTGTGAAAGGATGACAAATCGGAAAAGTAAAACTTGTTCGGGAGAGTGCAATTCGTGAATGCTCTCTGAAGTACGAGAAGACATTCTTGAGAGAGAGCATTTTCATCTTCATCTTGATCATTGATGTAAAACCATAAACTCTTCTTTTTTTCATGTAAGGACATCTGTAAAAAAGAAGAGGTGATTTAGAGGTTGAAATCAAATCATTTGATTATTTGGAATATATATGGTCATGAATCATTCAATAGTTAAAGATCAATATTTTAAATTGAATTGGAATTCACTTTTGCATACCTTCGAATAAGGCCATCGTTCTCCCTTACTCACTTCCTTATATCTTCTTTTCAAAGTGGAAACACTCACTCCAAGCATTCGAGCAGCCACAATTTGTGGAGCATGGAAATATTTCGACTGCTCGCATTTCCAATTTTAGTAAAAATTCGAAACTTCCAAAAAGCAAAATCCACCAACTTACCATTTCCTGATAATTCTATAAAAACCGAACAATCAATGATAACAATAAATCATTCGATTTCCACGCTTTTTGTAATACTTACCACTTTCAATCTCGGTGAATGATGAGTTTGATTGGATGACGATGATGTTGTTTGATTTCTTGTCAATGTTGCATTCTTGGTGGTGATGATGGATGTATTAGTCGCTGATGATGATGAGGTACTTGGAGTCCAAATGATCATTCGAGATGTCTTTCGATGTGTTGTGGTGGTGATGGTGTGTTTTTGGTTGGAAATGTTCTTCCTTTCTGCTGATAATCGCAGATCATTGGATGGTTTGACGTTTGTCACTTGTAAATATTGTGGTGATTGCACCTGTGGAGGAACTTCTAAATGATCAAAGGAATGAATGTTGTGATGCTGAAGGGTAATGTCTGGTTGTAGTTCGACTTGTTGAGAAGAGCTATCACATTGTTGTTGAAATTTGACTTGTTGTTGTTGATGATGTGGTATTAGAAAGAAGGAAGAAGAAGAAGAAGAATTCGCGTTTGGACCACAGTTCATTGTTCTTCTCGTTGTGGAAAGTCGAAAGAATTGGAATTTTCTTTGTGGTGTTGATCAATCCTCAAGAGTAGAGAACAGAGTGGCTCCATGTTTGGGATACATTGCAACGAAAGTGCGTTTATCCATTCATGAACAAAACGAAACGATAAATATATGATCCATACTTCTTTAAATTGCATGTGCGGATCACAAGCATTTCGAAATCCGAGGTTAAATTAAAAAGGGAAGATTCTCAACATTCCAACTCAAACATTCAGGACATTGCGATTGATCGTCGCTGATATCATGATGTCAATGGAGAGACTTTCAATCCATCTCTTGAAAATGTCTTCATTACTAAATTGAAACACCTTCTTTTGGCAATCAATGTTTACGATTTTTGAACCTTATGAAACTACAGCTTTAAACTCTACAACTTCAATGATTCAAACTGTATCATTCCAAAACAACCAAGATTCAAAAATTCTAAACGATGATCGTTGTTGTAATCTTTTTTCATAATTACAAAATTTTAAGTTCCTTACCAAAATGGAACTTCTCAAGAAATCGATTCCAAAAAAAAAATGTCGACCTCTCCTTCACATGATCCTTTATCACCATCATCGACTAATGAACCTCTCATTACAGCGAAACAGCGGCCCTTCGTTAATCTCCTCATGAAAATTCAAGAAGATATTTCGGCAAGAAGTTACTCCCAGATAGAATCTTATACTCAAGCTATTTTGGAATTGGAACAAAAACCAATCCATCATCACGAAAACAATGATCAAGATAACAACACCTTGAAGGCTTTTAATTCCATCAAGGAAATTGGCAAGTTATGGCTTGCGTTAGGAGAGTTGCAGTTCGGATCGGAGACTATGGATGAACAAGCCTTGTCCAGTATTGAGAAGAGTCTATCGTATGATATCACGAGAAGTCGAGCTCACTTCTTCAAGGGAGTGATATCGAGTTTTTTGGGACGATTTGAAGATGCTCTACAAGGGTTTGAACAAGCAATCTTGCTGGAACCAGACAAGGCAACGTATTGGTTTGAAAAAGGACGATGTGTATTGACAATGGCCACCACAAACAGGGATAGCAATACAACATCAAGGTTGGTCGAAGGTCTTGAATGTTACAAGAAGGTGAAAAGTTTGAGTCGAGAACAAGCCCTCCAATACGATCTCACAAGTTCTCTATTTAATTTAGGAATGAAGTTTACATTTGAAAAAGATTTGGAACATGCTCTCGAGTCATTCCAAGAGGCAGTAGAATTGCAACCTGATGATTTACAAATTCATGGGAAAATTGTGCAACTCTATGAAACTCTCAATCAAAAAGACAAACGAGATGAGAAAGTGAAAGAAATTTATGCCATGTACAAGAGAAAGGAATTTCCAAACGATATGACAAGATTCTGTAGAGATCAATTCGATATTAACTCATCTCCAGAAGCAGAAGGAAAGAATATTCACGTATTTGTGTATGAGCATTTTGAGCTCGTTGGAAACAATGCTGTGAAATTTGTTTTCCAATGCACAGATGAAGCTCAAAAACAAGTTTTATTGCGTATTTCTTTGGGAAGTTATGAAATGACAAATTCACTGATGAAAGAACTACGTGGTTTGGCCGACAATCAAAGAGTCTATCACTTGGATGGATACTATCATGGTAACTTGCACAAAACCTTTGGGTTCTATGATGGAACCGATGATGGGCCTGCCATGAGTTATGATGACTTGAAGCAAAAAGTGGTTGGAATTTTAGATGGAAGTAATGCAACCGTCATGTCCTCTTCGACTGGACCCAATCGATTCATTTAAGAGAGACGAGACACCACGATTGTTGTGTACATGGATAAATGTCGCATTACTGATGTGCTTGTCGCTTATTTGGCAAAAATGTCAAACAAAAAAATTCAGGGATGGGTTTATTCGATGATAAACGTTGTTCGATGGTTTTATGTACAATATTTACAAGCCGAACGTAAGATTCGTAGTGACTTCCTAGCAGGCACCCCGGAAGTAAAGGTGTTTAAACTGCTCACGATAACAGCAGCAACCCCTGGGATTCGAACGCTGGACCAGTTGGCTGCCATAGTTCCAGAAAAACCACTCGGCCATATGCGGGCAGCAATGTCAAACAAAAAAATGACAAGTCGTGCAATCGGTCCTCTTCTCCACTCCTCTCCATCATCGGAGCATCCCTTTCATATCTCATCATCAAATCCTTTCGAAATATTAGAAAGTGTACGAGCAGAATTTAGAAAGAAACGAGCAGGCGGTCGAAAATTATTTAAAGGATTAAATTATGATCTCGACATTACATACATCACCTCAAGAATTATTGTCATGTCCATTCCGACTGAAGATTGGTTTATTGGCTATTTCCGAAATGATGCGACTCTTGTTCATCAATTTTTACAAGAAATGCATGGAAGCAATCATTACATGATTTTCAATTGTTCGGAATTTCGTTACGATAAAACAGTATTTTGTGGAAATGTAATTGATTGGAATTTTCCAGATCACTATAATCCACCATTGGAAATGATGATGAGTGGTTGTCGTTGTATTCATGAGTGGTTGTTGCGTGATGAGAACAATGTAGCACTGATTCATTGTGCAGGAGGAAAGGGAAGAAGTGGAACGTTAATTTGTGCCTATTTATTGTATTGGTAAGTTTTTATGTGTGAAATTAATTTGTGAAAATATTTTGTGAAAATATTGTGTGAAACCATTCGATATGAATGAAAATCATGTGTAAAACTTTGTGTGGAATGATGTGTTGTATTATTTATTTTGTGCAATGAATGGTATTGAAACTAAACCATTCGTTCCATAAAATACATTTTGATATATTTGTGCTTGGCTATAGCTCCATGTTTCATGATGCCATTGATTCATTGAATTATTTTGCCTTGAAAAGATTTGAACGGCCTATCAATCCATTTACATCATGTCAAAATGGAGGAATTAATTCACCGTCACAAGTTCGATACATTTCGTATATTCAACATTTGAAAGAAGTAAAAGTTGAAGAGAGAAGAAGGGCATATCATTCAACAACAGTTCCAAATTCTCTATTATTTAATGAAACTATTTTTGGAGATAATGAGTTCTTAAGAATGCATGGTTACATACCGTACAATCGAGTTGTGTCGATCGAGCAGATCAACATTTACAGCTTGTCACCATCCATTGTGGAAAGTATTGAACAAGATTTATTTGAGTTGGAAATTGGACATTTGTCGATTCAGAAAATAGAAAATCCAACCATTGAAAATTCCATGAGAAGCACACTGAACGTCAATGATTGCGAAGTCACAAAAATAATGGATGTTATCATTGGAAGTGAAAATTGTAATTTGAGAAGAGAAGAAAATTTCGCCAGCTTTACCATTCCACAAGCCATTCCACTTTCAGGCGATATTATTATCATTTTTGGAATTAAACATTCACAAACTTACAAGAGAAAAGAAATTGGAAGAATTGGAATTCACACTGCATTTCTCCCTCAAAATATTGTCAAACTCTCAAAACTTGAAATTGATGGAGTTCACAGAAAGGACATTGTGAGCCAAGATTTTAGAGCTGAAATCATTTTCAAGAAGGAAGTCTTTTCAAATCATGATGACAACAACAACCACTCAACATTAATCGATCAACAGCGATCCATCCTTTCACACACTCTCACAAGATCAGAGCTCTTCTCATTCCACGCATGCATCACACCTCCCAGCAATCACTTTGCTTTTATTTATTCCCACCATCATGCACTTCCTTATCATCGATATGCAAACAGTGTCATGCTCGAAAAAGCCCTCCAAGAGAATCCAAGTCTTTCGCACCAACTTCCTCCTTCCGTACTCTTTTCGAATCAATACATTCATCCACGGGATATGCGTTTGAAAGTGAAATTGTCGGCTCAACACAATGAACAAGATGTGGCCCAAGGCAAGTTTATTTCTGTCACCATTACGATCGGATAGATCGCAAGAAAGAGGAAATAGAAAGAGGACTTATTAAACGCGAGACTTAATTTCTGGTAAGAACGTGTTTGGATTTGACTTCTCAATTGTGTGAAAAGAGAGGACAATTTCAAAAGATAAATTTGTTTGAAGAGTCCTCTCTTTTGAGCTCTAACACATTTCAAAGAGCGGACTCTTCAAACAAGAGGACCATTTGGCCATGCTTTAAAAGAACACGTTTTTCATGCCAAATCTAACAAATTACCAAATGTCCACCATTTTCAGCACTTGTCAAACAATTGCATTCTCACCACAACAAGCCACCTCTTCATTGGTCTTGCTAAATCCATTCCACATTTCCATGCAAGATGAAAAAAGGCAATCGAAGAGGGATGGGTCGATTATGCTCGTTTCCTCTCCAGGAACTCAAGATGGTTACATTCAAACATCACTCCATAAAGCCATTGCACCCGAAAAAGCGAAATTTCAATATGTGAATTTTGCATTGTGGGAGATTCCTGTGAAATTCTTAAAGGCCATTCAGGCAATGAGAGAGCAGGGAATGACTAGCAAGTTGGGCACATTAACCTTTGAATGTTTTCCATCTTTTCAAGTTCATTTGGAGATGTGTTGAATTGGGAAGTTATTATTGTTAAATTAATTTGCAATTCAAAATTGTAAATTTTGGGAAAATATACTTTATGGTGAGCATATTTCTCGATTGAACAATGTTGGAGATGATACCTTGCGATTGGAGACTTGTCAAATACGATGCATCTTGTGAAAACGAGATGTTCTTTTCTGCACCGTTATATACATCAAAGCAAGTTCAGGACTCCCAATATGTTGTTTCTCAACTTCCATCCGAATATACGCAAAAATTTAGATGCATGCATGGCTTTAAATGGAAAACAAATGCGTTGCATTCACCATGCACAATGTGAGAAACATTTAAGGAAGAGAAACGCAACAAAACTAGTTGTGCGAGGCCAAAGTCAAATGCGGAATTTGTAATTTCTGCGGCGTTTTCCCCGACCACTACAAACTTCAGTTGCGTCATCAGCAAAAGAAGAAAAAATAGCTCTCACGACACCATAGATCTATACCTCTCTCATTGGTTTTCAATAATAATGAATTTCTTCAACTTTCCATTCTTTCCATCATTGAATGGAGAAATGCAAAACACTATGAACGTTGATAGGAATGCAAGGTTGTCACCTCCTTTCCATATCTTCCCTCTCATGAAAACAATACAAGAAGCTAACTCACTTTCATGTCATTCCAATGAATCAAACAATAATAGTACTTGTTCATCTGAATCCTACAACAATTTGAAGATGTCCATCAAAATGGAAATCACAGTAGCAACATTGTTTCAATGATTCATTCCCTTCTCTCAGACAGCGGCAAGGAAAAACATTTAGCATCTCTCAATGTCTTGAATAAGGATCAATGGTTCATGTTATGGACACTATTAAATTTGAAAAAGCAAGTCTCTGGATCATCGTCCACCTGCCAGTTGTCAAGTAAACAACAACAACACTCTCATTCAGGTGATGAAACGAATACAAATCAAACTTCCATAACCTTAAATGCGACAGAAAATGCCCAATTTGTTGAAAACAATAATAATTGTGCGACGACCCAGTCCATAAAGATACCCTCTTCCGACTCAAGAAGCGAATTCAAAAAGACAACTTCCATTCATGCCAACACACTCATGTTACCATCCATGAATGGTGATCACCAATCACCAAGCCCATCCTTTCTCAGTGGAGTAGCGAACGAGTTTCCATCTTTGGGTTCAATGAATGAATCAAACAATGGTCGTCACATGAAGCATCGAATGTATGATGATGATGATAAGGCATGGTCTCCTCTCCTCAATGATCCTATCAATTCCAACTCGAAGAAACATCAGATCCATGAACCATTGCGAGAAGACCTTCCAACTCTGCATCAAGACCTCAAAGGCATTCAAAAGAAATCATCACTCCGTCAACCACGACACAAGAAACTCCCTTCTTCCAAACCATCGTTGATACCCTCGAGTTGGATGTCTGAATTTCAAGTTCGTGACGAACAGAAGGACCATGGCACACCAATTTTCATCCAACACACGGCAGAAATGTTGAAACAAGAGCTCATGATTAAGAAAGGTCTCCTTCCCAAACGACCGAGAGGACGCCCACGAAAAAACCACAACCATACTAATTCCGGGAATGAGACGTTTGAAAGAGGACTGATTGTTCACAACGTTGACATGCACCCCTCCAAATGTAGGGGTAGCTGGTAAAAAGCAGCATGTAGTGAAATCTCTTGTTTCGTGTGTTTGATTTGTCTTTTCCAAATGACGTTCGAGAGATAAGATCATTCTTTGAAGCAAGTGTGAACAAACTTTCAAACCATTATCAAAGAGTGGAGAGTAAACAGTGTTGGAATTGCTGAATTGCATCATTCTTTAACACGACATGATTGGAATTTCTCCAATGTCGTTTTGTTGAAATAACAAGTCATCGATCCTAAAATCCCGAACAGGAGCTGATTCATTGCTTGCTGTTGTTGCGAGACTGTGACACCTTGTAGAAGCCATCACATCCAATCGATGGAGCAGTTCCATCACAATGAATGGATTCACTTGCTGAGAAGCAATATGGAGAGCATTCCATCCATCACCCAATGAGAGACATAAATTTTGATGTTCGTGAGGATGTCTTGTTTTGACTCGCTTTGTTGATACATTTTCGTCACTGTTGATAACATCAAAATCTTCATCCACTCGTCTAATAGATAAAGTACGTTTTTGAGAGGAGTGTGCAGCTTGAAGAGGAATCGAGAGCGATGCATTGCAGTGTGAAGTCAAAATATTTCGGACATATGGTCCAAATCGCAAATTTCAATGCTGTTGAAAAGAGTGTAAGTGATATCAATCGATGAACCAAAGGATAAATTCATTGGTGTAACGTTTTTTTTTGAAAGTTTGGTGGTTGCCAAAACTGAGTTGACATTCGACATTGTTCTTTTCATTAACGTAATGTTGAATTAAACAACATGTCTTATAATTCAATACATTATGACTTCATCTCAAGATGCGTCTGACAACTACCTGATTTCGTTGACAACCCTTTCAGTGCAATTCAGACCATGCATGCGCAACGCAGTTTTTGGGTGACGCAAAGCCCGTTGGAGAAAGGACTTTTGCAGGACTAATTCTAGAGGAAGGAGAAAACCAGAGAAACGCAAAGAAACAGGATGGAGGAAGAGGTGAAGACTCCATGATGTGAGGTCACATTTAAGCAATTGCTTGATAAATCCATGAAACATGATGAATTAAATAAATATTAATCTTCACATCTTAATTACTAGTTATTCTGCCACGAGGAAAATGATGCGGAACACTTCCGACCTGAGTCGAAGGCGCAGCTGTGAGACGAAGGGCGGGAGGTTTCGCAGAAGTTTTCGAGTGGATAGAAGAATTTTTTTACCGGGTTGCTCGAGCAAACACAAGAACAATTTCCAACGAAAAAAATGTCAGAACATCCCAACCCTGTTGCTGGTTCAAGCACGGAGCAACAGAAAAAGAAGAGAAAAACAGAATTGGACAAGGTGAGAGACGATCGAACAGTCAGATGTTGTTAATACTGGAGAGTGCAAGGGTACAAGATCAGAAAAGACTGTGAAAGAATACAAAAAGAAGCAAGAGTTGTTCGAAACATACTGCACCAAGCACAGCCTATGCACCACAGATGTAAAGAGCATGATTGCATTCATCAACGTCCTGGCCACAGAGAGTAATATCGTTGGACAGAAATTGTGGAAATATCATTCAGCTTTGAGTTACTGTTACCAACAAGCCACAGGTTTTAATTTGAAAGATGCTCAATTTTATGGTCAGTTGAAACACACTTTCAAAACTTTCACAACAGGCGAATATGTTGTGTCAGAAGAGAAAGCAGATGTACTTCCTGATGAGAGTGTTGCTAAACTGTTAATTAATGCGAAAACAGACACCATCAAACAGAAGCAAAACCTCTCACAATTTGTTGTCCGTATATACACCGGCATGAGATCTGCTGAAATTTATGAAATGACTTTTGCAAACGTTTCCTTAGGAGGAAATGAAGTACAAATCACATTACCCACTTCAAAAAATGGAAAAAAGGTTCAAAAGGCACTCCCTTCTGTTCCAAATAACACCAAATTATGCCCGAATTCGTTTGTGTTGTGGAATACAAGACACATATTGTCAAATTCAAAATTGTGTTTTCAATAACTGTACAATAAATTTCAATTTTTAATACCTTATTTGCTGCATTTGGGAAGTATGGTAAGGCTGTTCCGCAACTCAGTTAAGGACTGTTCCGCACATCTTTCGGAAGTTCACAGTTCACCCTTTTCCGCTGCATTTCCTCTGTGGATCGACTTAGTGGTCATATCATTTTTTCGCTGGCATCACTTTCCAACACGGTAAAAAATGATGGAAATTAAAGCAAGTTGATTTGCGAAGTGGAGGTGGAGCTACAGACTCGCAAAATTCAATGTTGCGAAAGATCGGTGGGAGAGTTGAATTTGGTGAGATAAGACAAATAATGAGCATCATTGAGTAGATGTCTGAGTGGGCTACAAGTTGGCTAGAGACATGAAAGGATGGTGCTGTCTGGATGTTGAGTGAATCAACATATAGTGAAAACATTGAAAATTTTAATATGACTTGCAGCGAGACCTTTTTTGTAGAGCAGGTGAAATTGAGTGGAAAACTGATAGGAATATGCATCAGGTTAAGGTCAGTTTTGAGAAAATCAACTCTGGAGAGTTTTTGTGACAAAAAAATTTTGTAAAAAAATTCAAAAAAAAATGAAGTGAAAAGTGCCTGAATTTTTGAGGAGACGACTATCATCATCAAGTCAATACCTCCGAAAAAATCATGTTTCAACAAAATTCATTCAGATGAATGAGATGACTATTTCGGATCATGTTCAAGAATATTTTCTGTGCATGATTGCTCAGTCGAGAGCTATTTAGCAATGTATCATGTTGAGAATTCATGAAATATATCACTGTGATGGAATGATCATGGATGAATTGTAATGATCGGAATGTGATCAGCATGGTCAAGAACTATGGTACACAATTGTTGGTGTCTGTGATGTGGGTGATTCATGACTTGTGAAAATTTATAATTACAGTCAATGATGGATGTGCACTGTTGCAATGACTCTATATTCGATATCAGTTGTTTAACACAATGATATGATGTGTTCTATGGAGTTCTATGTGATTTTGAATTGTGGAATGTCATGATGATGATCGGAGGTATGTAATTTTTCATAATGGTACAAATATGATGATAATAATATAATTATTCATAATTTCTGAATTATTGATTGTATATTAATGTATTATTATGTTAGGAATGTTTCTATGTGTATTGACGATGTTTATAATGATCATACGAGGAGTAGCATTATGAATTTTATTATTGAGCTAGATCAATTCAATGTCATGGTCAAGTTGGAAATCATCAATGTATATCATGGTGTTCATCACATTGTGTGTGACATATTCATGTTTGATTCACTCTCTGATTCCTCATACTGTGATGATACCATCACTCTGATTTTATTTAATTTTTATATTCACTTCATTTCTCCCTCTATAATGATTCAATCAATTTTTAAAACAGTTCATAGTGTAATATCACTATTTTAAAAATTGATTGAATAGTTCCATTGTGGAGTTTCTTGATTTAAACTGATTCTTAGGTGAAGCACTCATGGTTGAGAATATTAGAACAGTTTGTGATGAATTGTATTTCACTTTGAGGAGTGACTCTTTTGTTGAGATGAGTATATTATTATTGACATTATCGATTATTGTATGTTTCAATGTGATTGTCAACATCATATCAAGAGCTGCATTATTAGATTTGTTGTTATTGAGCTAGTTCATATCATTTTCATTGTTGAGCTGGAATTCATCATATTGAGTGTGACATATTCATGTTTGTTTCACTCTCTGAATCATTATGTGGATGAGACATTATCCTCTCGATTATTAGTATATATTCTTTTTCATTCAATAAATCTTTACTTATTTAATCAGTGAATGATTCAATCAATTTTTATTGTAATGGATGGATAATGTGAGATTACTCCATTTTAATTTGTGTAATGTTTGGAATTGAGTTACTCCTATTATGAGTCATCTAAGAGATGATGAAATTATTTTTTGAATACTCTTGAAATGGTCCAAACTTTAATGTTTCAATCAGTATTGTATGATAGAGTGCATTGTGGTGAGCAAAACGATTTTAATTATGTTGTTATAATGTATCAATAGAAAATTATTCATTTTACATTTGAGTTGATCCATGAGTGATTCATCAACAATAAATGATCAAATCTTTCAATTATAGAGTGAGTAATGTTGTTGCAAGATGATATTATTGTTTATTTCACTCATTGTGACAACTTTTTCCATTTCAACTTTTTTGTGCAAGGTCGAACTTTTTTTAATAAGAACAAGAAGTTTGTTGTGTGAATCATTTGTCCTATTCTAGAGATGTAATAATTGATTGAATCATTGATTATGATGTGAAGAATGATGATTGAAGTGTATTATGAGTGGAGTAAATCATTCGGAATCAATGATAATGATATTTGTTTCATGAAGATTGAAAATTTTTCTTCAAAGTGAATGTGTCGACCATTAATGATAAAAAGTTTGTTCAATTAGTGTTAAACTTGTATTATATGTTGTATATGTTGAGGACATGATGATATCATGATTTCATATTTTGTAGAGTTGTATATATAAAGATGTTGTGGTCATAATTAATCGAAATATTTTTTGTTAGTGTACATCTGTCTTGTTGTACTATTGATTAATTTATTTATTTTATTGAAGTACATGTTTGATAGTATTATTGTTGATTTTATTGAGAATTATTCTTTATTACTTGTTTGAAATGAATGAGTTTTTGGGCCAGCAGGGGCCGAAGGTCCCTGCTTGTACCTACTGAGTGAGATTTGTTGTTGTGGTTTTGTTTGAATGAAGTTGAACTTTGAAAAGAAGAACGACAATGTACTTGGTGGCGTACCGGGCCAGAGTAGACTGTTTTATTGCATTAAGCAACAAGTTCTTCTTTTTAAACGTTTCAGAGGTGGTGACCTCAATGCCTTAATTGTAAAAAATCAATCATTGTTATTATTGTACACCCACATCATTTTACACCAAAATTTCGAAAAAAACACACAATCATAATGATATAAAAAGACCACTTTATTTGGACAACTTAATTTAGAATTATTATTTTAGAAATCTGAACAAGACTTTATTATTGTACAAAGAAATTTGCTCACAAACAAAGAGTAACTTCTCTATCTTCTTCACCTTCTCCATATGTATTGAGTCATACAATGACCAGAACGGTTTATTGGACATTTCACTTTTTCTGAGCTTGTCCATCGATAAGAGTAATTTCAAGAGATGAAGGACAGATCTTTGAAAGCGTCATTTTGGGATGTTTACTTGGTGAGTAATTCACAATGAGATAATCTTTACTTGACTGTCTGAAAGCTTTGAAACATGAAACAATTTACTTTGAGGGGAGAGCATTTCACCAAACGTGAGTTGATTTATACATCACAGGAACAGTTATTCTCCAAATTGATGATATATTTGTGATGAGACATGCATGTTCAAGCTAATGATGAGGTCCATTGTCGATTTCTATACTTTTACTTTCAAACTGTTTTTGTAGTGAACATGGTAGCACTTGAGAGGAGAGAATGAAGAATTTTCGTGAGAAAGTGTGAGGGTTTTGAGGAGTGCAAGAATTCTTGTTTTCAATTTTTGATTTTTGAAGAGGAGAGTCACACATTGATTAAATTTTGATATATCAATCTGCTCCCCATGATGAGATACAATTGACAGAATGTTTTTGGTGATCACTCACAACTCATGTCATGTCCTACTCAACTAAGGTGACAAAGACAGAGTCAGCTCCATCTCATGAAAAAATGTGTGTTAAGCATTCAATTTAACAGAATATATCTATCTTGGTGATGAATCCAACATATATCAATTTCAAGGATTTTTACTTTCTGTGTTTTGAGATTCATGATAGTGCTCACAGCCATTGACACCTGGTTTTTTTTTATTTATGGTTGCTCACAACTTGTTCCAAGCAATCAAAACACAGTTTTGTAATAACGTGTTGAATAGGGTGACATGATTGAAATGGAATGTTTCACACCATGTGAAGGGTTCTATTTCAATAAGTCAAAGAGGAATAACCTCATGAATGAAATGGTAAATTGTGTCTCCAAATGTTCGTTTCACACTTGAAAAAATTCTTGATTTTGAGTAGGTGATAGGTACAGCACTTTCGTCTTTCAAATATTACAGAACAACTCACATAATCGATTCATCATCACGTAGACATCATTGACGTCACATAGTATTGATTTTTCAGCAAATTCATGGTTGTACTCTTCACTACAACACTGCTTCCGCTCTGATCATGGTTCTTTCACAAGTCAGTCTCGTCAATTTAAATCTAATAACAAAATTCCACACAGTGAGTTATAAAACATATTCAAATTAATGATGGATAAGGGCTAAATATTGAGTTTAATAATTAAAATTAAATTTTAGTCTCCGATACATGGGTCAAAACCCAAAATCCCTTCAGCACTTATTTTTCAAAGTAAATCTTCATATCGGCTTCAATTTCTTGCCTATTCCTAAAAAGTATACCATTTTCCTTTACCTTCTTTACAGATTGTTCTTCCGCACCAGATTCATAAATGTAATGCCAAGTGAATTGAATACCACCATATGTTACTGAGTTTTCAAGCTTTCCATCTTTGATGAACTTTAGATCGTCCTTGCGGACTTGTAACAACTCTCCAACTTTTTCTTCAGTTCCAACAATTCCATGAAGTATCAATTCGAGTAATGAGAAATGACATTGCTTTGGATCGTTTTGTTTTCTTTTCATTGCCTTTCCTTTTCTATCTAAAACATAAAAACGTTTCAATAAATTATCCATATCTGTGTTGCCATTACGATGATTACAATAATGAGAATCAACAGTAGAAATTGTGGTTTGTTTCAGAAAGATTTCCACTGGCTTCTCTTTGTACATAACAATAGCATAATCAAAGCTTGGGGAAATTTCGGATTCTGGAATGAATAATACTCCCGTTCCTTTCAAGAAATTCCTTCGATCGAGAGAGCTTAAATCCTTTAGATCTAAATTTGCTTGTACGTTAATTTCATATGATAACGTGGATATTGTGGGGTTTGAGCTCAACTTATTTGTTACATAGAATTTTCTATCTAAATGTTTACCAATTCCATACTCTTGTCTCACCAAGTGTTTTTCAAACATTGTTCCTTTCTCTGAACCATAAATATTCTTGGGTATGTTTGGCATGTCTAGTTTTGTGCAGTAGTGATGGAATAAACATCTCTTTGCTGGATCGTTAATGATAAAAAGTTTTCCATAAGAATCCTTGTACAATAAACCCTTATCGTATACAACCCCTGAAACACTATAAGGTCTTCCATTAGAAATACCAAGAGTAAAAAGATCTTCCAGTGTCTTTTCAAACTGTTCCATCTTATTTTTGTCCAATGTACTAACTAATGAATCCAATCTTCGATCATATACACCACGCATATTCATGACAAATTGGTTGAAATCTTCATCAGTACCCTTTTTGCCCTTCAAATAGTTTGCCAAGTATCTCAACTCTCTTGGAATTCTTCCTGTTACATGGGCTATTCTTTTATCCTTTGGATTCAAACCGAAGTCTGCTATCAGTGTTTCAAACTCTGTTGTTGTTGGAGGAATTATTCTAACCAATCTTTCTTCTTCTCCTCCTGGTAAATTATCTTCAAAGGAACTATGAGCACTTCCACAATAGATGGTAACTGTGTACTTCTCTGATGTATCTCCTGTCCATCTGGTAAAATTTTGGAAATAAGCATGGGAAGCAGGAATCTTGTTGTAATAGTCAGGTCTGTATAATTCATTATGTTCATCAAACAAATAGAACATAGGTCCCACATCTCCAATATGTGTGCTCAAATGACGGACCACATTTCTTGCTTTCTGTAATTCAACAATTTGGGTCGTAGAAAGAATGTCACTATTCAGCGAAAAGAACAATCTTCGCAAGTAGTTATTGGCACCAACTTCCTGATCTGTGTTGTAACTGCTGAGCCATAGGCGACATTTTGGAACATAAAGTACTGGAATTGAATTTACAAATGCGTAGGCAACTATCAAATAAAGTGTATATGATTTTGAAACTCCATGAGGACCCGATAAAACCAATCCAGTGGTTTTTCCATTAACAACATTGTTCAATATATCAAATCGTTGCTGAGTTAAAAGATATTTCGCATTTGGATTAAAGTTTTTTGGAGACAAATCACTTTCTCCCGTTCCAAATACAGGAAGATCGATAAATTTTCCAATGAGCGTTCTCAGTTTTTCCATGTTTGCTGGATCATGTAAATTACGAAGATAATCATATCTTGCATTTGTTCTTTCCTTTCGTAAATTTTCAGATATTTCTCCTTCCAACTTGCGCTTCCAAAGATCAAACAACTTGGATGGTATATTAATTAAAGAACCTCCTTCGCCAGCCTTTCTCAGTTTGGTATTTACCCACCCAGCAACAGCTTTACAAGTAGATTCTGGCACTGAAGCAAAGCACGTGTCGCTTTTCATAATCTTGACGGCATATTCGATGCATTTTTCTTCTGTTACAACTCTTTCCTTCTCTATGGCAGTAATAATTTTGGTGAGAGTTTTGACATCCAATGAAGAAACTTGATCAAGATTCAATTCAGCACCTCCTTTTGCAATTGGTTCGCTCAATTTTTGTTTGATTTGTTTACTCACTGGCTCCAATAGCCATAGTGAATATTTTCTGGTCATTAATTGATCGAGCACCCAAAATACAACGGTTTGGCAAGTGTCGGAGACTTGAGGAACGCTACTCTTGTTATAAGTACTTTTAAGTTGATCAATGGCATACTTTACACCGTCCATCTTGATATTCTCAACAATGTTGTGGAGAGATGTGCTATCAAAACCAGCCTCATGCAAAGGCTTCAGCTTTTCAACCGACAAACCAGCACCACCCAAAGATTTAGGAGAAATCAATACTGATGCTACTTGTTGGGCATTCCAACTCTCGTAATCAGTCAAATCGAGAGTGATTGGTGTTTCGAGTGAGGATGTAGTTGAAGATGACAATGTTGAGTCGTTTGATGTTTCTTCTTCTTTTGAATGAAGTGCTGACAAACCAGCACCCAAAGATTCATCAACAATCAACTCTGACGCATACACTTTTGGGGGGTTCCATTTCTTGTCAGTCAAATCAAGAGTGATTGGTTCGGAGGATGAAGAAAATTGGAGTAATACTATCGTTTGTTGATGTTAGTTCCTTCTTCTTAATTAGAGGCGATGCGGAGATTGGGGAAACAACATCCTTTACCTTGATGACTATTAATGATGAAATATTTGTTGTCCAAATTCAATAACTAATTCAACATACACTTTAGTTCTAGCTTTTCATCAGAGCTTTGTTGAGGATTTGTGGAAGGAGGTGATGACGTAGGTTTTATATCAAATGATGATCCTCCTCTTCTACCTCTTCGTTTGCCTCTCTGTCCTCTACTTAACGAGTTATGGGAAGGAGTATTTGCTGAAGCATTGGTTGTAGAAGAGTTTGAGCCTTGTGGGCTTGTGTTACCAGTCTGTTGAGTATTTGGAGTTGTTGTGGAAGGAGACGATGAAGGCTTATGATATGATATTCTTCTTCCTCTAGATCGTCTTCTTACCGGATTATTAGAAGTAGTATTGGGGTCGGATTGAGTTTCAGTCATTTGATGACCAATGTTGTTCGTTCTTGGAAAAGGATTTTTGGTTCGTGGGAGTTATGATGATGAAGCTTCAATTAAGGCTAGGCTTCAAGGTTTAGTGTTGGAAAAAGAGTTTTTTTTCGTTAGGGTTTTTGGTGAGTTGGCGGGATTTGTTTTTTTACACTTCAAACACGAGGCTTAAACCCAATACGCCTTCAAAAACTAAACACAAACCGAGGCACAAAAGGACGTCTTGTGGTTGAAAAACAAGATGCCATTCTCACCAAATGAAATCGCCACAAAATCACACCATCCAATATTGTCAAAACAAGGTTAAAGACAAAACTATCACTACGTGCCAAAGTAATGCGAGGTTTCAATGAACAAATCTATCAAAGACAAATACAAGCTGAATGGTTCGGACAAATTGAAAGAATTGAACAAGGAAAGCAGAAAAACTTCTACACAATAACAAAAATTCTTATCATTAAACGGACTTCTAAAACTTTAAACGATGTTCTGTACTCAGTTGTGCTGAGTGGATTTATGAAAGCAGGATTAGGACTTACTGAGGGCGGTTTTGAAGACTAACACATCAAGCTACGAGAAAACTTTTCGCTGCAAATTTTAATAAAACAACGATCATAATATGATTTTATGATGATTTCAATCCATCAAAACTTGCCAATTCAATTTATTGTTGCTGACATGTGAATGAAACACTACATCACTATTGGTGCCTCAACACATTGAATTGGCACTACAAGAGCCATGGTGGTTGCTTCTTAAAAATTTGTCACGTCCATGGAGGACTGAAATTGTGACTGAGTTGAAGATGAACATTCCCGCTCATCACAATCACATGATCGACACCATCTCCCTCTCAAACGGTCATTACACACTTTCAAACCACAACCCTTACATGGAGTTAACGATAAACATGATTTGTGGCATGAATTGCATAGAAATGTTGGCATGTTTGGATGGCAGGTCTTCCAACGGCCATCATAGTAACATTTACAACATACTGAATTTTGACATTGAGTACATTTAGAAACAGCATTGGTTAATCTGCGACAACAGTCGCAATTAATAACTATGCATATGGAACAGCGTTGACATTCCCCAAAATAGGAACATTTCTCGCAAATAATAGCAGAACAAAGTTAACACAATATTAGTTCCGTGTGATTAGAACAAACCTGGCACTTTCTCCGTTTGCAAATTTCTGAATTGCATCCACAAGTTGAATCACATATTCTTCCCATCTTTGCACAACTACATTTTGAACAATTTCCTTTTTTGCATCTGCATCCAACTTTCTGATTGATTTTAAAACATTCAATAGCTTTCAATGTTTTGTCGAGATTACCATAAAACTTAATCAAAATATTAAGCAATCCAATAGCATCATAAAATGCACAATGTGAATTGTTGACATCACCGACGTTAAAATGTTCAATCAATACATCCTCAGCAAAAACTAGTTTAGTTTTCCCTGTCTTTGTCGTTTTCCGAGGAAGACAATTATGTAAAGTCGATTCTGATTTCATTAATTGGAGAGAATCAACAAAAACAATTTTGTCATAATTAAATTCAGGAAACTTCCCGAAAAATTCTTTTGCAAAAACTTTGAAGTCTAAACAGTCGCCATTGTGAGCTATTAAATAAGTTTTCCCTTGAGAGTTATTACTTAAAAATTGAATAATATCGTTCACATGACTTTCAATAGGTAGTTTTGATCTCAAATTGTTCAAATTCAATCCAGTTATTCCTTGTGCTTGGCTAGAAATGGCTTTACCAGGATTAACTAAGCCATACAAAACAACTCCAGCCAAAACATCCACAAAACAATATTCTGTAATTTTTGGTGGATCATCATTCTTCCAAAATCCAGTCGTTTCAAAATCAAAAAATACATATTTGTTTTGAGGTGAAGGTTGTGACATTTGAGTTGAATTTTCTGAAATGGAGCCGATGGAGGTGATATTTGTTGTTAAAATATTTTCTGGTTGTGATTGTTTCTCATTAGATGGAACAAACAATCCTTTTTCTGCATTATATGTAATAAATGATTCTTTTGGTAATTCAGGGTCTGTTCGAATTAGAATTTGCTTAAAAGTATTGGTTACCAATTTGGTTGCTACTTCTTCAATAATGCCCTCCACTTGTTGGCCAAATTGGCGAGATTTAAGTGAATCAATAATTGTATTGTAGAGCGCATCTTTGCATTGCTGAGGTGAATAATTATGATATTGTAAGTGCTTAATGAATGATCGTTGTCGGACCATTATTTGATTACATGCAGGACAGGTTAAAAGGATATTATTCATAATAGTTCCATCGTCCGCGACTGGTGCTTGTTTACATAAATATTCTCGTATCAGCATCACATTTTTCTGTGGAAGGAAATCTTGAGTTGTATCGAGAATATATTCATACATCTCTTCGAAAATAGTTTTGTCGTTCTCTAATAAAGAATCCTCATGTTCTTCTTGAAGAGTGCGTTTTTTCACATAGTGTTTTCGATGTAATTTGGAATATTCTAAATTCACATTACAATTTCCATATCATTTTGTTGTAGATTGTCGATTGATGTTAAATGGAGAATTTTTCGCCAATTTGGTCTTCAAAGCAGTCCATACGGCTCGATAGATCCCACAATAATCTCGAAAATTGGGATATCGTATTTTTCCTCGAATTAAGGAAAAAAAATGTTCAACAATCAATGTTGAAATTCCACAAGCCTTAATTTGAGTATGGTTTCCATATTTTTCATATAGAGAACGAAGTGAATTCATAGTCATATCAATATGAGAATACAATTCGTCACTAATGATGTTAGGATTTGCATCTTTCCATCCCTTCAATTAATTGTTTTTTCTCATTCCAGGTCGGACATTTCACATCGTCAAAAATTTGATGTATTTGTTGCATTAAGGTTAAATATTTCGCTAATGCAACACATCCTGATTGATTACTTTGCTCAATCCCACTTATAACATTAGGATCTATTAAAGCAAAAACAGGCTCCATTTTCATAATATCGACAGGATAAATAATGCTTTCCGTTACCCAATCTTGCAATTGGGGTTCATTTCTAATTTTCAATAATGTATTCATTGAAAAACTCTCATTATCGATTATCAAATCATCCCCTTTCAATAAACGATTTCTCAACCGTTTGAGCAAATGAGACCAATCAAAAAGATGAACATAATTTTCATTAGTTTGAGAGATTGCAAATTGATAATTGCCAGCTAAGCCATCACTACAACCTCCAACCACTTCTAGAGCATAATTTCCATATGAAGTTCGTTTAAATTGATCTCTAATTTCTGTCATTTTCTCTGTAATAAATTCATAATGGTTTGATTTATGATAACCAAAGCAAATAGGAAAGGACATCTCACCGTCAATAGTTGTAGCGAAAAATTGGCACATATGACTAGCAATATAGTCTGGTGTAATTTCTTTTTTTGAATTATATATATCTTCAAAAGATTTTTCATTGCGATTAGTAAATCCAATCACTTTTCCAATGCTTTTCATCACACATAACCCTCCTCTAATTTCTATTTCATCATATGAAATTATAACCTTGTTACTAATATTATTCATTGCCATGGCTTTAACAACATCTTTCAAATCATTGTCAGCAAGTTTTCCAAAAGACAAGTCGGGAAGATAGCTCTTAATTGTTGAGATAGATGGAAGCAATAAATTAAGCTAATCCAATGCGTTTTCGGATGTTATAATGTCGCCAGTGGAATTTCCTTTCAAGACATTCCACAAACGAGAGCCACCATAAAATCGAAGTAATAAACACCAACAAATAATACACTCTTTGTATCGAAAACCGTTAACATTTTTCTATGAAACCAAATTTTGCATGTATTTTCTAATAATTGATAAAAGAACTGGGTTTCGTGTAATTTTCCTTCCTCTAGTGGAACCGAGAGAAGTTCTATCAAATAATGTTTTTGATCTTTTCCCTCAATTAATTCTTCGAATTTCTTAATTTTAGTATCTCGTCGAGAAATTTTTGCTTTCAATGATTTGATGACATTTTTGTATTCTTGTGTCTTTGCAGCAAGGTGATTCATTTTGGTGTTTTGATTTTCAATCGTTCGCTGATAATGACGTAATTTTGTGTCATAACATTCATAACATTTTTCACAAACTCCATATTTGTTGAGATTGCAATTATTACAGTCGATGCTAAAAAAACTAAATTCGCCATGATGATTGAGATTCACCTTTCCGAAGGTATGGTTATTGTGTGATATGGTCCCGGATGTCGTCAGTAAATGGCTCACTTTTTCGAAAGAAATGCCTTTACATCGAGTATTACCTTCTTTGCAATTACTACAGCACTTGTTGTCGGAATGTTTGCATTGACCAAAACTGTCGGGAATGATTGAGATAATATCTTTCACTCCTTTTGGTTGTTTCTGAATTGTGATGGTAATAGGTTTATCTTTTAAGTTGTTGTTGTTGGTATATTGATTCACATAGGTATAATGTACATCGTAAAGTAAAGGTGAGCCATTACATTGCGAACTTCTGTGAATAGTGATGTGTTTTGGGATTGATTTGTATGCCTTTCGGTAACAGCAACTTTGCTCTTCATTTTTTTTTGCAATTCATTTTCTATATTTATTTAGAATTGAATATATTCATTTTAGAAGTGATCGAGTTGGCCACCGCGTGGAAAATGGAGCTTTCGACCACGATTATTTTCAGCTTGAGCTCAACCACAACAAATAATGCAATAGACCTATGGAACGCCAACCAGAGGAATCCATAGCACACTCCCAAAGCTGTTTCTTCTTGAAAAGGTGCTGCAAACTTGAAGGAAATGCCACAACTCCTGTTCCTTCATCAGATGAGAGGGATGCCTGTGCTGTTGGTTATGGAGACGTTTGATGTTTTTCTATTAAAAACTTTTTATTCTTTTGGAGTTAAGTATTAGTTGCTTCGTACAAGATCGGGTTGGAGTTTTTATCTACATGATGGAAATTAAAGCAAGTTGATTTGCGAAGTGGAGGTGGAGCTACAGACTCGCAAAATTCAATGTTGCGAAAGATCGGTGGGAGAGTTGAATTTGGTGAGATAAGACAAATAATGAGCATCATTGAGTAGATGTCTGAGTGGGCTACATGTTGGCTAGAGACATGAAAGGATGGTGCTGTCTGGATGTTGAGTGAATGATATGTTCTGAACGTAGTGAAGGGCATGAATGTTTCGATTGTAAACAATTAAAGAGTTTGGTTGAGCTTGAAAATTTTTTTTTTCAATGCTCAAAAAATTTTCTGCATATTAACGATTGGCCTCTCTTTGCGTTGCTTAGTGACTTGTGTTGTGAATATCATTTCATCCCAATGAGATTTCTTGCATAATATTATTGTTCGATATTTTCCGACGTATATTTTGGGGAATCCTTTGGCAGCTGTCCGTACATTGCAACAAATGCATTCTTTACCGCTAAGTTTATCAGGATGAAGTTGTGGAGAGACATCTTCGCTGGAAGTACTTGATTGCGTTTGAGATATCGATTCCAATGTTACTGGAGCCGTTAAAGACTTTCTCTTACTAACAGTGGTTGCATTTTGTATTTTGTGAAGATGATCACCGTCATGTGTCTTTGTTCCTTTACATGTCAAACATGTGCACAATGGAACCTCTTCATTGGCAACACATGACTGATGATAGCATTTGGGTATGTGACGATTGAACGCAAAAGCATCAACGTTGGTTTTGCAAAAAGGACAAATCGTCTCCATGTTTTTCTTCTGTTTTTTTGTAGATTCCGTTTGTTTCCCAAGTTTTTTTTTAATCATCACTCGGAAAGAAGCTGAAACGTTCGGAAAGCAAGGGAAAGATTCGAATTTTCTGGGACTTTCTGGTGATTTTTGCATTTTCCTTCGTATTTATTTCCCTCGTCTCCGTAACCTCTAGTTTCGCCAATTTATGTCCATTTGCCAGTCCAATATTTCTTTCAACCGAGAAGAGATTTACCACCATGGAGGTCATGATCTCGAAACAAGAAGAACAACACCTTATACCTCAGTGAATTTGTTTGGTTGAGCCTCATTTGGACACAAGTTCATTTATGAAATCGTAACCAAAGAGCGAAAGAAAAAGCCTCAATCATCATCAAGCTTCTATTCCAACGTTTTTTTCTTTCGGAAATAATCTTGGTCTAAGTAAACTTGATTCAGACCAAACAACGTGTTGTTGACTGACAGTATCTCATCGGGCGCAACAATATAATTTGATTCTCACAGACTTACCAATAAATCTCATCATCAGACGTGTTTCATTTGGAAACGAACGAATCATCACCTCCGGTTCCGGTTTATTATTAAACCATTGGGACAGCACCATTCCTTCCGATGAAGAGAAAATAACAAAGCAAACAACAACAACAACTCCAACCAACATCATTTTGCTTCAACATTTAAATCTCAGCGAATCTCAACCATATTCATTAACATTATTACAAGTTATCAGGAGAGTTGAATATTTAATAACCTTCGGACGAATACTATGGGCCTAGATCAATCAAGACCAACTACTTCAACCTCTTCCGAAGGAGGAGTCCCTCTCTCTCAGGATGATGGGTTTGAAAATCTTGATGCCTACTCAAGCTATCCATTCGATTTGGATCATTTTGATCCCTTTGATGAACAACAGCTCATCTTCTCCAAGAATCAGAGTCCCATGTTTGTGTGCAACGCCCGAACTATCCCTTCGGACGTGTGGCTCCATATTTGCTCCTTTCTTCCTGTACGTGCGTTATATGTTCTCGTTACAAGCTCTAAATTCTTCTTTCGAGTGTTAATTGCCTATCGATCACAATTTAACACCTCGTCAGACATTGTGAGCCGATACTCGAGAATGGGATATAATTACTTGTTAGAGAAGTTTCTGTTCGATGCTTTCAACGATTATGGTGTGTTTATCACTGACAAACAAAGTCAGAAAACTCAACCTCTTCATGAAGGAAACAATGACACTACAAACCACAACATCAGAAAAAGATTTTTCAATCGAAGACGAGAAATTTTGCAAGATTTAAGACAAAGAATCGCATTGGCAGTGTGTTGGAAACAATTGGATATTGAACATGCAGATATGGTGACGAAACCGAGGCAATTAAGCTTGATGGACCTGCTAATATCGAGCGACAATGTTTCGATATTCATGTCGAGAAGAAATTTAGCTGCATTGGACGACGATGACGACAACTCGTATGGATTTACGGAGGACATTTATGAGCAACCTCCTCAGAACAGTTGGACTATTTTCATGAATCATGTCATGTCCCCTGAACTTCAATCTCTCAGTATTAGCGATTGTCATTTTTCATTGGACATACGATTTGACTGGTGTGAACTTGCTCTCTCCCAACATTGTCCAAATTTGAAGAAAATTGAAATCAAGCTCTATGAAAAATATTGTGACTGGATTTGTGAAAGCATCATTGCGTTACCACACATTGAAAATCTGACTCTGTTGCCACGTAGTGAGATCACAAATGTATTTTACAACTCGGTCATGACTCGACTATATTCCAACCGAACAAAGCAGAATCACCTTGCAAAGCTCAAGCAGCTACATATTCTCGAACACCTCAAATTCAAAGAACCTCTGACTTTCTTGACAGATTGTTCCAACACCTTACAATCCCTGACCATCACTGTTCGATCGAGTGAAGACATTCAATATTTTCCAAGCTCACTAAAAGAGCTCACCATACATTTTGGGAAGGAATTCAATAGCGTTCCTCCAAGCATCAAGTTAAACCATCTTGAAAAACTCGCAATAACTGGAGCTAGAGCCACTCGAGAACAAATTGACAATATCTTGAGAGCTGGTTCAAGCACGTTGAAACATTTGACCATTGATCCAGATTTTGGAATTGAATATCCTGTTCCAAAAGAGCTGCCTTCTCTTAGAAACGTTCGCAGCTGTTTCATACATTCTCTTTCACGACCAGCAACATCAGAAGATTTGACATCTCTAACGAGCTTTCTGAAGATTATCAACTTCACAGTGTTGAATCTGAGTGGATTCTCTGTAAATTACACAAAAAGTATCATTTCCTCACTTCCAAAGTCACTCAATGAGTTGTACCTGGAAGGAACAATCTCTCAACTACCCACTCACATCAAACTTCAAAAGTTTTCATTCACCATTAATGGGCATCAACCTTCGATCGTACACACGATTGATTCTTCTCTCTGGAAAGACTCGTTGAAAGAATTAATTGTGAATGGCAATCCACAACCGAATGGTCCTCTCTCTGACAATATTTCAAAACTCAAAGTGTTAGAAAAGTTAGTTCTGACATCGATTGGATTTGAAACAATTCCTACAAGCATTTACAAACTCAAAAATCTAAAATATCTTGACCTTTCTCAAAACAATTTGAAAAAAGTTTCCAAGCATATTGCATACATGGAAAATTTAGAATTTTTGGACATTTCAAGGAACAAAATTGCCAAGTTTGACATGACCATATTCAAGTTGATGAAAAAATTGGATCGTATCGAATTTGAGTCCAATCCTTTTGTTCCAATTTATGAGTCATCCCTTTCTTTCAAGAATTGGCTATTTTATCCAACATTTAACACCATCTCCACCGCTTGTAAAAATCGATTTTTGGAAAAGAAGAATCACAAACAACTCTATGAAGTGATATCGACTCGAATTACTTGGTTTATTGAGCTCTACAAACATGTTCGATTTGTGGTTTGTTTTGAATATTTTAATATCAAACGACAAAAAACTGAACGCAAGTTCTTTAGAGGTGCCATGGATAAGGTGTATTGCCAGATTTATGAGTGGGACTTGATTCAGCAATAAATTGTTCTCATGAACCCTTATTGATAATGGCATTGGAAAGGAAACTTCTCATCAAGCAAGATGATTACTGACAGACAATTTTCAAAAAAAAAATTCGCAACAGCAAGAGATGGTGTTGGACGATGTCGATGCACCAGAAGGTGTGACTGTCATTCTCGTTAACAAATATAACAAGACTCAAGAATTGAAAAAGAAAGAACATGTCAAGACCAAGAATGGAAGGATTCCACTCCGTGATATTTGTAAGGAATGGAATTTGAGAAATGTTGTTTGGGGTATGTATTGAAAATTGATGATGAAGAAGAGGTTTTCAACAACAATTTATTTTGATACCAATCATGAAATTCCATTGTTGATCATGATTTTAAAAAACTCACACGAATTCTCGAAAATCATCTTCATTATGAATGAATAATAATAACATAATTGTAACAAATATACAGTTGAAACCGATGATCCAGTCACCTATGATGAAAAAACTGGTTTAAGTAGCATTTCATTCGCATTCATGGATACTGTCGTTCTCAAGGGCGACATCTCTCTGATTAACCAAGAGAAATTGGCCAAGGAATATATGGATAAAGAATTCAAAAAGAAGCCTGTCACTTCTTCCTCGTCTCCATCCAAAGGTTTGGATATTGTCGTTTCCACGGAAGAGAAGCCAGTGGCTCCAACCGTGCAACGAAAGAATGTATTGGAATCCTTGGTCAAGAAGACCAAAGCTGCAGAATCCTCGACAGGTGGCAGCACAACATCAACAACAACTTCACCACAAAAACCAGTCGTTGTAACCTCATCAGTCGTTGTAGAAAATAAGAAGCCAAGTACCACCACCACTACATCAGCAAATTCCGAGGATGTCTTGACTCAAATTGAGAAATTGGCTGAACTCAAACAAAAAGGAATTCTTACGGAGGAAGAATACACTCAAAAGAAGAAACAATTACTTGGATTGTAAATTCAAGTTGGAATGAATTGTAAAATGAATATTCTGTATTAAAAGATTGATTTCACAAACACATGTACGGAACTGATTCATTTCTTCGAATGGGATGTCAATTCATCATCATGATTTAATTGAGAGGATTGACAACACTTCCCAAGAATAAATCAAAATTGTGAATTCTGGTAAGTTTGAGTAAGGCTAATAACAGAACCTTGGTCACAACTTCTGGGTCAACTTCTCTCTTCTCTCCAGGAGCCTTCTTGGCCAATACTCGTTCGTTATTGTATTCAATGCTTAGTAACAATTTCCAAACACCTAATGGATCCTTAATAGGATCGCTCTTAATTATTAAATTTTCCAATTCCGAATCGTCTGGGATAACAACAGTTCCTTCAAAAGAGTCCAAAATGTAAGTTTCCAAATCGTCAAAATCTCTCTCAGTGAAAGTTCTGTTGAAAAATCGGGCAGGAATTGTTTCATCAAAGTAGGATTTTGGAGTTCCAACAACGACAAAAAGCGTTACCTTTTCCATGCCTTGTGTTATTGACAATCTTTGTTCAGCATGTTGGAATAATAAATTATTAACTTTTGAAGTAAATCTTCTGACCATGATTGGATAACGAAGAGCTCGATGGAGAGCATGAGTGACATTTTCCAGAGTACCAACCATGCAAACATCACCACTCACTAAATGTTGCAATGAACCACCCGATTGAGAATGAACCCAATTTGGATTCATAATATCAAGATAGGATTGAATGGAGCCATCTAAACCACTGACAAATAATTGGTGTGGAATAGCCCTATTGTGTTGTCATGGAATAAAAAGTGTTCAATGTTAAAACCCAAAGATTCCATCAATAAAATTTGGTACATACTTTTTGATGCTTTGAATGGCTGTTGGTAAATGTTGTGAATTGATGAAACCAGTGACTAGTGTTTCCAATTTATCTCTTGAGTTAATTCTAACAAAAGGATTTGCATTTTGTGGTGTGTTTAGAGGAATTATTTTGTATGTCTTTAGTAATTGCAATACTCTGTTTTGAACTTGTTGTTCTCCGATGACCTAATACATGAAATATATTTTCAAAATAATTTTTGAAAGAAGAAATTTTCAATCAAAATATTTGGAAATACACAACATTATTGATACTCATGATGGAAAATGAAACTTACATGTAACGTTGTAGACATCATTCCCAACAATTCTTGTTGAGCAGCAACAGCCTTCTCCAATTTTTCATACTTCTTTGTGAGTTTATCCATGGACTGCACCAAAATTTCTTGTTGCTTTTCTTGTGAAAATGTTTTATCAATTACTTGTTCGGCATCTGTAATGGTAGTTTTGGATTTTCTTCCTCGTGTTGTTTTTTGTGTTGATGTGTTCTCCGTGTTGCCAGATGTATCCATTGTTGTTGTAGATGATGATTCAGCAGCAACAGTCTTTGGAACCTCCGATGATTCTTGTTCCACAGCAACATCCTTTTTTCTTGGTCTTCCGTTCATCCATCCACTGGTAGAAAAACATCTTACCGAGTTCCAATGATCGGACATCATCCAATTCTTCTTCAAAACCACTACTCTTGAAGAATTAGTCGCAGTGCCAGCCATAGCCGAACAGAAGGAAGAGTAGGACGATGAGGCTTTATTCCAACAAAATAATTGAGAAATGGCCGAAGTGAATAAGGCTTGTTGTTGTTTCTTCATTTTTTTTGAAATTTAAAAATTAGTTAGGGATTAGGAATTAATTATTCAAAAAGCAACTCGTTTTCGTGTCTGCGAAGAGGTGTAACAACAAACATATCCAAACGATCCGAATCATGTCTCGAGAGATTTTTCGAAAATCAAGATTGTTCATTTCGAATTTTTTCGAATTTTATTATTTTTGATAGTACCGAAATTCCTAATCCCTAATATTAATATTACTATTAAAACACGAAATTGTTTTCTAATGTGGACATCATACGATGGTGTATAACATTGAAATTGTCAGACACAAGAAACATCATAAGCATGATTAGGCTTAACTTTGAGAACAATCCTACTCTACTTCAGTTACAACGACCTCAAAGTTAAAGAAATGAAACTGAACCACCAACACTCACAAATTGTCTTTTTTTGTCTTTCATCATGATTTCTACTTCGTGTGCCCTTCCTCACCAACAAAATCGTTCATAAGACGATTTTTTGTTGAAATTCTTCATTTCCTCGAATCCTTGTTTATCATTCAAATTTATGTGAAAATTTCAAAACATTGGAAACAAGTACAGCATTCTCTATGCAACGAAGTTTTGGGTGAGACCAAGCCAAAGTTTCTCTGGAGAAAAGGACTTTCGATGGACTAATTCTAGTCCATTACAATTACAGTGAAGGTGTTAAATAAATGGCTACAACTGAACGTTTGGTAGACCCTCTGATGCAAACTCTTTTCGGGTTTCTTCTGGTGTTTGAAATGAAAACTCGAATTGGTTTTTTCATGTCTCAGAAATGATGGTGTGGCCTTTTATGTTTCAACGGTTCCTGAACTGTTGAATTTCATATCTCTTTCAAAATTAGTGTTCTGACGACAACATTCACGGCAAACAAGACCATAAAATGACAACAACAGACACGATAGTTCCATTAAGTGGCATTTGACATTGACACTTCAAAAAAATACAAAAAAGAAGACCACCACGTGACCACCCTCACACCAACAACAACAAACATAAAAATTTTAGATACCTTTCCACCACTGTTCATCATCAACACATGAACCATCACACCGAAGTCGAACTTGACGTACTGGATGGTGGTAGTGGTCACCACAACAATTTCACTCTTCAACAACCTTCCAATATCAACAATTACCATAATTATAACAGTAACAACAATAACAACATGGCATCAAGTCCACAACAAACCATGGTTGGCTCCCTCGTTTCCTCTTCAACTTCTCCCACTTTGAGTGGTGGTCGTTTATCACAATCTTTATCCACCAATCCATTCGCCACCACTCCTCTGCAGGATCCACTCAAAGCAGAAGTCCAAAAATTTGTCGATAAGAACAAGGATCATCAATGGTTTGGAATTCAATCGAATCAACAAAATTCACAAAAACAATCTCAAGGGACAAGTCCATCACAACAACAATTACTTCAAGAACAATCTGCGAAAGAGAAATTTCTATCATGTTGTTTCAGTTTACGAGTGTCCACATTGGCTACTCTGATTGTCATGTTCACGGTGATGATTTTGGCCTTTGTGGTCATTATCGGAACCATCTTACCTGTGAATTTTGGAGAACTTGAAAAAAAAGATAGTACGAATGCGTCGAAGCGATCGATGAAAGCTCTCTACGATGATTTACGTACCAATTTGGGTGTAAGTATTAGTAGTAGTACAGAATTATGTTCAATCCTCAATCATTTAAAATTGAAATGCAATATTGAACTATATATGATGTATGACATTTGATGTGCTTGTGTCATCTGATGTATTTGTGTGAAATGTATTATTTTCAACATGTTGTTTCATGACACTCACTGTAGAATTTATTACCCTTCTCTGCTTGGACTGAACCCTATAATCGCATCAATGATGTGCTCAACGGAAAACTCAATGCAACTGCCATATTCGATGATTATATGAGTTCAAACTTTCCGAGAGCCATTATGGCATCTTCTAAGGTGAATTGGGTCATTTATTACTTTAAGAATGGAACAAGAATCATTTCAAGAGGTTACAGTTTTGACACTGATACTGTCACATCTGCTCCAGACAGCATTCCAGATTTTTTAAAACAATTATCTCTTTCGAATCCACTCATGTATAATATGGACAAGTCCTATACAAGAAATGGAGGATTTGTGAACTACAAATCACAATTGATCATGCTCTCTGCTGCACCAATTACCATTTCTGATTGGGATAATAATTCTGACACGAATGGTGTTCTAGTGTTTGGTAGAATTATGAGTTCAACCTTTATTAATAGTATTGCAAATAGTGCTCAATTGTGTCTTTCCGTACATTTACTTGATGACACAAGTGACAAGGTGGTTCAAAAGTTTTCGAGTCGAGTGAAAAGTTTGAATGGAACTTATATTTTACAAACATCCTTTGATTGGCCAAATTTGGATGTTTTTGCATTTGACCCATTAGATGCTTCTATGACCCTTTCAAAAAGACAATGCTGGAAATCAGATGGTTCTACTCTCGCTGAGCAAAGATTTGCTTCCTATGTTTTGTTGAATGACATTTATGGACAACCATTAATGATTGCAAGAACTGATATTGCACGTGACGTTTATTTCCTAGGTATTCAATCCGTACTTTTAGCGATTGGTCTCTTACTTTTGGTGTGCTTATTGGCATCCATTGTTGTCATTGTTTTCGTTGAAAAGAGAGTATTGTCTCGAATTTTACGTTTGACAAGTAGAATTCAAGAAATTACTGCATCCAATGATTCAAAACAAAGAATTGCAGTGAAAGATGGACAAACCGATGAGCTTGGAAAGGTTTCCAAGAATATCAATTACATGTTAAATTCATTGGACATGCTGGTCGAACAGCAATTACAAGAACAAGAATTGCTAAAAAAACTTCTTGAAAGAATTTCTGAAGCAGAAGAAAGAACAAGCTCCATCATGAACAGCATCAAAGATATTGTCTTAACAGTCACGGCAGAAGGTGTTGTGACACATGCAAATACTGCTTTTTATGACAGATTTGGATACAGTGCTGTGGATGTTGAAGGAAGTGGTATAATTACTCTCGACAGGTTATTCCCTCAGTTAAAAGACATTGCCAAATCAGGAGATTCTTTAGGACAAGTTATTTTATCATACGATGATCAAATGACACATCCATTTACGGGTCTCACAAAGAAGCGAAAGAACATTGACTTTGAAGCTTACATTACAAAAGCCAAACAAAACAGTAGTGGTCAACACATGTTCGTTTTTGTTGGCAGAATTTCCTCTCAATTATTAGGTACCATTCCTAAATCTGGATCTCTCTTAAGCATGGAAGGAGAATTCGATCGTCTTTTACTCAATCCTGAAGAAAAAGAAAAATTCAAAACATTCTGTCGAAATGAAAAATCTGAAGAAAATATGCTCTTTATGGATGCCGTTCTTGAATACAAATCTCTGAAACAAACACATGAAAGAATGATCAAACAAGAAGCCATTATTCGAACCTTCTTGAAGGGAGAAGAATCTCCACTTGCGATCAATGTGAGTGGAACGATTGTGAAAAAAGAATTAACCTTAATTGAGAAGGGAGTTGGACAATTGGATTTATTTGACAAGTTGTATCAAACGGTGAAGAATAATCTTGCTTTGGATACGTATTCGAGATACAAAATGTTGACCAATAATGCCACTTTGAAATAATATTGATCCCATTCATCATGATGATGTTTGAAAGTTGGGTCAACTTATTTTGTTCATTCCTTATTATACACACCCAGAAAAGGTTGGCGGGCTGTCACCTGTTCATTTGTTGTATTTTTTTTGTAGAACTTGAAACTTTCATCATGTTGACGAGACCTGATCCAAAGGAGGTCATTCGATTATGACCACCATTAGATCCTCCTCCTCCTCCTCCGCCACCACCACCACTGTTGTTACTTCCAGTCGAGGAATGTGACATGGTTGATGTGGAATGATTTGCAGAATCAGAACCAACAATCATTTCAGGAGTGATGCTTGTTGTGGTGGTCATCACAAAACATGAATTTTGTGGGAAGACCATTTGGAGCTCATCTTGTAATTGGAGGAATGTTCTACAAAAAAAATACAACACCATCAAACAACAACATCATCAACAGTGTATACTCCAATTAAAATATATCATTGAATATACAACATGGTCTGGTTAGTGATTACTCACTCCGTATTGGAGAGTTTGAGAGCGGAGAAGCAATTTGATGAGAACATGTCGGTGGAAGAATTGAAGAGAAAATTATATCCCATTGTCGGAACGGAACCTCAATATATGAATTTACAAGTCTTCTCGAATGAAAAGGATGAACAACCAGTGCTGAATGGATTGGATGATTCCCGAACGCTGGCAAGTTATGGCATTCATCGGGATTGTATGCGAATTCATGTCATTGATCAAGATCCGAGCACTAAATTTGTAGGAGAAGGAGAGGAAGAAGTTGAAAAGTATGTCATTAGTGAGGAGGATTATGATAAGAGGGAAGATACGTTTAGAAAATGGAAAAAGAAACATATTGATCCTTATGTGAGCAAGACGGTGAAACCAATCTCTGCCGATGAAGAAAAGTATAACGATGTGAAATGTATTGAGGGAATTACGAAGGACAGTAGGTGTGAATTGAATGACTCCAAATTGAGAGGACAAGTTAAATTTGTTGGAAAAGTTCAATTTGCAAAAGGATATTGGGTGGGAATTCAATTGGATGAACCCATGGGAACCAATGATGGATCTGCCAATAATAAGCGATATTTCACTTGTCCTCCAAAGCATGGAATTTTCATAAGGCCTGATATGGTTACGATTGGAGATTTTCCGGAAGAAAATTACGATCTTGAGGAGTTTTAAGATTGTTAAAATCTATTGTTTAACCTTAATTATTTTTTCATCTAAGTTATTAAAGAACATTCCACTGAGACAGATAAGATTCATTTGTTCATATTTAATAATTTTCAACAATGTCTTGAGCGGTGTCTAGAGTTTAGGAAATGATTATTCTGTTAACAATAATAAGTTTTCACTTTTACTTGATGAATGTGAACACAATGACAAAGGCAAGAAGAAAACCTCCCACGGCATTTCCCAAAGCAGCTGGCACAATATTCCAAGCAAAAGCATCGGACCAGCTTAAATCCATCACATACTTCATCTCTTGTGTCACGAGTGTTGCATTCTGGGTCACGAACGCTTCTCCAAACCAAAATGTGCGAAAAGTATCCAAAATTTGCTGGAGCATGTTGTGGACCCATCGCTGCAAACGCAATGACTGGAATCGCCATACCTGCAATCTTTCCCACTAAAGTGATGGCACTCGAACCCAACAAGGAGGCCACACCAATCATGAAATTTGCAACCATTCCTGAAACAAAACACAAAACCCAGCCATTCACACCTCGGTCTTGGAATGTTTCAATTTTGTAGAGAGTGGTGTTGCTCAAAAATTGAATCAGTGACGTGTTCTGATACCAAATGAGACATCCATTCAATACAGAGCTCATCAACATGGTTCCTAATAGATAACCAACAATGCACACCATCCAATACAAGATTGAATTCACAATCGTCATGAAATGAATGTTCTTTCTTGGATTTGGCAAATGTTTCCAATCGACACCTTGATGGTGACGATTCTGTTGAGTTTCCAAATTCGTTTCGCCATGACTTTCAATATCTTGATGCTGAGGGTGTGAATTGGAAGAGTCATTTAATCTTCCGAAACATCCTCCAAAGAAAGAACAAGAGAGAATTTTCACCACTCGACAAAAGCTTCTTCTCAACATTCCAATCAAATCCTGCTTAAATAAATACACTGATACTGAAATATTGACCTCTGTAAACAAAATGCCCTTACTCAACACAATCATTGTGAAAGAACAAATGAATGAAACTCCAATCATGAGTTTCTGCATGGCCTTACTTGATAAATCACTACACAATAAACCACTCAAAATGGTACCAATCGAAAGATACAATCCACCAATGACAGAGAGAATAAAAATTCTGTAATAAGGATAAGTGTGTAAAACATCATCGCAATGATCATTGATGGCTGTGACAAGTTCGAGTTGAGAGCGGAATTTGTTTTCTCTTTTCACATCGGATCTTCGTAATAAATGTTGTTCGAATTCTTGATATCTTTGAATCAAGTTGTTGCTATTTTTTGAACTTTTTTGGAAATTTCCATGATCGAGGAAGGAAACAAGAATTAAGGAAAATACAAACAGCAATTTAAAGGCTGGGTAAAGTGAATGTACATGGTCTTGTAATTGTACTTTTAAGGAAACCAGACGACGTTCTTTATTCGAGAAGAATTGTATCATTACAATTGTAGCGGTAATCCTACTACTAGTATATATGCATCTCGAGGGACATGGAAAGGGCGCACCCCTACTTCAAGCGATCATGTCCAATAAAAGACACGAGGACTCTTTTGTTCTCCTCTCTTTGACCATTCCATTTGAGCTTCTCCTCGCACTTTCATCGCACGGAATCCTAACTTTTTAATCGAGACTCATCCCATAAGTGAAAATTGAAAGTCCATTTCCGTCCAAAGTCCATGGATCAAATACGATTCAAGAACATTACAACCGCTCAAACGAAATTATCTCTCACACACGATAAATATTCAAATCCATCATTGTTGTTGTATTTGGTCCTGATGGTTTGACGAGAGCGTGCCATCTGACGTTTTTCCTTTCCACTTTTATAATGTCGACAATGAGAATATTCCAAACACACACAACAATAAAAATCAACTACAAACAAGAATGCAAACCTCCTTCACCACATTCACCACTGAATTCCAACATCCACCTGTTCGACCACAAAAAGAATCTCTTCTCTCGAGAACCAGTTCCTCCTCTCATCGAAACGACATGTCCTCTCATCGAAACGAAAACAAACATCAAAAAGACGTCTTCCTCATGAGAGGAGATACGTCCTCTTTGTTTGTTCCATCCTCTTCGTTTCATCATCACCACCAACACCAACACAGAATTCAGAAACCTTCCAAAGTCGCCATTCAATCGTTTTCGAAAACTTCAGACGTCGACATGTGTGAGAGACCAACGTTGATGAATCCGTTGGTGGATAACAATAACCACTCAGAGAGTCATCATCATTCAAACTTGATGATGTATGTGTCACGAAAAGCAAGAAAAGTTCATACTCAACCCTATGAACAAGTCTTGTTGAATTTTGTGCCAACTTTTGAGAAACATCCTCACCGTCTTGATTTTGCACCTCTTCGAAGCACTACCATGAGAAAGAATTCGTTCGACAACAAGAAACAGAAGAATCCACAAGGTCAGAATTCTTTCTTGACGTTGTCACACTCCACTGATCAAGCATGTCAAAAAAACTTGACAACGGTATCTTCTTCTAAGGATGAAACATCAAATCCAACATTGTTAAAGAAGCAAGATGCAACAACACACAAGAAGAGCACAATGACGACTGGACGACGAATGTTGTCCATTCATGAACTTTTGAATTAAAACAAGTTACGAGTAAGCTTCTGTTTGGAAGCTCAGTAAGACATTCATTTTCAAACCTTACATCTTTTTCTTTTCTGCCAATATCTTGTTTCTTTAATTCATCCAATATCTTGTTTCTTTAATTCATATGATTCAATCATTAATTAGATAGTAAGGCCTCGACTTACGTCTGTATATATAGGAGTTTATTCATGGCACTACTGGTATATTACACCAGAATGCGCCTGGTGAGAGAAATAGGAGTTGGTAGATTGATGCTAAGATGTTTGATGTATCCTACGTGCATGTAGTAGAATAAACTCAGATTTCTCGAATCGATTTTAATCGTTGGATTACTTCAAATCTTTAATTCAAGATTTAATAAAAGATTACAAAAAAAATGTCTCAAAAAGCTTTTTCTCCAAATTCCATTCAAAGTAAGATGGAAAATTATCTCGGAAGAAATTATTTTATCTCGAGAAATGTGGTGAAAATGGAGAAATCTTTTACAGGTGCTGGAACGGATGAGCCATCCACCATGTCGGAACCATCATCATCGTCATGGACTATTTCGGAAATTTATTGGGATCAATTACCAAAATTTAAAAAGAAACAAAAATTAGAGTATGGGAGCTTGTTGAATGATTATTGTGAATGGGTGAAAGAGTTGGAAATGAAATGTTCTTTGGAACATAAAATTTCAAATTCTCACTTTGAAGAGCAGTTGAGAGGATTAGAAAATCAATTTTTAAAATTAGAAACAAAAACCAAACAATTTTTTACCACGCACAGTATTTATCGAGGTGGTGATATTGAAAAGCAATTTTACAACTTGTTGGACATTGTTCAAAAATTGTTGAAAATTACATGTTTATTTATTGAGGAACGTTTTGGAGGAGATTTGCTCCTGTCAAAAGTCAATCAATCCGTGATGAATCATGCTCAATCATTTACCACTGAAAACAACTCTGAACGAGGATTATCGACTCATTTGCAATTAATTGAACAAATTCTTCAAGAACACGTCGCTCGAGTCATGTCACGAATTGACCAATTCGAACAAGTTAAGAAATTAGAATTTGATTCAAGTGTTGTCGTCTTGCAACGAGTTGAAAAATATTCACTGTAGAGATGTATGAACAAAATGGTGCGCAATGAATCATTATGATTGTATTGGAATTCACACGATCAGAAAATTAATAATTTAATACATTCACTCTCTCTGTTTTGTCAAGGTCATCCTTAAAATGTCCTTCAAGTAGGGTGAAATTGGAGAAATGGAGCTCCTAATCATTCACACATTGGAAACAAGTGAAATTCAAGGAGTAATTCAGAAAGATAATTCAAAGTCTAATCAATTAAAGATACATCAATTTTCAAATGTTGACAAGTTATGCAATATCATATCGTTGTTATAAGTTTGCATTTTGAAGGAGAGAACCAATCTCATTCCGAACCAAATTACCAAATGTGAAATATATTGAACAATGCCAACCTATTTATAGGCTGTTAACAAAAAGGGCAAAAATTATTGAGGTACCTATTTAGTGACTTTTGGCACGTCTGTAGATTCATTCCTATTAGGGAAGTAGAAATTCTTATCGTGTGTTTAACTTCCGCAATCTCGGTTCTTATCACAAATGGTAACGCTATGTGTCTTATTCCTTTCAAATTGTGTTTGGAAAATGAATCATCAAACAAGAAGACATATTTTCAAAATGGCAACAAAGCTATCCCAATTTGTCATCAAGAATTCATTTCACGTTCCACATCTTTCCATTTTCATAAACGTTGTCCCAAATAATCATTCTGTTCACATGGGCATTTAATGTCGACATGGTCACTTACCTGATGATGGATCCCTAATGGTGAAACAAGTCCATAAATGTATCAACCAATGTTTCTGACACTCGAGTTCATATCCACAAAAAAAAACAATCCTCTCTCAACACACTTTGCTTCTTCCACACAATTTTGTTCCTTCTCCAAAAAGCCTTTCAAGATTCAGTTGTTTCTATAATATGTCCTTATTCAACACTCGTTCCTCCTCCTCCTCCAACCTTGAAGACTCTCTTTGTTCATTACTTGAAAGTATGAAACGAAAGCCTTTGGAACCTTCATTCCATGAGAATGAAGAAGAATTCAAAGAAGGCTTTTCCTCAAACAACTTGTCTTCCTCCTCTAAATACTTTTCCTATACCTCCTCCTTGACAGTTTCAACCACTTCCATCACCTGCTCCTCCTCATCTTCTTCCTTCGACACATTCAATGTGGAGAATTCTGTCCTTACTCCAACTTTTGAGAGATTGTTTGAGAACACTGTTGTCGAACAACAACATTCACCAACCATCTTCTCATCATGGGATGAAGATCATCATATCTTCAATGACATTCCAGAAATTTCAGTGGAGACTCTCGAGCGAGTTTCGTGTGGATGTGATGTGTGTTCTCGTTCTTCTTCGTCATCAATGACCCACTCGACACAAAGCCTTCCTGAATCTGACGTTTGGCAGCCATTGACAAGAAACTCTTTGGCATGGAGAGCTTCTTGTCACTTGCATCAACACAACCCTTTGAACAAACATGGTGCAGAGAATTCCATCTCTTCGCAGCAGCAAACTCTTAGATGGAATCCCTTTCTTCCTCATCTTCCAGGCGATGCGAAAACCATTTTTGGAGAATCTTCCGCTTCTGTTGACCGTGTGGATTCATTTGATGAATCAACAACCTTGTCATCATCAGTAGAACAAGAACAACAAACTCCTGTAACAGCAATGCCTTCGACACTTCAAACACCTTTGATTGGATCAAAGGAGGAATTTGAAGGCGAAACATTTGTTCATGAAAGTTCTTCAAGACAAGAACCACTTATTTCTTTTTCGAAGTCGACTCAAAAGAATTCAAAGATTATGAAACCCAAAAAGATGTTGCGAGCTTTGGAAATTCCAATGAAGTCCATTCCTCTTGGTGTAAGAAAATAAATGCTTGTATCAAGTTTTCATTAAATATTTTAATTCTCTCATTTTCAAATTTTCACTAAGAAGCTTGAAAGGAACCTTTTTAACAGGTTCATTCAATTGATAGGAAGAAAGACGTCTTGCTATACTATCATCAATATAACAAAGCTCTTTAATAATTTAAAATTAATCTGCACTTATTCTTTGTTCAGAGGTAACAATAAAAAGACTCTCATCCTGTTTTCTGGTTTCATCAATTGAATTGAATTCTTTTCATTTCTTTCATCCTTCCTTAAAAGATGAAACAATTCTTCCTTCCATTGGATAAGGAATTTGTAAAGAGGACCTTGTGATGCAATCGCTAGCGATGGACATTCTTGTAAGTGGTTGCCGCACAAGAGGATGCAGAATGTCCTCATCGCCATTCTCTTCATCTTCCTGCTTGTGCTTGTGGACACATGACCAACATTCGAACGTTGGACGAAGATGGAGCCGAGTCTGATCGTCATGTCGAAAAGAGCAAATCATACCATTGTCATCCTCATGACATGAACCGCCACAACCACACGATACTTGTGAAACTCTACTTTCAAAAGATATTTCATCCTCAAGTGCATTGTGGTGATCACTAGGGCTGTGGTGGTGGTATTGGTTCATGGCATGATGAACGGCCTTGTGTTCGTCTTCTTATGAATCTTTGGCCATTAATTGACCACGTCGAGTGGAGAGACCCTCATTCTTGTCAAACAACATTTTATGACTTCTTGTTCTTCTTTCTTTAAAGTGAAAACAGTGCAATCGAGGTGCCAATTAAATCTGGATTCACTACAAATTCTTGGCTGCTGGATTTATCTAAAGTTCTGGAAGTCAGCAGGCTGACAGCCATCTTTTTCGGCTGTTCGCTGCAGGTTTGATGAGGCCCTTGGCAAATCAACAGTGGACGAAGAGGACAACCGTTGAAGAGACTGGTTAAATAAACACAAAGACGAAACTAAAATGAAACAATAACACTCATTTACATTATATTACAAGTTGATCTGTCTCCATAGATTATGCGTTCCAAATTCTCGGCATGCTTTTTCAATTTTCGAATATTTTCAATTGCCTTCCTAGTTTCTCTTGCATCAGAAGGAACAACTTGAAATTTTGAACCATCTTCAGAAATTTTGTCGAGGTTGTTCTTTAAATTTACCAAAATGTCTTCATATGCAATCAATTTCTGTTCATGGCTTCCAAATCCAATTTATGGAATACATAAGCACCAGCAGCACTACCACCAACCAGTGCCAAACCTGATGTTGCTAAACTAATACCTCCTTTAACACCAGCTCCACCGATAACCTGATTCACGCCAGGCATGGATGGATTTATAAACATCAAAACACCAATAACAATTAAACAAATACCAAAAAACATGAGCCCACCAAAACTAAGATAAGTCATAAGTTTCTCCTTTTTTGCATCTTTTACCTTCTGAAGACTCTTGTTCAACGTTAATCTCAAACCCGAAACGTCTTCACAGATATTATTGGCATCTCCTGCTACAAGGATCCATTTTTCCAACGGTTCCATTAATAATTCTTTAACGTTAATTTGGAGATTTTCATTTTGTGAATCATATGCTTTAGCCCTTATCCATCATTAATTTGAATATGTTTTATAACTCACTGTGTGGAATTTTGTTATTAGATTTAAATTGATGAGACTGACTTGTGAAAGAACCATGATCAGAGCGGAAGCAGTGAACATGACAATGTGTGTTGTAGTGAAGAGTACAACCATGAATTTGCTGAAAAATCAATACTATGTGACGTCAATGATGTCTACGTGATGATGAATCGATTATGTGAGTTGTTCTGTAATATTTGAAAGACGAAAGTGAAGCTCGGTTCAGTCCCATTAGTCATTCCAAATTCCAAAGCATGTTCCTTGTTTCATTAGTGGTTCCAAAATTCATAAAAATTAAAACATTCCTTAAAGTTTGGGATGTTTCAAAGGTATTGGGTGGTTTCAAAGATTTTGGCGCGTTTCAAAGAATCCGAAACATTCCAAATCAGCTTCTTTTCAACTTAGCTTGGGAGTTTCAAATAAAATTTTGAATTGAAAAAAATGTCTCTCGATATCAGCAAAGAAGACGCTGTGAGATTGAGGGAAATCGAGGTCAAAAAATTGGTGGCCAATGAATGGAAGGTATTGCATGAAGAGCTGCCAATTATTCAGAAATCAAAAGGTAGAAAGGATATCAAGGATATTCCTACAATGAATAGAATTAAAGAAATAGTCTGTCAAAGAATTGGATATGTTGCTACATTCATCTTCTTACATACTGTTGGTACTATCTGTGGATGGTTAGAAGGTCCTTATCGTAATGTGGACAAAATCTTATTAATTCTTTACATGTTACTTGAAAATGAAACATTCGGATCCTTAAATGAGAGGAGAATTATCGCAAGGTCTACAATATGGAGAATTCATCACACAATTTTCGTTGAATTTTATGACCAACTTAATGAATGGGCTGACACTTGTTTGCAAAGAATGTTTTCAAATCTTATTATTCGATGTCTTACTGGTATAATTGAAAACGAAAAAGGCTTCAAGGATGGAACCACTTTTTTAGATGGTCATGATACACGTATTGAATATAGTAATTTAGCCAAATATCCTAAAAGGGAGTATTGGAGTTACAAATATAAAGATTCTGGATTAAGAACTCAAGTATTGATGGATAATCAAGAATTAGCAATTGCTATTTCGAAATCCCTACCATGTGCTCCTAATACAGACATTGGTATGTTCAAGCAAATGGAGAGAATTCCAAAACTATTAGATCCTAGTGTGGATGTATTGTATTTTGATGGTGGTTATTTCTTGGGAATTCCTGATTATATTGAAAAATTGCAAGAAAAAGGATATGATTTTGATGAGTCAAATTTCAGAACTCCAATTAGAAAACCAAGAAATCAAGATCTAACATACAGTGAAGCACAATATAATGAAGAATTTGGTGCTTTTCGTGGTATGATTGAAACATTATTCTCTCATATTGGTGAGAAATTCAAAATTTTCAATCCTCATTCAGTTGCTAAAATGAGTGGAGATTTGGAAAATGTGTGGAATTTAAAATTGCATTTGTGTTGTTTGACATTCATAGATTCGTAGAAAAATATAATATTCAAGTATTAGATCACCACAAGGAATGAATGCGTTCAGACTTTGATTTTCCTATAGAAAAGCCAAAATTATTAAGACCCTCTGTTAATGTTGTCCGTCAAAAAGAATATGCAGAGGAAAAAAGAAAAGCTCAATGTAACCTTATTGCTAAAATGTTGACAATGAGTGACACTGAATTAATGACACTATCAACTCGTGAAATTCTAGAATATTCACATAATTCTAATCCAGTACAAGTCGGTGATGAAGGATCAGAAAGCGGCTCGGATAATGAACTTCCAAGAAATCTACAAGAAAGTGATTCTGATAACGAAGGATCTGAGAGCAGTTCTGATAATGAAAGATCCAATTCGCAAGCCTCAAGATCAAGATCAGAAAGCGATTCGGATAGTGAAGGATCAGAAAGCAGTTCTGATAATGAAGAAAGATTGATATCACCAAGAAAGACACAATTCCCAAGAATAACCTCAGGCTCGGAAAGAAGTTCACAAGACTACACACCACAAAAACTTCCACAAAAAACTCCAAAATCAACTCCACAACCAAGAACTCCACAACACACCCCTATCCAAATCCAAAGGCCGGCTCTGCAAGCATCATTTAAAAAAGTTCAACAGCCAACAAAGAAGAAAACAAACAAACCAAACACTTCGGAACCTTCTTTCGGTATTGGAAAACGGCAAGCCAAACCAACAGCTGCGGCTAATCCAGAATACTACTCACCACAACAAAAGAAGCAAAGAAAGTCAACAAAACAGTAATATAAAATTGTAATGATATTTTTTTGAAGTTGAAATTCCCAAGCTAAGTTGAAAAGAAGCTGATTTGGAATGTTTCGGATTCTTTGAAACGCGCCAAAATCTTTGAAACGCCCCTGAATCTTTGAAACCACCCAATACCTTTGAAACATCCCAAGCTTAAAGGAATGTTTTAATTTTTATGAATTTTGGAACATGCTTTGGAATTTGGAATGACTAATGGGACTGAACCGAGCTTCTCCAATCAAACAGAAGGAACATTTTTGGACACCTGTTGTCATAAAAATCAATTGATCACATATTTGTGGGAGAGGTAATTACAATCTTCATTTCGTTTCGGGGTATTTTTTGTTGTAGTTGTGATTTGACCTTTTTTGTTGAACATGGACAGATTGGAATCCCTACAATAATGTATATCTTATTCCCAAATGTGGTTGGATGTATATTTGTCAAAAGGAACGTCATTGAATACCCTTGATCAGGAATAATTTCTAATGTGAGAGATTGAGGAGGACACTTGCAATATGGAAAGTCATTGTTCCTTATTAAATATTTCATCCTAATTCATGGTCATCAGTCCTGATCAGATTTTGGCAAGCAGATATGAGGCCGATCGTATGTCATGACTTGTTCTTAAATATAACATTTATGAATCCTTAAATATTTCATTCAGAAAAAACAACAACAACTTTCATAAATTACCAAAAAGACTTCTTTCATGGACCTTCTTTTATCCTCCTCCCCATCGACAATTACAACAATCACTGCTTGTGAAATTGGTCACAACAATAATGATGATGAACTCTTTCATACCTTGTTGGAAGCAGGAATGAAACGAAAACCTTTAGAACCAAGTTTCTATGAGGAAGATGATTTTGAAAAGGAAAGGGTCCATGGTTCGAACGATGTCGGTGTTGTTGTTGTTGTTAATCCTACGACGAATGAAGAAGACTCTCCTTCACCCATTCGATGGATGCCTCTCACTCTTCTTCTCTCTGATTGGAATCCTAAAAAGGAAATTGAAAAACAAGAAGAAGGGGATAGGAAGAAGAAGGAATGGAATTTTGGTATTCTTCCTCATGTTCCATCCAGTGTTGTTTCAGATCACTCCCAACAACAAGATGAGTATTTGATTGTGGATTCATTCATTCCATTGGATTGTGGAATTGAGGAAACAAATAACAGACAAGAGAAGCAATTATTTGTTCCAACAAGAGTCAAGACGATGAAGAATCGACCACTCATCATGAATAACAAGGGATCATCACTGATTCAGAAACCTAAAAAGATGTTGCGATCATTGGAAATTCCAAAGAAATCCTTTCTACGACTTGATGTTCGAAAATAAAAATGTCACAAACTTTCTTAGAAGTGTGTTGTATGACAATCCTCTGATGCATGTTGATAAAGTCAAAGGCATTAAATTGGCCAATGAAGTCTGGATGTATTCATGTGGTATTCAATAAGGATGACTCTGATAAGACAGTCCTAAAGATAATGGTTGCAATGAGGAGATAAAAGATAAATTTGGAAATTACCTTCGGTAGTTTAATTCCTGATTTGGAAAAATAAAGGACTTTTTTGCGATAAAGCGAGATAATTGGAAATTACCATTGTTACAAAATGCATCTGAATGAAAATACTTAAGGAAAGTACCACCATCGAAATTTATCATCCTCTGACATGTTGCGAATACACATTCTTCACTCTCTCTCCTGTTTGTATTTATTAAAGTAATTTGAAATTCCTTTTTTTACAAAATCCATTTCCCTCTTGTCTCTTCTCATGGTTCTCCTTTCACGGTTCACTTGATTCCACTCCTTCGTGATCCTATTAATGCATTGATGATCTTTTTGCCTTCGTTGAATCAAGAATTCACAATTAAGAAAAAACACTCCGCCAACGACTCCCTTATCGTGTTTTTATGATCATAAAAAGGGAAGACTTTCATCCATTGCATTGCACACACTCACACTCACACATTAATCATTGCTCTTTGTTGAATATATAACTCATCATAGAGATTTGAGAATGAAGACTTATTGGTTTGCCAAGACAAGTTTCTATTTCAATACTGAAACCATCACCACCACTTGTGATGATTGGAATGCTTCCCAAGAGGAACGACATGTCCTCCAAAACTTGCAAGTTCCTCCTGGAGATGAAAGATCATCTTTCGAGAGTCTTCTGAATCTTCTTCCCGGGAGTGTCTTGTGGTTGTAGTTGGCCAAGTGATCTTGTGGAAGGTTGCGAGGGTGATGGTTGTCAGGATGATCATGACGAGGATGACTTTCAATACAACTTGTCGAAGGATGATCCATGTCCTTCTTCTCTTCCTTGTGTCCACAACGCGAAAGAAGAAGAAGGAAAGGATCATGATGAGGAGCAGCATTGTGTGTGGCAACCACTCACAAGAATGTCCTTCAAGAACGAATGGAATCGTTCTTCAATCATCAGGAATCCACACAAGAGAATTACAACCATCACCACCACCACGAAAGGATCACAAATAATACCTTCTCTAATGGAACTTCTTTTGATTGGATCAAAGGAACCAGAAGAGGACGATGATCAAAAGGAAATTCACTTGAAAAGCTGCTCCTCGAGATGTGATGATGATGAAGAATTATTTCGTCTTTTTGGGAAGACAGAAAGAAAGAGTTTCAAAATCGTGAAACCCAAAAATAGGATGAGAGCTTTCTTAAAGGTGCATGTGAGGAATAAGACCATTTTGAAATAAATTGTATTGTTGAATATTTATATCTAATAGGTCGTCGTCATATGATGACATTGATTGAACCCTAATATGTCCAATACCTAATCACATCTTGAGCTTTTCAAGTGAATTTATCAAACTTACAACGTGCAAGAGAGGAATTTCATGAAGGAGGAAGTGAAAGGATTGAAATTATTTTGGAAAACGAGCAATTGGATGGTTGTTGTTATTGTTATCATACTTTAGAGAAAACAACACCAAAAAATGACGGAAAGCTCATCACTCGCTGTCTTGTTGAGACGTAACCGACCCGGAACGAAAAAGAAGGAATTGTTTGCCTGGGAGAAGAATGAATCGTCATCAACAACATCGGGTGTGTTGATACCATCATCTTCTTCAAGTAAATCATCCTCTTCTGGTGATCTGAATGATAAAACTGAAAATGAGGATCATGATGATTTTGATAATCCTTTGATTGTACAGGAAATTATTCAAAAACAAATTAGAAAGAGCAACAAAAAAGTGAAGAGAATTATATCCATTCCGAAAGTTGGTGGAAAGGGTGATGATGGTGATGGCGATGAAAACACCGCTGCTAGCTCAGGAGGAGAGCCCGCTGTGGACAAGGATGTTTGGATCTATGAACACATGAGACAATTTATGTTGGAAATCAATTTATTCATTCTCGCACACAAGGACGTATGTACAAAAGAAACACAACCCGAAATGAAAATATCATCGAACATGCTGAACAATCCGAAAAGTAACGAAGAACTCATGTATTTGTGCCCTGTTTTTACACCACCAGAATCTGTTCCAGCCATTGATTATATGGTTCACATTCATACACAATCAACAAGTGTTTTGAATGATCCCAAGCTCTTCCCTTCAAGAACACAAATCTCCAAGAAGGCCATGAAAGAAATCAAGACTCTGTGTCGAAGAGTTTATAGGATTTTTGCCTTCTCCTACTATGTACATCCCGAAGAATTCATTGCATTTGAAAAGAAGACCCATCTTGCAGAGCGTTTTCAAAGATTCCTTAAAAAGTATGACATGATGAGCTCCAAGGACTTCCTTATTCCTGATGATGCTTTCAAAGCATGAATATTGTTGTATGGTGTGCACGATGCATGTAATTTAGTATGTACAAACTAAATTGTAAATTAATGAATTTTAACTGTTGTTCAATATATTTCCATTAACTGTATACAGTAGTTAGTCCATCAATTAAATACGAATTGTTCTTAACAAATATGAGTGACAGCAACCTTCATTATTGAATAAGGAAAAATTGAATTGATTTTTCCACTAAACTCAGCGATACTACTGGTTGCTGCTTGCATGTTTCTTTATGGAAAAAGCCGTAATGGCTGCCACCACAATCACACATCCCAAAATGGAAACCAAATTATCAATCCATTCTCCCAACACGACGGATGAGAGAATCAAACCAATCACAATACGAATGGGAAACATGATGGAATAATTCGAACTTCCAATCTCTTTGGCACTCCACAATTCCAACACGGCGGCTACCAAACGATTCATCACCATGAACCAAATGAACATGAGCCACCGAATTGTGTCGTATCGTGTAAAGACTGTCCAATCTTGATACATGAACATGGGTATGAGGGGCCACAAGACAAGTAAATACTTTTGAATGTAGAACAAATCTTCGGGAGAGATTTCAGGTGCATCATTCCCATCATCATTCTCTTCTGTTGGAGTTCTGGTGATCATGATGGAAGATGCCTCTTGCTGCAGCTCTCCATCGTGAGGAGTTTCTGCATCTTCCATGCTGCCATCCCATCGATGCCATTCGGATCTCTCTCGAGCACTGAGTAAGGGTTCTTGCATGGAGGTTCTCTTCGAAGAGAGTGACGTTGATTCCTCATTGAAAGCTTCTCTTGAACTCTGGATTTCCATGCTGTGAGGATCTTCTGCTGAATCAGAGTCGTCATATTCATCAACATCAACATGAGACAATTCTCCCTTGGTAGTTTTTGCGTGGTTCATCACGAGGGCCATACTCGATTGAGTTTCAATCATGAAGACTCTTTCTCTGAAGGAAGGACTTTGAGAAGAAGCGTTGGCTGCAATTGAATGGCTATCCTCAGAAGAACCGGAGACAACTGCCTCTTCCGTTGTTGCCCTAGTAGAAGAATGGTTCAAAGCGATGGAATTCTTTTCTTCACCTGTTTTGGAAGGAGCCAATTTGTTGACAGCATTCAATTTCATGGAAAAGAAGAAACTTGAAAGCAATGAAAAGATCATACCAATGAAATCATTGGGCCATTGAAATCCACGTCCAATTTGAGAGAAATCTGGCCACCATTTCCATTGAAATTCAACTGGATTTCCGTTCGCATCTTCTGTGACTCGAGTGGCACTTGCCAAAATGATCATGACAGCACCAGTCACTGTAAAGATTAAGGTCCACAAATCCAACCATGAAAACCTTTCAGTTTTGAACACAACAATTCCCATAAAACAAATAATGAAAGGACTAGTCAGCAAGATCAATTGCACATAAGTGGAGGATGTAAAAAAAGTGGCAAAACCTCTCAAACTCGAACCAAGCACAATCGAGATTTGATACAAACACATCATTCCGATTACCTTTCGATGGCGATATAATAACTTTCCAAATCCTCCTGCTTGTCGAATATTCGACTTGACTTTTTCAATGACACTCATTCGACCATATTTGTAAAGCATTCGAGGAGTATACAGAAGGAGAGCTCCCAAGTTGGATAAACACAACAAGGTATAGGGTTGAATGGCCATTTGTTTTCCTCCATAGTGAACCAGATATCGAGAAAGAACCTCATTGGTGGACATGATGAAATGTGTCATTAAGGCACACAACCAAAAGAAGAGGAACCAAAATGTACGTCGGAGACGATGTGGTGTCGATCGATGATGATGATGATGGAGGTGATGATGATGATGGTTGTGATGATGATCAAGATTACTTTGGAGGAAACGAGTCGAGGAGGAGGAAAGTAAGTGGGTTGGTTCTGTTATTAATTCATCCTCCTGAGAATGATGGATGGAAGAACTCATCTTGAAAGTATCATGACTCTTCTCCGAGTAGTCCTCTTTATTGTTGTTATACTGATTCTTTCTCAATGCTGCTGAAAGGGGTGACCATTCATCATGATCCTCGTTCATGGTTTTCATCTTCAAGGAGGAGGAGGAGGATGGAAGGACTGAACGATCTGCTTCGACGAACCGATTCATGAATGTCCATGAGGATGTTGAGGATGCTGATGTTGAGGATGGAAGCAGATCCATCTATTATCGTGAGATTTTTTGAGCGTTTCACACAATGCCTTAACCGTAAGGCGTGTGGAACTTGGGAACTTTCGTGTTCCATTATAAAGTAAAGAGATCTTTCATCGCTGCTGGCTGCCATGGCCACCGAAAAACAATGACTGCCGATTGGAACGAATGGCTCGTTGTGGAGCCAGTTGGAGTCACCTGTCACAACAGTAGATGTTCTTTGAATCATTGCCATCACACTCTGACAAACGAGATGCCATTTGTAGTGAGCTATTTCTTTACAAACTCTATCCTTGACCTAATCGATCTTTGTCATGTCCATAAATTGAAAAAAAAGCGATTCATGCAATCTCCATAACAATCAACCACCAGAAATTGATTTGGCGTTCCCAAATCAAGATGACAAATGACATTTTGCAATGAATGATCTCCAAAAAAAATGTCTTCACAGCGATCGCCACTCAAACAAATGAAACAACACAACACCAACGACGTCTCCAAAGATGTCGCCATCTTTTCTCAATGGATCAATTCTCGATTGAAAGAAAATCCTCAAACGAGTCATCTCTCTGTCACTAATCTTTTCCAAGATGTCAAAAGTGGTGTTATTTTGTGTAATCTCTACAAAATTCTTTCACAAGACTCTTCATTCACCTACAACCAGACACCAAAAACCGATTTTCACATGATGGATAATTTACAAAAAGTCATCAACCAAATGAATGATTATTTAGAATTCCAAAATGCAAATAGTATTAAATATTCCGCGGAGACAATTTTCCATCAATCGGAAACACACGTGTTGGGACTTCTTTGGCAATTTATATTGAGATTTGATATTAAAGAAATTTCTGAAGATGGTAAGTGAATGTCTTGTTTACGTTGAAAATCATCAATAACGAAGAATGTGTCAAACAACATCATGACGTGATTGAAAATTCTTGTTTCTTTGCAATTTCCTTTTTTGAAACACAACTCACTTCTCAACTTTCTATATTGAAACACAATTGGAAATTTGTACTTTGACGAATGCACATGACAGGAAGAAGTGGTGAAGAGGCTCTTCTCTATTGGTGTCAAAAACAAACGAAAAATTATTATCCATTTGTAAATATTGTGGATTTTGGAAAATCATTTCAAGATGGTCTTGCATTTTGTGCTCTCCTTCATAATTACCAACCACAATGGATTGATTTTAAAGCTCAAACAGAATTGGAGGATCCAAAAAAGACGTTGGAATTGAGTTTTGACTTGGCAGAAAAATATTTAAATATTCCAAAATCGTTAAATGCCAATGACTTGTTGGGAACATCGGTGATTGATGAGAGAATTGTAATGACCTATGTCTCTAATTTTTGGAAATTAATGTCTCCTATTTCAAGAAATAGAAAGGATAAAAAAAAAGTAAGTAATTTCCATTTTTGTATATATAAGATCTTATCTATTTCAACCATTTCCATATTTGCATCTCGCTATGAAACACTGAAAACATTTCACACATTGAATGATTCATCAAAATAGCATGTCGTCGACGAATCATCAGTCAATTCCTCTTTCAAATCACCAAGAACATTCTTTTCCAAGAAAAGACAAACTCATTCCGTCTCTCCAACCTTTTCCTTTCGTTCGTTTATTGAAGTGGGTTTGGGTGTGAGTGATGTTCGTATCGATTACAAAAATCAATTCATTCTCGTCACAGATTATGAACACAATCGAATTAACATTTATGATTTGGAAAGTAAGGAATTTAAGGCATCGTTTGAAACTCCAAGCACACCTCGATATATTGCCGTGCATTACGATGGATTGGATTCTTCTCAACATGGAAATGAAATGAATGTTACATCTCCTAGAAATGGTAGTACGAATGGAAGTGGTGGCAATACGTTTGTCATCGTTTCACTCAGTGACGACACGGTACGAAAATATCAATTGAATTTGGAAGCAATCAAGAAGAATGCTACGGATGAAATTGCAACCTGTGTTTGGATATGTGGAACTAAGGGAAGATATTTCAATCAATTTGACATTCCACTTGGTGTTGCTGTGCATCAGGGATTGGTTTATGTCTGTGATTTTGAAAACAACAGGATTCAGGTTCTGGATGCTATGAGCGGAGAGTTTAAAGCTCAATTTGGAAGATACGGACAGAGTAAGGGTCAATTCTATGGACCACACGACATTGATATTGATTCGAATGGAAATTTAGTGGTGGCTGAATGTTGGAATAACCGAGTTCAAGTGCTGTCAAACACTGATGGATCACATCTTGATTTTGCAAATGGAAATGTTGAAATCCTCCATCCAAGAGGTGTCACTGTGGATAGAACTTCTGGAAACGTCATTGTCAGCGAGTACAGCACTCACAAAATCCATACATTTAGCTCTGATGGAAACTTATTGAGCACCTTTGAGGGAGATCAACAAAACTTCCCCTATGGAATGTGTGTGAATGAGTGGGCTGGTGAATTGTTTGTCGCTGACTATGGTTATGGTAGAATTCAAATTTACAAGTAAAAGTATTGTTCATTAAGAGTAACGCTCTTTTTATCATTCACGCTTTCTCTAGATCCATTCTTCTATTGTTGAATTTGTATGAATGGAATTTTGTTCGTGTCACAATGTGAACTTTTTTTTCCAAACTAATTAGAAATACATTTCACTAGTGAACCATGATCTTACTGCTCTTTTTTCATTCTTCGTTTGTAATCTTTTGGCGACTCGCTCGTACTTGCTTTTGCCCACATTCCCTTCTTTGATCGTTTTGCTCTTTCCTCAAGCGCCTTGTAATACATTTTATACCTTTTGTTCTTTTCAGGTGAGCCCTCAATGTAAACTTCTCCTTCTCCTTCATAACACACAGCATATCCTTTTTTTAACATGTATTCACTCACATTGAGTCGCTTCATCCACAGATAGTACCACCATTTTCTGACATATACTGAACATACAGCTCTTCCATATTGATCTTTTTTCAATAAATAGACATTGACTTTGGAATTGAGTAGAAATTTGGTGAGCCATTCTTTCACATGTTCTCCATAGGGTTGGCCTTAAATATTATAATTAATAAATTAATATTAATTAATATTGAACATAATTATATCCATCCGAATAATCGAATAATAATAATTGAACATGATCAACCATACACGATTGAAAAAAATCAAAATTCATGTACATGACGAACATTCAAATTGAATAGTTCATAAAAATGGATTGATCAGGATCATTCGATTGACCTTCTCTTTGAATATTCTCCACAAATGAATGAACATCATGATCACCTACCTGGCATTCCAAAATGAGCACATTCTGGAGCATCAATTCCAGCCAATCGAACATGAATCGTTTCCTCACTGAGAGCTTTCTTTTTCTTCATGGGTAGTAGTGAATAAATTGGACTCAACAATGGCGGAAAATGAATGATACGAAAATTATCACTATCTCCGACATGAGGCACTCGTCCAATAAGCTTTCGTTGAGATGAGAAATCTTTTTCTGTGAGTTGAGCATTGGATTTAATTCTCATGAACTGTATTCATATATGTATGAAATTTTTGAAAGAATTCATAATTTTCCAAATCAAGTAATTTCATAAAAATAAATAATGATCATTATTCAATCATGTGTTGATGTAATTGATTCATTCGCAAGTAGTAAATCGTATCATCAGCACTGCTCCATGAGAAAATTTCAGAAACCTACTCCTGTCCTGTAAATTTTTCTCCCAATTCCATAAAGTAACAAAGTGGATGCAGCAATCGTTGCGTTATGAATCAACGAAGGTGAGAGATGGCTTTCCACGTGTTTGGAATAGAATGGAAGAATTTGTTCTCGATACAGTCGCCGATCCAAATAATCGTAGGTTCCGCTTGTTTTCATTTGTGTCCATCCTGCTTGCAGTTGATGAGAAAGATAAGCCTTCCATTGGAGGAGCACTTCTTTGGTTGATGACATTTTTAAATTTTAATATTTGTATTAATATTAAGATCTGAATCACATATGGAATTGTTAAATATATTGTCAAATAATAGAGCTAAAGTGAATATTTATTCACAAATAATAATAGATGAGGTTGTGAGGTCAGTGATGATGAATTTAGAGAAGAATGACTTGTTCTCTCACGTACTGTGCAGAAATCATGGCTTGTAGAATGGAGGCGCCAACAGCACTGACAGTAATATAAATCAAGCTGTAAAAGTTGTCCAAGTAGAGAGAGAATGCAATGGTGAGAATGGCAGAGAGAAGACTGAATGGGAGTGACATTAAAATTGGTCGAGTATTTGGTTTGTTCAATCTCATAAGGAATCTAATGAATAAGATATGACTTGGTAATGTAAGGATCAGGAGAAGGAATTTGAGGGCATACTGTGAAATCATTCCATCAAATGAAGTGTTGGGAGAGGTTGCAGATGTGCTGAAGAAAAGAATGGTGTCAATCATGAAGAACATTGCCATGCAAACTTCCATTGCAAGCAAAACCACAATAAATCTCAAGCTGTCCTTGAATTCAGACAATAATTGGCTGTCTCTATTGAGAAGCAAGAAAATGCAACAGAATAGCAAGTAAGCTTCATATCGATCGGGATTCAACCAAGTTGTCAATGCAATACACAACACAAAGCAAGCCACAGTAGCACCATTGTTGACAACAGATAACTCATCCGATCCTGGAACAGATAGATATGGATCAATTGTTTGAGAGGCACTCTCACTGTCATTCTTCACATTCAATACTTTGTTGGCCTTTCTAATTCTGATTAGAGGATATCCAATGAGCTTGAATTTAATCAGGATTGCAATGAGGGCTGACAAGGCACAATACAAACCCAGCACTGCAATTCTGGCACTCTTTGTAAGCTCCGTCAAAACAAATGAATAAGTACTTGGATGCAATGACTCAGCCTTGAGGAAGCTGTTCTTTTGTTTGAGAGATTCTTCATCAATAGAAATTGACAAATAGGTGACTGGAAGAGTAATGACAAAAGCAGCAAACAAGAATAAGGATGGTTGATAGGAGTGATTGAGAGGGAAGTGAGTCGTATAAATCACTAGGGCAGCAATCACCATTGTAACTAATATCGTCAAATGAGTCCAAATTCTTGTGTAATAGAGATAGAGTCCTGAGAAACTAATCGAAAATCCCACTGCAACTAACACAAAGAATGCAATTCTAATCACAAGGTTAGATCTTTCTCCCAATGAAATAATGTCTAAACTGAAGAGAACAACCAGAGTAACAATCACAATCCAAGGAATAAAATCAGAGAGAGATTCAGAGGTTTTTTCAAGAGAGTTAAAATCACCTGCAAATCCTGCTGTACCTGATACTGAGGAGCTGCTAATATCACTGAATGAGAAGAACGCAAGACTTGGTTGCAACACTGCAACAATCAATCCAATTAATATCAAAAACACGTTGAATCTCTTCACAAGTGAATTATGTTTCATGTAATTAATAGAAAGTGGCAAAATAGCAATTCCCCAAGCAATGCAAAAGAAACCAAATAAATGTGCTTGATTCATGTCATAAAATCTGGTATCGATGAGAACAGACATCATTGTCTTAAGCAACACATTACGTGTTAAAAATAAGGTAATTCCACTTGCAAAAATATAGAAAACACATGTTGCTGGGCTAGCGCTGAAAGTTTTGTCTCCATCGTTTGTAATGGTAGCGTAGTACATTCTACTGAAAGATACTGTAGCAAAGACAGCACTAATGTATGTTCCGTATACACCTTGTTGAGAGAGCATAATAGCCAGCTTGGAAATGTAAAGCGAAGTCAAAAGAGAAACGGTGTCAATCGAAATTAATTTGAGCTGGAAGAGTCTCTTGCAAAATACCACTCCAAAACCAGTAGTAATTATAATGAGAGTTGGAGAGTAAAATCCTTCGGCTTGCTCATAAAGTAATTGTTCCAAAAGCGCTAAGAGAAGAACTTGAGCAATTAAAATAACGTTTCGTGCTGTTGAGAAGTATTCTTTTGTTCCAATTGCTTTTGGGGTGGACTCGTCATCAGAAGGTAGAGTGTATGGAATAGCCAACATAGACACGGCAAGCAAAAATAGGATCAACATAGTGCTGTGTGTCATTCTTAAAGACCAATTAAATGGCAAGAATGACACTCCAAATTCAAACTTCAAAAACCAGAAATGGTGAGCAACAAACCAAAGAGCACAAATCATGGTACATCCAACGAAAACCCAAATTTTGTAAACCTTCTTTTCAAATGTATAACTAACACCAAAGAACATGGCAATAATTGGGAATGGAAGCAAATAGAAAGGAAGGCCGATCAAAATTCCACCGAAAAATGAGGCCGTTACCATGAATATGGTTAATAATGATTTGGTAAGGGAATTCTTGTTTGGACCAGTGTAATTCTGATTGTAAATTGCCAACAACAAAAAGCTAGCCAATGTGTTCAGTGCTCCAAAGACAATAATCTTGTCCCATGGGCTTCCAAATGGAATTAAATAATGGTATCTTGGTACGATTACTCTAAATTCAATCCACAAGTTAAGCAACGCCAATGAAATGAGCTGGACAAAATATCTCATGGTGTTGTGGCTTTCAATCTTCAAATTCACTCCCTTGGTTGCTCTTGCTGGATTAATGATCATATCGTAAGCTGAATCATTAAATGCCCACAAATATCCAGCTGGATCAGACGAGATGAACAATAATGCCAAAGCAACCAATGCATTCAGAGCATAAAGATGTGAGGCAAAATTATCCATGAATGTGTTGTGGTAAATAAAAATGTGAAAAACTGGTGGAAGCAAAAAAATCATGGAGATCAAAACTCGAGATTCGAGAGGATGTTGAATGTATCTATTCTTTGAGAATGATGAGACCTCTCTTCTTCCAACCAAGAAGGCGTACAAACACAAAACGCCCACCAAGTAAAATGGTGCATTTGCAATTCCGACAAGACCTACAACAACAGAAATTACTAAAGGAATGGTAACTACTGGAAGCATGGCAAAGACCAGTCTTTCCGTGACAAACACTAAATCGGGTGAAAATGTTTTGAACCATTCAGATTGAAGGGACGCCCAAAAGCCTGTAAGCATAACAAATAAGCTTCCGTTCAGCAACACAAATATATTGAAAACTGAAATCCAGAGTAGAGATGCACTTGTTGTGTAAATGCTGGCCCAAAACAAACACAGAGAGACCCAAAACGTTAGAAAGGCATAGGCTTTTTGTTGAAGAAAGTCCAAAGTGTACATGCCCAACAATCCCATAAGCAAAACAAACAAACTATATTTTCCAGCAAGTGTTAATACGGGGATCATGCTCACAATCAAAATAGGAACAATTCTCTTGTTGTAAAGAAAGGACGATCCGGATTGATATTTTTCATTCATCATCATCACGTTAGAAAATTGATTATAATTCGTGTTGGTATGTGAAGGATCATAGGAGTGTGTTTGTGGATGAACTCCACCTTGATGATGATGATAAGATTGCTGAAGATGAGGAGCCAAATTAGCGCTACCACGATCATCAAAAAGTTGAACATCATCAAACCGGCTGTTCTGCAAATGAGGTGCGATTCCACCAGCAGTGCTACCACCGCTGCTGCTGCTGCTGCCCAAAACACTGGTAATATGTTGTCGTTCTCTCAATTCACCTCCTCCGTACGATGAAGAGCCTGTCGTAGTGGAAAAGGACATTTTTTTCAAGCCTTGGTCATAAAAAAATTGCTTTGCTGGCAAACAACCACCATTTGTTGAGAGAGCTCTCGAAGGCTTGTTTCTCTCTTTCGTATCGGATTGTATTTCAAGTTTCATTAGTTTGTACACAACTCAAAACAGTTCTTTCCTTGACACGAAAATTGGAAAATCATACCACATTCTGAACGGATTGTGAAGAAATTTGTATCAACCGAATCAATAATTTTGTTATTATTATTGTTAATAACAAAGTCATTCCGTGGTATACATCATCCAAATTTAAAAGCACTCTGAATTTTCATTTCATCGGAATATAACAACATGCCAATTACTGTCATCTCACAATCATGCCGGACGATATTGTTTTGAAACATACGAATAGTAGTATCAGTAATAATAATAACAACTACCACAACAACAATAATTATAAAATGTCATCATCTTCCGATGACAACACTCCATCATCGAGTGAACCTAAGGATCCAGTCGTTATGAGATTGGAGGCTAACAAATTACGTTTGGGAGCAACAAGAAAAGACTATGAATTACTCAATGTTCTTGGAAAAGGATCTTTTGGCGTTGTTTTTCTAGGATACTCAATTCATGGCAGCAAACCAAAAGTTGCTATCAAAAAAGTCGACAAGGAATTGTTACTTACCGAATATAATATTGAACGCTTGAATAGCGAAGTTATGATTCATATGAATATGAAACATGAAAATATAGTAGAGCTCTTTCTTTATTTTGAGGATTACAATGCCTATTATTTAGTGATGGAGTGGTGTGAAAACGGAGATATGTACAAGTTTTTACGCAAAAACACACGATTCAACGAAGCACAGACAAAGCACTATTTCATTCAAATTATTAATGCTCTGATTTACTTGCAATCATTCGGGGTACTTCATAGAGATCTTAAAGTATGTACGATTCATTTGACCATTATTTATTTACTAACTACATTTATTTATTAACATCAATAATTAAATCATTGTAAAGCTTTCTAACATGCTACTAACTAACGACTATAAAACTCTCAAACTTTCAGATTTTGGGCTTTCCACAAAGCTGGATAGTGCAGACGAAGAACAAAGCACTATTCTTGGAACTCCCAACTTTATGGCTTTGTAAGTAATTGTGACAAGTGTCTGGAACATGTTCATCAATTTATCCTGTTGTATGTGGCAAACAAAACAGTGAGATTGTAAATAATAAGAAATATGGTTTGAAGGCCGATAACTGGTCACTAGGTTGTATACTTTACTCATTTCTTGTAGGAGAAACCCCCTTTGATGAAAAGTCGAGAAGCCAAACGTTTGAAAGAATTCGAACGCTCAATTACAACATCCCAGATTATGTATCACAAGATGCCAAAGATTTAATAAGGCTTCTACTTCATCCAGATCCAACAAAACGAATTTCTTTGATTGAGGCAAAATCGCATCCATTTCTTCGAGAATTAATACCAAAAACTATTTCCTCACCTTCAACACCATCATATTCGGACGAACCTAGGAATTCTCAACACGATCCAAAAACGAAAAATCCATTTAACACTCTACGGATTAAACCTTTCGTACATAAGAAGAATGAGGTAAACATTGAAATTGACGAATTGGGATTTGTGTATCTCACATTCTGCAATGGAGAACGACGATTTATAGTTTCAAAAGATGGAAACACAATATGGTACGAAAAGAAAGCCTCAAAACGAAAGGAGTTTCGATTTATTGACATGCCTCCATCGGTGGAAAAATACTATGAATATGCAAGAAATGTAATTGAGACTATCAAGAGCAAAACGCCAAAAATTATCTATTTATCGAGTGAGTTTAAATGCATTCAAATGGAAAATGATCCATTTCCAGATTATGAGACAGCCATTTTTTCAAATGGTATAAGAATGGTGTATCAGCGGAAGAAAAACTTACTCGTGATTCGATTTGCCAAAGATCGATCCGTAACCATTCACTTATCCAAGGATTTAACACAATACTCAACCGAAATGGATTTGACAGACAATCACAAAATTGTGAAAGTGGAGGGCTCTCTGAGTGTAGAAGAAAGCGAAATATTATTTAACAACACCGTGCTATGGAACAGCTTATCCATTGTAAAGAAAGGAATCGAAAAAGTGGAGCAAGCAGAGGTGGAAATGCAGCCAGAAAATTATCCCTTCCTGATCAATGCAGTGAGCAAAACCTCAGGACCTATGAGTCCAACACTCAGCGAAAGCACTCTAAGTGGCAGCAACTCATCGAGCAGTACCCTTAATAGATGCCTACTATCCACTATTTCATACTCGACAAACAATAGCGACACTCATTATGAAGAGGAGAACTCGTCAAACCTGTGCGATGAATAGTGTCATCCTCGAGACATTCCCATAGTAGAGGCTGACCATGAGAGTTGTCCAAATAAAAGCTAATATTATGGAACGAACTGCTTAATTCTTTATTTTGAAAGCAGCTATTGAGTTTTTGGCGATGGTTTCATTAATAATTTGCCTCATTACTAAGTAATTTAAATCATCAATGGATAATAGAGTTTTCTTATTGGAATCATCAATGCGAAGGGCCGTTTTTAGGTCATCATTTAAAAGTACATGGTGTTGTTCGTCAAATCTATTGTTTTTGTGGATATACTGCCACACTAATTTGTAAACTTCATCTTTTTTGAAGCTTCTTTGTTTGGAATCATCTCCTATCAGTTTAGCGAGTGACTCAGTGACTGTAACAGGAGCTTGGAAATATTGTAATGGAAGGGCTTCGATAATTTCCTCTGGTTCATTCTCCAATTCAGATTGTTTTTTCACAGCTGCTTTCTTAGTTTTCTTAACGTCCATACCTCCAATCGTAAATTTAGTTCCCTCTTGAGGAGTTGATACATGGGGTAACTTAGATTTTTTAATCTTAGCAATTCGAGAGACTTGTTGATTCCAAAAATCCTAATATTATTTCCAAAATTTTATAGTCCATCCAAAATTCAAAATAAATTATTATTATTATGAAATAATTATTATCAATCTTGCGTACCATTTGAAAAACATTATCTACAATTGTTTCCTCATCGCTCTCCAAATCCATCAACGAGGATTTTTTATCATGTCTTAACCTAGATTTTCGGGATGACGTTTCTTGTTGTTGCTTTTCCTCTTCACTACTTTCACTTTCTGATTCTTCCGATTCCTCTTCATGACTTTTCTCCCTGGTTCTCTTTTTTTTCTCGTTTGCGGTTCCTACTGGTTGTGTTGTTGTGGTGGCAGCCGATGATGACAACAACGACGATAATCCATTAGTCATCATCCTTCCAGAACCAAACAACGGATTTGAGAAGATTTTCTCCATTGTCCGATCAAAATGTTGTTTCAATGATTTCAATTCATTTTCTAATAGCTCAATATATTGTTGTTGCTTTTCTATCAGCGATGATTCATCTCCCGAAGAGCGCAAGGCTCCTCCGACATTGGTGTTTTCTTTGGACTTTTCTCTTGATGAAGATCGGGGAGGCATTTTTTTTGTAATATTTTTTAATTTTTTCGTTCAGGAATGGTATTTATCGAGTCAATTTGAAGTAATATTGAAATGGTTCGATTGAAATGCATTGTTGGAATTGACAGAAATATTTCGTATCATCTGGAATTTCTTCGACATAGCGCGATCATATTTTCTGTTGCCAAGTCATTCCTGTGCTTTTTAGAGTGCTCCAAAAACTTTACAAGCGCCTGTTCATAATTGTGAGCAAAGAATTCTTTGCAAGCGGCATTATAATCCTGCCATTCATCATTCTTTTGTTTGTTCGCCAATTCGTATAACCACTCATCTTCACTAACATTCAGTGGTGCTCCAATCTCATAAATGTTACATTCTTGTGCAATATTGCCTTCCTCCATCATTTCAGTGTCTCCCACATATCTCGTGTGAAACATGGTTTGTGCAATTTTGGAAAAATTTTCATCACACACGACTCGAACTTCCATTTGGTCTGCGAAAGAGATTAATCGAGAAAGATTCTCATAGATGGAGCCCAAAATTTTGAAAGACCTTAAATCAGAGGATCCTATATTTCCACAAAGACATTCTTGAGAATGAATGGCAAATCTGAATTCCAAGTGAGAGGAAGCTAAAATTAAAAATTGAGTTTTGACATTGGACAACCATTTCGATTTTTGCAAATCTCTCAATCGAAAATTCAACTCCATGCAAGTTTTGATTGCCCGTTGCTCATGACGATGTTGATCTTTAGATGCATTGAAGACAATGGTCACACTATCGTCTTTCCAAAGTTCAAGTACTCCATGTGATGCTTTGGTTGCATGCTGAACTTTTTCAAACACATCTTTGAGAATTTCAACAATTTCATTCGGTGAAATGAAGTCTAAAATTTCATCCAATCCCTTGAATTTCAATTGAAGCATGGACACTCGTTTTCTGTCCAGATATAGTTCAAAACGAGCTGCCAAATCTTGTTTGTATTTTTGATGCTTTCCATCTGTTGAGGATCGAACAGTATGGCTCTCCGTGTTGTTGGAAGCCCTTGATTTCACTTCTTCTTTGGATTGGGAAACACGATGTTCTTCCACCATGTCTTCTTCGTCATTGTTGTTGTTATTATTATTATTGGCTTCGATTTGAAGAAGCACATGAGAAGGAATAAAACTTTTGTAAAGTTCTTGTTGTCGCACAAGGTCTGAAAGTTTTTGCCATGACTTCATGATGGAGTGTGAACATGCGAGAGAAAAACCAATGACCACGAACGCTCCAATCATTTCCCATGACAGGAATAAAATTAAAAGACCAATATTTCGTCCATGGAGAGTCGAGAGGTATTCTTCTGAGAGTGTCCTTGTCCAAACTGTCACTTGATCAAGATTCGACATGTGAAGTGTCATGTTAGTGTGCCATTCCTGAAAAGTCCATTGAGAAAGGTTAACTTGGTGGTTTTTCAAATGTTCTTCCATGTCCATGCATGAGGCAAACACTGGATGATGTAAAACATCCCTCTCGAAAACATTCCAAATTCTCTCATTGGTTAAAAGGTTGTTTTCAAGGAGGGATCGTTGTGCTTGAAAATGATGAATCCATTGCCGGAGTGAAAGTAAATCGTCTTCAGTCTTGTTTTGAGAGGAAAGAATTTGATTTCCAATCGTTTGTTCTTGTCCTAATAGAAGAAGAAGAAGAATGAAGAAACATCTTGAAACTCACAAAAACGTTCACAATGTCAAACGATGACTTACCTAAAAGTTCATTCATATACATCAAGGTGTGAAAGGACAAGTGAAGTGTTAAATAGGATGGATCTTGAATGAAATAACTCAAAGCATACATCGTGAACATAATTTCTCGATTCCATTTCGAGAAGAAGTCAATAATTTCATTACTCGATCGTTGTAGAGAGGACAGCATCTTCTCTCGTTGTTGTTTCAATTCTTGAAGAAACTCGTTGTCCAAACGGTCTATGAGGATCCTAAAAGGATGTGATGGTTCTGTGGTGGTAGTGGATGTTTTAGCTGTTGTTGTTTCTTGCAGAGACTTGTGCACATTTGTTTTCTGTTCCAGTAAGAGTTTTAACACTTGATCCGTTTCAGATTGAGCCACTTGTAAACCATGATGTGGATCTAATGTCGTTAAATTGAAAGAGTCCATGGTGGTGGTGGTAGCGTTGTTGTTGTTTTGTGTCGTGAAATTCAAAGAAGAAGAAGAAGCGGAGGCCAGAATGAACGAGGAATGAGCTCTCTCTTGTTGAGTACATTGAATCAAATCATTAAGAAGAGCATTCCAACGAGAAAGTTGGATCATGAAACTTGAGGATTGAACATGCGAGGAGGTATAGTACAAAATCACACCCGAGAAGAGTAGGAGAAAGAACATGGAAATCAAAACGATGAGGAATAACTTGATCGAGAGGGGCAATTGCTCAAACCTTTTTAATAAGAAAGATGCTGTTTTTGTTGTTGTGGTTGTGGTTGAGGAAGAAGAAGAAGAGGCTTTTCCTTTTTCGTGAGTGGTTTGTAATTTCTTGTTCGTTTCACCTGCTTTGTTAGACTTGGAAGGAGGAGAAGGATTTGTGTTTTGTGTTAGTGGGTTAGATTGGTTCGATTGGTGTTGTTGTTGCTGATGATGGGGGTCTGAATCCAAAGATCTTTTAGGATGAATTTGCGTCATTTTTTTCTTGGTGGATTTCCCGACTTTTGTTTTTTAATTCCTTAATAGGAATTGAAACGAGGTCTGAATATCCCGACCGAGAAGTTCGTTTTATGGAGACCACAAACCAAATGTGGATTTTTTCGCGAAATGTCATGTCCCTTATTTGCCCTTAAGGGTCACACGGTGCACGGACTTTACATTTCTTGTTTTGCTTTTTGGCTTGCCACCAAGCGAGTTTTTTGAATATTCGTTTTTCACTCGCGAGGCCTTGGTCTCTTCCTGCGCTGGGTTTCCTTATCAAGCACTGTGCACCGGGTTGGGTTTGGGTTTGGGTTTGGGTTTGTCAGATCGTGATTTTCAATTTATGTGTGACAGTCTCTCCATTGGTGGATGGCATATTTGTGTCTGTATTGATCATTCCATTAGAACCAACTTTGATATGATCAAAACCCACAAGTGGGTATGATGATATCTACACTATTTACGTGGTGTCTTCCTCTTCTGCAGGTTATGATGCGCAATTTATCTTCACAATAACAAGGTGCTGTCCAATTTCCAATTTTAATTTAAAATTTCAAAAAAAAAATGTCTTCCCAATCACCTTACCACGCTTGGCACAATTTTCGTGCGTACTCATTCGACTCGGACGAACAATGGAAACTCTATCTCCAAAATTTAACCTTTCCCGAGAATTTAAATGATCAAAAAAAGAAGGAAATGATCCTGAAATACAAAAAAAAGTATTATTCTCAACACGTTGAAAAATTGGTAGAATTTCAACTTCCGTACACTCAATTGGAAATTGCTCCGATGTCTCCCAATCACGATTCTACCATTATCTTTTTACATGGATTAGGAGATCAAGGCTCGGGATGGCTCGACGTTTTTCAAAAATTGAAAAAAACAGTTCCCGAACTTGCTTCCTGTAAAGTGCTTTTACCCAATGCAAGTGCCATGAGTGTTACTTTGAATATGGGTTATGTCATGCCTGCGTGGTACGATTTAATGTCCTTGTCGTTGGATGGACCAGAAGATATGACGGGAATGGAAAAGTGTTTTGCGAATATTGATTTGTTGATTGAGAGAGAAATGGTGGAATTTGGAATTGATTCGTCGAGAATTATTATTGGTGGATTTTCACAGGGAGGTTCTGTTGCATTGTATCATGGTCTCACGAATAAGAAAAAACTTGGTGGAATTATTGCCTTGTCGACGTGGATGCCCATGAGAAAGAAAATTGTGACACTTGTCGGAACGGATTTTCCAAACAAATCGACACCCATTTTCCAAGCACATGGCACTGCAGATAATGTGGTGAAATATGAGTGGGGAGCGAGTAGCAAAAAGTTTGTGGCCGAGTCCTTACTGGATGGCAATGAGAGTCACTACACGTTCAAAACCTATCAAGGAATGGGTCACAGCTCGAGCTTGCAAGAAATTAGAGATCTTGCAGAATGGTTGGCATCTGTTTTGAAATCCAAGTAAATCAGTGCAGTGATTCTTGGAATTTTCATGTCAATAAATATTTTCAATTATTGTCTAAAGTACATATTACTTTTACGTTTGCGACAGCAAAAACTTTCAACTTGATCGAATATAATTTATCAATTTCAACATCTCATTTCCACAAACACACAACATCAGGAGAATAGGTGGCAATAATTGGTTCAGAGGAATGCTTTAAAATACCACTCACAGGTTTCTTGTGTGGAACAGAGTCCACTCGTATCGCAGTCACTTCTTCAATGGTTTCAGAGGGTTGTGCTGGTATTTGAAAGATGCAACACTTGTTGGTCACACTCACAGCATACAAATAGTTACCATGCATCATGATGCTCACAAATGAATCCTCTTCCTTTGGTGCCACAAATCTAAAGGTTTCCTTTCCAGACTTTAAATCCATCACAATCAAGTAATGAGATTGATAGCATACAATCAAATGATTAGAAGAATTTGGATACAATGTAATGCTATGAATGGGAAGGTCTACATTGGTGTGGCTCGATTCCTCGTCCAAACTTCGTTTCAAGGATTGAATGGTGTAAACTCTATCACAAACTTGAGATTTTAAATTCCACAGCCGAATGGATCCATCACTACTGCAAGACAGCATCTTTTCACTGCTAATTTGAAGAATTGAGTTAATAAATGAAGTATGCCCGCCAAGATCTTTCAATTCCACACCTCCAGAAGTAAGTCCATGTACCTTAATGGAGCCATTCGGATAACCAGAGATGATTGTATTATCAAAATCTGAGAAATAAATGCAAGTGGCAGCCGTAGCAGTTGGAATTTTCAATAAACACTTTCCTGTCAACATGTTCCACAATCGAATGCTCTTGTCCAACGATGCAGATGCCAGTAAAATTCCAGAGGGTTGTAACTTGGGGTTGAGACATGTGATTGAGTCTTCATGAACAATGAGGTCATTACTGGCTTGAAATGCAAGCTCCTTATTCAACTTTCCTGTCGAATAGTCATAAACTTCAACAAATCCATCAGTAGTTCCAACAATGAAATAGTCTGTGATAAAATGGCAACAGTTGACTTTGGTCGTCTTGCCAAATTTGATTATTTTGTAGGGTTTTTCAAGCAAAATTAATTCATTTCCAGCAGCTTCTTCTGTAACTTGTAAGTCTTCTTCTTTTTTAACGGCCTTTGTTGACTTTTTGATTTTCTTGATGGTATGATCCAACAATGCAAATGTATTTGGATCAAAGTCATCTCCTTGTCGTACCCGTTGAAATTCTATTGCATTTCCAATAATGTTTAACAAAGAACTGGCTGGTACATCCGCAATTTCTTGTTGAAACAAGGAAGATATTTCCATTCGGATATCTTCTTTCTTTTTTCCATCATATGCAATCAATGGATCAAAATGTTTTGCTGTAGAAAGGACATGCTCCAATTTCTTATATCTAGATGGTTCTTCCACCCTCAGTTCATGAGAAATAATTTTCACATTTGCAAATAAATATCTTGCCACTTCTTCTTCATTCAATTCGACCAACTCCAAAATAATTTGTTCGTATAATTTAAATAATAACGATTTGGAAAAGGTTAAATATGGTTGCTGTAAAATTTCTAATACTTGGGACCACATGCCCTTCTCAATAAATGAAATCAATTTTCTTCGGGCATGAGGCAACATGGTATTACATGAAATGCCTGTTTCATGGCTTAATGCTTTAAAAGTTTCTACCAAATTATTTTCCATACAAAATTGCATCATTAATTTAACAACATCCCGGCTATCAACCTGTATGGTTTGTTCTTCTTCGAATTGTTGATTCCGATCAGTTTGAGAGGTCGGTTTCGGCACAAAGATCATCTTATTGCTACCACTGCTTGATGTCTTCATTTTTTTCTCAATATTCTGGTTCAATCACTCACTAGAGATTACCAGTCCCTCTGGGAATTGGCTTGATCAAGCGAAGGTGCAAGGAAAATGATGTTTTGTAAACTGCTGTGCTATTGCTGGATTTTTTTCTCCTAGAATGCTTTTGATTGGTCGGAGAGCTAAACTTCCTTTTAATATTTTATTCTAAAATATTCTCAGTTTTGAAACGACTGTAAGGTGATATAGCTCAGTCGGTAGAGCGTTGGTCTAATAAGCCATTGGTCGTCGGTTCAATCCCGACTATCACCAAAGGTTTTTTATTGGTATTTCTTCGAGAAAAATAAAGATCACTTACTGGAGTTACTTTTGCTCTCGCTGTGGTTTTGAAAGAAGTTTTTGCCTTAATTCAATTAAGATCGAAAATATATGAACCAGACAAACATGAAATAAGATTCCTTTAAAACGACTGATAATTGTAAATGTAAAACCTTGAGCCAGTACCAATTACCTCACTAGACACCTTTTAAAATTCAACCTACAAAAATTCTTCAATCCAACATTACAATCATCCTCCTGAAGAATGTTGTTGAGACAAGTTTGACCTAGCAATCAAAAAATTGCGTCAAGAAAACAAAGAATTATATCAAGAAAACAAGGAATTAAAACAAGAAACATAGAATTACATTTAGAAAACAAGGAATTACATCAAGAATTCATAAAGACGTTTCAAAAGAAGCTTCAAGAAAACAACAAATTACGTAAAGGGAGGAGCCACTAATTATTACAGAACAAGGGGAGGGTGTCTTGAGATTTTTGGACAGGATGCAACCTCAAAGAGACAATTTGCTGGCTCAGAGAAACTCTTATTTGATTCTCAAGAAAGCGCGTTTGAATAAGGCTTTGTTGAACTCATTATGCAAAAAGTGTATTGCCAATATTTACTTGTTGTTGTTTTACATGATAATATCGACAAAATCTTCCTGCTCTCTGTCATGATGATTCATTGCTCCCAACGCAACAAACTCTCGATCCACAGGTCTCTTCACCACATAGGATCCAAAATTAAAATCTTCTCCATCGGTGACATTGAATAGCCATAATGAGGAGGTCATGGAGGATGAACTGAATCGATCATGATCATTGTTTTCATTAAACATCATCAACTCATTCTCCACGACTGCTCCTGTCATTGATGCTTTTGATGATGAATTCATCACATAGAATGGACATAAAATTTCAAATTCGTCCTTTCCATGTGAATGATGATGATGTGAAGGAAGAAATAATATTGAACTATTACTACTACTCGTTGTACTACCTCTACTACTACTACTACTACTAGGATGACTCATCATTGAGTTATTTCTTTTCCTTCTCAAAGGTAAACACGATTCATCACGTCGTTTCTCACTTGAGGCCATTCGTAACCAAAAGGCACGATCGAATGCTCGTATCAATCCCACATCACTTTGACCTTCTTCACTTTGAAAATAAGAAGGAAGTTTTTCATGAATGGTCCAATAGAATTGATCTAATTCTTGATGAGTTTTAAAAGTCATGGTTGTGATGGATTGGTGATTGTTGTTGTTGTTATGGTGATTCAGAAGAGAATTGGAAGAATTGAATAATTTTCTTAAGGGTTCAGAAAGTGAGAGCTCCATTTTACAACATCCTTCATTCTTGAGTCGTTCTAAATAGTGTTTTAAAGAAGAATTGCCACGATTATTACCATAATTGGTCATGTGTGAAATTCCAAATGTTTTAAAGACATCGAGAACAAAATGTTGGCAATTACACTTTTCAGTGGAATAGTGCATTTCACCGTTCCAGTGAGCGATGAGTTGTGCGAGGTTGGTCATTGCTTGTTGAATTTCTGTTGCGCCTTGGAATGTGTGAATGTGATGAGAGAGGACGGCCTTGCTGGAACTGATGGAACGAATGGTCACGAGAGAGCTGTCACCCCACTGAACGATGATGAATTCGATTGTTAAATAATAATAATTTTAAATAAAAATATTAAATAATAATAATTAATAATGTTAAATAATAATATTAAATATATATATGGTAAGATTAATGAATATGTAAATACCAATATGGAAAATTAAAAATCAAAAACAATCAACATTGAAAATGATGATTCATGTCTTATTCACATACAGTTTTAAACATAATGTCTCACTTACCTCCAAGTAAAAAGGTCCAAAAACGAGAGCAGTGTGGAAAAAACCATATTGTTGATTCACCTTTCCAAATTTGTGAGCTAATGTTCGTTGCAAACGGTGAATGACATTTTCACTCAGCTCAGTAATCACGAGATGAAACTTGACAAATGGTGTGTCACTTTTCTGTTTTTTCAATGATTTCTTTAATGGTTGTTGAAGAGTCGAACATGACGTGTCATAGATGAACGAGTCAGATGCAGACATTGGATTTAACTTTAAATACAAAAGTCGCTCTCTAATCATTGATTCATTCACATAATTAATAAATTCAACAACGAATTATTAATAGCATTGTTAATATTATTTATATTTTGATTGTTAATAATAAATTGATAGATATTGATTATTAATAATAAATAAATTGATAGATATTATAATATTCAAAATATATATATAAATCGTGATGTTAACAATCATCTCTCTTACTTACTCAATCACTAAATTTTGAGCGAGAATCATGTAAGAATTCTCACTAAGCTCACTTTCTAGCTTTTTCAACTTATCCATACAACATTTCACTCTCTTACTTTCCAATGGTGTTAAATATTGTTTTTCAATCAGAGGTAAAAATTCATAATTATTTTCCAAATAAGAATCTCCATGAGCAGGATCGAAAGAAGTCGAATTCAAATCTCTCTTGTCAAAAAATTCATCTAATTGAATGGGTTCATGATTGGACGGATTTGAATGATTGGTCGAGTGAAATTTGAAATTTTGAAAATCTTCTTGTTGATTCTTCTTTTCTTGAAGAATGTTTTGTAAAGTGTTTAATTGTCGTAATTGATGGAAAAGAGAACAAACTTTTTCTGTAGATGCATCGGTTGCTTCAACTGTTGTGGAATTTGATTGGAATGGTCACATGTTGATCAATGATGAATACATGCATTCATGATTGTGTGAAATTTTAAAATAATTATTTTAAAATAATTATTCATGTTGCATGAAAGAAGCAATGATGATGATCATTGACCTTTGATTGTATCAATCACTTACCAATCAAACGTTCACTATCTCCTTTTTTACAAAATATCCAAATAGTTTTTCCATCCCATTCTGGATGTCTGTCAAAAAGTTCAACAAATTCGAACATTTTCTTTGAAGAGAGCCAAAATTTCACTTCTTCATGATACCAAGCCTCAATGGGAATATCATATTCAAATTGTCTTTCTGAATTTGAAATTTCAGAAATGGAATACAAGAGATGTCTGTGAAATGCCAAAACAGACAACAATGAAAAATTTTGTGGAATTCCCAAAAAGTCTCTAAAAATGGAATTTACAAAAATTTCTCCACTTGCCAACAATTCTCTGAGAATGACTTGAAATTGATTTTGTCGTTCCAGAATGACCTTTTCATCAAAACGATCTGAAGTGTGAAATGTATGCAATGTTTGAAAAAAGATTCATTTAGTATTTCGCATCCATCAGAAATTCATATTCAATCACCACAACAGCAGCATGATCATTAGATTAGAATCAGGAACATTTTGAATGAATGGGGAGAAACCCAACAACATTGCCATCCCATATTAGGAATGTTAATAATTATATTAATATTATTTTATACCAATAAATATTTAGCTTCATCAACTTACTGAATGGTTTCTTTTCAGGCATTTCCGAGAGAGAATTCATCGAAGGAAGTTTTTTAAAGCAAGTATAAAGACTAAGAAATTCCTATCATAGATATAAAAGAGTTGTGATAAATTCATCATCATCATCTTGTTAAAATCATCACTTACTCGATAGCGACGAGAGGCATGGAATTCAATTTTTGTTGTTTTTACACGAGTTTCGATTTGGTAGAGTGTTTTTGCTTGCATTCCGACACCGTCGATGGTATGTGAGGTCACATGAATTTCAATGAATTTGTGTGGATGAATACCAATGTCCGTAAAGGAAAGGTCTTCATGTTCCTCTTCCATCTCTACAAATTGTATCTTGTTTTCATCTTGGGAGTGTGAAATGGTTTGGAACATGATGATGATGTCCAACTCTTGTGAGGAGAATGCAAAATAATTTTTTTATTGTGGCATCAACGAGTTGACAAACGACAGATTTTTACTGTTGCTGTACATCACTGAGAAAAATCCTACTGAGAGGGCAACATGTTATTGCTACTTTGCGAAAGGCTCGGGAATTCAGCATTGAAAAACGAATCACCTACCACATCCTCGCTTTGAAGTCCCTGCTGCGAGAGTGGAGGTGTCAGGAGGAAATTTGTGAAGAATTCTTGTGACGAGGAGGGTGGAGGTTGTGCTTGGTGAAGAGTTTGATCATTCTCTGAAGTGCAAGAGAGTGAGCTAATATTAAGATCAGAAGAGGAGAGTGGAGGCTGAGGACAAGAGGATCGTCCGAGTGGAAGAATTGGGGATTGTGGAGTTACAGTGGTACTACTACTACTACTACTAGTCGTAGGTGGTGGGCCCACCACACCACGATTCACCACATTCGTGAATAGTGGAGGAGATGAAGGAAATGAGAAGAAGGCTTCTCCCGATTCTAGGACGAGCTCTGAAGAGGACAACAGGAGAGAGGGGTCTGTTTTTAGTTTGGTTTGGGGAGGTTCTTCTTCCATGACCATGGATTGAGTCGACTCGGATTCCTCCGTTTCGACAACATCTTCTGAAGATTCCGTCGTTGATTTGGAGCTCTTTTTCCTCTTATTGTTCTTTTTCTGCCTTCCACTCGTTGTTGTTGTTGTTGTGGATGATTTAGCTTTCTTCTTTGGAGGTTTTGAAATACTTTTCAAATAGACTTCAGGCTTTGATAATACTCGGAAAGGAGAGGATATTTTCGTTGCTACTTTCTTCATTTCATCTCGGTTTGAGGCATTGGACCGAAAGACATCAATCTCAAATCGGAAAGTGGCTTTGGAATTGAATTTGTAGCTACAACTGGTGGGCCAGTACAAGGTGATTTTCCAAACTGTTTGTTTATCGTAATCTTCCATAAAGGATTGAAGAATTACGGGTGTGCTATCGTCTGAGAAACATTCCATCCAATGATCATCATTCTGTGGGTGTTGTTGTTGTTCTGATGCATTGGCCGATTCATCTTCATCATCATCATCACTATTGTTTACACCTCCAATAATAAGAGTAAATAATTTAATCATGGCATAATATCCGAATTTACATCCAGCCCATTCAAGCAACTCCATGGATGGAGTGATGACAAATTCATATTGATGAGTTCGGAAGAGACAATCACTCGGACATGTGGTTAATCCTTTAACTTGTCTTGACTTTACATTGACCTGAACATCGGCTCCCTCAGAAGGTGGTGGTTTTGATTGACTCGGAATGATCACTTGGTCCAAACAAAGAGGTTTCCACGAGAGAGGTACTTCAGACTTGGTGCTTGACCCGTTGTTGGATTCCTTTGACGAAGAAGATTTACCTGAAGATCCTCTGGCCATTTTTATTCGTGCAAATGTTTGAACTTGTGTTTCATGAACATTGTGAAAGAGAGAGTAAATGAAAAATTTCCTTCATAATACAATCAGAAATGAGCACCTATAGATTGGCATGTCTAATTCGGTGGTTACATTCAAAATTTAAATTCAATATCTGACAGAAAAGAACCCTTTCTCTCTTTCAGTATCGAATACAAGCCCAGAGTTAAATAACTAATGTTGTTTCCAATTTTGAAATAGATGATTGCTGTCGAGGGATCTGAGCAATAGAATTGTGGCTTCACAAACGGTATCTCTTTCAGAATTCTATTAATGTCGTCAAGCTTAATTAATCCAAATGTTGTTGAAAAGTAGTAGCACTCTGAAGTTCGTTGATCTTGAAAAAGAAATTGGTTTTTGTATCCAAAAAAGTTTTCAATCTTAAATTTAAAAAATAGAGCTGTTGGATAATAGATAAAATTAGGGTTGAATAGTTCTTGACCGATGGAAACATAACGATTCATTCGGTGATAGACGAGAGTATTTCCTCTGAAAAAAATCCAATCCACATTTTTGTCAACTTCAGTAAATGTCTCAAAATTATACTTCCATTTTGGATTCTCAGCGCTAATTCCAGACATCCATAACCTTTTGTCACTGGTCAATAGAACGACATGATCATAGTCAGCACAAATGTCACTCACATGGAGCTTTTCATCTGTGAAATTAATAGGAGTCAATACTTTCAATTGCTCATCCATAATTCCAAAATTCTTTTGCCTATTAAATTCATTTAATTGAACAAACATTTTCCTCAATATGCAACGATGACACTTACTTGTTGTGGCCAAAACCAAATATTCGTCCCAAGTTAGTCAAAATTACGAAGAATTTCCTTCCTGTCTCAAGCTTTTTGATTACTTCTCCTTCACCCAAAGTTAATCCTTTAATTTCATTTTTGATCTCAAATGACTTGATGTGAAATACCTTCTTTTTCGAGCAGCAAATGAAATGATTTTCTGTTGTGGATATATCAATTATTTTCTCTCCGATCGTGATTTTGTGAATATTGTTTTTCTCCACCATAAAACAAGTTCCGTTTTCTGTGGCAATAATTCGTTAACAAATGTGATGTGGTCTTTATCACTTACCAAATAAAACCACAAATAATGAGTTTCCAAATCTTGATTCTTCAATCTTTGATATTGACACTCCCAGAGGAAATGCAGCATAAATATGTGCCATGACAGAAGACCCTATTTTGAATTTAGAGTTATGAAAATAATGAAAAGAAGTGTTCATGGCATCATTTAAATTAAATGGAGGTGAAACTGAAAGCCTTGGTTGGTCATCGGAGCCTGCCTCCAGCGATGGACTCGAAGATGATGACGAACAAGAAGCATCATCATCATCTTGTTTTTCTTTGTGTGGATGTTTGTTCTTATCCACATAATATATAAATACAGAATTTAATAATTCAATCGGAACAATCATTGGAACGAGAACGAGCTCAGTACAATAACAGAGATGAAGTCACGGCACCACCAGTTCAAGACAATTGGTCCGAGTGCAAAGAGCGAAAGAATATTTTTTTGAAAGATGAAATCATCTTTCTTTTAGCTCAACAAAACCCTTAGCCGAATCTCCAAATACATCGGATCAGTTTGGTTGAGCTTGGGCATTTGTGAATTTGTAATATTTATTCGTTAGTGTTTGTGTATGGATAAATTGTTATTAGAGTGTTATGCGATAGAATGTACAGAAAGTAATACATTATTTCAATAAGAAAAGGATGAAAAATTCCTTCGATCGATTGATAATGGATGTTTGATGGACTTGGTGCTTACTGTAGTGTCAACTGCGAGCACAAGAATAAATTCTCTCAAACAATCAACATGAGTGTACAACTCGTCGAGTCCAATAATTTCCATTAATTCCACAATTGTGCAAATTGAAGATTGATATTGAGACTGATTATACTTCAAATTATAAGTACTTTCGGGTTGTTGAGGATGAGTTTTGCCTTTTTGCATGACCTTGGAATATGAAATTTTGAAATCAGTTAAATCGAATCTCCTCTGGTAATACAATATTCTATCTATAACCCTCATTTTCAAAATATTACTTATACCCTTTACGTTAAAGACATAAATTTCGAAATAGTGAGACCATCCTAGCTTTGATTGTCTCTCCATGATTTGTGTTGTTTGAATTTTTGTTATAAAAGTATAAGGGATGATTTGATTTCTCATATTAGTAACATTGGATGCCTCTTTTTCAATATTGATGACAAAAGTTTCATATGGCACTCCGCTTGATATTTTTGCATTTCTAGTTACATATTTCCATTCATCAACAATTCGTTTCAACATTTTTAAATAGAGAAAACTAGCTCTGTTATTCAAAATCAAACCTCTCTCATTAATTAATTTCTTTCGTTTTCTTAATCCATATTTCAGTAGCCTTGTAAAACGCTCACTCCAATACGGGCATGAGTATTCCATATGAGCAATTCATGCATTCCATTGTTGGCAAACCAATCTCATCTCGAATACTTGAAAATCATCTATGAATGAAATGACAACCATCCAAACATCGTGTACCATATCCTTTCCAAAGATGAATTGTTGTTGCTCCGCACGCATCGGAGGTGTTTTTTTCTTCATTCTCTGATTGTTGCTGAATCGCTATTCGAAAAGATGATGATGAGGTAAAAGATCCATGATACATTTTTACAAGATTTCAAAAATTCAAATTCAATAATCTGAGTGTGTGTGCAAGCAAATATAACTATGAATCAACCAAGCACAAACACATCATCGCCATCCTCATCATCACAAACGAACTTTTCCGACAAGGAATATATAACACTCGTCAGCGCAGAGAAATTTGAATTTATCTTGTCTAAAAAAGCCGCTGCCCAATCGAAATATCTTCATCAATTAATAACTGACGACGTTTTTCAGACTTCCAACAGAATTACTTTGCATGATATCTCTACTGATGTTCTAGAATTATTATGCCAATTTTTGTACGTATATTTTCGTCAAGTTCTTTCGGTCTGACCCAATAATCCTCATCACACACCACTTCATTTCGGAACAATATGAAAATTGATCAACTCATTGAATGTAATAACGTCATCATCATATTCATGAAGAGTGGACAAATCCATCAAGGGCAATTTTGTGAGTACATTCAACCCGTTACAAGATTTAGATCCTCAAAACGCAGATCATCGGCAGATCGTGATTGAGTTGCTTCTTGCATGTAATTACTTGGACTGTTGATAGGAATATATCTTCTTGCTTGAATATTCACATCTTGGTTCGCAATCATTCAAGGAAAGGTTGTCGAACACTGCGGAATGATAGGAAATCTTTTGGTGAGATCGGATGATCGCTTTGTGAGGATATCACATACAAAACCTTTGAGCTCTCTTTTCTGTTCTTCTCATATGTATATTTCAGCCTTCCAACAACGAAGAAGAATAATAATAATAACCACAAAGATGGATCAATTTATTCCTCTTCCTCCCTGTTTTTGCTGCACAAGAAGAACAATAAATTGGCTCTTCCGCTGCTCATACATGGTCAATGTTCGTTTCGTGTATAATCCTCCATCATCAAAGCCTTTGAAAAAATGAGCGGGTTCAGTAGCAGCAGCAGCACTGGCTCGCAACCCTTTCTCAGCAACAACAACAACAATAATTTTCAAACTCCTCCCGTTTCATCATCACTACTCATGGAAGGGTCAAGTAACAGTGGAGGATTCTATAGTATGAATACAGTGAATAATGCTGTTTTGCAAAATTTAAATTTTCCAACCACGATCAACTTTCTGCAACGAGAATTTCGTAGATTTGAGAATGAACGAGAGTTATGGGAATTAGAGAGAGGAGAGTTATCAACAACTATAGCACATTTGGAGTCATTCCGTAAAAGCCAAGAGAAGATTCAGTATGATCTTTTGAGAAGAATTAAAATGTTGGAGTTTGCACTGCGAACAGAAAGATCAAAATTCTCCACACTTGTCGATCACATCAGAAAAACAGAATCATCGGACGAGTCCTACAAGAAGAATTTATTATCTTTTTGTGAGTCTCTTGTAACAACAGCAAAACCAGTTGTATCATCAACATCATCTCAACAAAATAATTCATCCTCTGCATCAAATCCCGCCCAGAATGGCAGTAGTACTACACCAACTCCACTTTCTAAATCAAAACCAAAGAGTTTGGAAATTATGCGAAAGTAAGTACCTCTGAACAGTATTCTAAAAGGTAACAATCATGGATTTAGTTATTTGAAGGAGATTGAATCTTCTGATTTGTGGTCTCTCATTGCAGACATTCCAGAAAATACACCATCAAACATGATGAATGCACAATATGTTTTACCGACCACAGATCCAAAATCAATCGGATCAGTAACTCAAGAATTGACAACCATCTCGGACAATAATAGTGACTTCTCTACAGCATCATCTGTTTCTACGACCAACCACACCGGTTATTCCGACAATGAAAGCGGCATTTCATCAATAACAACTAACACATTGCCAACTCAATCCAATGAGATTCACAAATCTAAAAACCATGAAAAGAGTAGAAATGAAGAAAACACTACAGAAGCAGAAGATATGAGAAAATTTATTACACAATTAAGACAAAGAGGTTATTCCGATAAAACAATTGAAAAGACAATTGGAGAAAAAATTCCAGAAGACATGTTAGAGGAAGTTAAGCCTTGGAAAGACGAAGATTCTCAATTATCATCCGATGGGCTGTCACTACTTGGTAAAAAGAAGCCCTCATGGAAATTTGAGGGTGACACTGCGAAAAATGATACTACATCCGAACTGATGACAAAATCTGATTTGGATTCAAGCACAACGACGACCTTTAATTCAACTTCAAGCTCGAACAGCTCCAACAATAATTCTCAATCTCTGCCCTCAACATGGATACCAAAATATACTTTGAAACATCACTTGGATAGTGTCAGATCCATTGCCTTCCATCCAACAGAAAATTATTTAATTAGTGGTTCGGAAGATTGTACAGTAAAAGTTTGGAACGTTACCAAACTTAACAAGTCAAAGTATGTATTTCAGATTATATTGATGCAATATTAACAAGTTGTTGTGATTTACAGAGCCAACGAGCCGATACAAACTTTACGAGGACATACTGGAACTGTGTACACTGTTTTGTGCGGATCTACTCGTGTTTTTAGTGCTGGACAAGATGATACCATTATTTTTTGGAATATCCCTCCAATAGATCACGATCCATATACAAACTATGGATATGCCACACCATTCTTAAAATCTTCATTAACGGGTCATTCAGATGCCATTTGGTCATTATCTTTGCATGAACAGAGCCATTTACTGTTGTCAGCTAGTGCTGACGAAACTGTAATGGTTTGGGATTATGAATCTGCATCATCACCTCTCAAGAAAACTTTTTCTCTCTCCAAGATTGGAACACCCACATGCGTTTCATTCTTACCAAATGATAACTCTAAATTTGTTGTATCGTTTAGTAATTCAAAGTTAGGTCTTTTTGATACAGAGATGGGTAAACTCATTTGGATTTCTGACTCGTTAGGAGATGAGGGCAAATCTAGCCACCTAATTTATCAATTTGCATGCCATGAAAATGTACCAATGATCATTACAGCTCATGAAGACAAGAAGATTAGATACTATGACTCTTCTAGTGGAAAGGTTATTAATGAAATGGTTGGACATAAGGAGGCAGTCACATCTGTCTCTTTTGATCCCAATGGTCTCTATTTTGCTTCTGTTGGACATGACTCGTCGCTGAGAATTTGGGATATTGCTTCCAAACATTGCATCCAGGAATTACCAGCACATAGAAAGAAATACGATGAAGCCATTCATGATGTTTCTTACCACCCAACCAAATCACTGCTAGCAACTTGTGGAGCTGACAGTGTAATAAAGATTTACACTACAAAATAATTGTAGTGCTACAGTTGGACTTGATTTGTACAATTATAAGATTTTACTTTAAAAGTGGAGCATTCTACAACACCTGCCCTCCACAGTGGGTGTATTTATCAAGCAGTTGCCTTGTACGTTTCAGTTTGGTCGAGAGTAAGGAAATCTTGTAGAGTAAAGCCTGCTCTTTCAGATGTTTCTCTTTGTTTAAAGCAATCAGGGTTTTCTTGGTTCGCTCTAAATCGCCTTTCAAAACAGCAGCGTTGTGTTTGTAATGTCTACATCCAAGTTCAAATTTAACGAGTTCCTCCAGCATTTGTCTGTACCTCATCTTGAGATATAAATATTTTCTTTCGTAATAATATACTTGTCTGGTGGCAGTTTTAGGCAATGGAATATTCAAAAAGTAGTCACGTTCATCATCCTCATACTCCTTGATTCTTTCATTCAATCTATTTTCAAACTTTACAACATTAGGAGGTGTTAGCGAGTGTTCCTCAGTTTCCACACCAACTTCTTTCATATCAGAAACTGGAGTACCAACACATGAATCTTGTAACAGAACTTTTGTTGGCGTGATGAAAAACGTAGAGCTTGATGAGGTGTTCAAAGAGTCATTGTTATCAAATGATGTCGACATGTTAATGTTCTCAATAGATCCTTTTCTTTGCTCAATAGTCCGAGTGGGTTCAGTGGTATTGAACTCTGATTGTATGACATGATCTTGCAATTTGATTTGGAACGTGTTTGTGAGCTCATCCTTAAGATGAGGCAGTACAAGGTCTTCTTGGTGATGAGAAATGACTTGTGTCTTCACTTTGGCGTGATCCTCTTCAAGAGTAGTAATTGGAGTGTCTTGATCACATAATAGAGTATTTGGTTTTTCAGATTCACTCTCTTGTGTATCATCAACATGGCCCACAGTGATGTGGTCATGAACAATTTCCAGAGAGCGACGATTTTCAGAAACCATTGCTGCAGTGGCGTCATTTCCTAAGTGCATATCATCTTTCATTTCATCATGTGACAATTTCTTGCCATCTCTATCCTCTTCTTTCTTTTGGAGGGCATCCTCAGAAAGTGAAAAAGAAATGCTCTCTTGGGCAATACGAGAAGACATATTTTCCAAATGTTGAATTGCCTCCAAGAAATCATCGTCATATGGAGCGTCTCTACGTGAGGGCTGTATGGGCGAAAATACATATTCACTATTTCCTTCAGATTCGTCATCCCCTACATCCTCCTCGTTAGTAGATTGATATCCAATGCTCAAAGTATTAGCAATCGAATCGTCAACTATCACAGATGAGTTCTCGTCATCAGCACTTTCTGGCACATTTTCAATATTAAGGCAAGCTTCGTAATGGGACGTATGAATAAGTTGTGTTGACGATGAACCATCGATGAGGTCGGTGTTTTCAGATCTAGTCAAGGTTTCATTCTCAACCTCATTCGTTTGTTGACCAATGTGGTTAAGCGATGTCTCCTCGATATTTACTTGAGTATTCATCTTTTCCGTGCTAATTTGTTGATCCTCTATTTGATCACGTGTTTCAGAATGCTTAGGGGCAGAATCATTTTCAAAGATGTCTTTTGAGGCATTTACAATTTCAAAATTATGTGATTCTTCCTCAAGTTGTGACTCAGAAAGAGCAATGTCTCTCGACTCTTGTGCCTCTGATTGTGGGATTGTATTCTCTTGGCCATGTTCCTCGTCAATATTAGGAACGTCTTGATTTATGGTAGCACTAGATTCCAAGTTATTTTCACTTGTGTATATGGGGTTTTCTAGAGTGTCTACAGTTGTCGTATCTGACACTTCCCTAGTTTCGATATCAGTGATATCTTCATTAATTGTTGACAACAGTTCTGATTGAGAACCATTGGTTTCAATGCTTTTGTCCTCCTGAGAAACAGCCTGGATAACATTTTCTTCGGTTAAGTGTGGCTCTTGTGTAGGGTCAACCGATTTAAATTCATCACTTTCAACGTCAACACTCTCAGTAAATGTCGTATTAGCCTCTTTCATTGAAGAACTCTCAGTAAATACAGTAGTGTTTTCAATAATTTCAGTGGCAGTGGTCTCACATGGGATACTGTTGTCAGTCAGTGGTTGATCACGGTTTGTGATGTTGGTATCTTCTAAGTCAATTATTAATTGGTTATCAATACAGGGGTTTTGGTTTGGTTCATGTTGTTCCTCGTAAGACGTTGATGTGTTATCAGCTTTTGTTCCTTTGATGTTATTGGTCTCTAACATAACATTAGCAGTTGCATCATGTTGCCCATTCTCAACGATTGAGTCATTTTCTGCCATTGATTCCTCTATATGCATTGAATCATTCTTAGTATCATCACTGAATGTATCTTGAACAGCTGTTTGATTTATGCCATGAGTATCATCAACATTGTTTTCTTTGATATCTGCATCCTCATTTAGATCTATGATGTGAGAATCCATGACATTGTTCTCTGTTATGTATGAATCCTCATTGGTGACGGTATCTTCATGTAAATCAAGAATATCCCCAGGAGTATCTGACTTGGTTATGATTGGTTCAATTTCTTGAAGCTCTGTCGTGTCTGTATGAGTGTTCGTGACTTCCAAACTATCAGCTGTCTCAGGTTGTGCAGATTCCTCACCGTTACTGGTATCAGTATTTTTCTCCTCACGTGTCAATTCATGTTGAGCATCACCAGTAATCGTATCATCAACCATTTCTTGTGATGGGGAAAGGGCCCTATCAATGTTATCATTTTTCTCAGTAGGAAGAGTTTCTGAAATTAGTGGTGACATTTCAAGATCTTGGCCTTGAGATTCAATGACCTCTTCTTTAAAGCTCGAATAATCATTCATATCTTGGTCGTGAGGTTCAATAGAATTGTTCTCAGTAATAATTGATTCATTAATGGCACTGTTATTATGTGTAAGAATATTCTCAGGAGCATCTGATTTGATAATGATCGGTTCAACTTCTTGAAGCTCTTTTGTATCTATGAGGGCGGAGTCAAGTTTATCATCTGTCTCAGGATGAACGTGTTCATGTGTCGACAACGATTCTTGTTGAGTAACTGCTTGTAATGGGCCTCCCATATGAGGTGTTGTATTGTTCTTTTCATGCCCTTTCTTTAAACTTTTCATTTTCTTCAATAACTTTTTCAATTCTTTCACCTCAGATACAAGTTGTTTTTTTTCTTCAAGTATTTCCTTAATCTTTTCCTTGTGTTTAGCAACGTGGTTATTGTAGATCTGTTCTTCTTGTTGCTTTAGAGAACTTAGTTCGAAGAACTGCTGCTTTAACTTATGTATGTCTGTTGACAGTTTTTCTCTCCAGGCATTATATGTCTCTTCTAACTCTTCATCAGTTTGAGAATATGTTGTCTTCTGGTCAACTTTTCTCGACAACCTCTCTGTTTTTGCGCTTTCCATCAAATTTATCATTGTTTGAACTTCTTGTTTAAGCTTCAAATTACCTAGCTCTTTCTCATCCATGGCGTTTTCGAACTCTCGTAAAGCACGTTCTTGAGCTTCACATTGTTCTTTCAAAGTTTGATTTTCTTGTATGATGGCCTCATTAGTTTTTGTTAACCTGAATATCTCATCTTTTTGTTCAATTATTTCACTGTCCTTTTCTAGGAGGATTTGTCTTAGCTCATTTCGAGCATTTTGTTCTAAAATGAGCTGGTTTTGTAAACCCTTATCCTCTATTATTTTGCATAGCCTATCAATTTCTCTTTCTAACTGCAGCTTTTCTTTTTCTTGTGTCGATAAGATTTGAGAGATTTCCTGGTTTTCTTTAACCATATCATTATACTTATCGGAAAATAGTTGTAATTGAATCTTGTTATCTGTAATATTCTCAATTAACTTGGTGGCCTGTTCATTCAGAAGAGCGTTCTCCTTATCTTTTTCAATGAAGGCTCTTTCGATATCTATTTTGTGTTTCTCTTGTTCCATGTATAAATTGTGAACTTGTTCATACTCTTGAGTTAAACTAGCGATTTTCTCCTCTGCAGTTTCCTTCAGATGCTTGAGACGGATTGCTTCTCCTTCAGATTGGGCAGCTCTTTCTTCATGAACAGCGATCTCCTCCTCAAGGAGTCTTAACGCTGCTAATTCTTTTTGAGTTTGGCTCAAAAATGCGTAATCAACGATACCACCTTCAGTGGCATTTTGTTGATAACGCTCCTTTTTTTGAAGAAATTCATTAAACTCTTTCATTTGCTCTAATTGGTTTTTCATTTCTTCATAGGAGATCATGAAAATTTCATGTTCTTTCTCCAATACCTTTAAGCTCAATAATGCTTCGTTATTTGGCTCCGAATTTTGGAGATTTTTCTTTAACTTGTACAATTGTAACTTCTTAGAGGGTTCATTGGACTCTTTTGAGAGATTACTCAATTGACAAACCTCCTCAAGTTCTGATATTTTCTGTTGTGTTGCTACTAATTTAGTCTCGAGCTCCTTTATCTTTGAAATGTAAGCCATATTTTCTGAAGATTTTTTCAACAGATCATTCAAGTTCTTAACTCTCTTCTCCTCACTTTCCTTTAGTTTGTTGGATATTTCCAACAGTTTTTTTCCAGTTCCTCTGGCTAGTGATTTGTAATGCTCTTTTTTTTCGTTCAGAGGCCTTCAACTGAGATTTCAGAAGAACAATCTTTCCTTCGAGTTCTCCTGTGTTGGTATTTTGAATTTGTGGACTCGTTAATTGTTGTTGTTCTTGGAGTTTTTTTTTCAAGTCCAATACTTCCTGCTCCAAATTAATCCTCTTCAAATCGGATTCCCAAAACAATGCTCTATATTTCTCGCTTGTTGTTCCAGAGTCTTGCTTCATTTTGTTGTGAACATCCTGTAACTGGGTAAATTGTTGAGTTACATTTTCCAAACGCTTGATGGTTTTACCATTCTCTTTAATTTTCGATTCAACTTCGTTTTTCAGTTGCTGGATTTGTTGCTCTTTTTCTCTGACTTCATCCGAGAGAGCCTTTATCTCCGATTGCAAAGAAGCTATTAGAATTTTGTTGTTTTGGTTGTTCTCTTTGATTAATTCCTCCTTCCGAACAGACGAAAGAATTTCATCATCTAATTGTTGTTTCAGTTCATTATTTTCGGTTTGCAACTCGGCAATTTTTCTTTCCGAGCGTATCCGCTGATCATCCCTTTTCATGAGCAGAGAACCAGCCGTTTCTTCTCTCTGGCACATGACCCTCAAAAGATCATCAAATTCCTTATTAAATTCATGGACCACCTTGGAGAAGGAATCTTTGGTGAACCACTCTAACCTATCAAACTCGTTATTCACTACATCCAAGGAGGCTTCATCACCGTCCTCTTTCGAGTCTTTCATCTTCCCCTAATTGAAAAAAAAAGAAGGAAGATCTCGCTGTGGCCGTTGAGGGAGTTGAACGTTTTTTTTAATAAGGCTACTGTTTGTTGTGGTCGGAGGGTGGTTCCTATTATGACCCTTGAACATTTCATGTACCGTTCTTTTCAAATTTGAATCAATATCCATGCAAAGGAGGGTACATACATGTGTGGTTGAAAATGGTCTATTACTCGGAAGGTTGGTTGGTGTGTTTCATTGAAGATACATCTCTCTTAATGATGTTGGAAAAGAAATCAAAGAAAAATGGAGAAGCGAACATTTACTCCTTCGGCTGCTGCTGCTGCTTCTTCAACTCTCGATGAACGGCAAGCCGGAAAACTTCTCTTTGATAAATTGAATAGTTTCTTTGAAATGGATGAGAACATTATTGAATTGGGGTTGATGCTCAGCAAACAAGAACCTCCAAAGTCCATATCGGAATTAGAGAAAATATTACAGAGCAATGATGATCATCAAGAACCTTCGAGGCATGTGGATACCATTTGTCCTTTTCTCTATAAAGACAGCAGAATTGGTTTATCCTTTTGGTGCCTTCCACTCGTATACAAGTATGCCTATTCCCGGCTGTTAGAGGTGCGGCGAACGGAAGAAGGCCTTGAAAAGATTTCCGAATCCGAGTTGTTGGCCATTACACGTGGAATTTTACTGATCAATGCCGATTGTGTTACAGCATGGAATGTAAGAAAGGAATATTTATCAAAGAATCGTTCAAACGTGGAAAAGATCTCTAAAGAATTGCAGTTTTTAAATCTTGTTGCAACAAAACATCCAAAAAGTTGTGAATCATGGGATCATCGCAATTGGATTATTAGAAATTTAATATTTAATAATAATGAAAATTCGAGATATTTCTCTGGAAGAGAACAATTTGTGAGTAGGTTTCTTGAGCAACCACATGAAATTGTTTATGAAGCGATTTTATAGAATTTTTAAATACGGAAATTGAAAACTGCACCAAAACCGTAACGATTTATCCCAGAAATTACTATTCGTGGTCCTATCGACAACAATTAATGAACCTTATCATGTCAAGCAATTTTTTAGAGAATCACCTAGAATTAGTAGACACAAGACGAGTAGTATTGAAAGAAAAACTTGACGATTTATTGAACTGGTTGAAGAGAAACATTAGCGATCACTCATGTGTGAACCATATTATCATACTTTTGCGCCATTACAAACAAGCTCTTTTACATTACAATGATGACAAAGAGATTTCATATTTTCTAATTTATTTACTCAAATTATTCTATTATAGCCAGTATTTGATTGTATTTTTTCCAGGTCATGAATCCCTTTGGATCTTTAGAAGGTTTTTATGGATCTTCTTATTAGAAAGCAATGTTCTTTTCGAGAAATACTTTGATGACATGTCTCTCAAGGACACCATTAATCATTTAATGGAAATTGCAACCGATCAATTTAGTCATTCCTCCATTGAGAGTAAGTTCAAATGTTGACATTTTAGTTGTTTAACCTTAGAAATAATAATTTTTATTCATGGGACACAGTCTACCCATACGAGCCCATTCAAATAGCAAGCGATCTACTTTTAATTCAACGATGTATTAATGACAAGGAAGTGATTGTTGACTCTTTCAAACAAATTCATCATGGACTTGTCAATACATTTCACATGCTAAAAGTTGTAAAACAATTTTCCTTGGAGCATCAACATGCGGGCTTAATAGTCAGAATTTTCATTTTGGGTGACTTGAGGTTAGCAAACAACAACAAAACTTCTTCCTCTCGTGTTGAGGATTGTTTGGAGAAGTGTCTCTCAAATGTTTCAGCGCTACTGAAAGTGTACTCGACTGCAGAATTTAAGCTTGGAAAATCAACCCACCACAAACAGCACGAATCCTTATAAATAATTTATTTACAATTACAGAAATTACTTGAGACCAAAGGTGTTCATGTAAGCCTTGATTGCACTTAGAGAAGACTTGGCTTCCTTGTCCCAGTTTTCAATTTTCTTCATGCCCATCAGAGTAAATCTCACTTTGTCACCTTGTTGAGGCATGGAAGCTCTTATCCTGTAAGAGGCACATTCGAATTGCATATCGCTGACAATTTCACGTCTCGTATTTTCGTCTGAAGTCGCAAAATCGTATGCACTTCTGTCAAGTAATGCAGTTATGGCACTGTCAAAGGCGGTCACATAGATAGAGCTTGAATAATCAGCCAAAACAACCGAAGTCATGTACCTGTACGACATTTCGACTCCTCCACATGAAGGACATCTCAAAGTTGGATCCATTTGATCGGCATCTTTTTTCATTTTCTTTCCTTTGCAATCAGGGTTGCTGCATGCTGGATAAGTAAAATCGTCTTGCTTGAGAATAACATGGGATCTAATAAAGAATATCTTCGTTTTGCCAGGATCCTTATCTTTTGGCTTAATTTTGTCTAATTCCTCTACAGTGGTGTTAGCCACATCTTGAATCGTGACTTTTCTAAACGTTGATGATTTTGTGAATACTGCTGTAATGACCTCTCCTTGCATTTCTTCAATTGGAAGAGCAGAAAATAATTGATGAAGTTCAGCCGCCTCTGGAATATCCACATCGACAATACATTGAGAGCTATTACAACTCAGGCTCATACCATTGTCTGATAATTTTCTTCCAACTCCAGTAAATATCACAACTGATTTCTCCTCAAATTTAATGGTATCTCCCCATAAAGTTATGGCTGCTTCAACGATTTTTCCATAAGAATCCTTACTCAGAATAGTGACATCCCTTTTCAATGTTGCATTTGAATTTTCATTCTTTGACTTGAATTCTGTTGTATCTCCAATTTTCTTTACAATTCCAATAATATCAAATTTGTCTTGGCTTGTACTATCTTTAACTTGATCGAGAGGAGTTAATGAGAAACGACCTTGAGGAATGCACACAGACTCATTATCAGTAGCTTCTTGAATAATGCAATTATCATAAAATGTAATCTCATAATTATGGGCAATTCTTGTGTTAAATTTGTGATCTGCAGGTTTAATCTTTCCGCCTTTGAAATAATAGACACCTCTCTCACGCAATTTTGAGTTAGCTTTGATGGCTCCTTCATTGAAAAATGTAGCTCTAATTTCAGTAGAATCTTGATCAATCAAATTAATTGAAAGAATGGTACCTTTTCTGTCATCCTTTGTCCAATGCTTCAAATCGGGTTTTCTGGTAACTCTAGCTTTAATCACCCAATCATTTAGCCAAGGTGTTAGAGCAATCAGTGGTACAATGGCTTTTGATCTAAGATCTATATTTTGGTTATTAGTTGTTGGAGTAAATGATGATTTTTGTGGTTGCTGTTGTTGAGGAATTAGTGATGAAGGTCGTGATTGTTGTTGCAAGTTATTCATTGGTGGAACTTGTTGTCCACTTGGTGGTCTGTTAAATTGATTTGATGGAGGTCTAGAGGCTGTATTTTGCTGAAGATTAGATGATGCTTGATTCATAGGTCTCTGAAAGCCTGATGCTGATGTTGGTACGGATGCAGAAGAAGATTGGTTAGCCATGTGGTTGGTATTATTTCCGATGACCCCACTAGTAGTATTTCTAGAATTGTTACTATTATTACTTGATTGAACAGCTTGATTCGGAATGGAGGATCGAGGTGGTGGATTTGTTGTGGTTGATGTGGTCGCTGTTGGTTCTACTGTAAAACTGGCTAAAACATACACCTTGGAGGTAGAGGAACCTTTGGAGAGCTTGGTAACATTCACAATAGCTCCCTCCACCAACGAATCACGAGTGGGTGCAAAATCAACCCCAGGTTTTTCCAATAAAATCATGGTTACTGAAGGTCCTTGTTGATTCGGATCGGTTACATCAATTTTATGCATCACGGTTCCTTTCTGATTTGCCTTCATCATGACCGGTCGTTTGGACACCATCACACGGAATGGGTATTGAAAGCTTGAAGGATCTGAGAAAGCTTGAAGAAGTGAAAACATGTTTTGTTGTGGCGGCATTTTTTTTTCGTGTTGAAAAAATTTTATGTCCAGTGCAACTGACAAAATTCCTTAAAAAGTTGGAAATGATACATAATTTCTTGCAAAAGGAGGAAGTACTAAGTGATGATGGATAGAAACAAAAAAATTTTTGTCCAACAACAAGAGGTTAGAAAAACTTTGTTTTATTGTTAATGATGTCATCTCCATTTTTGTTATCCACGTGGATCGTTGCTCCGGACCCAATTTCCGCTCCGGCCACCAGCTGACTTTCAAGCGAAAAAATATTTGAAATTGCTACACGATCAACTAAAACATCTAACTGTTCAATATTTTGAATACTACCTTGCCTTCAGATTAGGCAGAATATGTACTAGACTCATTTCCCTACATTTTAGTCAAATTTATTTCAAAAGTTTTATTCAAAAAGCATACAAACTGTCCCCAGTGTGATCACTAGGTTTGTGGTTGTTTGTGGTTGTTTGGGCCCATCGTCGTTGTATCACTGAAAGAGTCCTGTATTCCTCTTTTTTGCTGTACACCGTTTCCTAATATATTTTTTCAATATGTCATGTGTCATTGGTACTTTTGTTCTCTCCATCCTTTGAAAAATTATTTTAATACTCTTCATCGCATCCATCATCACCTCTCTCTCGCTATCCCAAACCAAAGGGTCGCTCAGTGAAGCAAAAAGACCAGCAGCGAGTAATTTTCATCACCCTCTCTCAATTGTTGTTGTTGTTGATACCATTTTGCTTCTTCTTCTTTTGTGAGAATTTAGTGAAATCCTAACAACAACAACAAGAACCATCTTTTCAACAAATCAGAGCATTCCAAGGCTTGTGAAGAGAAAAAAGGAATTTTTGTCGTGTGTTGTTGTTCTTCTTCTCGTTTTCAGAAGGCATTCGGAAGAGCAACGACCATCATCATCATCATAAGAACAATTTTTCTTCTTCTTTGACTCTGAAAGGAAAGCAAAGAGGGCCATCACCACACAAACATCATCATATTGCGTTCTTGAATTAGAAATTCATTGGTGGTAGTAGTATTAGTTAATATTAAGAGTTCAATAACAACAACAACTTTTATCATCATAGCCTTTCTTTCATAGAGAGAGAATATACATTCCGAAGAGTTTCCATATAGAATCAGTATTATATCATTCAATAGCATCCTCATCATCCAAATAATTCATCCAATCGTTCATCACCACATCATCTCAATACAACAACAACAACTCTATTTTCCCTATCATCATCATCATCATATGGCATCCATTTATATACATCGCAAAGTTGATGAATCAACCAAAAACGGATCATCATCATCCACCCATCATGAAGGATCATCATCTTCAACAACAACAACTTCTACAACGTCCACCCATACAAACAACACATCCTCAGATAAAGATCCCAAAGATGTTCTCAATGAATTGCTTCAAGATATTCCCAATTCAACCTCATTCCATGCTGCAGTTCAGAAAGACAACTTGAGTCGACGATTCACCGATAGAGAATTATTCAAGGTATGTTGTTGTTGTTTCACTTGAAATATGTTTGATAAGAGGAACATGTCCCAATAATAACTGATTACATGTTATGACTACTTTGATTCTTCATCCCAATGATTGTTGTCACTACTCTCACGTTTTTTGTATATTTACATTAATGATGAATCATCATGATGGCCATGTATGGGTTGGTTTTCATCCAAATGTTCCATATGCTCAATGTATCGTCTGTTGTTGTTGTTGTTGTTGTTGTTGTGAAATATCTCACAACCATTCAACATGGACTCTAATGACTTGTGATAACATGAATCATGTGATACTTGATGTTTCTTCCATCTTCATATTATCAAACTATTATCAAACCATTATCATTATCACAATGGCAAAACTTGAATATCATCTTCTCATGTGGAAATGTCATCCTCTTGTACTGACATTTGATCGTACGATTCGTCACTACCACCTTGGTTTCAAAATAATGTTCCAACCCTCATCATCATGATTGATGAATCATCAACAACAAACAACTTACTCTCTTTCAACACCACAACCTCTTATGAATTTCGAAAACACCATGACGATGAACAATATTATTATTTCACAAACATACTGCTCTCTCTCACGTGTCACACACTCACTCAGATTTGTCAATTAACCAATCTGACTTTCTTGGATTTGAGTGGTCACTGCATTCAATCTCTTCCTCCCAACATTTCTCAACTCTCCTCTCTTCAAACTCTCATCATGAATAAGAGCGATCTTGCGACTCTTCCAAAAAACATTGAACTCCTCGAACATTCATTAATTGATCTTCAATTCCGACTCAACTCTTTTAAAGAATGGCCTTCGCAACTCAACAAGATGAATCTCCAAAAACTTGACATGAGTTTTAATCGTTTAAATAGAATACAAATTTCAACTACAGGTATTGCTGGGTTATTTGGTTTTGACCGCCCACAACAATTACAATCGACACTTCGAGAGTTGAATTTGAGTTACAACTATCTCACAACCTTTCCACAAGATTTACTCAAGTTTTCAAATTTAGAGAGATTAGATTTGACGAAAAACGATTTAGAAACTCTGCCCGATATTAGCAAGTTAGCTGACAGCATGAAAGAGCTTTCAGTCGAGAATTGTAATTTTACAGCATTTCCAGTCACCATTTGCTCTTTACTCAATTTACGAGTTTTGAACGTGAGTGGCAACAAATTCGAATGGTTTCCTCAGACCCAAGGTCTCATGTCACAATTGTGTCAACTGCGGGAGTTGTATGCAAATGGATGTGGACTCCATGGATGGGCACAGCTCTTCTGCCAAGCAAAACTTGAAATTTTACACTTATCCAATAATAGTATTCGTGGAGTGCCAACTGAAGTACGAACTCTGCAAATGCTGCAAGAGCTTATTCTCTCCAAGAATTATATTACACATATACCTGAACACTTTAGTGATTTTGTAAATTTGGTGTATCTAGATTTGAGTGACAACAACATTGAGGATGTAGATCCTGCATTTGGTAACTTGAAAAAATTAGAAATTTTAAAGTTAAAGTCCAATAGAATTACAGAGTTACCTCCAGAAATGTCAGAACTTGAAAGTTTGATTGAATTAGATTTAAGTGAAAACGATTTGAAAGATCTCTTTGATTTCTCTAAAGTGAAAAACTTGGAAAGATTAGAAGCAACTTATAACTATTTGGAATCATTTCCTAAAATTGGAAATTGCAAAAAGCTCAAACATTTAGATCTGACCATGAATAGAATTAGTGGTGAAATTCCTGACTATTTCTATGAATTGCATTCTCTCACTTTTTGTAAATTGAAACATAACTCTTTTGAAAGCATTGATCCAAAAATCAGCCAATTAACTTCACTTGAAATTTTGAATTTGGACAACAATGAAATTATTTCCATACCAGATTCAGTCATGAACCTAAAATCTCTAAAACAATTTTCAATTATTAACAATTATCAACTCAATCCGTCCGAACAACTCAAAACATACATGCAAAATAAGAACATTACATTTGAATATGCGTATGAAGAACCAAGCAAAATTAAGGATTCTCTCTTCCTAAGCTCAGCACCACCTGCAGGATCACGACGCCTTCTCAAATCTCTCGGTGTGACTCATATTCTAACCGTCGCCAAAGATATTCCACCTAGATACAAGAATGATTTTAAATATATGATTATTTTTGCAGATGACACGACAGAAGCCACTCTAAAACCTCACTTTGAAGAAGCATCAAAATTCATACAGGAAGCCATTTCGACAGGAGGAGCCTGTATGGTGCATTGCATGGCTGGAGTGAGTCGATCGAGTGCCATCGTCATTTCTCACATTATGTTGACAGAGAAGAAACGATTGAACATTGCCTATCGAGAGGTCTATGAAAAGAGAGACATTATCAAACCCAACGACAAATTCTATCGAGAGTTAAAATTACTAGATAAGGAACTCTTTCAACATGCAGAACCAACTCCTGTGAAAACGAAAAATCGAGTGGAATATTTCGATGCAAACACAGACGAGAGAATTTTCAAACGTCCCAAAGATGAAAAACCAAGCATTCTGCATGTACCTTCAAATTCCGGACTCGTGTCGTATGGAAATGGAGAAAAATCAACCTTTGCGTCACTTTTTAACTTTTCCTCATTGGCAGGATCAGAATCGGAGAGTGGACGAGAACCCATGATGATGATGATGTTCAACAATAATAATAATAATAATAACAACAACAATAGTAATGGCACATCAACATCCACATCGACCATGGGAGCTTCAACAAGAGGTGCCAACAATAATTCTACCAATGCAGCATCATCAATGACCAATGGTGATTCACACAGTGAGGAATGATCAAAAAAGAAAATGAGCAAGATATACCAATCTCAATTGGAAGAAGGAAAAGGGATTTTTAAGAGTTTTGAACATCTCACGCATGCAAGTTTCTCGAATGAACATTAATGAGAAAACTTTTTGTGTCACAACTTCAAGACACACACATGGTGATCAATATTTCATAAAATTTTACTTTCCTCTTCTTTTACTGTTCTCAACGATTTTTAAAAAACAGTTCCATCCACACAACCAACCACCAGATCTGAGTTCTTCTTTTCAACCCAATCGATGCAACAACCCGCACGAACAACAAACAAAATTTCGCTTTCAAATAGATTAAAGAACAACATCAATCCAAAAATAGAATTAAAAAATACAAAAAAAATGAAACCCACGAACGAATATCCCGAAGAGAAGATTAGCGATGGAATTTACATGACGGATTTTCGGAGGAAACCATCAAGCACCACCAATACCACCTCTTCAACCAGTTCCAATTCTTTCATTCAGTATACTCCAAGTACTGCTGGTTCCTCATTTAGCTTGATGGAGGAGTATGAAAATTTATTGGCAACCACTCACTACGAATTGAAAGAATTAACGACCAAAATCTTTCATTTGGAACGATCTAATAATGAAATGAGAGAAATTATGAATGAAAGTGGAGAAGATGTGGATCTTGTATTGGCCATCTCGGAGAATGAAGAAATTTTGGTTAAATTTAGAAGGAGAGTGGAGTTGATCAATGAACGATTGGCACATTTACAATGCCTTCAATGCACGGAATTGAAAAAACAGCCTGTACAAGACAATCATAATAAGGATTCTATGGATGATTTATCAGATGATATTGATAATATCATGTTGTAAATGTGAATATTAATGTGTTCACTTGATGTCTAATTTTTTAATACTCTCTACTCATCCTATTAATGGAAATGTTCTCATAATTCAAATATTAATATTCATAATTTTGAATATTTAAATAATTTATTCTCTGTAAATACAATAATAATTACTTGACATTATTTAAGATAATTACAACAACGATGAGAGTGAATCCTCTCTAGCTACAAATCATCAGAAGGAGATTGTTTTTGTGATGGTTGCTCTTGTTGCGTCGAGACCATGTATTGATAAAACGTTTTCAAGTTTTCCTCAATTCTCCTTCGCCTTCTCTTTTGCAGAGCAAACAACGCATCGATACAACCATCTAACAGCATATTCAATGCCACCAACACCACAAAAGCAGTCAAGAATATCACTGTGGGATGATAAAATCCAATCTTTAGAGTGTCAAATGTCCACACATCATCCACACAGATTTTACCATCCGCATAATCCATCATTCCAGTGACACACTGTCGACATGTATGTTGCAAACATCGAAGTCCTGGACCACACCATCCGTCCTTAGTGAGCGCTCGTCCTAATTCTCTTGGACAAGCAGCCCTAAAGAGAGGATGTGAGGTCACTTTTTCACATTTGCCTTCATCCGTACAGTATTCATCCAAATTGCAAAATTCGGGAGTGTCTATACCTGAGGTGCCAGGAATGCATTCGCCGCATTGAAGGGGTTGGGTTTCATCGTCGTCGGGATAGTAAGCGACTTGATAATCTTCGCATGGAGTGGTTTGGGAGTTGATTAAAGAAGTTGTGCTTTCAAGTTGTGCAAATGAGGAGGAAAATGACATCGATGAACTGTCTGTTGTTGTATTGGAGGAGTGATAGTTTCGTTTTGAACTTTGTCGCGTTGACGAAGCAAGAGATCCCTTTCCAAACAGAAACCAATGTTCCCTATCCACAAAGCTTCCGATCAACAACACAGCCACAGCTGCAATGATGAAAGCCCACCACAACCTCCTCTTCTCTCCTGGAAATAGTGTTGCTAAGGCCATTCTAATTCGACCAAACATTTTTTAAGCGTTGTCATTGTTGTTGAGGAGTAAGATAATAAATTAGGCATTTGCCTTTTATAACCTAGGTTAATACTTGTTTTGCTTAGAGAACATGTAATTTTTCGAGGGTTTCTTTCGCACGTTCATGTTTGGCTTGCTAAAACTAGGAACCTTCACTTGTACAGATGCATTCACTTCTTGTTCTTCCTTCTCTTCTTCAGAGGCTGATAATTCCTCTTCAGCTCCCAACCACCCAATCTTCTTCATAAAGTCCACAGGTTTTTGGGCGAGTGGCATCGAAGCAGTCATGTCTGCTGCACGATTCAACTGTGAAGCGTCACTAGATGCTTCTTCTCCATTTGCATCCGTCACTGCCACCTCTCCTCCTTCACCAACAAATGCAGGAGAAGGATCCGAAACAGAGTCTTGTTTGAGCTTTTTCTTTTTACATTGCTTGTTCTTCTTTCGATTCTTTTGAGAGAGCATGTAAATTTCATTAAGGCTCGAAGGGACTCTCTCCTCTTCGGGAGTGATTCGTACGGATGCTGGTGGTTTCTTTGAGGATTGATTTGGAGTACTCGCAGTAGTATTTGGGTCGTTCATCATTGACATGGATGGATGATGATTGAGAAGGAAACTCGAAGTGGTGTCCATTTGATCCATCTGTTGTTGATGGTGAATGGTGTTGCTACTACTCGTTGTGGATCTTGTTGACGGCATGAATAGCATGTCAGAATCATCGAGACTCATCATGGATACATCATTCTGATGTGAAGAGTGTTGTTTCTGAGAGGAACCAAAGGATGAGAAGGATGACATGATTTTTGAAACCTTTTCTTGATTATGCAAGGATGGAAAACTCATCGAAGATGGGAAGAAAAGTGAACTCTTACTAGGAGTCACATTCACCGATCGTTGATTCTGATGTGGTACCAATTGTGGAGGTTCAAAAGGTAGTGAATCCAAAGCTTCATGATCTTCTTCGGAAAATGAAAGTTTGGATATCGATGATGATGGATAATAGTTTTTAGATTCGATCCATCCAGCAATATTGTATAAATCATCAGTATTCATGACAGGGCTCATTCGTGAAGGAGTCTTGTAGTGTGGATTGAAAATAGGTGATTCCAATTCAAAGGATGGTTTTGCATGTTGATTAATGAAATGATCTTCGGGAATCTTACTAGGTGTGGAGAAGGATGGTTCTGTCAAGTCATTGCTTTCATCATTCAATGTCTTACTAACGAGATTGACAATTACTTTAGCGTCACGACGTACGAGTTTTGGAACAGGATTGCAACAAGCAAGCAATTTGCTGACTTCTGTTGGAGCTTGTTCAGCAATGGAGAGAATCATGTGATCGGGAAGCACATAACGAACGCTTTCATCATCCTTTCTTGCAACTGTGTCTCTCCACTTGTAGAGCACACGAATGACCTTTTCATTAATGTTCCTTACACTCCGTGTGAATTTGTTAATGAGAGAGAGATAAGATGTTTCTGTGAAAAGTTCTTTTTCATATCTTCTCATACACAACTCTCGAGATCGTACTAATACTTCTTCCATTCTTTCGACACCAGTGATGCTGGAAGACAAATTTGGTTTGAAAAACATGTCTTGTCTCAATCGGTCGTAAATATAAAGTAAGTAGTGAGTATCCTCTCGTGCATATTTCACCATTTCACTCGGTAAAGGTCTTACTCTCCAATCTGCCAATTGATACTTCTTGTCTGCCTCAATACCACAATAATGTTTGAGAAGATAGGCCAAAGAACAACCTGGAAGCGTCAACACTCTGCATGCTTGGCCAGTGTCAAACATGTTGACAACGTAAATACCAAAATCACGTTGTAACCACAAAATGTCACAATCGGAACCATGCATCACTTTTACAATCTTTGGATGAGTAAAGGATGAGTTCAAAATATGCATATGCTCTCTCAATTCAATGGTATCAATGAGAAAGTCTTCATTTCTCGTTGAAATTTGCATCAAACAAACAAATCCTTGGAACGAGCGGTAACTGTGTTGTTCCAAATCGATGGCAAATGCATCCTGAGCTTCCAACAAACTTGCCAATCGATGGAGATCATCCACAGTACTAATCCAAGTACAGGATGAGTCCTCTAATTTTGAGAATGGAGTAATGATTTCAGGTGGTTTGTATTGAGAGGGCATAAACTCAAGACTCAACAATTCAGGAAGATAGGGATGTGGATAACTTTCACGAACTGGCTCTCCACCCATACCATTTCCGACTCCAAGACGAAATGGGAATGGAGGCAATGTCGATTGTTCAAATGTTTGGAAGGAACGTGTCTTTTCGTCGAGTTCATCCAGGGATCCAACTGTTAGAGATTGTTCCAGGGTTGCAACAAAGGCATTGGGTTTTGTCTTTAATTTAGGCACGAATGGTCTGTTCGAGTTGTCGATATCTGTCCATTTCAATTGTGGTCGACTCATGGATTTGAGTGACATGTGAGGATCAGTATTTGATGATGACAAGGTTGCGTGTGAATTCAAAGATCCATTTGTAAGTGAAGGATTCACTCCTACACCTCTACTTTCTGTTGAATTCAACTCCATCTCATCGAGAGCAATATCTACATTTTCAAAGTATTGATCCAGTAAATCCACGGTCGACTCGAACATGATTTCTGGATCATCCTCGAGGAGGGCAGAATTCATCATCTTTTGGCCCCCAAAAAACGACGACAAAGTATTGCGCAGGGATGAAGCACTCTCATCCATGGCTCCTCTAAATTGAGGGAAATGGCTCGAAAAGAACTCAAAGTCTTGATTGGAGGGAAGGTTGTTGGAAGCTTTGGTACCATTGACAAGAGCTGAGAATAGGTCGTTGAGATAGGGTTCGAGCGGTTTATCCCCTATAAAGACATTGGATGATGAGGATGGTGTGGTGTCATTTGTGTTTGTTGTGCTTGTACTGACCGACGATGGTGGTACTGTTGGTGGACCAGTAGAAGTCTGCGAGTTGGAGGATATTGGTACTGAACGTGAGTTTGCGGTTGAGGGTTGTTGTTGTTGTTGGTGTATCGATGATGATGAAGAAGAAGCCTTTGAGTTGCTGTGCGATGGTTTTGTTCTTCCGTTATTATTATTATTATTATTATTAATGTTATGATGATGATTATTGTTATTATTATTGTTGATGCCGTTTCGATGATGATGAGAGTGGTTGTTGCTATGGGGATGAGTGGGTGGTTTTCTATGATGATGATGAGGATTCATTCCATTACCTCCTCCTCCACTACTACTCCCCATGTGAGATTGTTGTTGTTGTTGGTGTGTCTTCTTTTTCATTAATTTCGTGTTAGATTGTTGTCGAGACCACCAAATGCTTTTTGCGAGAGGAACCAACGAGTATAAAATATAATGAATGAAGAACAGAACAGGATTGTATACACTTGACTTTCAAGGAGGGGGTTAATGAAATTTCGACGTTGTTTGTGAGTTGTTGTTGCGCAAATTCAAAAAAATTGAGCAACCGCCAAATTCTAACGTTTTTTTTTAATTTTGTAACGGCCAACTTTGCCTATAACCCGTTGGTCTGCTGATATTGTGTCATCACCATCTGTTGTACGTGTGTCTTTTTCATGGTTCGCAAGAAGTTCAAGAAAATGAGAGAAAAAAGAAAAAACCAGCTGTTGATTCTGTGGATAGCCAAATTGATTTGATAGAGATGAATGTTTTTTCAATTTAAGATACATATAAAAGGATGTTCTTTCATCAAAGCATTCTATTAAACTGTTGAATTCTTCATCTATTCATCTTCAGATTCTGTTCTGATCTTGGGGTGTACGTTACCTGGTGTTCTGTTGTGGTTAGAAAACGGAGAAGAATGATTTACTTTTTAACATGGACAATCAAATGATCTTTAATTAATGCCAAATAACTTTTTGACATAGGCATAGAGATTCAAGAGTTGTGTAGTAAGTTGAGAGTTGGCCATTTTCTTGACAAAATCAGGAATCCATCCTGAAGAGATGTTTCAATAGTGATGAGTGAACAATGTTATTGTTTTGTTTGAAAAGGAGATGATGTTCGCAAACATGTCGATTGTTTGTTTTGATTCATTCCATTCCCATTTGAATATATTGTTTTTTCAAATTAAAAACAAATCACACCTACCTTTGACATCTGTTTGAATGACATAGGTAACATGACAACTTGATGCAGTAGTTTCATTTGGTTTCTTCACAGGCTTAATGACATACCCAGAGCACAACAAATCTCCTCTTACATAACCTGATTGTTCAGGGAACAAGGAATGATCAACAACACTTTTCTGAGCAATGATCACTGAGCCATCTTCTCTCTTGTCAAATTTTCTCGCAATTAAATAATCTCGTTTTGAAACACCAAATGCTAAGTGTTGTGGATAAAATGTCCAATATATATAAATGTAATGACAATTTTTGGAAACAAGAAATGTCACAACGTCACATGATCAAATTCACAAATTTTAAAACACATTTCACAACGATAATTCAAAGTGGAACAACCATGGTTGATCAATGAATGGCCATGATCAGTGAAACGCATTCAAACTACTAACCTGGTGATTTGTGCATGTGAGCAACAATTTCCTCATTGTCACTCAACTTGTTCAGAGCTTTAATTTCTGAAAGTGAAGTACTGAGTGCAAGAATGTGATCATTATTCCACAAAATTTGTGCTACTTGGTCGACCGTAACACCTAAATGAATCAGATCACAACAAATAATAGTGGTCATGAGATGGTAATAATGATCATGATTCGGAATTATAATATTCATACCATGAAGAAGGTACCAAGATCACCAAAGGATTCAAAATTATTATAATATTCATAATAAATACCTTTCATCAGATAAGTCACTCGATACGATCCCGTATGAGGAGGTGGTTCAGCAAATTCCTTTTTTCAAATCCATGTAGAGAAGCAAACAAGTCAAACCACCAAACATCCATCATTCCAAGATTACATCATCATCACCATCATCATCATCAAATCACATACCACAACAGCTCCATCTTTTTCATCAATTTGTTGCCATGCTTTCTGGGTTGGATTCTTTGGATCGGCCAACTCAATCACTCGAGATTCTGCAAGAGAGGCTTCCGATGAAAAGTTGGACATTTTTTGTTGTTTTTGGAATCTTGATGTTCATATGAAGGAATGAGGATGAAACGAAGACCTTGTTTTGAAGGAGATTTCCAGTTGTTGTCAGAACTACAATCACTGTTGTAACATTTGTTGTTATTATGATGATAAGGATGGGTGCTCAAACATTTGTACTTTTTTGGAATTTTACATAATAATATTATTTTCAATCGGGAAAAAACAAATCACCTTGTGCCTTGAGAGTGTATTTTCTTCTTTGTCTGAGGAGGAGGAAGAAGAACATTCGTTATGATCATACTTGATGAGGAAGAATTCAAATTACGGGAAAAGAAATTATACTATTTCAATATTATATGAATCTCAACACACTGAGCGTAGTGAAATGCAATTATTTTCTAATTTCTGATCATTGGATAGATTCTACATTCTAAATTATCTTATCCTTATACTATATTATTGAATCTCTTTCGGAATGAACTCCATCTTCTTCCGATGTTTGAATTTCAACCCTTCTTCTTGTTTGAATCTTTTGTTACGAAAAAATTATCTCCAGCTTGGACCATCCTTTCGCGAGTCTTTTTTGAGTCCCTTTCATCGGTGCTATCATCATCATCATCATCATTATTATTATTATTATTATCATCATAGTAACAGTAATAACAACAAAATGTCCACTCCATCAACAACAGTCCCTGAAGGATGCCTCTTTGGTATGTGCAACCCATTGTTGGACATCTCCGCTGTGGTTCCTCATACTCTCATTGAAAAGTACAATGCTCCTGTCGGTGGTGCCATCTTGGCCGAAGAGAAACACCTTCCTCTCTATGCTGAGCTTGTACAAAATTATCCAGTAAGATATATTGCTGGTGGTGCTACTCAAAATGTGATGAGAGTTTTCCAATGGATGAATCAAGTCTCTTATCCAACTGCTGTCTTTGTTGGATGTGTGGGTGATGATGAATATGGTAGAATTATGAAGGAAAGTGTTACAAAAGATGGTTTGAAAGTGATTTATCAAATTACAAAGGAAAGACCAACTGGTACTTGTGCTGCTCTTGTTTGCGACAATGAAAGAGCTCTTATCGCTAATTTGGGTGCTGCTGAAAAATACTCGCATGAGCACTACAAGAGTGAAGAGGTTCAACAAGCTGTTCGGAATGCTTCCATGTTTTACATTTCTGGTTTCTTTGTCACTGTTTCATTTGAGAGTGTGTTGGAGACTGCTAAACATGCTTGTGAAAACAACAAGATTTTCGCTTTCAACTTGTCTGCACTTTTCCTTATTCAATTTTTCCATGACAAAATGATGCAAACTTTGCCATACACTGATTATTTATTTGGTAATGAGGAAGAGGCAAGAGCATTTGCTAAATCTTTGAATTGGGACGAAACTGATGTTGCCGACATTGCTGCAAAGGTATCTCTTTTGGAAAAGAAAAATTCAAAGAGACCACGTTATGTCATTTTCACACAAGGACCAGAAGCTGTTTGCATTGGTGTGAATGGAACTTCTCACAAGGTGCCAGTTAAAAAGATTCCAAAGGAAAAGATTGTTGACACTAATGGTGCTGGTGATTCCTTTGTTGGTGGATTTTTGTCCTTCTTGGCCAAAGGTAAATCTATTGATGAATGTGTGAAGGCTGGTATTTATACCTCTTCCACTATTATTCAATATGAGGGTTGCACTTATCCTGAGAAGCCAGATTTCAGCCAAATTGATGCTTAATTACGTATTGAATAAAGTAGCATGGACAACAACAAGTATGACGACAGCACCATTCAATGATTTGACTTGCATCCTTATCGATATCGTATTTATTAATCCTGTTATTGTGATCAGTCCCTATTAGTTTGAAGTTGAAATCCAAGTAATCGAATCCAATATCTCACTTAATATAATTAATTTGGATGAAGTTGCTGCAGCAGATACTGTCCGCCCAATAAATATTCAATTCCAAAATGTTCTGCAAGTTAACAGCCAGACGTAATCAAATTGTGTGCTTGGTTTATTCTTCAAAGGAGGAACAAAACCTATTCATTTTGAAGCGCCTGGTGTAAAGTTCCATGTAGAACTTGGAAGGTTATGCAAAGTGCCTTGAATGCTCTTGTGATATTTCTCAAATTGAAATGTCATGGAATTCCAACTTTCATTGCCTTTTATATTTCTGGAACAATAAGTACAAGTAATACTACATTACTCGTATGAATTTTCTGGTTGACTAATAAATTTTATTCTGTCTTTTGAGCATATCAACAAAATGATGATCAAAACAAGCTCAACAAGTACTAATTATCTCAATTCTATTCAATTCAATGATTGGTCCTAAATCGCCAGAAACAAGCTCTTGAATTTATGTTTGACCGGCATAACCATCCACAATGAACACTGTCCGGAGCTTTCAGAATTTTGCTCTATAGTTGTTCCCCAAGTTTGAAAATGGTGGCAATAAATGGATGGAAAAAGTTATCAAAACAATCTCCAGAAACCAAAATTAATTTCGAGCATTCTCGTGCTGGTGTGGTTGGAATTGTTCCTTGTTTTACATTGTTGGCAGTATTGTCAGAGACTTTTTTCTTGTGAAAATAATAACATAAACTTCATAGTCTGCAATTTTCAATAATGCATCCTCATAATATTCCCTTAATTGATTGGGTTCTAGTGTTCCTGTTTGTGAATCGTCATTCAAAAACTGATTTTGTGTCACAAATAATACTTTTTTCCATCCGAAGTAAATGTTGGCAAAAAACCATCAATTCCTTTTTCATTCTTTTTAACCTTCATAACTGTATATTTGGTTATCAGTTTTGTTGATATAAAATTTTCAGTTTCATACATGATATTATTAGTTTCAGTCATTAAAGTCATTTGAGCGAGCCTGATTGGCATGTGCGCTCCCTGAAAAACGTCACCAACAGTAAAAGTAGACACATCCTTAATTGGTTTCAGCCAGAGAATATAGTTCAGTTTGCAGGTAATTATTTTCAAGCATAGCTTTTCGAATTTTTCCCAATCCGGATTTTTTGAAGTGTTAACAAAGTCGTTGAATGCTTTTTGGAATTTCCTTAATTGATTCTGAAAGTTTGTCAATAGCAAGAAATGGTATTCCAATATGGTCATTAGCTTTGTAAATTCTGCCTTGGCTAGATAATTCTTCAACCTTATTTTCATATTTGAGAGCTTTGTGAGTGCTATATGGAAATCCTGAAAGAGTAAGTATGGATAGATATTGATAAGCGTAATATTCGTGTTCTGGTTGATATATATGATACACCTCTGCTGCAATTTTCGCGTAAATGGAGCTTATTTTTGTTTCTAATGGCATGGTTGTGTTGTCCTTCATACTTTTGGCTTTCCAAACTGCCCATTCTAAATGCCTTGGCACAAGGCCAATTATACTCCAGACTATCTTGTATTTGGGTGTAAACAAATCCTCCAACCCTTCCTCTTTTAAAATGATCTCAATATCCTCTGGTCGCAAGGATGGCAATGAAAGCATTATTGATGTGAAGTTGATGTCAGAGTCCAATAATGTTCCTGATAATGTTGGAAATAAAATCAATCTATGCTTTTTCTGATAATTTCTCATATACCTCCTAATTTTATGTTGCAAGTCTGTATTTAGGTTAAACTGATGTCTTATGAGGTACTGATATTCATCAAAAGCCAGTACAAGAGGAATGGGTATAGATTGCTCAATATTCAACCGCTCATGTAATTTTGTGCTAATAATTCCTAGTACTTCATATAAAAAACAGTCATTAGTTATTGCTGGCAAACGTGTCGCAATTTCTCCTCCAAAAACAAAAGCAGAATAAATAATTCTTGATGAAATTAAAGAGATAATTGACGAATCTCTTTCCAAACCACGTTTCAAAAAAAACCATTCGTAAAGTTGAAATAACAGATTGAAGAATTCTTGAAAATAGATTGTGGTTCGATTTTTGAAAGAATTTTAGAAATCTCGATCGCCATACGAGTTTTTCCGTTTCCACTTAAACCTTTGGCAATCAAAAAAATCAAGTCTTGTTTGTTAATATTACCTTGTTGAAAAGCATCATATTGTTTTCTACCTAAATCTGAAATAGCTTGTGTTGCACTTTCTCTATTCAACAGTGTACGGAATACAAGAGGATCCAAATTATACTGTGGTATATTTGACAAATCATTCAGCTGAAGTTGATTGATTTCCTGTAATAAATGCAATTCTTCCTTTGTAAAATTACAGGCTGGAGAATTGGTGTTATGTTTTTCTTCGTCCTTCATGGCATCTTCGGCTTGATCTTGTTTTTCCAACATTGGATCATTTTCGTCTTCTTCATCCCACTCTGTTGGTTTCTTCGTTTTCTTTCTTGAATGTTTCTCTTTATCCAAAATAGATTCATCTTCATCCGAATAAGATTCTCGGTTTTTTCTTTTAGGTTCAACCTTTTTTTGAAGTTCTACTCGGATTTAATTGGTTCTTTCTTTCCTCACCATCTTTATCATCATGAGGAAGAACCTCCTCCACTCTTTCTTCGTGGTTCTCCTTCATCACGTCGTGTTGTGAGTTGGAATATTTTTTAGCACAAACGTTCTAAAGCCTTTTCCAAGTTGTCCCGCCAAAAGAAATACATTCAGTTCAAAAAAAAAAAACTGCACCACACATGTCCAAGCAAACCCTTCAAAAATTGAAAATCAAGACCGGAAGCTGCAATCGATGCTTCAAAGAATACAACTTGTATAAAGTAGAGTTGCAAAAGGAAATGGAGCGGCTCACTTCCATGCAAAACAAAGGAGAAGAGGAAACCAAATTGAGACAACAACAAAATGTGATTGAGGAAACCAAGCAAATGATTCCAAACTCTCAATCCCGATTGCAGAACGCCTATGCCGATTTGAAGAAGTTTTTAGAAGAAGTGAAAGATGATGAAGCTTTGCTGGAAACAACTGAATACAAAACTGCTCTGACAGCCATTTCTCAAGTGGAAGAATCTAACAATGTAACTCCATAAGTTTCGATCGACATCACTTCGACGATGAAAATACAAACCAAATCAATCATTCCAATCCAAATATGGAGAATTCTTTTGGAGATGATGATGGAAACGAATCAATTCCTATTTCTCCTATAGCCATTCCCACACCATACAACATGTAATATTGAAATAAATTTGATGATCAAAATCTCCTTTTTAATACATTTCTCTAGGCCTACTATCGACTTTCAATAGACAGCATTCAAATCATTCTCTTCATCTTTATCCTTTTCCTCTTTCACACCAGTCTTCTTTTGCCTCAAATTCTGTGGCAAGGAGATGGCATGAAATCCGACCGTGTAATCAATGACTTTACGTTTGGCATAAATTACAAAACTGTTTTCATCGTCCTTAAAATTCGTATGTAAACTCAAAATATAGGGGTCATGTTGTAAAATCAACTCTGTCAAAATTTGATACTCTTCATCTGTGAAAAGATCCTTCTTCTTCAAGTGATGAACAAACGAGAGGGTAGTCACAGTCTTATCATGTGTTGAATAACCACCATCGTGTTTGTGATCTGTGGTTGTCAATGATTCAGATACTCCTTTTCCGCCAGCTCCAGTTCCTTCAGCTAATGCTTCAGCTTCTTGATTGACTTCATCTGGAATTTCTTTGAGATTGACGTTACGTGTTGGAATATGTCCTGTACTTCTACTCCATAATAGAATGTGATATTCTTTCAGAGATCGTACATCTTCATTGTCATTGATTTTTTCTGTCCACCAATTTTCTTCATATCGATGCACTTGTTGAATGGAACTGGTATCCAAGCCATGAGCTTCCGCAATTCGTTTTTTCAAATGTTCGTACGAGTTGATATTTAATCGAATGGTACGCATATCTCCGAACGGATATTCAATGACTCTAAACAGATTTAAAATTTCATTTTCACATTGCCCAAGCAATCAATGAATTCATCCAAATATTGTTATCATTATCATCATCGTACGAAACATATTTAAACATTTCATTATTGACCATAAAGTATTAATTATTGACCATAAAATATTAATTTTGAAAGATGACAGTTGTTCAATGAAAATGTTCAATCGAGTATAAATTTTCTTCCACTATGTCTTCTTCTTCTGAATTTAATTGCTTACCTTACATATTTTCCGTAGACAAACATTTTAGTGGAATGAAAACTAAAAGCGCTACCACCAAAAGTTCGGAATAAACTATTTTACCATCATCACCATATAATTCCGTACAATTCCATATTGATTTTCAAAATATAAATATACAACTCTCATTCTCCTCTCTACTAATTTTTACACTTACTTTCCCCAGTTGGACACTGCCAACAATCCAATCATTTCAGTAAAAAATCCCATCTTTCAAAATTGAACAACAACAACCAAAGCTCTATTATACAGTCTTTCAAAAAGAGATCCAATCAGCCAGCAAGTCAGCCAGTCAGTCAGTCAATAAATAGATTCTCGGAATGAGAGAACAGATGACAATGAAGGCAATGATGACGATTTTGATGCAGCAAATCAACGGCCGTTGCTGCTTCCGATATATTTTTTTTTCTTCAAAAAAATTGATTGAATCCAAAAGCTACGAAGAAGAGGAGAAGGGAATTACAGAGATGGATGAGTTCGATCAAAATAGACTCTCTTAATTCCTTTCATGATGAAAATGAGTCTCAGCATGCTCACTTCGAATTTGAAAATGATACAAGTTTTCTGGAGATGCACGTCGATCAATGAAAGACCAACACTGAACTTGGTGAGAACCTGCCAACATGTGTTGGGGATGAGGTGAACTAGGCGAATAAAGCTTTGAAAAATGTCGCGAACTCTCCATGCATCGGCCACCTCTCTTCTTCATCATTTACTGGGTGATGATGATGAGGAGCAGGATGGAAGTGATGAATACGAAAATGATGAAGAATTTTACCAGAGTAATGAAGAGGAAGATCGTGAACAAGAGGAAGATTTTGATGATGATCAGGAGGATGATGAACCTCACTTGGAAGGGCAGGATCGTCTAGAAGAGAGTCGAGTGGATTTATTAGTGAATCCGTTAGCCTCTTCTTCCTCTTCTGCTCAAAAACATCATCAACGTCCTTTAAAACAATTTTTGAAACAACAAAAGAAGAACAAAGATCATTCTCCTCAAGTCATTCCCATGACCGATCCGAAAGAGATTGAACAATTCTATGAACAATTGAAAATCATTAAGAAACACCATGAGAATGAGGATAATGATGGACATCAATGTTCTCTTCATCACCTCTCTTTGCAAAGTCCACTCTCTCAAACCGCAACTTCCAACAAGTGTTCCATTTCTCTCTTTAATGAACATGCAAATACTTTGAAAGTTTACAAACATTCCATATCAAAAAGGTATGACCAAATTCGTGAACGTGCCTTGAATGAACATCCCATTCAGGTCCGAGTAAAAGATCATCTCAAGAAGATTTGTCCAGATTACAAACAACTGAAATATCAAGTGGATCGAGTTGAAATGAAACAATTGAATGTTTCCAAATTGTTGGGTTATGCCACCTGTTATATTCCAAAACTGCATTCCATTTTCATTCATGGAGGTACTAATCAAAGTAATAATGCTCAATGTCGAGATGTCTTTGTTTATAATATTCATCAGAATAGTTTTCATGTCTTGGAGTTTTTGAACCGTAATCTTGAGCGCTATTATTATTATTCTCGACAAGGAATGACTAAACATTTTATGGTACCTGTGGCTCAAAGTGATTGCATTCTTGTGTTTGGAGGTGGAGCGGTGAGCGTGTTGACATTTAAGAAAGTTCTTTCATTATCTTCTCAGAGAAATTCAAGTGGCAATAGTGGAGGCATGAATTCAGTGAGTGGTAGCAACAACACCATCAATGCATTTCATGAAGTGATTCGTCATCTCAAATGGGGTGTCAAACATTACGATCCCTACTCTCAGAAATTTACCTATTATCAGACGAGCATTCCATTCCTTAATCATGAATTATTTAACTTTTCAGAATATTACAATTTTCAACATGTACTCGATCCCTCCACACTCACTCTGTATTTATTTGGAGGCAAGTTCCAGCGTTCAAATCATCGAGAAGTCGATGAAAGTCACCTCATTTTCAAAATTGAAATTATTTCTCAAAATAATCCTCTTGTGATTGGTCACAACCATTTTTCTGTTGCCTTTCAGTTGAGTGTTCTCATTCCATCACACAAATTTCAAAGTTATTCATCAAAGATTACCTCCAACCAAACCTCATTTCGTTCCAATTCATTAATTTGTATGAAATGCAGTGGTGACGATGACAATGATCGATCCTCACTACTAACTGGAACCATTCCAGTTACAAGTATCACCATTGCATCACTTCTTTCCCATCGTAAACACATGAGTACATGTTTTGTCCCAACCACTCATGAAATTTACTTTTATGGAGGTATTGAACAAAATCAATGGAGAAATGAAATGTATTACTTCAATACTCATTCGAATCGATGGAGTATGATTGATATGAATTATTCTTATTTGGATATTGAATCACTAATATCTTCTACAACGACCACCTCATTGAATGCAATGACTACTATGGTGAATCAAAAAATCCCTCAACTCACACCGAATCCCAAACGGGTCATTCCTACCATGACTCTCAATTATGATTCCAAAAGCATGCTTTTATTTGATCGCATTGATGGAAGTATTTATTGTTATTCCTTGTCACAGTCCAGCTCTGGTCGACAGTCGGCATGGAATGTCATTCATCCATTGGGCATTCAAAGTCATGCAGATTACATGAATGTGAATCGAATATTACCCACTCAGAATATTGTTGCTCCACCTTATCAGACCATCCCTCAATCATATTATCAAGTATTGAGAGTTGGTGAAAAGTTGTACATTTTAAATACCACGACTAACATTAGCGAGAGCAATGCAAGCGGTGATATGGGTAGTAATATGAGTGGGTCGTATTCATGTAAACATTTCTTCCCTATCCAAATTCTAACAAACCCTATCGTGAATACGAATGACACGAATATATTGAGTCACATCTCATTGATTTATCGCTCTCAAGAATATGCCGACGTGAAATTTGTTGTGAAAAAGTATAAGAAGAATAATGCCAATATCGCTGAAAACAATGGTCATGACGAATATGAATATTTTACAGGACACAAGTCCATCATTTCATGTCGGTGTCCATATTTGAAAGAATTAATTCAACAATCCGATTACTATGAAGAAGAAAATGATTCAAGCAAGAGAGGATATTACAATCAGAGCAGTAATACTCGAATGCTCATTGTTAAAATTCATGATACGACCTCAGATCTATTTAAGGCAATATTAGATTTTATATATTTGGGAGAATTACATTTACATGAAGATGACACGACAACACAACATGATGCCGTCTCTGTTGACATTGGGAAGGAAAATGAACAATTTACAATTGTAAATCGATTTCTTTCCATTTGTAAGAAATGGAATTTTAAGAGTGAATTCTTTGAGAGTTTATGTCGATTTGATCAATCTCTTCATTTGGATGTCTACACAAAAATTATTTCAGATTTTGAAAGGGACATTGTTAGTATGGTGAATAATCATGAAGCATTTGCAGATGTGAAAATTATTTTAGAAGATGAAGATTATATCGAAGGAGAAGAGATGCAATTCACAGAAAACTCGAAGGACAGTCATACGTTTTCACATCAACAAGCTGATGTTGTGACACAAAATGATACGGAAGAAGGTACAATGGAAGGCATAGAGAGTGACCACAATTTACTACTACCTCCGCATTCGTGTCATTACGAAATGGTCCAAGTTCACAAGTGCATGATTATTCGTTTGCCATTCTTTGCTAAAATGTTTGAACATGGATTTAGTGAATCCTTAACCAATACGATTCGATTCAAATCCAATGTTCTCGATAAGAATGCATTGATACAAGTGCTGCATTATATTTATACCGATCGATCGACAGAGATTACTCCTGCAAACTGCATAGGTATTTTGGTGTATTCTCAAATGTTTGGCCTCTCGCAGCTAGCATCTAATTGCAGAAATATGATTCGTGCCAACTTGACACCTCATAATTGCAGTGCTATTTTAGAGATTGCACAAATGTACAAGGACCAAGCTCTGGAAAGAGAGGTCATTGAATACATTTCCAAGAATACAGAAGCAAGCGAATTGGTTTTGCAAGCAGACAGCTGCCTGAGCACTGAATCGAAACTCGCCATTAAGAAGAAGAAAAAGTAGGAGATGTGCAAATTTATTCCTTTAGTAAATGTTGGTGGTTAATAAAATTCATTTGACAACCTTAATTTCCTATGAAAATTATACACAGATTTAGAAAATTTTCAATTTTCTCGCCGCAAAAATACCAATGACAGCACTGGCAGCTAAAGCTCCAACTCCAAGTAACCAGCCATAGGATGATCCACTTTGTTTAGGTTTGGTAGTGGTGGTTTTCTTAGGAGTGGTAGTCACGCTTGAAGAGGTGCCAGAAGTTGTTGTGGTGGTGGTGGTTGCTGTTGTGGAAGTTGTAGTTGCTAATTTCTTCTTCTTTGTCTTTTCATCTTGTTCTCTGTATTGATGATACAAATCCACTGTTTCAGCTTTATCATGAACAGCAGTTCTAATTTCTGATTTCTCTCCAAAGAATTCGTTTGAAAGCTTTTCCAATAATTGTTCATCAATTTCAGAAGCTGTGGAAGTGGTTGCTGTACTCACTGGTTTTGTTTGGGTTTGGGTTTCTTCATTTGATGTAGTTGCAGTTTCTGTTGACGAAGGAGTGGTGATCTTGGTGATTTCTTCTTGAGGTGTTTCAGGAATATTCAAAATTTCAGGGCTTGACAATACTTGTTCTAAAATATCTTCAGGGTTGGAAGATGTTGTGGTTGCCTCTTCTATCTTTGTTTCAGGCTGGGCTGGCTCAGCCTGAACTTTGATTTCCTCCACAACCACCACAGGTGATGATGCAATGAAATCTTCCTCCACATTATTTTGAACAGTTTGAGAGTCTTCTGCAGTTGCATTTGTATTCAAAGATTCTGTTTCATTGGTTTCACTTGTTTCCGAGTGTTTGACCTCATTCATCACCAATTCCTTATTTCCAAAGTCAACACTTTTGCCCAAATCTTCACTCAATTCAAAATGATCTTCCTTCACTTGAATGGTCTCAGTATTCAATTCAACCGTAGTAGATGTGTTCATTAGAGAATTTGTCAATGAAGATGGTGGACTCGTGGAGTCTTCATTCAAATTCTGAATCATACTCTCACTCAACGCTTGTACACTATTAACCATGACATAGTCTGTAGAAGATGAGAGAGTCGATTGAATGAGAGCGTCATTATCGCTGCTAATATTGACGGTAGAACCATTTGTGAGTGTCTGTGTTTCTGATGAGGAGGTTTCCTCTTCTGGGTTTGTTGTAGTTTCAGTAGTAGTGATCTGTGTTGGTTCCTGTGTTGAGGATGACGACTCATCCCGAGTACTACTTTCCGCAACTTGAGATGATGGTTCTACTTGTTGCTGTTCTGTTGAGTCTTCTTTTACAGACTCAGAAGAAGGTACGGAAGAGGATTCCATAACAGTGGTGCTGGCATTATCGGATGAAGCTGCTTCTTCTGGTGATGATGAAGAAACAACCACCTCTTCCTCTTGCTTCTCTACCACTGTGGTTGTGCTTTCAGTGGCGGTACTCGTTGGTTCTTGTTTGGTTGTTTCTTCTTGATCAACTGGAGATGAGATGGTTGGTGAGGTTGCTGTCTTTTCATCGAGAGTACTCTCCGTTTGGGTTATCTCATCGGATGGTGATGATGCAACAGTGGAAGTTTGAATTTGCTGCTCTTCGGGAGATTGTTCAATCACCACAGGTTTAGGTTGCTGCTGCTCATTAGCAGAAGAAGAGGATTTGCTTTGAGAAGGAGTGGTAGTTTTCTTCTTTTGAGCGTTGTTGTTGGGTGTCGTGTTGTTGCTCTTCTTGTTGGTGTTCTTCTTGGTCATGATGGTGAATTTTTTTTAATCAATTTCGAGTTATCCATTTTGGTGATTTCCAAATCCAGCAGGTCCATGGTTTAAACCAAAATGATGACCAAACAATAAATGTACAAATGGAGAATAGTTTTTAATCATTTGAAAACGTTCATTGTAATGCTTCTCCAATTTAATAATTGTTGAATTCATTGTTTCATTAAAATTGATTATAAATGAAACGTTGGAAGAAGGACAAAAAACAAGCAAGTTGTAAAATAATTGTAAAGAACTTGATGATAAATATTTAATTGAATGTATTATCTTGTACACCTTTGATCTCAAAAGCGAAAGTTTGACCTTAGAGCATGATCAAATTTATTCGAAGTTAAATTTCAATAAGAGTGTCAAATTTTACATACAAGAACGTTTCACGAATTAAAATTTCAAAAAAAATATTGCAAACGATGCTTCAGAAACACATTCTCTTCAAACATTCTTCCTTTGCTTCATTGTCTCCACAAACACGGGAAGCCTATCATCTTCTCAGGCAATTACTTTCTCTCAAATATAAATTCCCTCTTCCGATGAGAAATAAATACGTTCACAATATCAAGGAATCGTTTTCAGTGGTAACTTTGTTCGGAACTGAGCAAGAGCAACTACAATTATTGAGTAATGTTTCTAGACATGATTTAGCATTGCTCCGAAAATTCACGGAATTACCTGAAGAGGCCTATCGCTTATTTGATAAGAGATTATATGCACCAGATTTATACGAACAAAAATCAACAGAAAATGCTGAAACCTCCACAACAACACCACCTCACAAAAACTCAAATAAAGAAGAATGATAGGTCCCTATGGATATACAGAGGTTAAAGACTCAATGATTGAATTGGTTATATTCTCTTTGGAATATATCTTTTAAAAACAAGAAATTAACTCAGAACATGTAATTAGAAGGTAAGAATTTATTGAACAAGGTCATTAAGAAGGACAATATTTATTAATGGAAATAAACACACAGATGAAAAACTGAATCGGTTCATTTCGATCAGAGTTTTCTTTCTCTCAATACTGATTAATCTTTTTTACAATGAATTCATAGACATACATTTCATATTGTCTTTTAAACTCTCGATTATTATACTTGTTATAATTCACAATCATATACACGACAAAATATAACACCAATAACCCCAAAAAGATCATCCACAACAACAAGATTCGATCCAAATATTCCCAACCCATATAATAGGAAATTTGTTTAAATTCCAAATTCATCTTGGTTGGATCATTGATGTTGTTCTTATTGACCTTGCAATACAATCCAGTGGTGACATCCATGGAATTTGGAACGCACGGCACACATCGATGCATGTAACACGAAAGCACTGGTAAATTGGGTGGATCTAAGACTTGACAAGGATCCTTCACCACCAAGGTCGTCGTGGACATTTGATGGTCGTTGTTGTCGGAATTAATGTTTTGAAATTCTAAAAAGAGTTCACAAGGTTTCCCAAAGAGAGGATGTAAGGAAAGAGGAACACATTGGACGAGTGATGAAGAAGAAGTGATGGTTGTTGTTGAGGTTGTTGTTGAGGTTGTTGTTGAGGTTGTTGTTGAATCATTATTAAGAATTTGTAACGAATTGAATGTATTGATGGGACAAGGAGATGAAAATATTGTTGTGGATGAGGATGGTTGGAAGGCATGAACAGCAATCACTCGAAGGAAGACAAGACTGTACACGAAGAAGCAAGCACTGAACCAAAAAAGCTTGACATGTTTGCGCATTGTTTTGTAAGGTGGTTGGTTCTTGGTGATCCCTAAAAAGGAAATACACTTTTGAGGAATGACTACTATTGTCTGGTTGTTGGATACTGTATATCATGTGTGACAACATGGGATCAGCCATACGTATGACGGTGCGAGAATCGTGTCTGTGGAATCCTTTTAAAATTTCTTTGAATCCAGTGCACTGGGAACTAAGAACTCATTCTCCAAAAATTCCCTCCAAAAATGTTACAGTCTTCGATTCCGTTTTTTCATAACTGAAAAAAAATTGTCGAGAGTCAATCAATCAATTTATTAGCTTTTCATCATCATAATCATCATCACAATATTGGTTCAAATTGAAAGTCCTGTTCAAAAGAACTCAACTTTCTCCTTATAGCTGTATATTCAAGAATTATCTACTTATCATCATCGGAAATGATTAGTAGAAAAACACCTCCGATACAATTCATTCCAACATCAAATCCAGTTCCATCACCTCGGATTTCTCATCAACAACCATTGAAGGCAAATCCGCAACAAAAGGAAGACCTGAATTCGACTCGAAATGACACTTCCTCATCAAAAAAGAAGAACAGTGCAAGACAAAAGAAAAAATTGTCTTTTGAAAACTCTCAGTCTGTCCTTCTATCCAATTCAACTCTTTCAAATGTTCAAGACACCTCCTTTAATACAATGAATGGAGACGATTCCTTCTTTATAACACGAGGACCACAAATACAATTTCCAAACGTAAAGAAACATGGTGGAGGTACCGAAAAGAACATTACTCCATCCGATGTTGACATAGCACTGGAAAACAAAAAGGCTGAATTACAAAAAATTCAGCAACTACTCGAACAAAAACGAAAAGAATATGAAGCCAACGATATTAAATGGAAGGAAAAAGAGTTAGAGTTGACCAAAAAGAGAAATGAGTTGGATTCTGGTCACAAAGAAATGAAACAGTTCAATCAAATTAATGAGTCAAAAATTGACAAGTACTATCGAAAGGCCATGGAAGAACAAAAACAAAATGAATCAAAAAGGCAACAAATTCAAGACCTCCAAGCAACAATCATTCATCTCACCAAACAAAAGAAAAAGAAAGAGAGCGAACTCAAAAAAATTCATCTCTACCAAAATTACCTTAATATGGTTGCACGATTCGACAACAACACATTCGAGGACGACATGGATAAGATTCTGAAACGATATGAAATTTTACACAATTCATCAACAGATTTAGAGAATCAAATAGAAACAAAGAAGCAACTCATCAAACATGAAACCAATGAACTCAAAAACTTCCAAAAGCAAGCGCAAAACAAACTCTATGAACTCAACGTCGAGTTACAACACAAGAGACAATTATTGGAAAAGTTAAAGGCAAAGACCTATAGCCTTGAATCGGCCTATTCCCAACAAGATATCACCAATAGAAAATTCTCACAATTGTATTCGCAAGTGGTGATGAGCATTAATAACTTGCACCAGCGCTGTGTCGAAACACGCAAATTCAAACCATCTCAACAACCAAAATTCGTGACAGCAAGCAGAGTTGAAAAGAATGTGCCTGAAGAATTTAGACAATTACAAGCTATTCAAAACAGAATTCAAGAAGTGGAATTTATCGTCAACGCCATTAAGAAAGCAAAGGAGTGATTGAATACTTTCGTGAAATGAGAACGAGAAGGATTTTACGAGCAAGCTTTGGGTTCATAGAACTCCGGTGATCTCAATTTGAACAAGTCGGAGAGGATTACACCTTCAAATTGTTAAATCACAAAGCGAACAATCCGTCTGAGCGGATTTTAACAATCATGACCTATTTGACCAGCAACCATCCTATACATTCCTTTCCAGGAGTACATTGTCAGTCTTTGAGAATGGGTGACATTTTAATAATCTCCATATAAATGACACAACATGCCATGACCTTACTTGACTCCATCAAGCCTTATTAGCTTAAATACTACAATCTTTGTTTACCATTACTTTAAATTGTGATTATATCTTTGTGCATGCGTTGAATGTCAAACACTCCTCATAATAAAAAAACAATTGACTTAATCTCCAGATATCCTGGTGGCGTGTGGTTTGTAATTTCAACCCAACCATCTCTCTTGAGGATTTGGTTCGAACCAGATTGAGAGAGCATTTGCCGAAAAGACATGGGGTGTTTATGCGCATTTGTTCAAAAAACGTCGATCGAACAAGCAATGCTAAGGTATATATATGAGCATGCATGTCAAAGAGGATCAATCCTTCAAATTGTGATTGAATGGTGCATTGAGTTTATTTTCATTTCATTTATACTTGGAATTCTCTACCACTGGTTGAAACACTGAAATGGATTGATCCAATCGAATTCACTTCATTTACAACAACAACAACAACTACTTCCAATTTTCTTCTTCAAGGTTAAATTCAGTATCTCCACCTGCAGCAACTCGTGAAGTGATATGTGCATCGCTGGCCCTTTGAAAGGTGTTTTGAGGAGTGGTGTTTGTATTGGTGCTAGGTGTTGTTGTTGTTGTTTTAGAAGTACTACTATTATTACTACTACTACTATCAGAAGTAGAATTCGATGATGATGAGTGACGTGCAGGTCTCTTTCGTTCAATTTTAGGAATGGTCGGATTCAGAGAATGCCAATCATGCACCTCATTGGGATTATTCACATTGGTATACACAATTTGTTCTCCATCATCTTTAGAGGCCACTTCTTCAGCAGCATTTTCATCCAACGATCCCTTCCAATACGTATCATACAAATTGACATGTTCTGGTCTTTCGTATGGAATTCCATAATGTTGAGTTAAAAAAAGTCTCTTTTCAGCCTCATTAATCTTGTCTTCAATTTCTTCGGGATTGGTCAAATCTTTATTGACCCGAAAGGCTTTCTTGGCTTCACTCAAAATGTATTCCTTTTCACGTTGAATTTCCGATTCGTCTTTGGAAAAGTCAAAGTGATCCTTTTCTTTGGAAATGAATTGTGCTTCATAGATTTTCTTGTGGAAGGCTGTGATGGTGTGATGATTGGAGAGTTTGTCCCACGAATTGCCGAGTTTGAGAATTTGGCGATAGAGGGAGAGAACGCGTTGTTGTTGGGGTGTGAAGGAACGAGTGGTGAACATTTTGTTGGTAATGATGTTCAAATAATAATAATACTAGAATAATGTAATTATTAATAATTCGGATCGGTGGTGTATACGGTTGTTAATATCAATTCAACAATCAACAAGGAATGGCTATTAAATATATACAATCAATTATACAATTATACAATTAAATAATTTAATGAATAACTATGAATTTGATGATGATGGTATTCACAATGATCAATTATGATTGAAAATTCTCAACGTCAATGTTCATGCAATATTTTTGTCTGTCAATATATTATGAATTACACAATCCAAAAGATTTAATGCATACATTTAGGAATTGTTCAATTAAGGTCAATTGATAAGAAGAAGAAGCACATCTTTCAAAACTTTTGCTCCATGGCATCATTCGTGAATACATTCACACACACTCTTTGAAATTTGCAAATTCTTTCTGTTCACAACACCCTTCGAAAAGAAGGAATTGTTCAATCTCTCTCTCTCAATTTTTACTTTCTCTCACCAGTCAACTTTTGCAATGAATAAATATATTCCGCATTGGCCAATTGCTCTTGTACCTTTCTCAGTAACACTGGATTTCTTCGCAAATTTTCATAGAAGGTTTTTGCGAGAAGAAACTTGGCCTCTGTAAAGTTTGGAGCCAACTCTTGATCCCATTGCTTGTCATTGATAAAAAGTGCGACCTTGACCTTCTTTTTTCCATCTTCATCAAAGTATTGTGTTAAAAATCGATATTCAATGTAGAATTTGTCTTTCATTTCAGGATGTTGCTGCAACAAGTTATGCAATAGTTGAGGGTAATGAACATCCTCTCTCAAAACTGTTGTCTCTGACTGAATATAGTGGACAATTTTAGGAATCATGACATTTTCAAAGAGTTGAGAGACCTTATTAAAGTCATACTGAGACTCTACAAGATACAGAATAGCTCTGACAGCATTAGCATTGGCAATAGTTTCCAATTGCTTATCAATGGGAATAAACTCTTGCGTTGTCAAGGACTCCTCACCAGAAGATTTAACATTTGAAAGGGTGTCACTGGTTGTCTCAGTTGATGATACTTGTGAGGTACTACTTGTTGTATTCGTCTCTTCCTTCATCATCTTTTCCTCCTTTGTTTTCAAAACATTCTTTGGAGCCTCCGCCAATAATCGTGAAGTATCAAACAATACAAATTCACTCAATCCAATCTCTTTTGAAATATGTTGCAAGACATCATTCCTCAATCGATTGAAATAATTAAATTGAATTTCAAACTCAGATCCTCTTCTCTCAATATTCAAAGCATCTTCCAAGAACCATCTCAAATTCTTCTCCGAAGTGTTATATCGCTGTTCTCTATACTTTAAAAACAGATACATGAATTTGTTGCAAAGTGTCGTGAAGAGTTGTCCTCCCATGGGTTGATATTCATCATTGCATTGTGCCAGAACACTACTTGGATCTTGTAGAGTACTACTACTACTAATGTTGTTGTTGTTGCTACTTGTACTAACACTATTATTGGTCTGAGATGTCGTCGTATAGATGGAAGGAGGAATAAAACTAATATGAGTCATAGCCTTTACAAATTGATCCAATGGTATCTGTTCAATACCAAGTTTCTCCAACAAGGAAGAAGCCTTCTTCATATATTCCGAGTCCATCAAATTGGAAAAGAAGAAAGTTTCTTCTTCAGTGAGTTCTTCTTTAGCCTTTTTGAATGGAGCAAAACGCTTCTCAATGAGTTGTTGAAGAAGCTGTTTGGTAGTCTTATTGACATCTACTTGAGAAATGATTTGATTGAATTGTTGAATGGAATGTTGTGTTTGTTCGGAATGTTCTTGATGAAATTTATGCTCAATTTGATGCTTTTTAGGAGTTGCTTCTTTCCGAGGATCATACTTGATTTTGATGATGGTGGTTTCATTACGTTCAGTTAAACTCTTCTTTCGGAACGAATGAAGAGAGATGGAAAAGTTTCTAGAGGATGAGGAGGAGCAACAGGAGGACAATGATAATTGGTTCGGGACATTTGTTATGATTGCCGTTCTAAATGATAAATCATGATGACGAAACGTCGACAGAGAGTAATGATGGAATTTCTTTGTGATTTTGTGCATTTTTTTGTTGAAAATATTTTGTGTTGATGATAAACGCGTGTGTCAAGAAAAATACAATGTCGAGAAGGGATATCAATTCTTACTTTTTAATGGACAAACCAAAGGGCATTAATGATAAAGTCACAAGAGCTAAGTGTCTTCTTCCAAATTCTGAACCCACAACGCTTAATATTAAAATTCCACCAAATATTAAATGTAACAATGCCAACACCCAACCAAAAAGTAAGAGCCACACAAGATTGGCAATCCATAACAAGATGCCATGCTTTTCTCGAGAGTTAAAGATTAATTCTCGATGTTCCTTAATACTTTTGATGTAATTGGATTTTTCTAAGGTTGAGGAATGAGGAATTGGAGAACTAGTCGATGACAGTCGATTGGAACTATTGAAATGTTGCATTATGACATGATTCACAGAATTTCTACTACTACTCGCACTAGCTAATAACTCACTATTACTCTCATTCAATCTTGATAATACATAATAATAAGTTTCTAATTTAGTAAATGGAAAGGACATGAATTTTGCAATTCGAAATAATTGCATGACACATGGCAGTGAAAAACAAAATCCATAAATGACAAAAATCAAACAAGCACTCAATGCATAAAAAATTGAGAATATTAATCCTCCACTCAATCTCCACAACCACTTTCTCATATTCACAATTAATGAATTTTCGTTTAACACTTGCATCATTTCCACAGAAATTTGTTGAGAATCTTCAAATGTCAAAAACGTATCTGTCACTTGTCGTCCTAAAAACTGTAATGCCAAATCACTCCAAACTGATTTGTGTTTCTCTGCAGAAGAATCATGTTGTTGCTGTGAAGATTCTTGATTAGAAGGTCCATCATCGTCCAACATTTTCAATTCATTTTGCAATCCATGTTGTGAATGATGAAAAGAAGTGTGTGAAATAATTTTCACATTCGGAATTCCGAGGTCAATTTCTTGCAACATGACATCACTCAAATCTGTGGTGGGAGTTTCCACTCGATCTCTCTGAATTGTTGTGTTTGTCATTATCTGTTCTTTTCGATATTCTTGAGATCTTGGAAGAGGTGAGGAGGAATGAGAAAATTCATAATGGTGAATGTGGTTGTTGTTGTTAAAGGTCGAATGATGAAAGGAAGATGTTGTTGATTCCAAAGTTGGTATTGTTGTGGTCTTGACAAAATCTCCTATACTGGTCATTCCGTCCTGTGTTGTCTCTTGTCCAAGTACATTTGGCAAATCATAGGGATGAGGATGCATAGTTATGGAGGACTCATGATTGGATTCATCCATCAGATACGAAGGATGGTCATCGAGAGAGGCAAAGGAATCTCGATATTCGTCGTCGAGCAGTATGGGTGATGGCGGTTGTGGTGGTGATATTTGGTGAAGTCGATCCTCTTCATGAGGATGTTGTTGTTGGTGCATCATCATGGCAGAAATAGAGAGCTATTGGTGTTAGGAGAGAGAAAATGTTTGAGTTGATTTTTTTTGGAGGCGGTTAGAAAAAAACGACTTTTTTGACAGCTGACGTTGTTGCAACGACATTCTGTTTTTATTGTGGCCAACTATTTGATATCGATAAAACCGAGACCACAACAATTTTGGATGAGGTACAACAATTCTCTTGAATTTTCTTTCAACGCCTTCCAATCTTTTTGCTTTTTAAATGCTCTCTCTATTTGTGAAATGTTGCCATGTCCAGTTGCGACAATGAATAGTGAATTTTCGGAAGCTTCCTCAAAGAGCTCGGAATAGAATCGATCAAAGTTTCCTAATATTCTCAATAGCTCATTTTCAAGTTTCTTGTGTTTCGTCGTTTCTTCTTCATTTCCTGTTTCTTGAATGAGCTGAAATAATTTGTTGACATTTTTTGCTTCGTGGCCATTTCCGGGAGCTCCAACAGGATCGTATTCATTCTTTTCATAAAAGTAACCAAGTTCGGAGAAGTGACTAAATACCAAGTCATATTCTGAGTTGGAAACAAACTTTTTTGATTTTTGACATACTTCCTCATCGGTTGAGCAAGGTATGGCATCAGAAAGAGAACCAGAAAGAATTCCATTCAAATTATTGGCACGATCGAGCATGACAGATCGCTTCTCACCATTACTCAAAAATTCGAACACATTCTCCTGTGCATAAAAATCTTTGGTTCTCTTCTCTCTTTTGTGGACGTATTCAATACCATACCTAAGTACAAACTTGACTAAATCCAACGCTGCTAAAGCATCTTCAATGCTGTCGTGTCCAATTTTCTCGGCATTGTTAAGTTGAATTTCTCGTGAGAGATATTTCATTGCAAGTTGTTTCAATGATTGCTTGTATTTCGTTCCAAAATTGGAGGAAGTGAGAAAAATGACTGAAGTGTCAATCACTCGTTTGTGACAAATTTTCAAACAGATCAAATCATTCTCAAGAGAATGGCCGAGTAAAATCGTATCGTGTGAAATGAATTCTGTCATTTCTTTCTGAACATCTTCGAGCGAAGTTTGTACATTTTCTAACATTTCTTTTGTAATTCCACTAAACATGGTTCGATAGTCAATGATTGGATCCTTTGGTTTCACTAATTTGTCGTAAACAACTTGACCATTTTCGTCTACGAAGGTTACTCGAGTAAGCTCATCTCCGTTCTTGGTAAGACACATCTCGCAGTCAAGTGCAAGAAGACGATGCTTCTTTACGGCACTTTGCCAGTTGGAGGTTGAAATGTAACCAGATTTTGTCAACTCCTCTTCACTCGAAAAAACTGGGTAATTGTTTTCTGAAAGTTCGTCACTGGAAAGTAATAAATCTTCCAATTTTGTTTTGTTTTCATCTTGTTCGGGTGTCTCAGTTCCATTTTCTGTCACTTCTGAATTATCAAGTTCAGGATTATTTTTAGGTAAATCCTGCAATTTGGTCGAAATTTCTTTCTCTGTCACAACAGAACTAACCTCTATGGTCGGTATGTGATGACTAGGGGATGATGAAACTGTGGTCGATTGAGATGATATTCGTTCAATCACGTTCAATGTACCACTCATGGTACTGAAACTGTATGATTTTCGAGTATTTTCAAGATGCTTGGTATTATTAGTGGTGACCGTTTTTTTGGTATTTTTTTCCTTAAAGAAAGAAATACTTCTCTTAAATAATCTGTGAAGAAATGTTTTGCGCCAATAATTGGCCGTTCGTTTCTCGGTAATCATTGATAAATTTCCTTGTTCAGCCGACCAAGGAGGATTGATTAGTAAATACGGTTGTCGTTTGGACGGTATTCCGTCTGGTATCACATACTTGTCCATAATTTTTGCAATATTTGGCATGTGTGATTTGTATTGTTCAAAAACCTCCTTACTCAGAGAATCAAAATGTAAAATGATAACCTTGTCAATGAGACCCATGTTCATAATATGTAACCATCTTGGAGTGAATAATAAAGCGTCATATGTTTCGTGATTATCATGTTGGTCCTTTTTTTGAAGTGTTGTGCATGAATGTCCCATGAGAGACCACAGCATGAGATTTTGAATATCATTCACTGTTAGAAATCGTTTTTTCAATTCCTTCAATTTGAAGGTAAGCACAGCTTTTGTATCACTCCCAAAGAGTGAACGTTGTTTTTCAATTCGTGAAAGTTTCTTTTGGAGAGGTGTGAGTGGAGCTGAGATGGATGAAGAATTTTGAGCTTTTTCAACTATTTGAGAAGTAGGAAATGAGGATGATGATGAAACGGCTGAAGTGGATTGTATTTTTCGCTTTTTTGGATATTCTAAATTTTTGTCATGTGTTGCAGTATTCGGATTCAACAAGGATGATGAAGTTTCGGATTCTTCCTCCTCTTGTAGTTTTTTACGTTTCTTTCCTTCATGATTATTATTATTGATACTTTCATGAGATTGGTTCGTTGTTGTATCATCAACAGTCTGATTTGATTTTATAGAGTCATTGTTTTCATCCTCATCGGAACGAGTCGTCATTGAAGCTTTTAAAAAATTAGCGACCCGTTCTCGCAAGTTACTACTATTATTTGGAGGATGCATTTTTTTTGAAGTGTTCATCATCTTGGTGAACTGTGATGGACTTGATGTCGATTTTTATTCATTTATTTAATTTTAATTAATTTATAAGAATGCAAATGATTAATTAATTAATGTGAACAATACATTATAATTATCATTCATGATGACTACAAATTATTTCTTGTTCCACCACTCACTTGCACTTCCCTTGTAACAAAATACATTTTCAAATCCCAAATCATTCAATAACTGAGCGGCTTTTTCAGCTCTTCCTCCCATTTTGCAATACACAATAATCTTTTTTGAAGACAGAGCTGAATTGGAATCACTTCCTGACAGTACTGATTTTGGTTTTTCAGAGACATTTCTCGATGCTCCATAGCCACTCGTTGCCAATTCAGAATGAGCATCCACCATTGGTTTATCAAATCCATACACATACTTGAATTGTTTGGCATCCATGGTCAACAAAGCTGGACCCAAATCATTCAGAGGAATGTTGTGAGCACTGGTGTGAATGGCAGGCAGATCGGCCGATGTAAACTCTTCATTCTCTCGAACATCAATCAAGACAAAATCTTGATCGGGAACTTTGTCTTTGAGTAATTGTTGAATGTCTTCCTTGTTGATGAAGGAGTATCGAAGAGAAAATTGTGAAGAAGAAAAACATCGTATTACGGTGCTGTTGTAATGATTGTTGTTGTTGTTGTTGGAAAGAAGCACTTCCTTGTTGTTGAGAATAAGAAGATCCTCCTTGTTGTTGAGGAGCTTGTTGTTGGAAAGAAGAACCATCACCACCACCTTGTGGTTGCTGTTGAATCTGTTGTTGATGTTCAATGTGTTGTTTGGGTGTGTTGTTGTCAATAATGAATATTGCCTCTTCAGAGAGGGAAGAAGTGCAACTCGAGTGCGAAGATGAGTGAAGAGACGGTTACCAATCATTTTTGTTTGATGTGGTTGTTGTTGCCGACGCGCCGCAATGTCGAAAGCTCACCTTACGAGTTTCCGAAAGTCTCTCAAATCTTGTGAGAGCTTGGTTTGGAACTCCATGTTGTCACACACCGTCGATGAGCAGAGATCACGGTCGTTCAAACCTCAATTCAGAAAGACGATCACAACATCAATTTTTGAAGGATGGTTAGAAAATGTTCTATCTATTGTAGTGTAGGAGACTCTTTGGCAATGACAAATACTTGTCCAGTTGTTTCGAATGAATATGCAAATTCACAACTCTTGCCTCGCGAGGTTCTTTCTTCGAGCCTTGTGATTTCGGTACCAAATACAGCTCGTTCAATCTTTTTGAACTTTCTTTCTTTGGCTCTCTCCACTGTAATTGAAATGGCCTTGGATCAAACAGTCTTGATTCTTGGTAGTAATTCGTGCCAGGTTGAGTGTGTGTTCCTGCAAACCATTGACCCAACACACAAGCATCAAACAACAGTTGAGATCGATCAAAGACACAATTTTGTCCCTTCTCAAAGAAGCGATCAGGCAACTCGACAATGTCTCGACTTGCCGAATGTCTCTTAGCAACAAATGCATAAACCATGGTCATGTCATTGAGATTATGTGTGCCTACTTCCATTTCTGCCTTTTCTGGTCCCAATTTGAAAATTGAAGAAATGTATTCGATGAGATCTCTCATGACCAGAGTGTTTTGAACAAACATGAATGAAACGACCGCTTGAAAGGGTTCAGCAAAAGGAACTCCAAACTTCACACCACATTCCAGAAGAGGTTTTAAAATTTCTTCCAATGGGACATAGAGGAGATTATCATTCTCAACATGAAAAACATTTCTTAGATTTTCGAATTTCATCACAGCGTACACATAAAACAATCGCTCAGTGGTAAATTGTACGAATTTCTGATTACCATCAATAGGGTTCATTTCACCCTGAACGAAAAAGTATTCTTGAAATTCCTTAATCAAGGGATCGGATTGCACTCTTTCATCATCATAAAAGAAGGGAATCAAATTAAAATCATGAATTTTCTTTTTCACTTCTGTTGTTAAGGCATTCCTTGATAATACTAAATAAATGGAAAGGTTAGGATTCAATCTTCTGGATTGTTCAATTGAGATCCAAATATATTCTTGATATTGAAAGCTATTTCCGATATTGGTATAGACCAGAGTAGGTTGTTCCTCCTGACTTTTCCCAGACGGAAAAGACTGATTATTCCATTGATTCGACCCTAGGACGATGATGACCACTAGAAGGGCATTCAGAACGAGAAGAATGAGGTGCGTTCTCTCCTTGAAGGCTTTACGCATTTTTCGTTGAGTCCCTCTTCAACCAGAGAAACATCATTTGAATGAAATATGAAATTGAACAAGGACATCTGAGAGCAAATCTCTATGATTTCAAGAGTGCAGATCAGTGTTCTTAAGAGATTCAGTGACTTTCAAAATAAAAATTATTGATATGATCAGGACAATGTAATTGAAAGTTCATTCTTTCCCAGGTTAGTATAGGTATAGTATTGAGGTTGGGCGTCGTGTGGGATTGCTCATCATGATTTTTGAAAGCTTTTCCTAATATGCGAGGAAAAATTTTGCTCAAACAATTGGTTGTTAGAGGATAGCTTTCATTGCGAGAAGGATGCTGTCAAATGTTTCCGATTTTTGGTTTTCATTTATTCTGCCCATTCTTTGTTTCAAGTACAACCAATGCTCCTTCTGATTCTTCTTTTGTGTTTATCTTTCATTCCAAATACCTACTCTGTGTAATGAAAAAACATTTACCACCACTTGTATCATCCGACGGCCGCAGTGTACGTGCTGAGGAAGGTCTTTTCGTGCTTGGTGCTGCACTTTGCGGTCGTTTTCGTAAGGAAGTATTCCCAACAACACCACTCGCCGATGAAGGTCTCTGTGCATTCTGAACAGCTCCAGCCGTGAAGGGACGTGTATGCTGAAGTGTTCCAGCATGCCGACCAGCAGGTTGATGAAACAACGACGACGACGACGTTTTGGAAGCCGAACCATTGAAAGGTAAATGAGCACTTTGAGGTCGTTGTGGTAGTTTCTTACTGTGGATGTGTGGATCACTCATGGAGGTTGTTGATGTCGTGGTAGCAGCACCAGCAGCAGTTGCAGTTGTTTCCAGTCCATAAATGTAACGGAGAGTTGGTGAGGAGATGCCCGCATGATGATGATGAGTGTTTTTCAGTCGAGGTCCAGCCGATTGAGGTCTCTTTTGTTGATGCACAATATTGGTTTGCACTTCGAGAGCTCGTTTCTCTCGTATCGCTTTGTTCATTCCTTCTTCAAAGTTCTTTTTGGATTCTTCTGTTTCTTTTAACCTTCTTTCCAAGTCGCGAATTTTGGAGTTTTTTGCTTCGATCGCTTGTGCCATCTTTTCGAAAATTAATTTAGGTTTGCTCTTAATATCAAAATCCGTTTTGAAATATTTAAGCCAATAGCCGTTGGCCATCTTGGCCAATTCTGTGTATGAATGTCCTGCCTTGTTTGGAGTAAATGCAATTAAGAGATTTTTAACAGCAGACATGACTTGATTGGAGTCACTAAAATCAGGTTCACCCAGCATGATCAGAGTATTTTGAGCTCCATTCATGTTATGCTCTCCATTCTTCATGTAAATGGTGGTATCACGATAGCCCAACTTTTCCACATCCTTTACCCACGTGTGCCACAAATCAATGACCGAATCACTCAGCACAAGATACTTTTGTCGATAGTTTTCACTCTGCTCTAACGTCTGTTGAATGTTTCTCATATTTGAAAGGACCTCTTTCAACTGATTTTGATCTCTTTCGATTTGTTTTTCGAGATCATTAATTGCTTGTCGGTGTTTATACTCAATATCAACCTTGTATTTTTCAAATTGTCTTTCGAGAGCAGCTTTTTGTTCTTGCGCTTCAAAAAGCTGTGTCAACGAATCGGCCTGTGCTTTTTCCAAAATTTCTATTCGCTTAATGACATCATATGGTGAATCAAAATTAAAATTTTTCTGAAGTGTTTCAAATAAGGGCTCATAATTTTCAAATAACCTCAATCGTTGCTCCTTTTCAATTTCTCGAACTGATTGTTTGTTCAGTTTTTGTCTCAACATCTCTATCGTGTACTTGAGTGATTTGTTTTCTTCTTGACATTTTTGACTAGTCTCTTTTTCCAAGTTCATTTGTTGCAATAATTGTTGATAGTCAGAGTATAACTTGTCGTGATGCAATTTAAAATTCTCGACTGTTTTTTCGTGATTAATTCTTGCCTCCATTGCCATCTCTTCCATCTTTTTACCCCACAAATGTTCTCTGAAATTTTCTCGACCTTTCTTTTTTGACTCTTCCACCCACTTTTGTTTTCTACTGCTCATGGATATACTTGAATCTGATCGTTTCGTGAGAGAGCCACCTGAAGGAGAATCTGAGTTTTGTCGATTCTTCACTGTATTCAATAATTTGGAGACTGTTCGCTTTTCGTCTTGTCTTTTTGACTCTCGCTCGTATTTTGCAATAGCACTGAAATTACCAGTTTTCGAAAGAAGTTTTTGTTCCTCCTTCTTAGCAAAATCAATAATTCCGTTCATAATATCCATATCTTCATCTTTCATTTCCATTTTTCTCTTCAATTCCGCCAATGCATCCAAGCCAATCGATGGAGGGAACCCTGAAGATGTTTTCAAAATTTTCTTGAGCTTTTTTTGTCGTTCCAATAATTCCTCGTCTTTCAGATCGCAAAATGAAGAATCCAAAACTGCTTGATTATCTTTGAGTTGTGTGGAGAATTTAGTATTTTTTTTTTTCATGCCGCTTTGATACGAAATTCTTGAGGGTTTTAAATTTACAGCTAATGGGTCATCCTTAGTGTGGTCATCGTCATTGCTGGGCGAATTAATTTCTCTATTATTAATGCTTAATATAACTCGTTGCTCCGATTGGCTGCGAGGTCCCAGACAATCTCTTCTCTCTGTGACAATATCTGAATAGTGGTGGCTTTTAGTAAGCGTAGAAGGTATCGTGTAAGCGGAATCGTGAACCATGTCACCATGTTTTTCATTTGTGACAGCTCGAGTCGTTGTTGAGGTTGAAGCATGATCATCGTCGGAACGAGAGGACATGGCTGTTGATGTCCGAGAATGCATGCCATCACAATTTTGGTCAGAGCTCTCATTAAAACTCAATTCGGAAGTACTTCGATGCCGTTGAGGTGACGATCGTAAATTGTTCGTCCCACTCACCACACTAATTGCAATTTTTTCTAAATCTTGCTCCTTTTTTGATAGGGATGAGGGAAGGCCCAAATCAAGAGGTTCATCGTCGTCTTCATTCATGATTTCATCATCATCGTGATGATTGATAATTTCTACATTCAATGCACCATTAATAAATGTTGCAGGTGTCCTCGGAGAAGATGTTTTCCAAAGCAACGAAGAAGAAGATCCGCTTTGAAATAATTGATAAGCAGAAGAAGGTTTCATTGTTGCGGGTGAGTTCGTTGAGGCTGGTGAATTGGTGTTCAAAAAATTCATTTTTTAATAAAAAGCGCGGTCCCGCCAAAAGTCGTAGTTGTTCTCACTATCCTCTTCTACTTATGTTCGTTATGAGAGATGTTTAAAAAAAGAGAATGGGCATGTTGTCGATCATGCTTTCTTACCATTTTGCTTAATGAGTTTTGTAAAACATTTGCACAGTGATGTTAGTGTTTGTCTAGATTACTAATGTGTTTCTCCTGAGCTTCGCAATAAGTGTTTGCAACGTATTTGGAAAATAAACACACTTGTAAGGATTCCGATACCTCACGTCGAAAATCGATTCCAGGGATGTCTTGTATTCCATCATAAAAAACTTGGCAATTTGCCAGTTCGGAACTTGTTCGGTGATTTTGGGTTCCGAGTTTCAAATTTTGATTGAATTTGAAAAAAAAATGCTCAACAACGGAATGAAGGCTATCGGTCGTCGTGTCTTGTCTAGCAGAGGCATCGTTGCCACTAGTGCCTCCAAGAGCAAGGCTTGTTCTGCAGCTGCTGCTCTTGTTTCCATGAATCATCACAAGATGTTTGAAAAGAAAAATAATTTCTCAACAAGCCAACTCTTTAGAAACAACTCATCCGACAAGAAAGCAGCAGCGGATGAACACGAAGATGTTGTTGCTGAAGAGGCCGAAGTGAATGAAGACATTCTCAAGGAAGAAGGTATTATTAGAGAAACAGAACACATTATTGGTGCAAAGGAAAACAAGACATTTGAAGCAGAAACCAAACAATTGTTGCATATTGTTGCCTCTGCTCTCTACACCGATAAGGAAGTCTTCATTCGTGAACTGGTTTCCAACGCTTCCGATGCTTTGGAAAAAGTCCGTCGATTGAATCAAGTCTCTCCCGATAAGGTGGATGATGCTTCCAAAGAATTAAATATTCAAATCTCTGTGGATGATAAGAACAATATTTTCATCATTCAAGACAGTGGTATTGGTATGACCAAAGAGGAATTGATCAAGAACATTGGTACCATTGCACACAGTGGTTCTCGTGCCTTTGTGAAGCAATTAAAAGACTCTGCAGATAGAGGTGATACTGGATCGAACATTATTGGTCAATTTGGTGTTGGTTTTTACAGTACTTTCATGGTTGCTGATAAAGTTCGTATCTACACTCGTTCCGCTCTCAAAGGTCAACCTGGATACTGTTGGGAGAGCACTGGAGAAGGTTCTTACACGATTTGCGAAGCTGAAGGTGTTGCTAGAGGTACAAAGATTGTCATTTACTTGAAGAAGAATGATAAGGAATTTTCATTCAAAGATACCGTACAAAAGATTATTCAAAAGTACAGCAATTTTGTCTCTTATCCAATTTTGTTGAATGGAAGTAAGGTGAATACTCTTGATGCCATTTGGTTGAAGAATAAGAATACTGTGACTCCAGAGGAACACAGAGAATTTTACAAATATCTTTCACACTTTGGAGGAGAGCCAATGTATATTTTGCACTTTAATTTGGACATTCCATTGAATATGAATGCTCTCTTCTATGTTCCAGATCATCATACTGAATCTTTGGGTATGGGTAAAATGGAACCTGGTGTCAATGTACACAGTAGAAGAGTCTTAATTCGTGCCAAACATCCTGATATTCTTCCTGATTGGTTACGTTTCATGAAGGGTGTTGTTGACTCTGAAGATTTACCATTGAACATTTCACGTGAACATTTACAAGATTCTCCACTCATTCAAAAGATCAAGTCTGTATTGGTCAAGAGAATTACTAAATTCTTTGGAGATATGATGAAACAAGATCGTGACAAGTATATTGCTTTCTATGACAAGTTTAACAAGTTCATTAAGGAAGGTGTTGTCACAGATTACATGTACAAGGATGAAGCAGCCAAACTTCTCTTATATGAGTCCTCTGCTTTGAAGAAGGGAGAAAAGACCACACTTGATGAATACATTAGTAGAATGGGAAGTGAACAAAAAACCATTTATTACTTGATTGCTCCAAACAGAGAATATGCTGAAGCATCTCCATATTATGAAGTATTCAAGAAGAAGGGTATTGAAGTTTTGTTTGGTTATGATGGACCTGATGACTTTGTTTTTGGATCTATTGGTTACTTTAACGGTAAAGAATTGAAAGCTATTGACAGAGCAGAATTAGAAGATGAAGAGTTGCAAAACGAAAAGACTGAAAACGAGCTCAATGAAGATCAAGCTAAGGAATTGTGTGAATGGTTCCAAAACTCACTCAAAGACCGAGTTTCAAGTGTTAAAATTTCCAAACGTTTGTCAACCACACCAGCCATTATCAAGAATCCAGAAAATGCTGCACTTCGACTCATTCGAAAAGTTCAAAATCAAGACATTTCACTCTCTCCACAACAAGTTGAAATTAATCCTCGTCATCCAATTATTCTCAAGTTATATAAGGCTAAACAATCCAATCCAGATTTGGCCTTGCTTGTGGCAGAACAAGTTTTTGATAATGCCCTCATTAGTGCTGGTTTATTGGACGACCCAAGATCTATGGTCAATCGATTGCAATCATTGATGGAAACAAGTTTGAAGAATTTGTAAATGCTCAGCACATTTCTTGAGAGATGAATCATTGGAAATAAACATTGAAATTGCATTACCACACTGCCACTTTTGGTAATCAATATTGCTCTCGAGTAGATTAATGGCATTCATGCAGTAAGAATGTGGTTGTATGGAGGCGCATGGAAAAAAAATGTTCAAATCACAGCCTGAGGCATTTACTTCTTCTCATCAATCATCCACAGCTCTTCAAATATTGGATGTTTTGGAAGCATCAAGCTCCGAATACCTATTTACAAGTGTGGCTATTTCTTCTCATCATCATCATGAAGAGCCTTTTTGTGAGAAGAATAGAATCGTCAACAGCACGACAACCACAGCCCATACAAAATGGAAATCATCCAGCCTTCCCAACATCAAGCAACATACAACAACATTGAAAGCTCTCAAAAAACCACCCGCTCAGTCGTATCCTTCTTGCACTATGTTGATGGCAGGTGGGGAAAGTTCTGGACTGGTTTCAATTTGGCAACTCTCTGAAGAGAAGGGTCAATTGTTGAATCGCGAACCTATTCTACTGCTCGCTCACAGCGATGACGAAGTGATGAGCGTATGTTTTGGAACCAGAAAGAAGGAACTATTTTGCTCAGCCTCCAATAAGGTGATTAAATTATGGAATATTTATGCTTGCCTGCAAGGAGTTCAACAAGACGGAGGTAAGGTTTTTTAGTAAATTATTTGGATAAATAGAATTTGCCAATATTCTCCTCATGAAACATACTTGTGATGTTTGTGATTATCATTAGTAATTATTGGAACATATTTAGGAAATGTGACATTTGTCAAGTTCAGCGATGATGACAATTTGTTATGTATTGGGTTGGAGGAAACAATTCTTATTTATCACATCAATGAAGGAAGAGTAATTTTGCAATTGGATGGACATCACTGTCCTGTCACGGAAATTATTTTTTTGCAATCTTTCCCACATTATTTAATTAGTATATCTGAAGATCGAACATTTAAGGTAGGTACGAATTGAATTAAAACTTTTTGTTTTTCTTTTATTTCGATCATTATTCAACTAGATATGGGACATTCGGGAACGAAAAGTACTTTATAAATCGGGAGTTCTATCACCATATCCAATCATTTGTGTTTGTGAAGAACCTGACACAAACAGATTCTTTTTAGGTTTTACGAATGGTATCATTCAAGTTTATGAAATTAGTAACGACAAAAGCTCTCAGTGCTTGTGGGTAAAATTATTGCATGAATTTGACCTTTCAAAGAAGGTAAAAAAATTTTTAAAGCCAGAGTGTAAAAAACCCATTCCAACGTTTGAAATCATTAGTAGCGAACCTGTGTGGAAGCAACAACATAATTTCATTCAGCAACAATTTCGTGAAGATGAAATTTCTGACTCGGATCAACAGGAAATTGATGAAGAAATTTATGTCATCAAGATGAATTTCTTCAACAAAAACGATTTAAATTTTATGATGATTTGCAGCAGAACAATGGCTATTGATATTAATTTATCTTCTTTTGAAATTAATCGGATATATAATATTTCAAAATTGACAGCAGAATGCCAGGACTTGTTTCACACGTTTGCGTGTAAGTCAGTAGATGACTGTACCACAAGATTAATCGCAGCAAGTGCTGTCAAACCACATATTTGTGTGATGGATGTTAATCACCAAGCGATCGATCTGAATATTTTGAACAGGCAAACAGAGGTGACAACAACAACGCAAGGAAGCTCAACACCTAATGGAACATCAAATGAACAATCTTCTGAGATTAGCTCTATAACTTATCATTCTGAGTTACCTGTTTACTTGAAAGGAACCTTAACGAAAATCACACCCAACACGACAACCACGAAAAAAGGTAAGCTTTTGTTGACAGAGGATTGCTGTTAAGAGAAAACTCAAACATTTGCTGATAATGAACTTATAATGAATCAATATCAAAGGTCTTTTGAAGAACCATCCAACCACATTCACCAATCGCATCAAATCTTCTGGCTATTCAGAGGCTCCATTTATGCACAAGAAAAAGTCTTCCTCCTCAAGCACTGGAACTTTGAGATCAACGAAAAGAGAACCCATGATAGATGCTTCCTCATTGCCACACTCCCCACCCATTCATCTGTCATGTGATGTTAAACTCCATTCATCACCAATTTTGTGCCTCTCTCTGTCTCCAAACAAAGAAAACCTTTGTACTGGATCTAACAGTGGCCTGGCTCTCCTCTCCAAATCACCACTCTCAAAATCTACTAAAGGAATACCTTTGGAAAAGCATACAAATTCTGTGACAAATGTGAGCTGGTCTCTCACATCCAAGTTAGTACTCACTTCAAGCTCTGATTGTAGTGCAATTATGTGGAAAAATGGAAAGAAAGGAATTGAACCAGTGATTCATATGAAAACTATTTTAGGAAATATCAAAAATAGTGGCACAGATGTTAAGAAAATGGAATTGGAGTTCAAATCGTCTGTGAACAATGCGCAGTTCTATCATCAAGACAAACTTGCCACTCTCTCGAGCTCCAACAAGCTCTACTTTTACAAATATTACATTCATAAGGAAAACAACACAGACCAAAAGTTTTTAAAAAAGTAAGTTTTATTACATTTTGCGAATTTAACATTTGAAATTTACAAACCTTTCAAATTACAGAAAAGTTGAAAACCACAAGTTCAAACTATCACATGTATTCGAAAGCAAGCAAGCTCAAAAAATCTCATCTTTAGCATGTCCAAATGTTTATCTTTCCAATTATATTTTAATGGGTTACTCTAGTAAGAGTTTAGAGTTGTATGATGTTTGTAAAGATATGGTCGTGAGGTCGATCGAGTCGGCACATGAAAGACCCATTCACACAATTACGCTAAATAATTCTCCAAATGCTTCCAGCGATTCCATTAATTTATTTCTTACTTCATCTGTGGATGGATGTGTGAAATTATGGGATCTTCGACAAAAAGAGTATGTTGTTTAATTTCTAATTCACTTGTTCATTACAATAATTTTAACTTTTGAAACTTAACTCAGCTATGTGAGAAGATACAGTCAACACAAAAATTCCATTCACACCATTGGATTGGATTTCAGTCCTTGCATGAGATATTTAGCATCTGGCAGTGAAGACCGTTGTGTGTACTTGTATGATTTGACCACTTCAGAGAAGTGTGTCGAGAAAATCATTTCATGTCATTCCGATGTGGTGAGTGATGTTGAATTTAAAAATTATTCAACATTATTGAGCTGTTCATTTGATGGGAAAGTGAATACTTACACATGTTCTCAGACCTCAATCACAAGTAAATCGTCTCCACTAAGGGTGTAACTCGCTGATGATTTCAGCTAACCTCAGTTTGGCACGTACTTGTCATCTGTCATTTGTCAGTTTTTTTACACCAAAAAAAATGTTCTCCAAACCAAAGACCATTCACTTCAAAATCAACGAAGCTCAAACCGAAGAGGTCGTCATGAACCCCAAGGAAGACCTCTCCGAAATGTTGAGTAAAATCGCTTCCGCCCATCAAACCATTGCACCTAGTACAGGTATGTTTCAGTCGATACAATTTTTTGCATCGATTGATTAACTTTTATGGTTGTCATCCTCATCACGTGTTGATGGTCGACATTCCACAATTACTTGTCATTTCACTACCAACATCACCACCACAACAACAAAACAAATCGAACAATCAATAATGATCACAACCAATAATCACAAATCAAACCAAAATCAAACACAACAGATGAACATGTTCTCTTCGTGATGGGTCATCCCGAATTACTTGTTCCATGGCAAACCATCACTAAAAATCTCCTCAAAGAACAACTTTTATTAGAAATGAAACCTTTCTGGTATCCAAAAAAGAATTCTTCATCGAATGCATCCTCTTCTTCGAAAAATCAGATCAAAAAAGTCAGAACGGATAAATCGGATGTGACTGATCGAGTGTTTGGTGGTCGATTGGAACAACATTATTATTTAGAAGATGACACCAATCCAAAACGATTTTTAAAGTTACCTCCAATCTTGTACAAAATTTTTGATTTTTTGACAAGTGACCGTGCTGTGAGAAGTGTGGGTTTATTCCGAATGTTGGCGCCTTCCAGTCAAACCTTGCAATTAATTGAACAATTTAATGCCAAACAAAAAGCAGGAGATAATTTCAACTCGATTGTTTTTGATAACACGACCGATCCAAATGTTGTTGCCAATTTGTTAAAAGAATATTTACGAAATTTACAAATTCCATTGTTGCATCCAGTGACATCCTTTATGGAAATTTCACAAATTCAAGACACAGACAAACGACTTGTGGAATTTATGAAAGCATTCAAAAAACTCGATCACAATATTTATCGAAGAGTATTTCGTGAATTAATTGAAGTGTTGAATGAATTTATTTATCATTCACATTTAAACAAGTTAAATTCTCGAGTTCTTAGTTTATGTATTGGTCCCTATCTCTTTCAACAACAGAAAGATCAGTCCATTCAGTCACGAAGTACCAATTCTCAATTTTATTACAATATTATTGGAATGTGTATGGAACATTTTGACAAGTTGTTCACAGAAGGTTATGATTATAACACACTTGAAGGAGGGTTTTCTGATGATGCTGCTGGTGACAAGAGAAGTGGAAATACACTTGCTGCATTTTTAGAAAAGATGAAAGATAAGGGTGGTGTTTCGAGTGCTGCCAATTCATTCCTTTCAGATGTGACTGGAAAAAAAATCGAAAATTCAGAGCAAGATCCATCGAATTCTTCAGCTGTAGTATCCAACTCGAATGTTCCTGGTACCAATTCGACACCAGGTGATGACATGAGCGATGTTCAAGATAAATGGAGAGAATATGTGGAAAGTTGGAAACTCAAATATAAGAATGAAAAAGAAGAACATGAAAAAGCACAAGCTAAATTGGATGAACTGAAAAAGGATTGGGCTAAAGAAAAGAAGCAACTCGAAGATGAAATGCAACAGCTCAAAATGCAGCTTAGTAGCAGTGACATTACAGAAGATGATGAAATTATTCAACTCGAAGAAGAAAGAAAGAAGCTCATCCGAGAAATCGAGAGAGAAAGAGAACGTTATAAATTGGAGAAGGATTCACACGATGAGAGAATGAAAAAGATAAAACGAAGACAATTGTTGGCCTTGAAAAAGATGGGCATTGAACCAACCATGGACGATGCCACCAATAACAAACTTTCTCCAGAATTCTTTAAATTGAGAAGACAAGGAGTCGCTGCTGTCACATCGTCAGATCAACAACAACAACAACAGGAAGACGATTTGGGATCTGTTTCATCAACCCTATCTTCGTCAGCCACTCGAACAACGGTTGGAAGTAAGATTCAGGTGAATGATCGATTTAAAAAGAAAAAGTAGAACTAGATTGTTAATTACCACTTTTTAGTAGAGGAACCAAAGTTCAAGAAATGAATATAATTGTTGTTAGATTTTCAAAATTTCTCTCAAATTTTGAGTTTGGGCTGAATAATAAACAATTTTTCCCATATTTCTTAATTGTCCAATAACCTCAGGTTCTCTTTCAAAACAGTTATGGTACAAGCTCAAAACACGCAATGATTGCAAATGAGAAAAACACTTTTCGTATGAAGGAATGCACTTCAGTTTGTTGTGACTCAAATCTAGCATTTCCAAATTTTTCAAAATCACACGGAACACTTCTTCATTATCTTCACAAATTTGTTCAATCAAGTTGTGACCCAATCGAAGGTCTACCAACTTGGTTGATCGTTCTGCATTGGTTTCAATGGTCACTGTGGGCGAGACTGTCGAAGAGGATTCTGTTGGAAGAACTGAACGATGATTGAGGTTTTCGTTATGAGGGTCAGTAGTAGTGGATTCGGTTGTCGATTCATGTGTCGTCACTACCATTGTATCTAATGGCGTCTCAGACTTGGTGTCACGAATTGGAGATTTGGGAAGTGATTGGATCTTGTTATATGATAAATTTAAAATTCTTAATTGTGGTAAATTGGTAAAGAGTTCAATTGGAATTTGTTCAATGCAGTTATGGCTCAAATCCAACTCAACCATTTCATGAAGGTTAAATTTTACGAGTGACTCCAAATTTTGAATGTAATTCCATTGTAGTTCAAGTGTGATTAACTTTGAAAATTGGTGTGACAACTTTTTTGTGCATGTATCCTCAGTCATGTGTTGTACAAGTTGTCCTTCGATACTCGCATCCTCCAACTGTTCTTTTTCTAACTCTTGATATAATTCATATTTTTCCAATAAAAACTTGGGAGGAAAATCAACCATTTTCAAATAATTGAGTGAAACAAAACTGGGATGATCCTTATCATTATTGAATATCTGATTAAAGACGTACTGTTCAAACATTGGTCCACTGAATGATTTTCCAATATCTTGATAGAGCTGAATTTGTGTTAAAAAACCAGTATTTGGAGCAATGCAACATCTTCGCTCTCGAACGTATTGATAGGCCTCTTCGGCGTTCTTGTCAAACTTTTTCATGACATAAGCGATGATTAAAGTTGCAGAACGTGACATTCCTGCTGAGCAATGAACAAGTACATTACTCTTTGGGTCGGAGTCCAAACAATCGTCAATCCAAGCAATGACTGTATCAAAATATTGAATGATGTTCGTTTTCTCTTCGTCAGTTTCAGAAATTTGAAAATAGTTCTTAAATATCTTTTTTCGTTCAGTTTCATCTGGAAATGGAGTTATAGTATTCACACAAAGGACAGAATCAATGCCAAGTCTTTTCAATTCTTCTAAATTGGTCGCTGCTGAAGATGAACCTAAATAGAGTCGATCTGTAATAAGTTGTGGAACTCGTTGCATGTGACAAATAAATCTCATGGTTTCGTGATGATGATGCGAATGTGAGGAACCTTTTCGAGTGAGAACTTTGGAGAATGAAAGTCTAGCCTTTGGAGAATTTTTTCTTGACGAAATTATTAACAGGTGATGTGAAATCGTCATTTGGTGAGAGGTGAGTCTTGTCTCGTCCTGTAATGTATTTCAATTCTGTGGGAATAGAGGTGTTGAGATCGATGTAATTTTCTTGTACATTGAGTGTTAACAATTTGTGTTTGATAAATAGAGTAGAAAAATAGTTGGGAATGGAACGGAGCTTGTTTTCAGAGAGATTGAGAATTTTGAGAGGACATTTTTCGCTTGCCAACACAAAAAATTCTTCTGGTATGCACTCGATGAGGTTGTGACTCAAATTTAACGAGGTTAAATTTGGAAACTGGGCCAATAATTCGATTGGAATTCTGGTTAATTTACAGTGGGTAATTTCAATCATGTGAACATGTGCCGAAAGATAACCTTTGACAAGCGATAGATCTTCTCGAAGAATCATGGAAACCAACTCTAATCGAATACTGTCATCGATGGATGAGTATAGATCAAGGTTGAATAAGTGTGACATTTCCAAACCTTCGAATGGAGGTATAGGGTGTGTGTTTTTTGTATCAGTCCTCGTCGTTGATGTTTCTCCATTCGAACTGCTACCATTGTGAACAGTTGTGACAACAGTTTCATCACTCTCTTGTTGTTGTTTTGCATAAAAATCCATGATTAATTGTTTCATTGAATTTGATTGCAGCGTGTCCATCACGATATTCAGCGAGCACTTTTTAAAATGTAAAATTTTAACGTGATCTTGTCCACTTTCCATACTTGTTAATGTATTGGCCGATGATAAAGATATTCGTTTTGAAAGATCATCATCAGAAATTGCTTTTTCAAATAACGAGAATACATTGACGAGCTTCTTCAAAAAAGATTTCTCATTCCATGATGACAACGATGATGAATGGGTTGTTGTTGTTGTTGATGATGATAATAAATTAGAATGAGCCATCGTGTTGTTAAAAATGGTTTGGTTCACTATCATGTTTCCGTTATTATTAATTCCATGATTATTATTCGTCATTGTAGAAGGATCGGAAGTATTTCCTCTACTACTACTGCTGTTCTTCCTCTTCTCTGACAAGAGAAATTTCGAGGCAAACCACCACACGAGCAGTGGAACAGCAGCCGTTGACACCCACCAACAACAACTCAAGGTCAACATTTTTTCCGTAAATTACAAACCTTTTCAACGAATGGAATGATCGTGTTACTGTGGATTCCGATAAAATCTTTAACCTTTTGGTGTAAATGAAGTGATGACGATTTGTTGTGTGTCCACCTCTCTCCGAATATTTTCCGTTTCAAAAAACACTGAATTTCATGAGGATGAGATTTCATCATAAAAAAAAATTCCAAATCGGATTGTCATCCTTTATTTTGCTTGTGATTGGATTCTCAAAGAAGTTTGTTCAACAAGTGAATTCACGCTTGTTGTGAGCTAAAGTTTTGTAGTTATCCGATCAGAGTTGAGTCTTGTCGTTCATCAAAAACGCGTTATATTAATTATATTTGAAAATGCAGAATACGTTGAAATTTCGTTATTCCGAAGAGAATATTTTGCAGAGCTTTTTACCGTTTTTGGACAGTCATAACTATTGCTATTGCTCGTTTATGTTTACCACATTTCAGCAAATTATTAGACAAAAATTAATACCTTCCAGTGTGATCAGGTAGGTAGTGTTATATGTGTTTTTTGGTTTATATTTCAACTGTGATGTTGTCATCTTTGTATAATTTATTATTTATGAAAATTGTGTGACAAAAAATTTTGTATGTTGGCATACATTTATGATGGCCAACAACAAATGAACGCCACAATTTCACATCAACAATTATTACTATTGTTTGTGGTTCATGTATGGCTAATAACTACAAAATTATGATGACACACAGAATCAAAGAATGGATGCTGATTAGTTTCAAAAAACTGAAATTCACAAAAGATATATCACAATCTCTTTTTCACTTATTTCAAACAAATTATAGATGTTTCTCACTTCCAAACGAAAATGCTGTAAAATTGGAACCTTTTTTTATATATGTCTATCTTCAAATGTATACTTTTGAAAAATTCATGTCACCCAAGCAATCACCCAATTTGGAGCCATCCTTTAAAGAACGAAATTCTAATGTGGATATTTATGAAGTTTTTAAACATTGTTTGGAAGATTTACTGTGGCTTGTCTCTGACAACGATGCTGGAATGTTAACTGCCTCACATATCAATCATTTGGCAGTATTTTTGTGTGAAGAAAAGAATTTCATGTCTTTTAATATTGCAAAAGCATTTCCTTTCTGGTTTTCATCAGAATCGACACCTACTCACAAACAATCATCTCCTCAATCAAAAAAGAGTTATTCAAGCAGGAGTGCGTCACTAAATACGATAAGAGACGAGAGAATGTTGGATCCTGAGCTGAGTGTCATGGTGAGAAATGACGACCACTGTGAGGATGAATATATGAACGACATAAGAAATTCAATCATGGATGACGAAGCAGAATTCATAACCAGACAATCAGAAAATGCTTCAAGAGACAATTATCACCATGTTGATCCCTCTCAACCTGTAGAGTTAAATGCTATTAAGAACTACATTTTAGAAAATTTAGAAAGAGGAAAACTTCCTTACCATCTCTCGATTCGTAATATTTATTCAAATTATGTATTCTACAATCAAGAATCTGCAACCACAGACACATATTTTGAAATATCTGACATTTCAGATCAATCCTATATTTGTATATTACAACCTCATATTCAAACCATTTGTGTGAAAAATTGTAGAGATTGCACACTGGTTTTTGGAATTGTGAGAAATATTATTCATGTCACAGTACGTAGAATCCATGTTTTGTTTTTATTCGAAAATATATTCAATTATCCAATAGAATTGTCATCATGTCAACATCATCTGTATCACTAATGCCATCAAAATTTCATACAGCTCGAATTGCACCTTCAACCTGTGTTGTAACAATAGACCCATTCTATTCACTTCTAATTCGAACCTTAAATTTGCTCCATACAATACAACCTTTGAATCAGTGACCAAACAATTACAACATTCAGGAATTGATCCAACCATTAACTACTTTTCTGAACCATTTGTAGTCGATTTAGAATCTATACATCAATTACAACAGCAAGGTCATTCCATGAACAGTTCATCTAACAATAGTTCCATGATTGTGGACACCTCAAATTCTCCTCTTGTTTCAACGACGACCTCTCCCACGACAGTTCACATGTCATGCACCTCATCACCTTCCTCCACGATTGCATGGTCCTCCACTTCTCCATCATCTTCCACTTTTTCAACAACGAGCTCTCCTCGAAGCCATTCGAATAATTCCTCTCCTTTAAGCTTTTCTCCAAACTCCAACCAGCATCAACAACATCAGCAACACCATTCATCGAATTCTATCATGACATCACCACCACAACCACCACTACATGTATCTCTCATACAATCTTCACCTCCACCATCACCCAATCATTATCAAACAAAATCCAAAACTCAACAACAGTTGTACTGTCCATCGGTGTTCTCAATTCTTGATCCCTGTGAATTTCATTTACACTTCATTCCATTTGAGAATTATCATAACAACAACAACAGTAATAGTAGTAGTCCTCTAAATAATTCCAGCACTAAGAACACTGGTACGAATAGTAGTAGTAGTGGAGTATTAACTATTTCTGAAATTCTCAAAAGGATTCCAAGTCCTCTTCCAAGAGAGTATCAATTTGAAATTCAGAATCGAACGAAGAGTATTGCCAATTTGTTTGATCATATCAAGCAGGTGGCACAACGAGTCTCTCAACAATATTCTCGCTCACAGCCTTCCATCACTCACCCTTCTCCAACCATTTCATCAGGGATCATTCAAAACAAAATCATGGACTTTATGAATCGAAAATTTAGAGAGTGGTTGGCACAGAGTGGGTATGACAAGGAATATAAAGTTTTCACGAATGGACAAAATGTTGTCATTCAACAACAACGTAATGCAGCTCGTAAGAGAAGCAGCAGTGGATTTCAAATGAATGACACTTCCAAATCACAAGAATGAGTAAAGTCCGAATCGGGATGAATTTTACAGCCTTAACAGTGATTGAAAAAATGATCTCGAACGCGTCTTCTACTAGAACGCAAGAAGAAAATCCAACCATAAATCAAGGGCGCAATGTGGAGAAGGAATTTTTGGAGCGGTTTCAACCGATCGTTGATTCAAAACTTCGGGATTGGGATTTGGTTCAACTGATGGGGTCGGTAGGTGAGTTAATGTTTAAGGCATGCATTAAGTACGAACTTGCATTTAAGCGAACATTACCATCAAACACTTTTCTGCACACTCTATTGTTTGGATGTTTAAACATGAATGGCATATTACGAATAACTTTCATGAAATTGAGGAGTTTGTAAAGCATTTCATCACGATATTGAATAGAGGAAGTTTTACGAAATGCAGACCACATATTTCAGTTCAAGGTTATGTGCGCACGGGAAAAACCATTCTTTCGCAATACGTCCTCCCATATTTTCTTTCCTTGGAACTGCTTCGCACACACAATCCCTACACCAAGTTTAATGTGGTTTATAAGCACCATCTTTGGTTGAAAAACTCTTTGATTCACACTTCTCACAAGACGTATCCTGTTTTACGTTCGTGGTTTGTGATGAAATCCAAGCTTTGAAACCAGAAGAGCTCAACTTGATGAAAAAGTTTTTGAAATCAAGATTCCTTCCCAACAACATGATAAGTATTTGGACAGGCTCAAGCGCAACTGTTCAAAGTTATGGCCCAAGTTCCATTTAACGGCTTTTCTTGCTATGATGACAATTTTTTTTACACCATTCCAACAACTTTTGTACTAGACATGGTTCGAGACACCATTGTATTTGTAAACCATCTTCATAAGGATTTGATTTTGTTTGGAAAGAAAAATTTTGAAACAATTTATGCTTTCTTAGGTGTGTTGCATTTTAGTTACGTTCGACAGATTGGAAACGTAATGGTGAGCCATAAAACTGGTTTAGAGGAAGCCCTTACACAATTGGTCCATAAGGTATATTCAATATATGACAGAGATCTCAAAGAAACTATTAATCAGGCAAGCACCGAAGATCTTTTAAGCCTGATATTATGCTCATCAAACATTGAAAAACTAGAACCCTTGTTGCAAAGTAGCAAAATTTGCTCGGCATTCTTCTGGAAAATCAATTCGGCCATGACTTTTAGAGACGTTTTGATAAAGAAGGTAAGTTGTTGAAGAATGCTAGCCTTTGGATAAATGACAATACTTTAGTACCTCTATTGGAATATTGAGCGACAAGGCAACATGTCGTTAGAGAATAATTGGTTATTCGCCTATCAGTTACTCTTGCCATACATTATTTTGGGAGAAAGTATTAAACACGATATAAATGATGAAGATGTCACCTATTTGCATAAGGTGGTTAGTAATGAGCAGTTGTTTTTGAAAGAATTGGCGAGCTCATTTCCAAAGGCCGTTTCTATTGGTGGTCAAGAAGATCCTTTAGGTGCACTTGCGAAATCTCTTAGAGGGATCCGAAATACTTTGAGTCATGAGCATCATCAAGCAGAGAATATTAAGGCTCTTATGCTCAAATATTGGTTCAAGGACGACAAATATTTGTTTTTGCAGACAACTGGTGACTTGCTTTCATATAATGTCAAGTCAAATTCACCTCGTACCAAGAAATAACTGATCTAATAAACCTTAGGTTTCAGGAAAGTTCCAAACCTGTTGCTCAGGTTTAAGAATGACTTTAACAATATCAGTAGAGGTAGAGGTTTTGGATGCAGAAGTAGTTGATGAGATAATTGTTCCAACAGCATTACTAGAGGAAGAGAAGGATTTAGTGGTATTAGATTGGATAGCACTAGATGGATGTGGATCTTGACTACTGTTGGATTGGACATGAATACCAGCTGGTTGTTCGTTTTGAATAGAAGAATGCAACAACAACACCAGGAAGGAGCTATGAGATATTAATATCTCCTTCGCCTGAAAAAGGTTGTTTCGGAGATTTCAACGAATAAACAGATTCTTTACGAGTAAGACAACTTGTTTAAATCTTTATCCTTTGAGATGATTGATAAGATAGAAACGAAACCTCAGTTTAGGATTCTTGAGGTTTGGTGTCAGGAATTCCATTTTTAAACTTAAAAAATATCGATTAACGAACAATGCCACCCCACAAACAGAAAAAGCAAATAGGAGGTGTGATGGATGAGGATGATGAAGAGATAGTGGAAGCTCTTCCTCATTCTGATGAGCGAGATGAAAAAAGAATGAAAGAGCGAAAATCTAGAAGAACTTTCGGAGATTCAAAATCCAAAAGAAAATATGGTTCCGAAACTCATACCGAATCAATTTTGGGTGAGAAGAAAGCAAAGAAAACAAAACAAAGCAACTCAACATCGTATGAACAGATCAAAATCTCATCATCTTCTATTATGGAGGACGAGGAGGAGAAATCATCGAATCCTTCTTCATCAGGTGTTGCTTCATCATCAGATATTAATACATCACCACAATCAATCACTCATTTAAATCATCCTACTCAACCACAACAACAACAAGCGTCCACAGTTCTTCTCTCCTTCAACAATTACGATGAATGGACAACGGAAGAAGCTGCTTCTCTTCTTCGTATGAAGAAACGTGAAGGTGGAGCCTCATTGTCCGTTGTGAAAGTGAAGCCTCTATATAGTGCTGGTTTTGATGGGACTTCTCTTGATAACATTGTAAAGGATATCAAGAGGCATGATGTAGACTTTGCTATTGCCTCCTTGTCTCAAAGCAAAGACTATACTCAAGTTCCTTCAAGCACTTGCAAGACTGTTGTTAATTGGGTCAACGATACATTAATACCCAAACTTTTTCGTTTGTGGGACAAGGATCAAGTGAAGTCTAAATTATGTAGACCCAAATCAAAAGGAGGTGCTGCTTTAGATGGAGAAAAAGTTCAAACATTGTACGAGGAAGAATTTGATGGATCATCCCTCTTAGATATTTCTAACTCAGTTGAGGAGGCTAAACGTCTCGGCAATCAATGGTCTGCAACCGAGATTGTGAAAACAGTGCTACAAAAAGAAATTGATCTATCCACATGCGAAACTGTAGTCAATTGGGTTGTGCATGAGTTGATAAAAAAAGATAAGATACAAGTAACACTATATAACTTTGTTTCAGACGGTAAGTGACTCGAGGATTTAGTTGCACATTAATTTCAACCATTCCAGAAATAGAATATAAACTCGACAATTATGAATACGAAGAAATTGACGGAGACAAAATAGATAGAAAGTATATACGAAAATTAGCTTTACACCAAGAAGAATTATTATTTCTCAGTGATTTAAGCAAGTATAATTTAAAGGACTTAACCGCTCCGTTCCCAAAAACATCGGATCCATTGCGTTTTAATCTGAAACATCGAGAAGACACCATCAAACAAATATTACAAGTCGGCGCAAAACATCACGAAATCTATTCTTTGACCAAAAAGAGCAAACAACAATTATGTTTTTTCATTGCAAAAGGTGGCAGTGGCAGTGGAAAAACACGTATCCTCACAGAGATTCCCAATATTCTTCGCAATGGAGAATTGGATAATATTTTCAAAAACACTAATATTATTTATTTTAACTTTGCAAATGGATGTTCTTTAGCTCAAACTGATAGAGATAAGAAGTCTGTTTCTATGATTGTATCAAGAATAGTTTATGCTGCTTTTGAAAACATTTCAGAATTCGCTCAAAATACTCCACCAAGTGAGAATGATCTCTTTCTCTATGAAGTAATGCGAATAATATCAAAAAAGCTACATGAAAAATATGGGGAAACTGTTATTCCATTAGTATTGGCATTCGATGAATATCAATTGGCTACAAGACCCAATCCGGGTTTACACACTTCCATTCAACATAAATTAGGGTGGTATATGAGATTCATTCAGAATAGACATCAAATTTTATTATTCCCAGCATTTGGAGGAACTTTGACTGAATCAGATGCCAAGATGGAACCAACACAATATACACCTGTCCATTTATCTCTTCCGTCATTGAGACCTATGGACATTGCGGAGATTATGGCCGATATGGGGTTATCGAAACTTTATGAAGGAAGATATAAGGAGTTTTGGGACATGATTGGTATTATACCAAGACACTTGGATTGGGCTTTGGGGAATGATGTTGAGAAATTGAAAAGACTTGAATTTAATGATGAAACTGTGAGATCTACTATATACTCTAATGTTACTACTACTGTCATACGGCAATATTCTGTTAACTCGGCCGACGAATATTTCGGAGAATTGGCTTTGAATACAATATCTGGATTGAAACGAAAAAAAGATGAAAAACTCATAACTTATATTAGTGAAGGCAGAGTTTACATTGATGACAATGGGTTCATTGGTGTTCCTCTTGTGGTGATTGATATATTAGCAAATAAGTTGAATTATATTCCAAAACATGTTGTGAGTGATTTTATTACTGTGTCGAATAAGCCACTATGGGAAAAATTCGAAGAATTATGTCTCAAAACAATGACTGCAAGATTGAATGTTTTATATACTCTCAACCATTCTAAGGAAGTACAATTTTCAGAGTTATTTAGAGGGGCACATTTCAAGTCCGACTTGGGATTTATTTCTTTGAAATCATTTAATGCCATGTGGTTTTATTATGATTGCTTGAATGAAAAAATATCAAGTAGAGATGAAAATGAAAACGAAAAACTTATCAATACCACTTGTGTAAAAAAGGCAAAAAAGAATCAAAATGATATTGATGGGATACTTTGTCCATTAGTTAATGCAAACACCAACAAAAGAATGATATTTGTTACACAAAACAAGTTTCAATATGAAGATTCTCAGAAAAGGACTCTAGAACCATCCAATCTTGTATCCTATTACGAAAAGGCGATCAAAACAGCTTTCAAAGATTCAGATACCTTTGTAATTATTTTCACAAACAAAAAAGTTTCCAAAAATACGAGAGAAATGGTAATCAAAGGTGAAATAACAACAACAAAAAAGGCAAAAAAGGGAGTTAGTAATTCCAAAGAACAGAAAACAGTGGACACTGGAAATTTAATACTCGTTTCAGGTGATTGCTTTTCCAATTTCTTTCATCCTTTCATTTCCAATATTTTACATTAAATCCTGCCACCTCATCTCTCTTGATCTTTTTATATGAATAAAATCCACCAACTCCTCACAAATTCAAACTCTTGGCAAACCTTCAAGTAAGTGCCTCAAACAAATTCCTTGACCCAAATCCAAAACCCATTGAGCTGCTCAAAATTTAGACCTGGGGGTAATGTTTTTGGAATATCCCAAAAATTTTTAATTTTCAAATAAACAACATATTTAGTTATCATAGGACCTATAACGATAGTATCTTGTTCGGTTATTTGTTCTGATATGTCGTTCACAAAAAAGAAAAAAATTTCACGTTTTCGCTGGAACTTGTGCGACGGTAAATTTCATAGCCCTCAGGTTGATATATTAAAAAAATTGATGCAGACATGAAAACATGTTCCATAATCCCTCAATGATAGTAGTACTCATGAATGATATATATATGAAATATGAGAGGTTGGGAGACACTCCTCGGACCGTGGAACATCCCTAAAGTTGGTCAACTATATACCTCCAGCGAAAAAATTTGTCACCCCAGGAGGAGAGACACTGTCAGTAACATGATTTGAAAATGAACTTGTAAATGATAATACACGTAGTAGACATCACATAGAGGGTATAGTGACAGTTGTGACACTTGATGATGACCATGATCACAACAGAGACAATAATTCAGATTAGTTGCCATTGTGAGAGACATGGTCATATTCATGAGATGAATCTTGTAATACACCTTCAACATGGCCACTAGGATGTATAGATGTTGTTTATATCATCAATTGTAAACTAAGGATGAAACGGTGAAGCTCTCCTCTTGGTGAGTGAATTTTAGCTTGAAAGAAAATTTTTTGGATTGTTTAGTCATCTCTAAATCCAACATTGACTGACTTTCTGTCAAAGCAAGCAGATCCCAGTAGCGGATTTGTTACGACCAATGTGTCTGGTGGTCTTGGTTCTCGACACTAAGTTATCCTTTCATATACTTAGCCGTCACCTGTTTAAAATCAAATTGAAAGAGTTTTCTTTCTTCTGGTAATTTTTCCTCGGGATCAGAGGACAAATAGTCGGTTTCTCCAGGAATCAGTTGCGTAAAAGCCAACCTCTGATCTAGCATCCCAAGGTCCTGCTTTATTCTTGACCTTGATCTTCCGGTAAGCTCTTGTTACTCCTGTTCTTGTTCTATTTCAGTTGTCTTTCACTCACCTTTGTCCATGACAAATTTCTTTTACTGTATGCGCAATCAGTGGTTGGAGGCATTCAGAAGAGGGTATTACTTTCCCTTAATTTCAATTCCTTCTGAATGGGCAGTGTTTTTGGCGTCATGGGACGTGTTTTCACTCTGTTCTAAGGGTACCAGTGTGAGGGCATTATTGTGGAGGAGAGTTGAGATTGAATCTAATGGGTTCGTGTTTGTGGGACGCATATGGAAAGCCAAGTTAATCATTCTCGTGAAACTTTAATGTCTGTGACATGTTGCTTTTAATTAAGTGCTGTCACTGGGTGGCTTTGTTGGTTCCAAAAGTGTCATTGTTCAATGATTACTTAGGAACAGCAAACACTTGCAGAACATTGGTAGTTTTACCGTATGGTGGATTCCTGAAGGTGGTGCGGGGAAAGACCAATGTTATGACCTTAATTGTCGTTTATGTTTCTAGTAGTAGCATATAAAGGAGTTTATTCATGGTACTACTTGTATATTACACCAGAATGCGCCTGGTGAGAGAAATAGGAGTGGGTAGATTGATTCTAAGATGTTTGATGTATCCTACGTGCGTGTGGTAGAATAAACTCAGATTTCTCGAATCGATTTTAATCGTTGGATAACTTAAACTCGATAAAATAAAATATCAGACGTTCGAACGACAACAATGAAGAGAGAAGGAAAACTCGATGGTAAACCCACCAACAAAACCAAACAACGAGGAAAATGTGCGGTCGTCCACTGTAGTATGTGCCATTTCAATTCTCCTCTCAAATCCTTGAAGAAGTGTAAAGGACAGAGAAAATTCTCGAAAATTATGACCCATGATGTTTGGAGAAGGCAGAGTTCTTTGATTGGAGATGGGATGGTCGGAAACATGCCAAGCATCATTAGGGAAATCATCATCATGATGATGAGAGTTGATACAACTCTCGTCGTCTTGATTTGGAAATTTTCTCCCAAAGAAGAAGGAAAGAGCGTTCGATAGGATATCGATCAAAAGATTCAGAGAGAACACAATGTGTCGATCTATTGAGCTCTTAATTCTCGCCATTCAAATTACAACTCGCAGGATTGAATTTCTGAATGGGAATATATCGATAGGAATATCCAGTGTTTGTCTCTTTCAAGCTTCACAAAAAGGATCAAAGGGAATATCAATGAGTATGAATAAATCTTTTGGTTCTTTCTCACATGTGGTTCATCATTTCCAAGTTTGTGAAATAATCCCACATTTGACCACTGACATGTTTCAAAAAAATTCAAAAACACAACCCTCTCTATCATTGCTTTCTCTTCCAACAAACAACAACAACAACCATGAGAAGACGATCCATCCAATGGTCTTCTTCTTCCTTTGGCGCATCCATGAAGAACAAGCTTCCTCTTTCCTCTCAATTTGTTTCTTGTGTTGTCGCCATCTTATTCATGATGATGACCATCCATTCTCACGAACAAGACCAGTTTCTTGTTCTCGCTGCTGTTCCTCCCATTCATACTCTCCACGAACGCTCTGCTGCCTCTCAATTACCAGCTTCCTTTCGACATGTTGTTTCCAATGACAATCAATTGTACAACATTGTTGAACCTCTCTTGACAGATTGTTTGACAAGTGGCAAGAAATTGTATGAAGTCACCACCGCCACTACATCTTCTCCCAAATCACTCTATATCTCGTGTTATGATTCAACTCAACATGTACCTCATTTCACCTTGAATCTCTTGTCATATGCCGAGTTGAACAAACCAAATGCAGATCGTCCAGATCAAGAACCTTGGTTCACACTTTCATCGAGTGACACCATCACAGGAAAGGCCTATGAAACTCCCTATGATCGAGGTCATTTAGTTCCCAATAATGATTTCAGAAGTGCAGAAGAAAAAGTATTGACTTTTATAGTCATTAATCGAGCACCTCAGTTGGATACAACAAATCGAGGGGTCTGGAGACACATTGAACATTCATTGAGAGACATCATTATTGAAGAGGGAGCGAATGGTGTGAATTCCATTAAGGCACTTGTCATCACACGTTTGTTGTTCAAATCGGCATTGACTTCAACCTTTGCTAAATTTAAAGACAGTTTCACCACTTCACAAGTTCCAATTTCATACAATAAGGTTGCGATTGTGTTTGATAAAGATTCCATTCGTGAAGTCTTGACCATGAAAGCAGACAACACAAATATCATTAATAATGATCAATTACCAAATATAGTGAAATCATGGACCTCTTTGAGTTCAACAGATCCATTGAAAACCAACATTCATGTCACAATGGTCGGTACCGAGTCAACTGTCACCACAAAAGTTGACACCAAAGTGAAGAATTTCAAAGCCTATGTTGATCAATGTTCAGCCATGAAAAAAGCAAAAACTGCCTATTTTCTCATTTCCTACGAAACAAGTAGTAACAAGTGGAAAGTTCAAGTGAAAAACTTTTCTCCATGCAACCACTTGTGTTCCTTTACTATGAATCGATACATTTTTGTTCAGAGTTTCTTTGAAAGAAGTGCCATGACTCAATACAAAATGGATTTACGACTTCGAACCTTATTCACAGATGGATTGGAAGAAAAAAAAACCAAAGATTTTTCCTTTTATTTACCACAAGATCTCATTGTCTCTGAAATGTCAAGCATGTCGACAGTGGAAGGAATTTTCACCTACACGTGTGAAGATAAGAGAAAATTTGCTGGAGCAAAACATGAATTCCAAAACATTGGAATACGTTCAACACTCAAGGAACAACGTTTGGTATCGTATGGAGGAGTTGTTGCAAAGAAACCTCGTCGTCGTCGTGGAAATAATGACACGTCCAGAAGAAAAAAGAAGGTCAACATTTCAGCCAGTGATTTGAAAGATTTGTTGTCACAGGAATATCCTCCTTCCACACACAGTGGTACCTCTGCAACGAATGTGAAATTTACCTTCACGACTTTTACTATGGACAGTTTGGATCATTTCACAGAACCTCGTGGAAGAAGAGCCGAAAGAGATCGTTCGAGTCGTCGTGATTCTTCTTCCTCTTCGTCGCCTCGTTCTTCTGTCAGAGGTCGTTATTATGCTCCTTCTTCACCATCTCCTTCTCGCTCAAGATCGAGATCAAGAGATCGCACACCAATCGTCAAGAAAACATCAACTCTTCCACTTTCTGGAAAATCAATAGCATCCTCCTCAGTGAAGTCCTCACATGTTAAAAGTCGATCACCATCTCCAATCAGACATCGATCTTCATCGTCATCACTGAGAAGTCCATCACCATCGAAAAGATATTCAAAGGATATTTCGACCAAAACTTCCACAAAGAAGGATCGAAGTAGAAGTAGAGACAGAGAGAAGAGTACTGTTAGAATTGCCCCAAATAATAGTATTGGAAAGAGTACTATTAATACCAAAGCCACTCCGTTGCCTAAAAAAACCACAGCCACGGTCACAAATGGATCGAATACCTCCAATACAGGACCATCTCAATTGCAAACAGGTCCGTTGGTGGTAAAAATTGAGGAACATCTTTAAAATATTTTTCACATTTCACAGAATGATGTCCTTGTTGTTTCACAAAATGCTCATCAGTTTGTCTCAAAGAAAACTGTTTAATTTTTCAAAGCATACATATATTCAAGTAATAATCACAATTGTGTTCATTGTGAATTCATTACAAGGTGAACATCTCAACACATGACTCAAAGATCTTCATTTATCTCTTAAAATAGCGAAAAAGTGTACACCTGCTAAAAAGTGAAGTGTCCAATAAACCATTCCATGGCCGAACTTGATTGCTTTGTAATAAAATAAATAAACAAAAACATTTTCT